AGCTCGTCGTCTTCCTCTCTCGTCTTGCCCCTGCGAATTGTTCCAGCAATAGGATGTGTCACCACGCGATCCTTGTTGTCACTCTTGACCAGCAGCTCTGGCGACGCTCCAACAATCTGGAAGTCGAGATAGTCGATGTAAAACATGTACGGAGACGGATTCACCGTTCTCAAGTGTCTGTAGATATTGAATGGGTGCAGAGAAGTAGGACGGGCAACTCTCTGCGAGGGAACTGCCTGAATGATGTCTCCTTTCAAAATGTGCTCCTTCAGCTTCCTAACAAACCCTTCGTAGCCGCTTTGGCCGATGTTCGACGTGAAAGTCTGGTTTTCCACTATTTTTGGCTGCTCCGGGTAGATCAATGGGTCTTCAGGAGCCGTGACCACCTGCTTGATCTTCTGGATCTGCTCAACGGCCTGAGCGTGTTTCCGCTCGATATCATCCTTGGTGTCGTTGTCACTGATCGTCACGTTGCTGATAACCTGGAACCGCTGGAAAACGTTGTCAAATGCGACGATCGAGTCAAACAGCATCAACGCGGCCTCTGGAAGCTCCAAAACGTCTTTCAGGTCTCGCTTGGTTCTAGGCTCGAAATACTTGATGCAGTCGTATGAGACATAGCCAATCGCTCCCCCACTTAGCTTCGGCACACCAGGAAGCTGCGCCTGGCGAATGTTTTTAAGTTCCTGCTCCAGAAATATAAGTGGATCCGCTTCGTTTCCGTGCAACGGCCCTGTGGTGATGATCTTCCGTGGTTTGGTGCCCATAAATGAGTAGCGGTCAATTTGATCACCGTTCTTCGCACTTTCAAACAGAAACGAGGGACTCCTCTCCGCATTTTTGTCCCCAGGACGAGTCAACTTCAAATAAGCGAGATGAGGAGTCAGATACTCGGCCGAAAAATACGAATGGATCGGGTACATGTTCGGCCGCTCAGCGGCAGCATATTTCTCTCTGTCCGCCTCTATGATGGCATATAAATCGTCAAATGACGGCTGGACAACAGACTGGCTGATCATTGTGCAAGGCCGGTTTTTTCAATCTGTTGACTAATTTTACAAATTTTTTCCACGTCTTCGGGCTGTGCTATATATATTTTAGAGCTACTTCCATCTTTGCACCACAACAGAGTTGATCAATCCAGCTTCCTTGATCGTTTTCGAGTCCTGTTCGATGACCTTCATTGGGAAGGCAAAGGCCAGATTCCAGTCTCGCGAGGATTCGGTGTGGGAGCTCACAAAGTCGAAGACAGCGCTGACACTGTCGTTAGAGTCGAACATGTGGATCAGACGTGTTCCATCCGCCATTCTGATCTGCACCCTGGCATCTCCAGATCCAATATCCTCCACAGGCGGCTCTTCCTTCTTCTGGACCGTTTCTGCAATGACTGGTTCCGGTATCCGCTCGCCAGGAACAGGAGAACCCAGACGCTGGCCGCGGCCAGTAAACCCGCCTTGCTTTGGCTTCGGTGGGGTGTACGATTCGTCCATCTTCTTAATCACGGTGACGTCAACATCCTGAAACATTTCCACGTTCAAAAGACTCAATGGAGCACGTCCAGAGTTCAGTTGTCTTAAATACTCAGCGTTTTCGGGGTCGTCGTACCTGTAAAGCTTGCCGTCGCCCACCTGGAATCCTTCCTTCCAGAAAGTGATGGTTCTAGTAACCTTTTCAGGCACTCTATAGCCTTTTTGCTTGGCATCCTCAATGACCTGTGACTCGACAGCCTTATCCACTGATCCGAGTTTGTATCCTGTTCCCACAAATTTGCTCTTCTTGGACTCAATTGGACGCCTACGGTCTGGTTCGCTTCCCTCCCGCTCGGCCTTCTTGATCAATTGTTCCACAAGACCCAAGGGGTTCTTATCAGGGTTTTCCACTTCCAGCCCCGATCTCTCTCCACCAGTGAACAAATTGGTGTTTTCGTCGTCTTCGTCTTGGGTCTTTATATCTGAAAATGATTTAATTTGCGGTCCTGGGTCCCGTTTAGGCTCTGGTTCTGAGGTGGCATGAAGATAGTACTGGTTGATTGATTCCTGATTGTTAGCCCTGTAGAACAGTGAACTCCCCACTTACCTCTAGGTCATTGTTGTTTTGAGACAGAAAGTGTCTGGCAACAGTTTCTGGAGCACCAGTGAGCTCTCTAAACTTATTCACGAATTGGTCCTCCGACATTTTTTGCCACAAATTAAATAAGCTTAGAAAAATATTTATTTTTACTGATCTCTCGTTTCTAAAACAATCGATGTTGAAATCCCATTTATACCAAACTAACTAAAACCAGTGTACAAATAAAGATGTGAAGTCATAATCATTAGGTGCTCATCAAACATTGATGTTGAATAAATGTATGCGGTAGCAGCAGACTCCTAAGCCAGCAAACTTAGTACTTTTCTCTGAAGACTTTGGCGGCCTCCACCATGTTGGTCAAAGAAGCTCTGGTCTCTTCCCATCCTCTGGTCTTCAAACCACAGTCTGGGTTAACCCAGAACTTGTCGGCTGGGTACACCTTCATGATTTCACCAATTCTGGCCACAAACTCCTCCTTGGATGGAATTCTTGGCGAGTGGATGTCGAACAGTCCAAGACCAATGTGGTTTGGATAGTTGGAGAACTCCTGGATGTACTTAGGATCGTCCTTCTTAGAGAACTCAATGGAGACAACGTCGGCGTCCAAGGCTTTGATGTGGTTAGGGTCAAGGTCGGAGTAGCAGAAGTGAGAGTGGATTTGAGTGTCGTCTCTGACACCAGAGGTGGCGACTCTGAAAGACTCAGCAGCCCACTCCAGGTAGTCGGATCTCTCCTTACCGGCTCTCAGTGGCAGTCCCTCTCTGATGGCTGGCTCGTCGACCTGGATGACGGTAACACCAGCGGCTTCGAGGTCGTTGACCTCGTCTCTCAGAGCAAGAGACAGTTGCAAAGATTGCACCTTTTGGGAAACATCGTTTCTTGGGAAAGACCATCTCAGACAGGTGACTGGACCGGTCAACATACCCTTCATTGGTTTTTTGGTCAAAGATTGGGCATAGACACTTTCTTTAACGGACATGGCCTTTGGTCTAGACACGTCTCCGACAATGATAGGTGGTCTGACGTATCTAGAACCATAGGATTGCACCCAACCGTTGGTGGTGAAAGCGTAACCCTTCAATTGCTCACCAAAGTACTGAACCATATCGTTTCTCTCTGGCTCACCATGGACGAGAACATCCAGTCCGACCTCCTCTTGGAATCTGACGACCTTCTCAATCTCAGAGTTGATGAATTGCTCGTACTGCTCAGCAGTGATCTCACCCTTGACAAACTTGTTTCTATTAATTCTAATGTCCTTGGTCTGTGGGAAAGAACCGATGGTTGTGGTTGGGAACAGAGGCAGGTTGTACTTGGCTTTCTGTTGGGCAAGTCTCTCTGGGAATGGAGACTTTCTGGTGGACAGGGACTTGTCGATCTTGGCCAATCTGGCCTTAACGGCCTCGTCGTTGGTCAAGTCAGATTCCTTTCTGCTCTTGATAGCAGCAGCATTAGCCTCCAGAGCGGCAGAAACGTCTTCACCAGAAACGGCCTTGGCGATGGTGACAACCTCGGCCAATTTTTGGGTAGCGAAAGAGAACCAGTTCTTAATCTCGGCATCAAGCTTCTTCTCGTTCTCCAGATCCACTGGAGTGTGCAGCAGAGAGGAGGAGGTAGAAACGACAACGTTGTCAGCGCCCAGCTTCTCGATGGCCTTCTTGACGAACTCAATGGATTGAGCATAGTCGTTCTTCCAGATGTTTCTTCCGTCAACGATACCAACGGACAGAGTCTGTTTGTCGGAAATGAGAGCAAGTGCATCGTCCAACTGCTCTGGGCATCTGACAAAATCGAAATGGAAACCGGCAACCGGCAGGCCCTTGATAGCAGGCAGGTTTGGTCTGACATCACCGAAATAGGTGGTCAAGATGAGCTTTGGAAGACCTTCAGCCTTGGCCAGGGTCTCGTAGGCGGTCTTGAATGCGGCTTGGACCTCTTCTGGCAAGTCCAAAACGAGGGTTGGCTCGTCGATCTGGACCTCCTTGGCGCCTGCTTCAGCAAGCTTCTTCAAGATCTCGGTGTAGACTGGCAAGATCTTCTCGAGCAGAGAGATTGGCTTCAAGTCAAGAGAGTCCTTGTCTGGCTTACCCAAGTACAAGTAGGAAACAGGACCAACAAGAACAGGTCTGGTCTCAATGCCAAGAGCCTTGGCCTCCAGGTACTCGTCAACTGGCTTCTGACCATTCAACTTGAACTCTGTGGAGTGGGAGAATGTTGGTCTGACATAGTGGTAGTTGGAGTCAAACCACTTGACCATCTCCAAAGCTGTCACGTCGACTGCCTTGGTAGTCTCGGTAGCCTTTCTCTGCAGACCTCTACCCATGGCGAACAAGACGTCCAATTGAGGAAGATCGAACTTGGTGTATCTTTCTGGGATCACATTAAACAAAACGGACAGATCCAGAACCTGGTCGTAGAAAGAGAAGTCGTTGGAAGGAATGATGTCGACACCAGCTTCCTTCTGCAACTTCCAGTTCTTTTCTCTGATCTCCTTACCAACAGCAAGAAGTTGATCAGCACCGATCTTGCCTGCCCAGTAGGCCTCAGTGTTCTTCTTGAGCTCTCTGAAAGCTCCGATTCTTGGGAATCCCAAAACGCTAGACTCAACCATTTTCTATTAATATGAGTTGATTATTATACGAGGAATGTGGGTTTTATATATTGGTTTTCATTGTCCAACAAATGAAAAATTTTTCCTTCCCGATTCGGAAATTCCTGGTGGACGGGTGTGCAAATGATTCTGCCATTCTACCCGTACATTGCGGCGACGTTGGGGATGAGTAGCCTGAGACAATAAACAGGTGGCCTGCATAGTGTGGCTGCAATTGTCCTTATACACCAACAATTTGGTAGCACATGGGCCGGCATGTGTTTTTTTCATGTGACCAGGCCGGGTAAGAAAATACAAAAAAATATACTTTTATACAGAAATGAGCACTGATATCGAGCGCGAGCTCAAGCGCGAGGAAACCGAGCTAGCAAGAGTACGTGTGTTTCTTTCTACCACCACTAACCGCCAGGATAAGGAAATAGACCGCATTCTGCGCGAATGCAAGCTGGATCACTACTCCGTGCTAGGGGTGCAGCCGGGCATTTCCGTCGCTGACGTCTCTAAGCTGTACCGCAAAAAGTCGCTACTGATCCATCCGGACAAGACGCGTCATCCACGTGCCGTGGAAGCGTTTGATCTGCTTAATAAAGCCTCGAACGCGCTCCAGGACGACAAGGAGCGCAAACGCCTAGACCAGATGTGGACCGATGCGCGCAAGGTACTCATCAAGGAGAACGGCTGGAGTATTGACGATGAGCGGCTGACGACGGCCGAGTTTTTGGAGTCATGGAGGGCGAAGGTGCGCGAATTGCTGATCGAGGAGGAATTCATACGGCGAGTGGAGCTGAAAAAGCAGCAGAACGAGGAATTGAAGAAGCGGAAGGAAAGAGACGCCGAGTTGGAGCAGCGCCAGGAAGAGAAGCGGCTTCGCGACGCGTGGGAGAGCAAACGTGACGAAAGAGTGACGAGCTGGCGCAAATTCTCTGATAAGAACGAGAAGAAGAAGAGGAAGAAGAGCGTGTTGGTGTAAGGAGGGGCTGGGAAAAAAAAAAAATTCAAATATCAATTTTCCAAGATCAATAGTTCATCCATGCCACATCTCTTCCAGTATCTGACCGTCGCGACCATCTCGCTCGTGACAGGATGCTGCATAGGAGCACTGATTGCTCCTGTTTATGGGCCGTCGCCTGTGTCGTCGCCTTTCCAAAGCTTACTTAGCACCGCTGGCAGTTCAGAGACCCCGTCTTCAGCAGAGGGCCTGAGCGACGACGAGGACCAGGACGGTGTAGCCATTGACTCGCGGCCGCTGAACGAGATCCCGGGGGAATGTCGCATGGCCCTGGTGATTCGGGCTGATTTGGGCATGCAAAAGGGCAAGATTGCTGCCCAGTGCGCGCATGCTGCCGTTGCCTGCTACCGGCTCATGTCCGAGCCGGGCTCGGAGGCCCAGAACCTGCCGCTTCTGCAGCGCTGGAACAACCGCGGGCAGGCTAAAATCACGCTCAAATGCTCCGGCATGGACGAGATGGACACTCTTTTCGCCAAGGCCATGAGTCTGAACGTGAATGCGTACATTGTTCACGACGCTGGCCGAACGCAAGTCGAGCCCGGCTCGGCAACTGTGCTGGGGCTGGGACCGGCGCCGAAGCCCGTGCTAGACCTCATCACAGGGGACCTAAAATTATATTAGATGCATTAATGACTAGTTTATTTCATGACAATTCTATCGCTGTAAGGGTCCAGCTCCAGGATCTGCGAACACAGGATTCTGTCACCCACCATGAGTCTCTGGTCTGCGTCGACCTGGATTTTCACATTCACGTTCAGATCGTGACAGAAACCCTGAACAATGCTGGAGACCTGTGGTTCTGTGATGATGCACCTGAACATGCTAAATTCGTCCTCCAGTCGGCTCTCCAGCTCGCTGAGGACGCGGTACCGATGTAGTCGTCTGCGCATTTGCAACAGTGACTCGGAGTTTCCAAGAAAACGAAACAGAAGCTTTTCCATGTTCCATAGTCTCCGTCCCTGAAGATGATTCATCAACTGGGCGTTGTTGACGTATGACTCCAAATACGCCGGCGAAAAAAAACATGCATGCGCCTTGGCACCCAGAGGAGCATATGCGGAGTTTCGTGGGCTCAGAACCTGCACCCGGAACCCATCCAGGTACCGCAGAGCACATACCACGTCCGTCGCGGAAACGACTCCCCTGTTGTAGGCCCTGCCGATGTCGGCAAACGACTGATAGGAATTTGCGTTCTGGCTGAAAAGATTGAAGAAGCCGGAGTATGAGCGGCTATCTTCGGATTCGACGGTCAGCTTGGGACTCACACGGCCGATGACTGGAATTTTTTTTTCCAGACAGTACTGGGAAAGCAGCTCTTCGCAAAAAAATATGCAATTTCTCACGTACCATTCGCTAGTCTCTTGAGCCTGGTTTTCGCTCTTGAGATAGCCTTTCTCCATGCGCAGTTTTTCCTTGTGCTTGAGCAAAAAATAAAGCCGCTGAGTTGCGTCCTTCATCTCGATGTCCATTTTGCTGAACAGGCTGAAAGCAGCAGAGGGATAGTTCGGCACCATGTCCGTGTAACCGTCGATGTACTCGTAGCCAATTTCGATTTCGGGCTTTTCCACTGTTTCGATCTTGTACATGTCATATTTGAAAGAAACTCGCAGGGCTTTTTGGTTGCGGACGGATTTTTTGAACTTGGAGTAGAATGGAGCATAGTTGATGTTTTGCGAAAACATTATTGGAAACTCGCACATTTGGTCATTAATGTCCTGCGTCGCCACAGGGAGGTAGAAACTGAACGTGGTGCTACTGATGGAGTCGTCTTCTGAGGAAAAAAGAAGTCCATCGGCCAGTCTATACTTGATTTGGCTGTTCGTTCTCTCTGGATTTTTCACCCTACGATCGGACTTGATTTTCGCGGGCAGTTTCAGCTGGTCTTCCGAAAAAACGCCTGCATTGTTGGGAAGACCATAGATACCTGAGGAGAGCACTGGATTCCATTTTGGCGGACACAGCTCGGACACGATAAGCATTTCATAGAGCTCTCGGGGTTTCATGGTACGGCCCAGAACCTTTTCCAAATGTCGCAGAAGAAGCGGATGTGGATACTCAATTGCATACTTAATGGCGCTCACAAGATCTCCCAACACCTCAGCTTCCTCGCGCAGGGTCTGAAATAGCTCAAAGGCGTATTTGCCGGTGAAAAGGTGTCCATAATTTGCATTCAACTTTTCTGCAGGCAGAGATAATATTTTGCGCAGCGATTGTGCCAGGTGGTGCGGGTTCGCAAAGTACGACATCGTTGCGACCGAAAGAGGCTCCAAATAGTCCTCAGGGGCTGTGTTGGGTGGAACAAACCGGAACCTCACTGGGTCGTTGACCATCAGAATGTGGCTGGCAAGGAATAGAGCAGGAATGTCGAGGATATTAGTTTGCACCAGCTGTGGGATTTCGCGGACCGCGATCGCCGCAAGATGGTGCAGAGTGAGTCCTTTCTGGTGGTATAAATTTGTTGTCTGTAGGTAAATCGTGTCCAATAGCGAATGATCTCTAAGTTTCCCGCAAATCGATATCGCATAGCGCGCCGTGGACAACAGAATGTATTGCAAGACATCATGGTTGGTCTTTATGGCTCTTGGATGTATAAAGCGGTGTATTCGAAACGTCACATCCTCAGGATGAACATGAACGAGTGTTCCCTGAGCCGAAAGGACCTCCAGAGGGTTTGGGGTAAGAAATCTTGGCTTTGGTGAAGAAAGCACTATTCCAAGACCATAGCTGTCGACGGTGCACAGGGACTTGTCTTTGTTGAGAGGGTCGTGCGGACTTCGGCGGATTCTGTACTCCACCAATGAGCCGGTGTCTATTCTTTGGGTGCTAATATTGAATTTAATGGGTTTCAGATGGGGCTGGTACCGATGGCCGTGGAGGAGATCAGAGAGATCGGTGTAGGAGAATTTCGCCTCCAATTTCCTATGTAGGTCCACCAGCTCGTTGTAAGAGGTGACAGAGTCGATCGGCCGAGATGAATAGCATCTCACATGGGCACGGCGCACCAGTACGATAGCCACTTTAGCTCGACCCCACATCTAAAGATAGTAAAAAACGACGCGACGACGAAAAGGTTTAGGGAGTGCTTGATAAAAATTTTCCTCTAAACGAAAAGAGGAAACAGACTGACAACAAAAGTGAATGGCAAGATAAAAGTATTTTAGCAATACACTATTTAGCCTTGAAATTTCACCAGTGACTTCAGTAAACGCGACGCTTTACATATGGGTCAAATATTATCACAACCAGTGACGGAAAAGACGTCCGAAGAGGGCGGCGATAGCTTTGTTGCGTACGGGTTATCTTGTATGCAAGGATGGCGGATTTCAATGGAGGACTCGCATTCCACCATTTTGAACATGAACGACAGCAATACTGACGAGGAACAAGTCGCCTTCTTTGGTGTTTACGATGGACACGGAGGAGAGAAGGTGGCGCTCTTTACGGGCGAAAAGCTACCCGGCATCTTGAAAGCCACGAAAAGCTATCAATCCAGAGAGTATTCACAGAGTCTCAAAGACGGCTTTCTGGCATGTGATGTGGCCATTTTAAACGACGAGGAACTGTCCAAAGATCCCTCAGGATGTGCTGCAACTTGCGTGATTATTTCCAAAGATGAAATTTATTGCGGCAATGCTGGAGACTCGAGAACGATCATGAGCGTCAACGGCCAGTGCAAACCGTTGTCATTTGACCACAAGCCAACTAATGAAGGAGAGAAGGCTCGAATTGTTGCTGCCGGAGGATACGTCGATCTGGGGCGTGTCAACGGGAACTTGGCGTTGTCCAGAGGAATTGGAGATTTCGAATTCAAGCAGTCGCCGCATCTGCCTGCTGAGGAACAGGTGGTGACCGCATATCCTGACGTTATGGTTCATGAAGCTACAAAAGATGACGAGTTCATTGTTCTTGCCTGTGACGGAATATGGGATTGTCTGACATCGCAACAGGTGGTCGATTTTGTAAGACGTGGCATCAAACTCAAGCAATCGCTGACGGAAATTTGTGAGTCGATGATGGACACATGTCTGGCTCCCAGTTCTGGTGGTTCGGGAATCGGCTGCGACAACATGAGTGTGTGCATTGTTGCTCTTCTGCACGGCCAGACTTTGGAGGAGTGGTACGCCAAGATAGGAGACCGCGTAGACGACGTTGACAAGCTCATGTCTCCTGACGACCTTTCCATGGATCTCTACAAGGTGAACATCGAATCGAAATTCCAGCACGCACGCGACGACGAACAACCGCGTGGAGGCAGTCTTGGTATGAGAAGCAGAGACGAAGGCGACGAAGACGGTGGACTCGAGAGCGAGTTTAGCGGGTCTCCAATGCTTATCCAGCAACTTCTTGCCGCCTCTAACATATCGACCAACAACAACATCATCTACCTTGACTCTTCCACCTCGTCCATTCTCCAGTCTCTGGGTGTCATGGGCGGTGAGGCCGAGGCAGAGAATGACGAGGATAAGGATAAAATGGTAGAGATCGAGGAAGAAGAGAAATGATTCTATGGCATAGATTTGCTGGTAATAAAATGCCTCAGGTAGATGTATTTAATAATGAAGTTCTCTATGATAAGTCGAGCCACCGAAGAGAGTTTTGGTAGCAGGAGTCTATAATTGTTTGTGGCTCTGTCTTTTTCAGTTTAGACATGATCTCGGCGATCTGGCCTACAAGACACGGCTCGTTTCTCGATTTGACCATTGGATCTACCAGTTTCTTGCTCTCTTCTGATTGGAGGAAGGAGGCCAGTTTGTCGGACTTGACCAATGGAATTGGCAGAAACTCGTTGAGAACCAATTTAGGGCCCTTTTTCGCGGTCGTTTTTGGCAAGAGTTCTTGAGGAATGTCATATTCGAATGGATAAAACTCGTTTGGACATTTGGTCAGGTTGTTGTATGATGAGTGTGTGCGCCGAATCTCACACCACGGGGCGTCCGTCTCGATCAGCAATCTGTCCAAAGGAATTTTGGCTGCCACCGCACAGTTTTCCTCCGTTTTCAGCGAGCAGCCGTTGACACTGACAAAAAATGACGGCTGTTGCAAAATCCTCTCCAGGTCCTGTTCTGTTCCGGTGAATGAGTGAACAAGCACGTTTTTATTCTTCAGAACCAGCCCGTCTGCTCTGCTTCCGTCTATAAATGGAAGAAGAATACTCAAGAAATCGTCGAGTGCATTCCTCATGTGTAGAAAAAGAGGAAGGTCGAATTCGGTGGCCAGTTTCAGCTGCATCTCAAAGTACAGTCTCTGTTTCTCCATTGGTGTATGGTGCAGTCTGTCGTAGTCTAGACCAATTTCTCCAAATGCCCGGATAGTGCCATCCTGCAGATTTTCTTTGATCAGACGTCGGATTTTGTCGAGGTGACTTTCAGGGTCTGGCTCAAATTCAAGAACAGTGCAAGGATGCACGCCCACGGTGGTGTAGAGCTGAGGGTACTGTGTGACGTCTCCAATAGCGTTGATACGACGAGCCTCGTCGATCGACCATCGCGATTCCTGGTAGGACGAGCCAGTGAGAAGAATACGGTCGACGTTCAACAGCCGTGCTCTTCTTAATACAGAGTTTGAGTCCGATTCGTGATGCTGGTTGTCTCTGTACTTACCCTTGAACATGTCGTCGCACAGATTGACAGCCACGTCAAAATAGCGGGGAATGTAACCGGGTCTTATCTGTTTTGATTTGAGCATCAAATACAATGTTGATCTGAAATTATTTCTGTATTTAATTAATAGTTATCGGTAAATAATTATGGAATGAAACATGTATCATTCACATAAACTACTAATTTTCATGATTCTGCTCTTGCGCGAGCCGATTATGCTGACGTTGACGTGAGCTTGCAAGACACTTGGTTCGGTGCTGTCCAAACGCCGTATCCGACTCAACGGTTTGGCAACTATGCTGGTTTCGTGACACTCCAACGTTCTCACGCGAGTGCTTTTGAGACGCCGCCATCTAAACTGGCACGCGTTCGACGTGCGCCCTTTAAAGTACGTAGAGATTCGTTTCCACCCCAAATTCCTGTTATCTTTTAGAAAGAGTAGCAGCTGATCATCCTGGACAGACCACAGACTTGAGCGACGCATTGGGTTTCAACCAGCGGCGGATGTTGCTGCTTATATACAGCTCGACCGAAGCGGTAATAAGGCCCTCAGGAAATGCACAATTTTGGCCGGGGAATGGAGAAGATGGAAACTCTTTCAAAACTCCGGTCAAGGTCGACTGACGCGTCGATCACATGGATTCCAGCATTTTCTGAACTGTATCTTGGAAGTTGTCAGGCACCAGCACAACGGCAGAACGTCCCAAACTGACGTAGCTCATCTCGTCCAGCCCGAGCTTCAACAGTTTCGACGCAACACCAGCAACAATGCCCTTCAAGTCCAAAGGAAGCGTTTTCAGGTTGATGAACAACGGGAAATAGAAGTCCTGCAACGATCCCAAAATTGTGGCTCTTGAATAATTTACTTTGGCCATCTCGTCATCTGCGAGAGGCAGTAGCAACCCAATGTCCTCGGTGGGCGTTCTGGTAAGTGCAAAATATGCCAAGAACGAGTGCTTTGTGCCGCTCTGTTCGGTGTTGTACCTTGACAGAGCCTCCACAGTCTGTCGTAGAACTAGCGAAGAGTCTCCAGGACGAGCTCCTGTTAGCAGAATCTTCACATCTGTGTTCAGCACGGGCTTCACCGAGCTCGATCTGAATAATTGGAACGTCTCCTGTTCTAATTTGCTGGTATCTGTATACTGCGACTTTTCCAATATTTCAACAGCTGCAGTCCTATGGTCAGCTGGTATCAGCACGAGGTCACTGAAGTAATTGGAAATGAAGAAAATAGGAATTCCTTGCTCCGAAAGAGGGGCAGTCAATTCCAGGATTTTTTTGCCAATGATGGTGCCTTCAGTCAAAACCTGCAGAACCAAAAACTCCTCGTCAATTAGTGTTGCGCCCAATTGGGCTTGTTTATTGAGAGACAACGGCTTGGAAAGGTATTTCCGGATCAGACTCGTGCTACACATGAAGGTCACCTCCTCAGGAGTAAAAGCCAGGTGGAAGAACAGGCCGTCGTCCTCGGAGTTCAGCGAGTCCTGCTCGCCGGTATCATTCCTCTGGACGATCAAAGAGTGCACGGAATTTACCAGATGTTTTTCGTCTCCACTCTCTTCGTCAGTATCACTCTGACCCTCCAGACTGTCAATTAATTTGTACAAAATCTCCAGCACACCGCTCTTGAACAACCAGAATCTGTCCCTGGGGATTGTGAGAATCGAAACAGGTGTGCGGAACAGCTGCGTGTCGTGAGATTCAAGCATGGTAAATGGGCTGGAAAATTGTTAAATTTTTTTTTTCCTGCTCAGATAGATGAGTCACTTGCATTATCAATAAATTCGTCATCGGATGAGCTTTGCGCGACATCAATTCCAAAAGGGTCTAAGTCGACTGGCTCAGACTTGGGAGTTTGGTCGGGACTCACGGTCTCAGACTTACTAAAGGTTCTCCCCGGGTAGCAGACCACAGACCTCTCGAAATTAAACTCTGGTTTTGCAGGCTTTATCTTATCCAACGTCTGTATCTCCAGGTCGCGATTGTCTTCGAGGTCGTCGCGCAGGAAATTGATGATTAGCGAGATGTTTGACATAGACGTTTTTTCGTCGTTTTCGCGGTCAGTAGTAAGGACCATAGTGGACGTAGTGTTGATTCCTCCGGAAGGCCCTAAAATCACGGGTTTCCAAAGTAAGCGCTCCTGTTTGACCTGGACGTAATTCTTTTCATTCCACTCGGCGAGAACCCTGTTGACGAGTTCCATGTCTATCCAAATACCGTATTTTTTTGTTTCCGGATCTCTAACAAGGGCCTTGAGTTGCTCGAGCCCAACTATGACGTCGTTGTGAATCATACCTGTGAGGTTGCAAATATCGTCCACCGAGATTTGGTGTGCCTTGTCCGCTTCCACAAGCATCTTGAGAGCTTTCGCAACAGATATCTTCCAGTAGTTCCGGTAGCTAAACAGTCCCAGATCGCTAAGTGGTTTTTCCGGGGTGCCAAGCCTGAACTCTCTGCGAGATAGAAGATAACTAAAATCTATTAGAAAATTTCCGTAACCTTTTCTCTGATAGATGGGCAGGGTTAGAATGCAGCTCAGATTGTAGTTGGTTCCGTTCAGCTTTTCTTTAGAGAAATAGCCGACAAAGTGATACCCATCTTCGTCAATTTCGCACAAAAGGTAGAACATAAACGGCTCAACGTCGTAATAGAGCGTCTTCGAGTTAAGGAAGAGTTTGGCAAACAAACACAAATTCTGGCAATACACCACGTTCTTGCGGCCGTCGATTTCGAACATAGCTAAGCGGGATTCCCGGTAGATTTCTGTTCCCGGCGGCCGATGCGAGTAGGGACATTTTTTTTCGTGTCGTCGCAGCGTAAAGGAGGACGAAAAGTACTTGAGGCAGTATTCGCACAGATGCAACACGTAGTTGGACGAGTACTGTTGCGGATACGGCGACTTGAACCACGTGTCTATTTCGTAGTTTCGGAAGTGCACACAGCGCAATTTGGAGACTGTTGAAGTTTGCAGCTCGTAATCCTGCTGAGCTAGCTTTTCCTCGCTGGTGAGTTTTCTAACCAAAGATAAGTCTCCGTGCAGATGTCTGGAGCCTTCGCTTTCAGTTTTCATCTTGGCAAACAGAGCTCTGAATTCCATGGTGGGCCGTGTGTAGTAGGTGTTTGCGTCCTTAAAAGAGAAAAGTCCTCGAAAAGGCAGCTCGAGCTCTTCTTCTCCTACTTCGTAAACACCCTTTTGTGAATTTTTCATCTGGATGACTTCGCCGTCTCCGTTGTATTTGATTTTCAGCACCAGTTTTTCGCCAGACTTTCCGGAGTCGGCCACCATACCATTGTCGTCAGCATATGGGTCAGAATAGTCGACAGATCGAGATCGCGCTCTCAAACTCCGAATTTCACGACTGTTGTTATCACTCGCCGAAGACTGCGCACGTCGCACGGCAGCCTCATGTAGCCCATCATAGATCTTGTTATCGGGGATTTCTAGGCTTTTGAACAGCCTACGTCGCTTGCGACCAGGGGATTTCCTGACACCACTCATGAGTATATTTAATATGTATTTATTTTATTTACGGTGCAGAGAAGTATCTTTATTAATGCAGGCTGAAATACAGTATATAAAGAAAAATAAATATATTATCTTTCAGAAGCAGTTGATCTGTTGGACCGAACCTTCGCGACGTTGTCCAGCAGCTTTTCGTAAATCTCTTCAGCTTCATGGTCCTGGACAAAATAGGCGTCCATCGAGTTCACGGAGACCGGGCTTTGTGGTTCTTCTTGCTCAGAAATAGAAGTTTCGGAGCGAGGCTTGACAGTAGCAACAGGGGTGGCATTTGCTGTCGTCTGAGGCGAAACCGCAATTGAGGGTACAGCAGAGCTAGTTTGGGCATCATTGTGGTTTCCCTGTTGCTCCGTGTCCGATGAAGGCTCGTAAATCAAGGAAAGCTTGGACGAATCGACGTTAATCTTATTAATCAGGTCTGAAACGCTTTCGATTCCCTTGGCCTTCATTACGGCCTGCCGTAGTTCTGTGCCCGAAGGAATATTGCTGACCTTCAGTTGAGGCTTATCTTGTGTTTTTTCAATGGGGATTGGAAGAGGGGCATCAGAGTCATGTTTCTGGACGAAAAAGCCCCATTTATGGAATTCTCCTTCCTCTTCTTCCAGCTCCTTGGCATGGATGGACGTCTGAGACCCGCTTCTCATAAGAACTGGTTTACCTGTCAGATGATCAATCGGCTGGGAGTTCGCATCGACCACGACAGAATGCGGAGCAGCGTCCTCAGAAATTGGTCCGTTCACAGGCTCAAATGCAACCTGATTCGGCGAAACGATTGGACCAGCCACAATAACGTCCGAGGACGAGCAGTGCATAGGCAACTTCTGGCTGGCGCGGTGGCTCGACAATTTCTTGATAAGCTCGGGTCTTGTTAGCACGCCAGGAGCGTCTGGCAGAGTAGCTTTTTTGTCTGTATCTTCGCTTTTGTGCTCTTGCTCAGAGAATATATGGATGATACTCTCCAGCGAGTCATCGAGCAGGCAGAAACGCAATAGCGTTTCTTTTCCTTCAAGCGACAATTTGCCGTTGGCTCTTGCTTCAAACAGACGATTCATGGTCTTGTGGATCTCACTCCGAAGTCTCACCGTCTTTTCAACCAGAGCGTTGCTGATGATCTGGTTTTCGTCAGCATTCTTTGCCTGATTCGATTCCAGTAGTGCTTCTGCGGTCTTTGTCAGGAGAGAGCCATCAAAAATGAGATCCTCTTCCTCCTCTCTGCTATGGGTCAGGTCTTTATTCAAAAACTTCTCCATGTTTCTCATGAGATAAAATGCAATCTTTGAAGACACTTCGTCGCCAAGACCATCGTAGTCAATGTCAAGATTGTAAATGTTGGAGTTTTTCACAGAAATGTAAAGCGACGCAGCAGTTCTCTGGTTAATGTTTTCGTTGCCAAGCAAAGAGACATGAAGTAGTTTTGGACACTTTTGAAATGTCAGACAAAGCTGAATGATGGCAGCCTCACTCAAATTGCAGAACTCAAAGTGAATTCGGCGGAGATCTGGGAATTTTGGTAGATACTCAGTAAGAGTTGGCAAAATGCCTGGAAACAGTTGTGGGTTATTTCCAAGATCCAAAAACCGCAAAGTCTTGCAGGTGCTCAAGAGCTCAATTAGTTTTGCACAATCATCAACAGTGACGTTGGTCTGGTTCAACGAGAAAAAGAACAGCTTCACGTTGTCCATCTTGGTTGCAAACACTTTTTCAAATGGAGCTAAGACTTGCGAGGTTAAATCATTGACCGCAATGTCAATACCGATACAGGTGTTATCAGGACTCGAAATCCACTCTGCCAAAATGCCCACCTTGTCAACATCCAAATTGGTGGAAGCAAGTCCCAACCGTCTGGTTTTCAGACGTAAGCCGTTGTTGACCAGATTCTTGAACTGTGCTGTTGACAGCTTGCAACCATTAATCACCAGTTCCTCTATTCCGCCTTTGATGATCAAACTCTGTGTAAACAGGTCCCAGTCCATTTCTGATCGGTAAAACTGTATTGGAGTCTCTGGTTTAATTCGTTGTTGGCTCAGATCCAGTTTCGAGATGGACTTGTTCACAGTAAGGAATTTGCAAATCCAGGTCCATCCCTGCTTATCGAAAGCCACGTTTCTAAACGATAGCTTCTCTAGGGTTGTTGACTTAGACAAACTAACGAGGATGATCTTCACCATTTGGTTGTCTAAAGTCACGTTGTCAAAAATAACCGTCATGATGGGTGCGATGGCTAGGAAATCTGAGAACGACAAGACGTCAATGAGCGTCGGTTTTGGATTGAGCATCTTCAAGACGTGTAACGGCCTTGTTTTCTGTTTCAGCTGCTTCAAAGTAGCTGGGATCGGCAGAATCTCACGCAAGTGGCAGCAACGAGTGTACAGGAGGTCCAATGGAAGCTCGTCGTTGGTTTTATTTTTTTGAGCCTCCGAAAGCTCCTCTGGATGCTCATCTGTGTGATCTTCAGCCTCTTCGCCAAAATAGTTGACGTGTTGATGCAGTGGAGTATCAATGTCGAGACCTTTCCTCAACTCGTCGTATTTTCTAGCCTCCCAGTCGTCTTCATCATCTTCGTCGTCTCTATCTTTGGCTAGCTTATAATGCTTTTTGTACGAGTTAACCTCTTTTGCAATTCTTAGAGCAGCTTGGTGTGCTTCTTGCGCATGCTTCCTGCTCTCAACGAGAGCAGCCTGATGTCTTTCCATAGCCTGTCTCAGTAGGTTTTCATCCACCTTGCGCGGCTCGTCCTTGGTCTGGTTGTTAAGGTTATCTGTGATGCCTATGGAGAGCTTTGGCGGCGGGAGACTGAGGTCCTCTGGAATCAAAACATTGCCACGTCTTGGTCTTCTTGAAGGAATTTGCTGCTGCGGATCATCCGGCAGGTCCTGTAGCGAGAACGTCACACGCTTAAAATGAATATTTTCGAGATGCTGTTTCGCGGCGTCCACGGATTCGATCGGCCGCTGCGGCTCCACCACTGAGGGCCGTCTGGACGAAGAATCGCTCGCTTTTCTGCTCGCAACACGTTTAAAATCTTCTTCGCCAGCGTCTTTTCCGGGGTCTTGCACGGCACCGGACGCGGTGTCGCTCGACTGCGACTTGAATTTGGACGAGAGAGAGGAAAATAATGACTGTTTCTTGGGCCCTGTAGATAACGGAGACTTGTCCTTCGAGTCCGACATGGAGCGCACGCGCGGCACAAAACTCGATAGCGAACCGGACCGCGAGCGATTCGAGCCCGAACGGCCATGCGAACCAGGCCCGGATGAAACATGGCTCTCGGAGGGCTTAGCCGTGGAGTCCGAGAAAGAACTGGACCCGGACGGAGCCGTCTTCAGCGACGGTTTCAGCTGTGGTACCGGCTGCGGCGACACCGAAAGAGAGCCATCGCTGTTTTCTGTCGACAAAGGCTGGTGGTTGTGCTGGGCTGCCTGCAACTGGGCCTGTTGTATTTGGTTCTGGACATCTTTGGAGATGTTGTTGCTTTTCCTGGAGAGTTTCTTTGCCGCCTTGCCGCGAAACAGCCAGTCGACATCGCCATTGGACACACCGGGGCTCTCGAACTGATCCTGACCAACCAGATCGCGGACGGATCCTTCCTTGTTTTCTTGTGTCATGGGGAAAAACAGGAACTTTGCGTCCACGCGGACCTAGCCGATGGAAGCTTAGTTGTGTAGAAAAAGGATGAGCAAAGGAGCGATTCGGAAAGGACAAAAACCTATTCTTCAAAGATTGGCAGTTGCCACTGTTGTCGTCAAATTTAATGTGCTAAACTTATTGGAATGATGTAATTTGCAGATAAGCAGGAACATAAATCGTTCCCGTGCTCGGGTGGCAGGTGTGAATAAATTTTACAAGAGTATCCAGGAAGATATATTTATTACACAACTTACTGTTGGGCAGCCTTGAAAGCAGCAATCTTGGCAGCAACTCTCTCTTTTCTCTCCTCCTTGGTGAGCTTCTTCTGCTTGTACTTCTTAGACTCAGCAGCATACTGCTCCTTGGTGAACTTCTTCTCAGTTGGCTTGAACGATGGGTCCTCTCTGATCTTCTCGTGGGCCTCGGCGTACAGATCTTCAATGGCATCGGCATCAATGTCGTCTGCAATGTAGCCCTGGAACAGAGTTCTGTACTTCTCTTCATCGTCGTCCATCAGCTCCTCCATGTACTCAGCAACGTGACCACCGAAAATGTACTTTCTCAGGACCTCAGCGTCAAGCTCCTCAGACTCGATATCCCAACCTGGGAATCTGGATGGAGAGTGTGGAATGTACAGTCCACCATCAGAAGCACCCTTCAGAGCACCGAAAACTCTGGCACCGGTGGTGGTTCTTTGCAAACCAACATCCAGGAAGACCTTGAATGGTCTTGGACCGTCCTCAACGGCCTCAGTGAGCTCATACTCACCCTCAACTTCCTCGACACCCTGGTAGGTCTCGTCCAGGCCAAGCTTTTGCAGGGCTCTTCTGGCAACGAGCAAACCGGTAGCGTAGGCAGCAGCCCAGTTGGTCAGACCGTGGGTGATACCGTATCTTGGGAGCTCGTGGGAGTAAGCAGCGGTGAAGACAACGTCACCGGTCAAGGTGGAGGAGACGATCTGGCAGATGATGTCCTTGTTGGTGAATCTGACGACCAATCTGTACTTTGGAGAGTTGTATTTGGCCTTGTGTTGGGTGACGAGTCTCTTTCTGGCATAGTAGTCGGTCTTTCCCTCAGCTCTTCTTCTGAAAGGAGTCTGGTAACGGGAGTGGTAAGCAGAGGTCTTGAGTGCCTTAGTGAAAGCCATGGTTGATTAGTTGATAATAAATTTTTCAGACCGAAAAAAACTTGGAAAAAACATTTCAGTTGTGAGTGGCCGGGTAATTCTTGCTGGCCATTTTCCGAAGACTGCCACCCCTGCACCACACAAGTTTCCGATTTAATAATTGGCATCTCAACCACTGGGCAATAACATCAAGGCAATTTGTCATTACTGCCCCCCTTGAGATTCTCGCAACAGCCGCTGTCCCATTGTTGCTTTCTATTTATTGCCATCTCATTTACACGCTGGTTTTCCGTTCCATCGCCATAGCCACTTTTGCTCTCCCGGAGCTTTTATACATCACACATATAACTAGCTCGTGATGAGCGGGATTTGGCCCTTTTTCAACTCCTCGTTCTCCAATGCCACTATAAACAAGATTCTGGCCGAAATAGACTTGGATCAGCAGCAACTTACTTCCAAACCACCAGATCTTCAATCTGTGGACCCACCAGCTGCTGCTCCATCCAACCTGACTGCATCACGATTGTTGCAAACCATCCAGGAAAATGACCATCTGCAGCAGTCCATGCTTGAGTCTAGCAACCAGTCAATTGAACGCCCCCACTTCAACGTGTCTCTGTTTAACAAACTCATAGATCAGCCTAATCTCCTAGATGAAATTAACCTTGCCAAAAACCAGAAACTGATTAGCTACGTGACACAGCCGGAAGTGCTGGAGACGTTAATCGAATACATCCTCGTGTCAATTAGTCTTTCACGGGACAGGTCGGCGTGTGATTCCGGCCACAGCATATTCGAAGGCGAGAACAACGTCGATGTCGAGAGCGAAGAGCAACCCAAGGAACTGGACAAGTACGAGCGGGCGTTGCAGCGTTCTGTGACAGCGAGCGAGATCACCTTGCTTCTGAGCAGCAACATAGCGTCAATCCTGTTTGGCGACTCCAGTTTGCTAGAGAAACTGTGGTCCGGTTTTTTTGACCGCGACGTGGAGGAGTTTTTCCATCCCTGCAAAGCAGTCCACAGCGATGACGACAGCGAGACGGAGCAGGGGCCGACCGGCGAGGGCGCTAGCCTGGAGGACCAGCCATTCAAGCAAACCCATAACGTGACGCTGTTCAACAATTTTCTCAAACTCATAGACAGTCTTGCTACTGCCAATATGAACGAACTGATGAATTTTATTCGGTTCCAGCAAAAATCGGCCTTGATTACAGACCAGTTTCTGAAGTTTGTACCGGAATCGCCGACGATATGCGACCTACTAGTTAGGTTGATATCCACCGACAAACCGTACAATCCCAACGGGCTGATTGACATATTGATGGACCAGAATTTAATTCTCAATCTGCTGAAACTCGTGAAAATATACTATTTGGAGCACCACGTCCAGGATAACCTCTGCAATCTGCTCAATGGAATTGTTGGTATTAGCTCAAACGTTGGGTTCTGGGAGGACTCTACCCAACAGCAGCTGAACGAGTTTGGGGAGCCCCTGGACCCAGAGCAAGCGTCTGCTGCGCGAGCCAACAATCCAAATATTGGTCCAAATGACCTTACTAGACAGCTGGTGTCGCGCAAGTGCGTTTTGGAAATGCTCGATGTCTTGATCAATTATGGGCATTATGGGCTGGTGACGGTTGTATCCGTGGTGATTGAGGTGATCCGCAAGAATAACTCTGATTACGACGAGTTCGACTGGATGCAGTCTGTGGAGGCTGTTGTATTTGACGAGGAAGAGGAGGACGACGGTACAAAGAGAATGACCAGGAACCTGCCAAACTCGAGAGATCCTATTTATTTGGGAGTAATGTTGAAGCTGTTTTCGATCCATCTGGACGAGATCAAGGACAACTATCTCACCGAAAAATACTACAAACTGAATACAGTGCATGGGTTGCAGAGCTCTCTAGGCGAGATAATAGAGCCCCTAGGGTACGAGCGATTTAAAGTCATGGAGCTTATTGCAGAGCTCTTGCATTGTTCCAACATGATCCTTATGAACAAGTCGTCAAAACTGGACTACTTGATGTACAAGCGTGACCTATGGAGAGACGTGAAGAAGACGGAGTCGCTGGTGATGGATGCGCTAAACGACGCGATCAACCACGACATCACCAAGCCGATGGAAAAAATGTCGCTCGAGGATTCCTCGGCGACGGTGTCGGGCCCTTCAGGCGAAGAGTTTGTCAAGCTGCCGTTGGACATGTCGATTGGCAACTTTTTCAAGCTGCGGCTTCTTCAAACGAGCTGCATTCCACTGATTATTCTTAAGCTCCATAAATTCCCATGGAACAATTTCATGCACAACGTGGTGTTCGATCTGGTGCAGCAGATTTTCAACGGACGACTCGCCAACTGGGATGAGGACCGGGCATCCAATCAGGAGGAAACTAGATACGACGATAACCTGAGCCTCAATAAAGTGCTGATCTGGTCGCTGTTTGGCGACTACGAGGCCTTCGACCTCAACGAGTACGAGTGCGACGAGGAGTATCCCGGCTTCTTCAATCTTCCCAACTATATTCTCTACTGTTTCAGCTACTCTGAGGAGTACGAGAGGCAGCACAACTTCAAGCTTGGCTACATGGGCCATCTGACTCTGATAGCCGAGGAAATACACAAGTTCCAGAATTATGTCGAGAACTTTGGTATGACGAGAGAGGACCAGACATTCGACGTGCTAAAGGACGACAACGACGTCACCAACCCGTACTATTTGAAGTCGTCGTTTTATATCTTCAACTCGCTGTTTGACAAGCTCTTCGAGAGCACACAGTTCAATGGCTGGATAGAGTTCATCAATACCCAGCTCAAGGAGATCAACGCGATGTACAACAAGGTGCTGGGGAACCCTGCTGAGCTCAGCGACAGCGTCATCGGCGAGGACGAGGAGGATGTCTCTTCCACGCCGATGACGAGCGACCGGAGCGTGATATTGCTCGACAACGGCGACAGCGAAGAGTTCCGCAACGAACTCGAGGTCATTGAGGGTGAGGAACAGGATGTCGACGGCGGCGACTTACGACCAATGACAGACGAAGAAGGTGATAGGGGCAGAAGAAAGTAATATGTACATTATGATGATGACGAGATGAACGGCACGTAGGCCAAATTATTTATTTTTTTCACCATTTTCGCCCGTAGGTCTCACTTTCTTGACTTTTCCATTAGGAAGACGCCTGATTGTTCCCTTGTCCGCTTTGTCGTGCGTTCTGGGCTTCTTTTCAAGCTTAGAGATCGCCCAGAACACAAACCTGACAACCAGCATGTCTCGCCACGTGACCTCTTCCACGTCGTCCGGGGTGACTGGCAGCAGAACCTCGTCTTTATCCTTCTTTGCGCGTCTTTGTTTCCTATTTTTCGGTTCTGCTTCCCTTCTGAAGATCTGACGGCCGTCCTCGTCGACGATGTAGTCCTCACCCTCCTTCAGCTCTTTGTCGACGAGCCACACAGAACCGTCAAATTTGACCACAAAGAGCTTGTCCATATGGGCGACTCGTTGGTCGCTAAAGTTTGTTCCCGGCAGCATTGATGGCCCAAATGCTTTGGTCTTCAGATCGGCGATCAGATTCTGCACCCTTTTGCGTTTCTGCTGTGTGTTCAGCTTGAGCATGATGTAATGAACGGCCGAGAAAAGAAGGACTACCACGACCAATGCCAGCACGGGCCCGGGCCTGAATTTGCTAAGCGCAAAGCCGGTGCCAGTGTACGCTGGAAAGCCGTGTTTGAGGTAGTAATCGTAGCGCTCCTTGCGTTCTCCTCTGAGAATGGCTCCGATAAGAGAGAGACGTTGGAAACGCTGTTCGGCCGCCTTTTTCCTGCGCTCAAACGCCTTCTGAGACATCCCCTCCTTTCGGCGGACCTTGTCAGGATGCAGTTTGCGGCTCATCTTTTTGTAGGCCTTGTTGATCTCGTCGTAGGACGCTTTGGGCCCATTCGAAAGACCGAGATACTCGTAGAAGTTGGTTTCCTTCTTGGTATCCTGGACGAGCTCGTGTTGCAATTTGAAAATTTCAAGGTCCTCGGCCGACCACGCGGCAAACACGGTAGCGCTAAATATGGCGAGCCAGAACAAGAGTCTCATGGAAAATAATAAAAAATACAAGCAGTGTATTTATTTTCCATGGCATATAATAATACCCAGCGATACCTCTTGCTTTCGGACTGTTCGCGCGCGTTTTTGGCATTTTGCGTGCTGGCACGGTTTGCGATTCTGTTTCCGCTCATTGGAACGAGGTTTCTCCCCGGTGGCATCGCTGACTTTTTCCTGACCGTGTACCTGACAAGTGTGCTTGTGGACGGGTTCGAATACGTGACAATTTTCCGCAAAGTGCCCAAGAAGGGTGTTTCTCGCACCTCTGGCTGGCGCGTGCTAGGATCCATCGGTGCAAGGGCATTGGTGACCGCGCTCATTCTCAACTACCCTAAGTCTGCGAAGAATATCAGCTTCAGTGTCTTGATCTCGTCCTCAATGCTGGTGGACTGCTCGCGCCATCTGTACAATTTCTACAAGGTGCGGACGTTTGGAGGGTCTGTGTGGTGGCTGACCAACCTGCGACGCATTATGTTTGGTTTGCTGAGCCCTGTGCTCACTGCCAGCGAGGCTGCCATGATCTTCATCTGCCTGAGACTCATGGAGACCGAGTACGGCTACTACAGAGAGTACGTCGACTACGACGTGTGGGCCGACCGTGCCGCAGTGTTGGTCAAGGGCGTACTATTTGCATATGCGCCAGTGTTCTATATCACATACAAAAACAAGATGACAGCATTCTGGAGACTGAACACAGACGCAACCAAGAAAACCCAGTGATCACGTGTACACGCCAACGTACGAGGACAGAAACAGTATTCCGAACGCGCCAGAAACAGCCCCGAGAAGCGCGAAAACCACATACAATGCCGAGTTTCTCTTGCCTGAGCTGGGGAATGTGACGCAATACAGACCGCTAACGGCAGCAATGCTCAGCAGCGTGAAGGCCAGCACGGCATGGTACGCCACCGGCACCAATTCGTGGAAGTACGCGTAGGACGAGTATTTGGACTGCGTTAGTGCAATTGAGAGAAATGAGCTGTACTTACCACCAGGTTGTACGCCATTATAAATAAATAGCAAAAAGAATAATTTCCAAACGTTTAGCAATTTGTATTTTCTACACGTAAAATAAGAATACCTGTTGGGCTACTCATTATTGTCCGCAACGAGCTTCCCGCCCTCCTCGTAGTATTTCCAGAGCTTTGCCCGCTCGGCGACAATTCTGTCGAAGCGTCTGATCGACGGGTAGCCCTCCACGGTGGTCAGCACGAGCCACTCAATCTGGTAGTCCGGGGCCACTCTGTACTTGAAAAACCGGGGAACCAGGAAAACGGCCACCTCTATGGCGTGCACAGCCACTGTCGTGACGAGAATAAAATCGTTGTAAGGCTTGACGTACTGAATCCATTTGTTTGGAACAGGCAGAACACGGCTCAAAATCACATCGTAAATCAAGTTCGGAAACCCCTTAGCCACCATCATCACCGACACCAGAATCACCAGGATCCGCTCAAGTGCCGTCTGCGGATACCAAACCTGCTTCACCTGGAGATGGCTGACGTTTCTCTTAGAAGCTGCTTCGCGGGCCATCGAGAGAATATGTCGCTGAACCTGCTCGTAATTCTCCAAAGGCTTTTGGAACGGAATAGGTTTGAGCATCTCGACTTCCAGATCGTTGTGATTAAAGATAAGTGTGACATGATCGAGCTCGACCTCTTTGACTTTGATGTTTTTGATCTTCTTATCGATGGCGACATCGCCGTAGACGGCTAGGATGTCCTCCATGTTCGGCTTGAACTCCTTGTTGAGCAGCGCGACAAGGGACGGTGCGGTCAGAGACATGGAAAACGGGCAACTGTTTGTAAACGGCACTGGAAAATTAGCTATCTGGTGCCTATCGAAAACCGCTGCGTGACCACGGTCACGTGCTAAAGTTCTTTCATTTTCCGCTTGCCTGCTTGCCTTGCTTTTTGCGCAAAGCACAAGTTTTGGCAGTGCAAAGAGACTCCGCGAAAGTAAAAAAACCTTCTAAAGACCTCTATTTGCAAACTATCGCAACATCTCGACAATTGACTGCTTTTAAGACCGTGAATTGTATTCTATCGACGCCAGGTACATTTCCAGTTTACCCGAGATGAACATCGCATCCAATGCTAGTTTGCTCAAGCTCAAGCTGCTGGATTGTCTGAGGAGTTCAGACAAGGATAAGCTGCAAGAGCTTTTTAACGAGTGCCGGGCAATCAACCCGCCGGATCCGCAAGTAACGCTTTTATTGCACCAGATCCTTATATTTGCGGTGCAGGTGGCTCCGTTGTCCGTAATAGAATATATTGTCCAACACAAACTGGTTGACGATATCAATGCTCAGGACGACCAGGGGAACACGGCGCTGCACTACGCCGCAATTTCGTCTCGAAACGACGTTATCACATTTTTGATGGGCCAGGAAGACATCAACGACTGTATTGTCAACAAGCAGATGAAGCAGCCCATCGAGTGCTCCTCGAATATGGAAACGGTGCAGCTGCTTTCTGACCTCCGGACAAAATTTGTGGAAATCAAGGCAAACGAGCTGAGAAGCGCTTTTGAGACACGCAAGTTTGACGTGCTCGATAGGCTATTGAGCAATCCACGGGTCAAAAACCTGCTGGACATCAATGGAACCGATCCCGTCACGGGAGACACTGTTTTGCTGGAGTTTATCAAGAAAGACGACATCCAGATGGTCAAGTTCATTCTGGAACATGGAGGGGATCCGTTCAAACGGAGTCTCAATGGCAAACTTCCTATTGACTCTGCTGTGTCGTCCACGATGAAGAAATTGCTAAAAGAATCGTGCAACCATCAGACCATGATCGATCCTACTAATCAGAGCGGACAGCTTCACTCAGGTCCGCCAACATTCAAGGGTTTTCTGAAGAAATGGACCAATTTTGCCGGCGGCTATAAACTGAGATGGTTCATTCTGGACGCCGAAGGAAGACTCTCTTACTACACCTCTCCGAACGATATTTATAATTCCTGTCGTGGAATGATACATCTTGCAAGCGCTCAGTTGCGCATGGACAGCTCTGAAAAGTCCAAGTTCGAGATCATTATCAAGAAGGGCAACAAGGCATCTCTCAAATGGCACCTCAAGGCCAATCATGTGATAGAGACCAACAGATGGGTCTGGGCGTTACAGAATGCAATACGCTATGCAAAGGACCAGGAGCGACAGCAGCGTGCAATTGCTGCGGAAGAACAGCAACGGGCCAAGAAGACCGCAAGAAATAGAGAAAGCTTTGAGTCCACCAGGTCTAATAGCACACAGAACATTGGCAACCGCGGATCGTACAATGACCAGTCGCCATCGCCAATTACCGCCCACCAAAGAACGTTTTCTAACGCCTCTTCCGTGTCTTTGTCTTCGGACGACGAAGGGTCTGGCTCGCTGTCTTCTAGAGACAACAAATCGTACAAGAAACCGATGCGAAAACTTTCGAAGCTCGCCAAGAGAAACAAGGATGCGTTTTCACTACCTGAAATCAAAGAGAACGCCGATCTGAAGCTGCCTGCAAAGAAAGACCGTTCGCCTTCGATTGGATCTTTTGGGTCTAGTGGGGAGGCGGGCAGTAAGATTACGATTTCTTCTGTGGCTGACGACGAACCGGATACTGACCTTGATGACGAGGATAGCAGTGTCCATACAACTCCCCGAGACAGCAGTATTGCCGACGGTGAGGATATCATTGCTTCGAACCTGAACAACTCGGAGCTTGCAGTGAGCAAGAACCAGATGATGATCGAGCTGAAATCTTTTGGCGAGTTTTTGACTGCTGCCGAATCGGACGAAAGCGTTTCCAAGGGCCAGGTGATTGAAGTGGCTATGACGATTCTTTCGAGTTTGACGAGTCTCTCAGAAACACAGTCTGATCTCTTGAAAAAGTACGAGAGCAAGTTTGGCAAGATTATCGAGAGACAGCAGGAGATCTCCAAGATTTGGGAAAATACTCTCAAACGTTTGGAACTGGAGATGCAGTCGCGCGAGCAGAAAATTGTGGAACTCGAAGATAAGCTTCATGCGATCAAGAAATCTTTAAAGAACAATCCTGGAATCATACAGGCCGTCACTAAGGCCGCGCCAAACGACACGGTGAGAGAAAACATTGTCAACGTCGAAAGCAAGAGCCCAGAACAGATTAGACAATTTTTGGCCGAAGAGGAGGAGTCTGAGGACGAATTTTTCGATGCCGAAGACGCTGGGCACGAAGAAGAAGTTGACGAGCAGGCCACCGGTGCAACCGAGTCCACGGCCGTTGCAGATAGTTCTGAGGAAGACAGCAAGGGCCATGTTGTTGTAAATGGTTTTGAGTTGACAAGTCCAAAGCAGCTCGAACGACTTGAAAAAATCAAGAAAGAGGAAACATTCAAGGGCTATGAGGATCCGATTAGGACCACGTTGAAGAAAGAAGACAATAGACCTAAAATCTCGCTGTGGAGTGTTCTGAAGTCCATGGTGGGAAAAGACATGACTAAGATGACTTTGCCTGTTGTTTTTAATGAGCCAACCTCGCTATTGCAGAGAAGTGCCGAGGTGCTCGAATACTGCTCGCTTCTAGACAAGGCCGCGACCATCGACGATTCTCCTACAAGAATGATTTACATTGCTGCATTTGCCGCTTCGGAGTATGTTTCCACGGTGGGACGTATTGCTAAGCCATTCAATCCGTTGCTAGGAGAGACTTTTGAGTATGCTCGTCCGGACCAGGGGTACAGGCTGTTGGCCGAGCAAGTGAGTCATCACCCTCCAATCTCTGCACTTATTGCAGAGGCTCCATCGTGGTCTTATTACGGAGAGTCTAATGTGGATACCAAATTTTTGGGTCGCTCCTTTGACATCAAACATCTGGGTACGTGGTATGTGGATTTATATCCCGGAAAAGGTGTTGTGGACCAGAAGGGCCAGAGAGTGGACCACGAAACGTATTCCTGGAAAAAGATCAGGAACTCTGTCATTGGTATCATTGTCGGAAATCCAACTATCGATAACTATGGGGAGATGGAAATTAGAAACCACACCACTGGTGACTATATGAGCTTCAATTTCAAGCAACGAGGCTGGAGAGCTTCAAGCGCCGGTGAAGTCAAGGGTGAGATCTACTCGAACGACGGTAAGCTGAAGTACACGATCGGTGGTCATTGGAACTCGAAGATCTTCGCCAAGGATGCTACCAAGCCTGATGCACCGAAGTTCCTGGTGTGGGAAGCAAACGAGAGAACAGAGATGATGTTCCATCTCACGAACTTTGCGGCCTCGTTGAACGCGCCTCAGCCTCATCTTCTACCCGTTATTGCCTGCACAGACACAAGATTGCGCCCTGACCAGCGTGCAATGGAAAATGGAGAATATGACCTTGCCAGCTCTGAAAAGACGCGCGTGGAAAACAAACAGAGAGCTGCCCGGAAACAGCGCGAGCTGTCGGGCCAAAAATATGAGCCCTCCTTTTTCGTCCAGGCCAGACATCCTGTCACGGGTGAGACCTACTGGAAGTACAAAGACAACTACTGGGTGCCTCGCAAAGAGGGAAAGCTGAGAAATTATAAAGACATCTTTTAATGGTTTTTCTGTAATGAATGCTGCGGATCTATCGTCTCTTTTCGTCTCTTTTCTGGGCTCTGTCGTATAGCTCACGGGGGCCCTTGAGTTTATGGTTTTGGAATGCCGGCTGTTGATAGTTTTCCTTGCCTACTCTGTTGGCAAGCTGCTGTCTGACTGCTGGCGGGAGCTGGTTCCCGAAGAGCTCTGTGAGGACTTTGTTGAGTTGCAATCCGAGCATGTAATTGAACTCATTTTTATAGCCATTTCTAATTTCTTCAAACTTGAGATTCATATTTTTGCATTCTTCGTTGAGAGCGTCCTCAAACTTGACCAGCTTGCGTTCCTTAAGAAGCAGCTCTGTTTCGTGCTCGCGCAGCCGGTTCTCCCATTGCGTCATTTCCCACTCTTTTCTGAACAATTTGAAAGAGGCGTCCTGTAGCAGTTGGTTGACGGTAGCGCGTTCCATGGGGTCGACAATAAGACATGCGTTGATGACCATCTGTAGTCTATGCGAGTAATGGTCAGGGATCGGCTGGAACGTGCCAGCCTTAATTTTTTCCTGCAATGCCAAGTGAGTCTTGGCCTGGAAGGGAGGACGTAGAGCACACAATTCATACATGACGCATCCGAGCGACCACACGTCGCAGACGGGGTCGTACGGTCTATCCATCAGCACCTCGGGAGACATGTAGTATGGTGTGCCCACATAGGTCTTGGCAAACTCGTTTTCGTGTTGGAGCCACTTTGCAAGACCGAAATCCCCCAGTTTGATCGAATACCCGTCCGACAAAAGGAAAATGTTGTCTGGTTTGATGTCGCGATGAATAATCACCTGATGGTCCACAGGTTTCGGTTCTAGTTCGGGAGACGACTGGAAAAGATTGCTGACCGGCTCTATCGACGTTCCATAGTGACATTTGTAAAGCGCATTCAACACCTGGGTAAATATCTGCCAGATCAGTGTTTCCGGTATAAACTCGTTTCTCTCCTTGTACTTCTTTATCAGCACCGATAGATCGCCTCCGTCGCAGTACTCCATATACAAATGAACCTGGTGCTCATCCTGGACATGGTCATGGTGGAGATACTGCACAATGTTGGGATGTCTCAGTTCTCGTAGGATCCTGAACTCGGTGCTAAGCTGGTGCTTCTCCTTGCTATTCATGGCCCCGTATGATATTTCCTTGCGTACAAACACCTTTCCGTCAGCGACACGCCTTACTTTGCGCACACATCCGAACGAGCCTCGTCCGATGAGCTCCAACACTTGGAAATCGTCCATCGAATAGTATATTTACAAACTTCCGGATACAGAAAATAATTAAATTATTTGGGACAGCTTGGTTTATTTCAACACCTATGCCCAGGTCTTTCCTGTGAGAGCCTCGTAGGCCTCTTTGTATTTGGCCGCAGTCTTTGCGGCAATTTCTTCCGTCATGGAAACACCCTCTTTGCCATTCAGCTGGTGCGAGGTGAGCCAGTCACGGAGGAACTGCTTGTCAAAGGACTCCTGCGACCGGCCGAGCTCGTACTTCTTGGCATCCCAGAAGCGCGACGAGTCCGGCGTGAGCACCTCGTCAACGAGAACAAGCTCGTTGTTCTCGTTGAGGCCAAACTCGAACTTGGTGTCGGCAAGAATGATGCCCCGGGACAGGGCGTAGTCACGTGCTTTCGAGTACAGTGCGATGGCCTTTTGTGCCACCTCTGCACACAATTCCTCGCCCACAAGCTGCGCAGCTTGCTCTGGGGAGATGTTCTCGTCATGCTGGCCCTGTTCAGCTTTGGTTGACGGGGTGAAAATTGGCTTTTCAAAGGCCTCGCTCTCTTGCAATCCCGACTTCACTGGCAAGCCGTGCACTGTGCTGGACTTCTTGTACTCCTTCCAGGCGCTTCCTGTTATGTATCCTCTGACAATGGCCTCCAATGGCACAAGCTTGTGCTTTTTCACAAGGAGTGAGCGGCCGGCCAGTTGGGCCTTGTATTTAGGCTCCGACAGTTGTTCAGGGAGCTTGGCAAAAATATCCTTGTCAGAAGACGCGACCAAGTGGTTTGGGATCACGTCAGAGAGCAAGTTAAACCAGAAAACAGACAATTGGGTGAGAATCTTCCCCTTGTCCTTGATCCCATTTTCCATAATCACATCGTAGGCAGAGATTCTGTCTGTGGCCACGAAGAGCAGCATGTTATCATCCACCTGATAGATATCGCGGACCTTTCCCCGGGCAACAAGGGGCAGGATGCCGTCGAGATTGGTCTGTGTCACAGTCATATGTGTAATAATAATTAAGTAAAATTAGTTTAGTAAATTAATTGACTCGTGAGGGTCGATCGACGCGATATTGGCTCTCCTTTTTATACGAGTTTTTGTCAACTTTCCTCTGCTATGCTCAATCCAGTCACCGTCCACAAAGACTTCTTTGGGTTTCCTGGGGCCTTGGTTCTGACCATCAGTCTACCTTTGGTGGTTGTTTTCCTGTATGCGGCGTGCAATGATCGGTATGTTGTCGAGGGGTGCAATTTGCAGATCAACACGATCAAAAACTTGCTTGCAGAACAACTCACCAAGGAAACGTTTCTGAGTGCCAAATGCTGGATAGCATACCTGGTCTGGTTTTTTGGTCTTGCATTGCTGGATCTTATTGTTCCTGGCTACTATAAAAAAGGCACAACGCTGCGTGACGGAACACATTTAACGTATCTGATCAACGGTAAGGAGCTGAGTGTTTTGGTCTGTGCAGCTTTGGCAGCAAGAGCGTTGTACACAAGGGGCAATGTGCCCGAACTTCAGTTTATTTATGACAATTTTTTGCCCCTGATGGTCGTTTCGTGGGAATTTTCTCTTATTCTCAGCACGTTTGTCTACGTCTGCTCCTTTTTCCCGCTGAGACGGCCCAATGGTGCAGGAACGTACGAGCGCATTCTTGCGGAGGGTGGAAACTCCAAAAACGTCCTTTTTGACTGGTTTATCGGCAGAGAGCTCAACCCCAGAATAGGACCCTGGGACATCAAGCTCTTTTGCGAGCTACGGCCAGGAATGCTGCTTTGGCTGCTGATAGACCTCTCATGCATCCAAAAACAGTATCTGGAAACTGGAACGGTGGCTAACTCGCTCTTGTTCGTCGTTGCGATGCAATCCTTCTACATTTTCGACGGAGTGCTCAACGAGGAAGGCGTGCTTTCCATGATGGACATTACCACCGACGGATTCGGTTTCATGCTCGCATTTGGCGATCTGTGTTGGGTTCCATTCACTTACTCCCTGCAAGCAAGATATCTCTCGCTCAGACCTGTGCATTTGTCTTCGGGAGCCTTCAGTGGTGTGGTGGCCATCATGGCCATTGGATACTACATTTTCCACTCGTCCAACAGCCAAAAGAGCAAATTCCGCCAAGGACTGCTTCCGCACATGAAGAGCATCAAAACAGACCGCGGAACAAGCTTGTTGGTCGAAGGATGGTGGGGACTGTCGCAACATATTAATTATCTTGGAGATTTATTGATTGCATTGAGTTGGTGTCTTCCAACAGGGTTTGGCACGCCATTGACATACTTCTATGTGATATACTTTGCCTTCTTGCTGCTGCACCGCCAGAAACGGGATGAGCACAAATGTCGAACCAAATACGGCAAATCCTGGACAGAGTACGAGAAGTTGGTTCCGTACAAGATAGTTCCATATGTATACTGAATGGATCATTGCGTTTTTTTGCCAAATGTGACTGGCTTCTCAAACGCCTTGTAGCTCACCTGGAGAGAATTGAGCCACTTTAAAGCGATGGAGAAGATGAAAAAAAGGAACAGTGACACAAACGTGCACATCACCAGCCCTGGCGTGAAGAAACCGTACTTGTCGAACAGCGACCCATCCACAACGCTGCTCGACCTAGCACTGTTCCCGGTATTGTAGTTGACGTTCTCCTGCTCCGGTTCGTAAATGGTGGCCGTCTCGTCCCCAATCATCTGGTTGATTTCGTCAAACGCCTCATTCAGCTCTTCCTGGATTGCGGCGTAGTCGCTCTCGTCCACCGCATCCGAGCGCTTTGTGTACTGCGAAATTTTCTTGACATAATTCTTGGCCTGGCCCAAGAAAGAGATGGTGTTTTGGAACCGAGGAACACCTTGTATGATGACGGTTTTCGGGTTGGCACCGATCAAGATTGTCTCAAGAATAGGTAGCTCAGAGACATCCAACCGTATTACAAACACGCCTTGACCGCCGATCTGGTCTAACCAGTCGTCTGCGTGGACGTCCACGGTGGTTGATTTGCATTTAGAGGAGACGGCTAAAGACACCTCTTCCGCAGAATTATACAGGACGTGTGGAGCGACAATCGCAGGATCAGGCAAGTTGGAGAGTAAATCTCTGTCCAGATTCCGCTTCGAAAGTCCTTCAACCTGAAGATATATGATATTCTCCTGAGGCCTGCTGGTACAGGTGGTTTCTGTCAATTCCGTGACTTCGGCCAGCCTGGAAGAGGGAATGAGGTACTCAAAGTCGGCATTAAAATGCGGTCCCGACACAATAAGGGGAGCTGTGTTCTTAAAAGCCTGAACAATTCCCAAGAATCCAAATAACAAGAGTCCCTTCATGGCTTTCTGAAACTATTTTGTCTACGTTTGTGCTGCTTTATTCGGTAGGGTAAAAAAAAAATATCATGTCTACAGTGCACATTAGTACGTTGAGCTCATATTATTCTAACCGCAGCAAACATCTCGCAGGCCACGAGCGAGGACCAGATCGTGCGTTTAGCAGGCTCGTTTGGAGTTTTGTCGTCTGTCTCACTTCAGCAGGAAAAATCAGACAACACCCAAAAAGCCAGAATAGTGTACCAGCAACGCGAGGATGCGCAAAATTGCATCGAAAATCTCCATGGCTACCGTCTCGACGACCACTACTTAATGACCAAATAGATCTCTGAAAAAAGCGAAATAGATTAGTGTACATCATGCAAATGAAACGCTCTTCTTGCTGTCCGGCTTGAGAATCTCCTTCTTGGCCAACTTGGCGTTCTTGCGTCTGATAGACCGCGCCGTGGCTGCTTTGAGCTTGATCTCCTCCTTCTTGTCCTCCACCTTCATCTTTTTCTCCTGTTCCTTGCGCTCCATCTCCTGTCTTCTCAGCTCCCTTATCTCCTCGAGCCTCTTGGCCTTCTCGAGCTTCGACTCAGTCTCAAGGTCTTTCTCGTCGTTGATCTGGCGAATCAGTCTGTTGAGAGTGATGGAGTCGTTGTCAGCGACAAACTTCTTGCCCTTCTTGCCTCTCTTCTTCAAAACCCCCGGCTGGATCGCCTTGTTTAGCACAGGAATGTCTAGCTCCTTTTCGTCGTACACCTTTTCCTTCTTTTTCCCGTATAACTTGGCGATTCGGAGCTCTTTCTTGAGCTGGCTCTTTTTAACGTGTCTCTTCTCGCTCTTTGGCGTCAGCTTTGGCTGTGAAGCCAGCATGTTGCGAGCCAGTGAGTCCTGCCTCACCTCTGGCTCTATCTCACGCTTCTGATTCTGTGCGCTACGCCGCTTTGCAGCCTTCGTCTGCTTCTTTGGGACCATTCAAAAGACCTTTATTTTTTTGTGCAATTTTTTCCCTGAAAATTTGTAGCACAGCCAGTTTTGGTAGCTGCAATCACTCTCTCGCCTCTCCGCCAAAATTACGATTAGCACAGAGCCCTTCCGCAAAATTACGCTTGACAGTGTCGTAGTAGCGAGACAGCTCACAAACAAGCTCATGAAGACTCCTCAGTTTTCTATCCTTCATCTCCTCTTCTGAAATCTCTTGTGCCGGCTGTTCTCTGTCACTCACGTCCAGGTTCTCCATCATCGTGAACTGCACAACTTCGGGTATCAGGTGATCGTAGTCTGTGTTGCCAGTCTCGTCAATCTGACTGATTTTTTCACGTTCCTGGTTCTGGCTGTCTATTCGGACTTTCTCGATGATAGAGCGTTTGATCGGCGCTTTGGATGGGATTGCAGACTTGATATACTCCAAGTAATATTCCAGCTCCCTGAAAAGCTCCTCTGAAGACTCGAAAGAACGAGGAGTGCTGATTAAAGGCTCCAGCACTTCTTTCGAGATTATCGTCGAGCTGGGAAGTTCTGTGTGTATTGTCGGCGAGTTAGGCACAGGATCCTTGTGAAATTTCGTTGACAAGAGCTCCTGTAGTCGCTCCTGAGAGTCTGCGCCAAAATCGTCACTCGAAACGTTGAGTTTGTCTTTTTGGAACAGCTGCAGACGCTCAAGAACGTCTATGGGACTGACATGCGGATCGAGAATAGAGCTACCGCAAAACTCAACTGTCTTGGCCACCAAGTCAAACTTGTAGTTGCTAATTCTTCCCTCGCCATATAGCTTTAGTAGCATCACTTCAAGGTCCGACTCCTGTATTTTGAGTTTCTCCTGCAATTGGCGCAAACTGACGCGTTTGAATAGCTGCAGATACTCAACAACAAATCGCACATGAACCAGCTCGGTGACAAACGGTATGAACTGCGCAAGGAGGTTACCCTGCATCAGTTTCTTGAAATCCTCGTCGTCGTTCAAAAGTGTGTTGTACTTGGCAATGTCGGTCTCCTGAACGTACCGATAAAGCTCCATCAGCTTCACAATTTCCGGAACGTCGTCGAAGCCCTGGAAGTCGCCCGACTGGAACGGATCGATCTCGCTCTCGCTCAGCAGGTTGCTGATAATGTACTTCATCAGCACGTCGACGCGTCGATCGTCGCCACACTCGTTGAAGCCTCGAAAGCTTTCTTGGAAGCAGTGGTTGGCTGTTTGGAAGTCTTCGTCGAACATAGCCACAAGACCAGAGCACTCCTTGACGATGCCCACGATGCGCGATTGCGGGATGCTTGAGCCCAGTTTATTGGCCATTTTCGTCAGTCTAGAGAGCTCCTCGACATTGATCTCGCCATGGCTCGCAATCACCATTTCCAGAGCGAGAACTTCCAGCAAATATGTGCTTTTAATTGCTTCGGAGGAGGCTGTGACAGAATCCTCAAGTTTCTGCAGCAGCAAGCGGGCCTCGCGGTAATTTTGTTCCGCCAGCAGCAGGCCTGCGCGCCCCAGTTCAACTCGTATAACCAACCGTTCGTTGCTGGAGTTGCTGGCTTTCAGATATGCCGAGAACTTGTTGTATACCTGTTTCTGGAGCTCTGACGAGCATCCCGGGATCGGATGGTCAAACCTGTGCAGCATCTTTGAAAAAGACGAATCCCCGTACGACACAGCCATCTGCGGTAGTTGCTCAAAGAATAGGTCCAAATATCGCATAATCTTAACCGCGTCTCCAAGCTCAATGCTCACCTTGACTGCTTGTTTCGTCGACTTGAACACATACTCCGGGTTATCGTTTTTGTCTATGTTTTCCTGGAACACCTGAAGGGCCTCCTCCAGCTTCTCGTCCTGCCGCAACTCCTTCCCCCAAAAATACCGGCTCTCCATGTCGGTTGCAGACTCATCGACACTTTCCTGAGCATCGTCTTCCTCAAAAGAGAGCTCCTCCTCGTCGTCGTCATACATGTCATCGTCCCAGTCTGACATGGTAAAATTCAAGTGATTTATTTATTTTAAATTACACTGTGTCGTACTTTACATAAATCATTTTCCAAAAATGTTGTTCGAGCGCGAGAGAGCAAAAGATGGCTGGAATACAAGGCTGACTGTGGGCTGGGTGGCGCTGCTAGTTTTTTCGTTCGTCGTCTAAGTTCATGTTCCTGGTGAGCTCTTCAAGCTCCTGCTGCTCGAGAGCCAGCATGAGCTCCAATTCGCGCTCGAGCGCAAGAGTTCGCCCCCGCGGCTGCTCGTCTGCTTCCTCCTCTGAATCTGCGTCGTATTCTCGCTCGGTATCGTACTGCTCCAGCAACCTGTCCAGGTCGATTTGCTGCTGAGGATGAGCGTCCCGCGCCTGCTGCTCCATCTGCTGTGTGTCGTGGCGCTCCTCTTGGCGCAGCACAAACTCTGCCATGGGGCCTCGTCGTATCTCGGCACATCGCTCGCGTCGCTGCGTGCGCAGCTGTGCTAGAAGTTGCGTCCGGGACTGGTCGTGCGCCTTCATCGGGCGAAACATCCTGGTGATTCTGTCGTTCTGACGCTGCACCAACATGCTTATGCTCCTGGGTCCGTCGTTCCCCGCTCGGGACGGCACGTTGTCGCGTTCTGCCATGGTAGTTAATTTCTCCAGATTTATTTTATTTAGCACAGCCTGACCATGGCGAAAAAAATTGACTTGACTAATATTGATTTTAATTTATTTTCCATGCTCAGACAATTCAGACAATTCCCAAGACTGTGCACGCAGGTCCGGGTAGGTATATCCCAACACGCCAGCCACTAACAGGCCAGCATTACGCCCTTTCTCCGGAGGCCAAGAACCTCATCTCGAAAAACCTTGAGGAGGTCGACGCCGAAATGTACGACATTCTGCAGAAGGAAAAGGCCAGACAGAAAAACTCCATCACGCTGATCCCATCCGAGAACTTCACCTCGCGGGCCGTGATGGACATTCTGGGCTCGGAGATGCAGAACAAGTACTCCGAAGGATACCCGGGCGAGAGATACTACGGAGGTAACGAATTTATCGACCAGGCCGAGAGTCTGTGCCAACAAAGAGCCTTGAAGGCATTTGGTCTCGACCCTGCTGAATGGGGCGTGAACGTGCAGCCTCTGTCTGGAGCACCAGCGAATCTGTATGCCTACTCGGCGGTGCTCGAGGTCGGCGACAGACTGATGGGACTGGACCTGCCTCATGGAGGCCACTTGTCTCACGGCTACCAGACGGCATCGACCAAGATTTCGTACATCTCCAAGTACTTCCAGACAATGCCATACAGACTGGACGAGAAGACCGGTCTGATTGACTACGACATGCTCGAGAAGACCGCCGTTCTGTTCAGACCCAAGGTGATTGTGGCTGGTGCGTCTGCATACGCCAGAGTCGTCGACTACGCCAGAATGAAGCAGATTGCCGACAAGGTCGGCGCATATCTGATGTCCGACATGGCACACATCTCGGGTCTTGTGGCCGCCGGCGTCACAGATTCGCCGTTCCCATACTCGGATATTGTCACCACCACCACCCACAAGTCTCTCAGAGGACCAAGAGGTGCCATGATCTTCTTCAGAAAGGGCATCAGAAAGGTCACCAAGAAGGGTAAGGAGATTCCGTACGAGCTTGAAAAGAAGATCAACTTTTCGGTGTTCCCTGCCCATCAGGGAGGTCCCCACAACCACACCATCTCTGCTCTATCTGTGGCTCTGAAACAGGCCATGACGCCCGAGTACAAGCAATATCAGGCCGATGTGCTCTCCAACGCGGCCTACTTTGCCAAGGCGCTGCAAGAAAAGGGACTGGACCTGGTTTCTGGAGGAACCGACACCCATCTGATCCTGATCGACCTGCGCTCCAAGGGCATCGACGGAGCCAGAGTCGAGGCTGTTCTCGAGAGAGCCAACATTGCTGCCAACAAAAATACCGTTCCAGGCGATATTTCGGCTTTATTCCCATCCGGGCTGAGAGTCGGCACCCCCGCCATGACCACCAGAGGCTTCCTGAAGCCGGAGTTCGCCAAGGTGGCAGACTTTATTCAGGAAGCCATCAAGATCGCTACGGATCTCAAGGCCAAGGAGTCCGGAGCCTCTCCGAAGGAGAAACTTGCAGACTTCAAGCGTCTCGCCAGCGAAAGCGATGCTGTCAAACAGCTCGGCGCCGAAGTCCAGGAGTTTGTGTCCCAGTATCCAGTTCCTGGCGAACAGTAGTGCACCGCCACATAATAATTTTCTCCAACGGCTGTGCTTTATTTACACAAGTCTAAATTTTACCAAATCATAAACATTATCCGCTCTTTGTCCATTGCTGACCGCTTGCTGGCTACTTCATGTCGTTAAACTTGGAGGAACTTGAGCAAGTTCTTTTAAGCCATCTCAAGTCGCCAGAGGTTCGAGAACCGCAGCGGCAGGCCCTGGCTCCACGGGCCGCTCTGAAAGCCCGCGAACCGAATGTCCAGCCCGTCGTGCAGGACCCCGTGGACCTTGCTGTTGGGTTCATCAACGAAATAGTCAGCGAGACTCGCTCCCTTGGCACACATAGACTAGACAGCTCTATTCTGCGCACCATAGTGCTTTGTCTGGAGGCGGTGGAGAAAAACGATCCTATTTTACATATCAGCAAGACCCTGGAGGTCTGCAAGGTGTTTATTTCGTCGGGAATGCTGGCCGAGCCGCGCTCTCTTCTGGAGCATCTGTTTTGTTCTAAAACACAGAAACATAGTCCATCTTTGGAAGATTTGATAGGAGGTTATGAGTTTGCAGGTTTTGGCCCAAAGTTGGACGCTGAATACATTATGGTGGTTCTGGAGCTGATATTGGCCTTGAGAGTGCACAATATTTCAACGCGATTTCCAGATACAATCATTGAGAAAACATCGCCATTGATTCCATCACTCGACAGACAGCAGCGGCTCAAACTCTTCACTCTTCTTTCCCAGTTTTGCACGGTCGAACAGACCCCGGAGTCCCTGAAGTTGCGCTACTATACCCTCATGTACTTAGAAGATGCCGACACAGAGTTTTTACTGGCCACAATATTACACTTCGAAAGAGTATGTGATGCATCAGTTTATTCCAGCACGGCTGACATGTTTTACAAGCTGTGCTCCTCGTGGGCTCAAAGCCAGCAATCCTTGCGATTGCTGGAGTTTCTCGTTTACAAATACCGCCAGCTAAAGCCTGCATCTTGTACATTGCGATGGGAAGCAATGATATGTCAGCCAGTTGTGCCGACCGCTCTTGACGACCACATCTCGTATTTATTGACCACACTTGACATTTCGGACACCAACGACCGCCGGATTCTACTCAAAGCACTGGAATTGGAAAGACCGATAGCTAACGAATCGTTCTTTGCCGCCAGCGTTTGTCGAGTAATTAAAAGACTTGACTTCAATGTGAAACCAGACCAGCAGCTTGTTCTTGCACTATTGGAGGTTTCTAAAAACCTGACTCCGTCTTTAAACGTGTACGATATGACGACTATCATGCTTAAAGACCTGGACCCACTGGTGCACTCTGGATTTGGGGTTAAGACGCTTTCCTTGATGACTGAGGTGCTAAAGCACCAAAATCAGCCAAAGAGACTACGCAACTTCTCAAACTTGCTTTTCCACTTTGGCGGCAAGCTCTTGACTAAACACGAGACTGAGGCTCTCAGATGCTGGCACAAGTGTCTGGGTGTCGAAGACATTCTTGTTGAACAGAACACTGACGAGTTTGGACAGCTGAAAAATAAGGTAGAACGTATGCTGAACATGCTGATCGAGACCGAAAAATACACTCAATCATACGACATAATTTTGCATGTGTTTCAGTCGTTTGAACAGGTCCACCTTGGCTGGGAGGTCGAAAAGTATCAGGATGAGCTGACAAATACATTTGGCGTTCTATTCAAGCTGATCGCCAGGATGATCGTTCGTATGGACTCCAAATTGCCCGTTAAATTCTTTGGCGTGTGTGATAAAACGCGCGCATTTGTCACAATCGAACTGATCAAGATTCTTACTGCCATGAAGCCTTCCAGGCGGGACCAGATATCAGCCCTGATAGTCCAGGTCAAAAATGAGTTACATGACAATGGACTCTTTTTGTATTTTCTCTCATCCATTTCGATGATAATCGAGTTCGGGCTGGCCCTTAAGTCCATTGAGGCTCTGAACTTTGAAACAAACTCGGTTATGAGCGGATATCGTGACATAATTGTATGCCACATATATTTACTGCAATGTTGCGCCCAGATGTACGAAGAGTTGCTCATGAAATCCCTCGCAGCCGCTTTGTCGTGGGCCAAGACCAAGCGTGCGAAGGTCTCGGTATACGAGCTGGAGGTGCTTACAATGGTGGTCCGTGTTCTCAATTATTCCGATCTGACAGATTACGCTAGTTATTTGTTGGAGGTTGCAAGACAAAATGCTGATTTTGGTGATTCGGACCTGAAACTAAAAATAGAGGCTGCATCTTTGAAATTGCAGCTAGGTCTGCCAAACGATGCTCTAGAACTTTTAGGCGAAATGCCCAGCAATGCCCTGGAAGCCGTGAGGTACAAAATGTTGAAGACAGAATGTCATGTATTACTGAAGCACGATACGGCCCGGGAGGAGTGTACTGAATTGCTCTCACTCTTCAAAAATGAGCAACTCCAGCTGTCCAAGCAGTCTAGCAAGCTCGACGTCAGCAAGCTGCTCATGTTGGCTGCTGGCGTGTCGGTGCTGATGTCTCTTTTCCATCGCGAAAAAAATAAAATTGAGAGTGTGCTGAATCTTAAGCAGAGCATCAGGGTGCTTCAGTCTGTGATGAAGAACTTTCTGGTTACCGATGGGAGCTCGATAGAAATCGACCTTTGTCACAAGAATATGCTCAAAATGCAGTTTGTATCCTCAATGCTGCAGGCTTATAGCTCCCTGGCTGTCATGATGCTGGAACTGGGGCTAGCCAAAGATTTCGAGTACTACGAGGCCGAGATTGAGAAGGTTCTTACGCACCAGTCGTGCGTGGTGCTCAAGTCGAAGTATTTCTTCAAGTTGGCCAAACACCATGTCTACAAGAACGATCTCTCACGAGCAAAAGAATTATTGGAGAAAGGCACTAGATATGCTCAACAAATGCGATTTGAGTCCCTCCAGGTTGAGTTTGAAAAGCTGACCGCGTATGAACTATTCTATCAAACGGCCGAGTGCAGCGACGTCCATGTGATCCGCGATAAGGTGGATCTTTTTTTCCGTCTTCTGGCAGAGCACGAAATCGACGGTGGCAAGTTTTATCAACAGGTGGTGTACGAGCTCAAACTTGGCCGCTTGTTGGTCAACGAGAAAGAATTTGTTGCATTTCTGCGCATGTTTCTGCCTTTAAACGGCAAAGAGAAGACCAGCCGAGTGGAAACTGCGGTGACCAAAATCAAGGAAATGATATTTGAGACGGTCAACCAGGACCTTGAAAATATTTTCGCACGCGATTCCGTGGTTGTCATGAAAGAAGGCGTGATGGACAACTTGTACGCTGCTTGTATCCGGGAATGTGCCAAGTTTGTGAACGAGCCTAGATTGGTGAGCGAGGATATATCCAAAGGAGCTATTTCCGTGCTTCTTGCTAGTGGAGCCAGTTTGCGCTCTGATTTGGACTCGCTGTTGTTGCGGAACGAGTTGATGCGCTACGAGTCCATTGAGTATGACCGAAAGCTAAACCTGGCTGTTGAAAGCATGCGACAACTCGTCCCGCTCGTATGCCAGCCCGACTACCAAGTCTCTGCTACGCAAATGCACAATCTCCCCTCTGTTCTTCCATCAAACTGGGTCACTGTGTGCTTGGATCTTGATATGAGCAGCGGGTGTCTGCTTCTTACTCGATATGGCCCCAAGCAAGACCCAATATTGCTCAAGCTTCCTCTGGAAAGACATCTCATTGGCCGTCACGCATCCTTTGGATCTGCAGTCCAGGAGTTAGAGGCTATAATCCAAGAAAGTGACCGCACCACCAGAATAGAGGTCACCTCTCTCGTAAAATCCAGAGCTGACCGTGCTAATTGGTGGGCCCAGCGCAAATCGCTTGACAGAAGATTGAAACAGCTCTTATGGGAGATAGACAGTCACTGGTTTGGCTGTTTTAAAGGAATTTTTGGCCGTTTAGTTTTTGAGAAAGATGTGGTGGAAGAGACACGTGTCTCTCTTGAACGTATTTTGAGCAAAGAAGTTGGTCACTCTATTGAACTTGGAACGTTTGAGACAGAACTAATTCTTCAGCTCGATCTGCAGCTGGAATCAGCTACATCGGACGTGGAAGACTGGTTCCAGCATATTCAGATCTCCGACGAGGCAGATTACCGGCGACTTTTTTTGGCTATCGAGCCAGAGCTCCAGCGGGTACGTCCTAGATCTACGGTAGACCATACCGTCCTCGTTGTTTCTCCTGAATGTGTGAAGCTACCATGGGAATCTGTGCCGTTCCTCCGGAACAGATCTGTATCGCGAATGCCGTCTATAAAGATGCTTGTGGATCTTCTGATCGAGCACGAAAAGCATCTCAATCTTGGCATCTCTGTTGCAACAGGATACTTTGTGATCAATCCGGGTGGAGACCTCAAAAGAACAGAAACCAATTTTACGGAAATATTTGCTAGCCGGTGCGGTTGGGAAGGGATTATTGGAAGCCGCCCCAGCGAGGAGCAGATTTTGCAGGGTTTTCAGAAAGACTTGTATGTTTATGTGGGCCACGGCGGCGGAGAACAGTATATTCGGTCGAAAACCGTCAAGAGCATGGCAAAGTTGCCTCCAGCTCTGCTTTTAGGGTGTTCCTCGGGGAAACTGAAGCTTCAAGGTGTTTTCAAGCCACACGGAACTGTCTACAACTACCTGATGGGTGGAAGTCCAATGGTGGTTGCAAACCTCTGGGATGTGACCGACAAGGATATTGACAAGTTTACTCTCCACGTGCTGGAGAAATGGGGATTTTCGGGGCCGTCGGGCTGTGATATTGGTCATAGCATTGCACAGAGCCGGGACGTTTGTGTTCTTCCGTATTTGAACGGCGCTGCTCCTGTGCTATATGGGATTCCATTCAAAATACGTAATGAGTTATGATGCATGGTTATTTCTTTCGAAATACAGTAACGTTTTGTAGAGACAGGCAAGAAACTTGGCTGTGTCGTGGTTGGCCGGGAGCGGACTAGGGAGCGTAGCAAGGCTTTCTAATATTGACTGATCGGGGATATTGACATGAAACGTGAGCGGGTGGAACTTGACAATGTTCCTTGATGGAGCAAAAGACAGATGGACCCCGTTGTCGTCACCAATGCGGGTCTTGGTGCGGACGTTTTCTATCTCTTTCTTGAGTGTATCCAGAGTGATTTGTTCTATAACCTGTGCATTTTGAGCCAAATAGCCGGCATTTGGATATCCCTTCTCTTTATAGGTGACGAAAGGCGGCGTGAGAGCAAAGTCTGGTTTTTTGCCGATTTTTTGAAAGGCCTCAAGAAAGGTTTTGTCGTTGGGCAGGTACATTATGAGCTCGTCTTTTTTGGCTGCCGGTCTGATATCAGGAACCATCACCGAGTCAAACTGCGAGTCTGTGAGCTCGTTTTGCACGCAGACAAATCTAACAAATAAATCTCTGGGAACAACCACACGGGATGGGACGATAGCTCTGCAGGGAGAGCTGGCGATCTGCGCAAACACGTTCGAGGACAAGTCTTCGTACGACTGGATTCTTTTGGCAAACGCGCGCCGTCGACCAGACCATTTTGCGGGCCGCTCAAATGCGGGCGAGCACAGCACCGACTCAGGAACTTTATCAAGCGGTTTGTGTTTTTTGAGTCTGTGAATCAAAGACGCATTAAATCTCATAAATATTAATTTTGCAAATGTAACAGAGGTGCATTTAATTTTTCATATCTTTTATTTAGCTAAAAATGAACCGTCTTCGATATTTCTCGTCGAAGACGCCGCCGGTGGAGGCATACAAGCAAGCAATGTCTTCATTCGGGTCGCAAGGTATGTATGCTTCGAGACCAGCAGCCTAACGCCAGCCATGATCCTGACAGCACCAGCTTTATCGGCGTCGGTGTCCGATTTGCACGGAATGACACTTTCCTCGGTGAGCTCGCTCACCGTCAGTCCTGAACCCATGGTCCAGTTCAACTTGCAGGTGCCGTCCAGGACGTCACAAACGCTGCACGAGTCCGGGTTCCTGGCGCTGCACATCCTGCCTCCAGTCAAGGAGTCTGTGCGGCTGGCCAGGGCGTTTTCGAGAGGAACGCAGGGGAACTGTGTGACGAAGCCGTTCGAGGAGCTCAAAAAGGACGAGTGGTCGTACTTCACGACAGAATCTCTGAAAATACCTGTTCTTTCGCTCGCTGAGCGGATCTTGATCTGTGAAAAGCACCAGGTGTTTTGTGTATATAATCATGAGCTATGGACGTGTCGAGTGCGGGAGATTGTGCAGCGGGAAGTCGACGCCGATGTCACGGGCGGGCTACTCTACTTCAACCGACGGTTCCATGCGGTGGGAGGGAAATTGGAGCATTAATAAATTCATGTGTCTACAGACTAGTCGTAGCTAATGCTGGAGCTGTTTTTCGAATCTACTGATCTCGTTCATGATCACGCGGTGCTTTTCTGCCCGTTGGCCAGCGCGGATGCTTCTGTGTTCCTGGCGCAGCCGCACCTCTGCAGTTTTGAGCTGCTCGATCTCGAGCTCAAGTCGTTTGACGTCGTTGGCAATGCGTTCTTTTTTCTGCATGAGTTTCTCCTTTTTCTGCACCAGCGGGGCCCGTTCTGCCTCGAGTGCCGCGATCCGCGCCTTTTCGGTCTCGAGCTTCTCGAAATGAGCGTTCTCGAACGCCTGCAACAGCCGCATCTCCGAGTCATACGCCCGTTTCGTGTCCAGATACCGCTCGTCAACCTCCGACTGCTGCGTGTACAAATACTCGGCCTCCTTGGACAGCTTGCTGATTTCACGCTCGCTCTTGGCCACTGCCTGACGCAAAGACTCGACCTTCTTGTAGTTGCGCGTCTCGTCCGTGAAAGTTGGCCGGCTGTTGAGCGACTCGATCTCGGCTTTGAGCGCCGCCGACCGCTTGCGCCAGTCGGTCTTGAGCTTCTTGAGCTTCATTTTCTCGCGCTCGATCGCCGCCTGCGTTGTCACCACAGACTCCTGCAGCGTGGCGAGGGGCGAGGAGTGCTTGGACTCGGTCAGAATGCGGTGCTTGTGGATAGTGCTCACCGTGGCAACCGCCAGAAGCTCTCGCTCGTCCTTGCCGTTCACGTTCACAAACTCCACGTCGTACTGCGACAGCGGGCTCAGGCCGCTCACAATCACTAGCTCGCGCTCTTCCAGCCCGATCAGCGCCGTCTGCTCCCAGATGATGCCATTCACCATCACCAGCAGCTGGTCTATGTACACGTTACGCAGCTCGAACGCCACGGCTGTTTCGCCTGTATACCAGATGAAGCATTGAGCCGAATCGGCCAGCGACCGCGTCCAGCCGTCTGGGTCCCTGTTGGTGGTGACGAGCGCGTTCTGCTGGTAGTATTCGCCCGAGTAAAGGTCCGGCCGGCCAAACATGGTTTTCGCGGCCGAAACGAACGCCCAGATCGGCTGCTGCACGCGGCCCGTCATGCTCTTGATGCGTTTCTCCACGTATGGCGTCAGCTTGGCTTTGGAGCTGTTGGCGGCAAGACTAGCCGTCTGGGGAGACTGCGTGGCTGAATTGGAGTAATTCAGAGACGGGAACAAAAATAGCCGGCAGTAGTTCTCGAAATTCTGCGCCACCACCAGGCTGGCCGACGACACGTCGTTCATGTTGAGGATCTGGTGGTCGGGCGGGAACGAGGCAGGCGCCGAGTCGGCAGACTGGTGTGAGTCAGCAGTCTCCTCGGACGACGAGGAGCATGGGCGCACAAGCCCGGGAATCGTGCTATCTGCAATGTGCGGCGAAACGGTGATGTTTTTTGTTTCTGCGGTGAGCTCGCTGGCGTACGGCTTTGTTACCGGTTTGCTGGACAGCTTGCCACCCACGCCCGAGTCCTGCGGCCTGGCAGCCAGTTTCCGAACCCACGGGTTGATGTTGCACATGATAGTGTAGATGGAGAGCGTCGCGTAGACAAAGTCGACGAGGTGGTCGACGCGGAAAATGAGCATCTGTCGCACACGGCTCTTGAGAGGCGACCAGGTGTAGAGCAGGTGTTTGAGGGAAGTCTTGGGATATCGAACGTAGGCCGAGTAGAGAAACGCGTCTGTAACGGCGGATCCGTCGAGATAGACAAGATACACGTTTTTCACCAGAAATGTGGCGAGGTTCTCGATCAGCAGAACGACCAGCATCGAGAGAAATGCGTTGAAGATGTATTTTTGCTTTGTAGATGCCAGATTCGAGGCCACAAACGCCTTGGCCAGCAGATGCATGTAGTCAAGCAGCCCCGGGGCAACAAACAGCAGCGCCAGCGTGAGGCCCACATCGATGCTCAAAAACCCCAGCAGATACGACCCTCGCCCGAGACTCGACGATGCCGAATACTCTGCGTTGTGGTCGAGGCCGCTGAGCTTGTGGCGGTACACGAGCGATAGCGTCGACCTGACAAACCGCGACGAGTTCAGCGTCGCATACAAAGTCAGCACGGCAACACTGATCCAGCTCGGGAGTACCATGAGGACGGCCAGAATGGCCACTGTATCTGTCAAGGGGTGTAAAGGAATGAGAGACTTGGGCTCCATGTGTGGAAAAAAAATGCAGGTTTCGGGGATCTATTGATGCGGGAAAAATATGACGACGGCAAGAGATGAGCGCAACCGTTACAATTGCCTATGCACGCAAGGTCTCAGTACATCAAAGATGCGAAAGAAAGGTGGAACTAAAATATTTGATTCATTTGTTTTGGGCAAGTTGCACGACCCCGAAATTATTTTCACCTGTACCTGACCAGCATGACTTTGGAGGCCATAAGGTTCGATTCGCAGAGGGTGACGTTGGAGATTTTGAACCAGCTGCTGGTCCCGTACGATACACAGTACCTGTCGGTCGGTAGCATGGCGCCATGTGACGCGGACACGTCGTTTTCCGGGTACGAGGCCATCAAAGGCATGTACACCAGAGGAGCGCCGGCCATCATGCTGGTGGGGTGTTTTTCTGTGGTTGTGGAGCTGAATAGGGTGATCAACCAGAACGACAATCCCTTCGGATACAATCAGGACGATTTGGCAGAGTTTAAGGCCCTACTGGAGAAGAGAATTGACCTTCTTGTTGAATCCAGACCAACGGCCGTCAACCTGCTCAATGGCTGCAACGAGATGAAAAAAATCATCCAGCACAAACACAGCTTAGAAGAGTTGTACTCGGGCCTGTTGAAATTCACCGTCGAGCTGTACAAAGACGATCTGGAGTCGAACTACGCCATAGGAGCGAACGGGGTGAGGTACATCTACCAGGAGCTGGAGAAAGAGGGATTCACAGGAGACTTTGCCGTCATGACCATCTGCAACACGGGCTCGCTGGCAACGTCTGGCTACGGAACTGCTCTGGGCATCATCCGGGCATTGCACCAAGAGGCTCGGTCGAACTCGACTAGAATGAGCCATGTGTATGCATGCGAAACTAGGCCGTATAACCAGGGCTCGAGATTGACCGCGTACGAGTTGCAATACGAAAACATCCCGTTCACGCTCATCACAGACAATATGGTGTCGTTTCTGGTGGACTCGCTGGCGCGCCAGAAAACCAACAGGTCGCTGCCAAGTACGGCTCCAATAAAATTCATCATCGTGGGGGCAGACAGAATAGTAAAGAATGGCGATCTTGCCAATAAAATTGGCACGTTCCAGCTCTCACTGATTGCATCACTGTATCCATCGATCAAGTTTGTCGGGGCGGCGCCTACCACGACGATCGATTTCACCAGAAACACCGGGGACGAGATCGTGATTGAGCAACGGCCCAAGAGGGAGCTCACGGAAATCATGGGAGCAGCAGTCGCCAAAGACGGCTCTTTAGTCCAGGGAAAAGACGGTGTGGAGCTACAAAAAGTCAGAATGGCGCCGGCGGGTATAGACGTGTGGAACCCTTCTTTCGACGTGACGCCGCACGAAAAGATCGACTGTATCGTGACGGAGAAAAAATATTTCTTGAAAAAAGACGGGGTGTTCAATCTGGAATAATCAATGAGACTCAACACGAATAATTGGTATTCTATTCTTATTTTGTATACTTTACAAATTCAAAATCCGTTTCCAAACCCTGCTCCAGTAGGTTGGAATCCGATTGGGGGTGGAGCCTGGATACCGGTTCCGTTAGTCAGGAGCAGCCTCTGGCCAAGAGCAGGCTGTTCCTCCTCAGTTTTGGTTTCCCTAGCTTGTCTCTCCTTCAAGTCCGCATACAGTTCAGACAGCCTATCCTGGTTCTCCTTAGCAACAGAGATTTCGTATGGCTTTATGTAGTCGCCGAGATTGTGCAGCCATGCCAATTCCAGTGCGACATCGTGCGGAATCAAGTGGTAGCATGCGTACAAGGTGGCAACAAAACACTCCTTGTTTCCCGTGTCAACAAAGTATGTCAGGAGGTCCGTGGCCACCTTCACAGTGTTCGACATTGCGGCAGTCTCAATGGCGTCAGCCCACAGCTTGTCGGCCTTGAGCAGACCAATCGCTTTGTTCCATTTCTTGTTTTTCCTGTAGATAATGGCAGCAATTTGTCTGAAGAAGATGAGATCGTGCTTCTCCAGTCTCTCGGCCAGTCCCAGATGGTCAAACTTGTCGTGGGCATCGATCACAGACCTCAACGACTTGTAGTCTTCCTCCTCGATCAGAAGATCGTGGTAGGCCTGATTCACCATGGAGTTGTTCTTGTCCAGCACAGAGATCAAAAATGGTTTGATAAGTGGCAGGTTGTCGGACTTGACAAAAATTTTGATCACTCTTGGGAGGTCCAATCTTGGGGTCAGAACAGTCAGCAGGTCCGTCAAAAGGGTAGGGTGTGTATTCAGATAGAAATTGATGGCCTTGTAGTAGATCTCCAAGTTGGCAACCTTGACAATGATCTCCTTGAACGATGAGTGTTCAAACGCAGTCTCGGACCGCTCCATCATGGCCAGAGCAGCGTTATCCCACTCGTCGTAGTGACAGTAAAGGAAGATCAGCTCTGGCCACAGATGTGCACTCTCGCACGCCCTAATCACCTTTGGAATGTTCAACCTAGACCAGAACAGCTTCAAATGCTCCATTGTGTCCTGTGGTCTATATTTGGTGTAAAGGATAGCCAGCTCGGTGAACATACCCATATGAGCTCTTTCCAGAGAAAGACCGTTCTCAAACAGTTGTATCAACTCCTTGAAGTAGCCATTGTACTCGTATTGCTTCACCAGCTCGTCCAACTCTTCCGCATGAACAATCAGGTTCAAACCACACATTTGTGCAAGCTTGAACTCCTTGTTGTCAATACAGGCCTGGTTGACCTGCTTCCAAACGGAAACATTGGAAGCCTTTCTAGCACAGTCGACGGCAGATTGGTAATCCTTGAGGTAAACCAAGGTGGATGCCAGCTTCGAGTAGTTGGAGATATTAGCATACAGCAACTTGGCAGCCTGGTAGTTTTTGTTAGCATACAACTTGTCTCCGATGCTCTCAACATCAGCAACGTTGGTCAATTGCAGGAACTTCTCAATTTCAGGCAGCTTGTCCAAAGCAGCATAGGCATTAATAATTGCCCCGTCAATCTTTGGCTCTCTCAAAGTCTGTCTAGCCATCAGCAAGTAAGGAATAAGCTCCTCCTCTTTACCTGCATGCTCGGCAATGTCAATGACCTGCTCAAAGTTGGATGGATCGTTGGCCTTTAAGTACGAATTGATAGCCTCTGGAATTCTTAGGCCATTCAACTGAGCAGCACCCAGCTGCGACCACAACTCTGGTTTCTCAAGCTTCTCGGCGTAATCCTCACCTCTGTCTAGAGACATGATATCTTCAAGAAGAACCTTCATAGCTTCGGTGTATCTCTCAAACTTGTTGTAGATCTCAAACGCCTCCTCTTGCAAGCCATTCTCGATACACAGAGGGGCAACTTCGTCTGGATCATAAGCATCCAGCTTCTCGATATAAGAGCTGACCTTGGACTTGTCTACCTTGATGGCAGTTAAGATTAACAGAGCCTGTAGAGATGGGTTGTCGCTGAATGGAGATGGCTCCAGGATAATTTTCTCCAAAAGCTCGGTCAGTTCGCCAGGTAGATCGTTCTCCATGAACGCCTTAACGGCAATTGAAATCGGCTCTGGATCCTCAAGCTCTGGAACGGCTGTTCCCACAACCTGGTCAACAACCTGCCTGCGATGAATGTTGTCCTCGGACAAGACTTTGCCCCATAGAGCCAAGTCTGATCTTTTGAGCAAGTATCTGGCCTGGTACTTGTACATGGCATTTTCATTGGTGATACTGATCAACTCGTCGTCATTCATTCCCTTGTCGTAGGCAATGTAGGCGAGGTATGGGTCTCTCTTCTCGCAGTACTTACCAACAACCAGAGTATCGTACTGGTCATTTTCCACCAAGAATTTCTCTGGGTTATTGTTAGAGTCAATGTAAATTTTGGCCAGAGTATCGTAGACGGCTTTGTCAGTGGCACCGGACTGCAAAGTAGCCTCTAAGAATGGGAGCAGGATCTTGAGTCTGTTTCTCTTCTCCACCTCCTCACAAAGCTCGGCGATTGGAACTTGGCCAAAAACAGATTGCAGAAGTGACTTGATGACGCTCTCATCACAGTCGACATCCAACAGAGCAGCAACAACCTGCGCAGTCTTGGATGGGTTCACCTGTTGAACATAAACTTCGATGAATTTGAAGAAATGGTTCTTGTAAAGATAGAGAATCAAGTCGTGGACATAGTTGAATCTATCGCAAACAATAATCAATGGCAGCTGGTCTTGGAGTTTAGCCTCCTTGAGGAAGTTCTTGACTTTTTCTCCATTGTAAACGTTATTTTCTCTAACAACTCTTTCAATTTCCTTCACCTGTCCCAATTTAGCAGCACATTGGATGTATCTTAACACAACTTCAGGGTCCTGGGATAGGTTGACAATCGAGGCCAAGTAGTAGTACTCACCCTCAGTGCACTTGAAGTCTTCAAAGATCTTGATCAAAGTGGATGGACCAATAAGCTCGGAGTACTTGGTTGCCACCTGGATCACAACTTGCAAATTCTGAGCCATATTTTGGGACAGCATTTCTCTCAAACATGCAACAGATTGTTCAACATTAAGCTTGCCAAAGTATGCAACCAACCAGTCAACGGGCAACACGTTGGAGTGAACAATCACTCGCTTAATGTCCTTGATGTTCTCGTAGTGTTCTAGAGCCCTCTGATAAAGACCAGCTTTCTCACACAAAGTCGCGATAGTTGGTCTATCGTAATGAGAAAACATGGCATTACCCAGGATTGCGTCTGCAACTTGAGGAGCATGTAACAAGTTGACCTCGAGCAATCTGGTTTGCAAGTGTCCTTCTGAAGGCTTATCCTCTTTCAAAGCATCCAAGAGGAATGCTGTTCCTTGTTGAATGTAGTTCTGAGAAAGGAAAATGTCCGCAATTTTCTGGACATCTAGATCTGGCTGTTGAGAGTATAGTTGAGTCGCAAACTCGGCTGCCTTGTCTGGGTTGACTCTCAAAATGTTCTGAATCAGCACGGTAAAGTTTGGATGATAATTGGATCTCTCGCAGTATGGAAGAATCTTATCGAATTGGCCCAACTCTCCAAGACACGTCACAACCTTGGCTGGAACTTCTGCCTTATAATACACAGCCAAGGCTAGAGTCGTATTGTATGGTTTGATAAGATCACCCAACTCTTCAGAGTAGTCAAGTTTTTCTTCCTTCAGGTACTTCTCTAATGTTTCAATTCTATTTTGTTGGAGCAGGGGTCTCACCAGTTCGAGAGTTTCATATTTATTGAGGGATCCTCTGTCCAGGAGATAAACCAGATACTGTAGAATAGGAGCAGGCTGGCCTGGAGGCGTTGGAAGTGTCTTTAATCTGGAAATGGTGTCCGGGGTTCTCAATTGCACAGAGGATGCTGCAATCTTGACTGCCGAGGCGTAGTCACCTTGGGCAAGCGTCTGATTGAACTGTTGCGCGAAAAGAGACTCTGCTCCAGGAAGTCCTGCTCTTGAGGCCAGATTTAAAGCCAGCTCGACGTCGCCCAGGTTTTTCAGGATGTAGTTGACAATTCTGTCGCTGGCCACTTCGACAGCAAGAACGGCACCGCTTCTATTGACAGTGATTATTCCGGCGCTTTCATCAAACTTGGAGGCTGTGAAAATAGGGTCCGAAGAAATCCTATTCAGGAAGATCTTTTTGCCGGATTCCAGATCGTACAGATGGATGAAACCGAACTTGGTCAGCACATAGACAATGCCGTACTTATTGGACACATGAATGGCCACTGGGAAGTCATTTGCAATCTCTGCAGGGAAAAAGATATCGGCCGATTTCTTGGTGAACACTGGGGCACCTTCCTGGTGGTCGATCTCCAAAACATGGAGATTTCCTCCATCGACGGTTCTGGAGGCACATGCAAACAGTTGAGTATCGACCGGAGAGTTCTGGAGCTTGAACTTGGCAAAGGCACACACATGGCCCTCGATTGGCTGCGAGACGTTTCTTGCCTTGGAATAGAGCTGGATGTGGCCGACTATTCTTCCGTTTTCTTGTGCAATACCGCAAAGCGCAAACCACGAGAGATTGTAGTTGGCGATCAGGTTGGTCAGCTGGCAGTTGGCCAAAGAGACGTGTCTAGCGGTCAGTTGGACAGGCCCGTTTTCTGTGCCGTCAAACACAGCCCAGGTATAGATGGACGACGCGGTGACGAGGCCGATGGTGGAGTCGTCGAGCCAGCTCCAGAATATCACCGGCTCGCTCATGATGTTGGACTTGAGTCTTTGTTTGGTGGAGAGATTGAAAATCTGGAGCGTGGTACCGTTTGCCCTCAACGCAATGACGTTCTGGGAGGGGTGCATGATGACAGAGTCGGCGCTCATGGATTTCCTGGTGACTTGGTTGTTGTTTTTCAGGTCGACGATGGCGACGGAATTGCCCGCTTCCGATGTTTCTCTACAGCAAACATAGTGGTCCGATTGGAGCGTAGTTGCCATGAAATTGAAGGATTGCGGGGAGATGCCCAGAGAGGACAATTGACAAACGTCAATAAGATCGATTGGAGGGTTTTCAGACATTCTCCAAGGGTTAATCCTATCAAGTTTGAAGAATTGCTAGCAATGGGTGAAGAAACAAGGAATGTTGATGATTTGTCTTTTTGCCGTAAATTCCTGATATTACAGCCGGGCCGGGTAAAATAAAAAGAGAGAGAAAGACAGACAGGTATTTTTAATATTGGGATATTTATTCATAACGCCTAGGAATTTTGTAGTATCATTAATAAGTATGGATACATTATATGCTATGCCGAAAAATAGGACGAGAGAACCAAAAGGGAGAAAACTGGTCAGCGAGTTTAGCACGAGACCAAGTCAACAATGTTGAGGTGAACAGGCTCACACTGTCCTCCAATGGACTCGTCGTACAGGTTGTAGAAGTTGCCCGACAAGCATTGGTAGAAAGTGGTGGTGTTACCGATGGCAAGGTAACCTTCTGGGGAGATAGCCCAACCAGCAGCGTAGATAGCACCTGCTTGTGGTGGAGGACCGTCGAATTGGAATTGTCTGTTAGCGACGATCGATCCGATTCTTCCCTTGGAGTCAGTCAAGATACCGTCCTTAAGGACCATGGCAAGAGCCTCGTCGCTCTTGCAGGAGGTTGGGATAGAGGACGAGTCGCCAGCAGCGGCAGTGCTGGAGGCCTGGACCTGGCCGTCGGTGATTTGGGAAGCCACGGAGGAGGTGCCTGTGGTAGCTTGGACCTGGCCGTCACCTATCTGTGAAACAACGCTCTTGTGGGCGGAGGTAGCGGTGGTTGCCTGGATCTGGCCGTCACCAATCTGTGAAACAACGTTTGCGGTAGTCTCAGCGGCCTTGGAGGTTGCGGTGGTAGCTTGAATCTGGCCGTCACCGATCTGTGTCACGACGGCAGCAGTTTCAGGAGTGGCGGTGGTGGCTTGGATCTGGCCGTCACCGATTTGAGAAACCACGGCAGCGGTGGTTTTCGAGGTCGTCTTAGGAGTGGCGGTGGTGGCTTGAATCTGGCCATCCCCAATTTGGGAAACCACAGGAGCGGTGGTTTTCGAGGTCGTCTTGGCAGTGGCGGTGGTGGCTTGAATCTGGCCGTCACCGATTTGAGAGACAACAGCAGCAGTGGTTGCCGTAGCAGTAGTAGCCTGGACTTGGCCATCACCGATCTGGGTAACGACGTCTCTCTTGGCCTTTGCCCCGGAGGTACTGGTGACCTTGTTGATAGCAATACCGAAGGTCTTGGTGTAGTCAGTGGTTGCACTCTCAAGGGTAGCAGAAGGGGTCAAGGTGGACCATGGTTCAGATGGAACGTAAGCAGCGATAGCACCCGCAGCGAAGATGGCAGCAGAGAATTTCATGTTTGAAAGCTGGTTTTTGGGTAGAGGAACTCATTAGTATTTATAGCGCCCCGAAGAGCTAAAAATAGAGATCAATCATCATGCACATAATTCTAGTAAATTTTTAGTGATTCCGACGCCAGCAGCGCACGACCAATTTTCCAAGAAAAGCCTCGCTTCGGCATAGAAATCAGATTTTGCGCGTATGTGCCCGCACTGAAATTGGATTCGGGAGAGTCTCGGCATGAGAATGTTTTACTGTTGCTCACCTCCAAGGTGATGGGCAGATCTCGTGTGACCAGAGATCGATCTGAGCGCAAGCCAACACTGAACGCGGTGCGTCGTGGCTTGATCTGTTTACCAAGCCCAGTGGGCTATTTCCCACTCTGGTATAAATGGGCTTTGTTTCTATGCCCTTTTCGTCTAAATTAGCCCATTTTTGGATAAATTAAATCTAATAAATACTAAATTAAGAAAAAATACCACATTTGGCTATGTGTTTTGGTGCTTTTTCTGATGGCGCGATCAAATGCTGGTTACACTTTATTCGCGCGCAACCTCGCGACCCAGCCCCCTCGTATCTCGGTCCGGCAACGGCGATCTCCACGAATCGAGCCCCAAATAAACAGTAATCTGATTTATATATCAACATGTACTCGACGGTACTCTGCGGCACTACACGTTGAACGGGTCTTCCGGAGCCGAGCACCATTCCGTTAGCTCCAGATTATTCTTTCGACAACCTTGCCCTCGGGGATGGCGAGCGGCTCGAATTCTCGGCAATTGACCCGTTCCACAACCTCCAGGAATTCTGAAAACCCCCCACGCACGTACTCCAGCACGCCCGCCTGCTCAAACGCCTCGGCAATCTCGAGCTGGTGGTTGTCTGCCAGTGCCGTATTGATCAGCACGACAAGTTTTTTGTTGCATCGTAACGTGTCCAGCACGGACCCGGTGCCCCCGTGAGAAATCACCAGATCGCTCTGCGCGGTATAGTTCTTCACAATTTCTGGGTCGAACGCGAGCAATTGCACCTCGAGCCGATTCACCGTGAACACGTTGTCGCGCACGGTATACTCGGACGTCAGTTTCTCCACCAATTCTCTGCCGGCGGCGCTTTTACCGTATTGCACCACCAGCCGATCGTATCCCAGTCGTAGTACGAGCGCAAAGAACCTTTTGTCCAGAACGTACTGGACGAGCCGGTCGAAACAGACGGTCGCTCCACAGGTGGCAAGAATCTGGCGAACCATAAGAAAATTCCACAGCCCGATTTGTGACTTTTTTTTTGGCACACCCACACTACGTCGGGCAGTTTGTGTGGGGGAGGCGGGCAGCAACTACTGGTGGTCCATGCCCTCTATAGTTATCCATTATACGAATACGTGCTCAACACCTCGCCCTCTTGGAGCTTGCACTCCCAGCGTGACAGCGCTGGGTGCACAAGTACAGGCCGCCGCGGAGCCTCTGCCGGCTCAGGCTCCTCGTCGCCGTACTCCTTGCCCTCCAGGTTCTTGAGATTGCGCACCTTGTCGGCCCGCTTGAGCAATAACTTATTTAATGTGTCCTGTTTCTCCATTTCCAGCCGTTTCATCGTGAAGTTCTTGCGCTTGCGTGCGTTCTCGAGCCGACGCAATTGCAGCTCCTCCTCTGTAAACTGTTTTTTCTTGCTGCGTTCGTTGGTCAGCTCCAGCAGCTCGCTGCTGCCCTGGCGCTCGCTGTCTTCCTCGGCAGCCTCCATGTATTTCGCCCGCTGCCGTTCGGTCATCCGCGCAAGGTCCGTGGGCGGGCTCGACCCGTCAGCAGACTCGTCCAGGTCCTCGGAATACGGCAATTCGTCCTCGGTCGGCTCTCTGTAGGTGCGTGGCGCGGCCCGTCGCCGCTTGCCCACCTCCTGCACCACGGCCTCCTCGATCAGCGGGCGCCCACGCCGTTTCGGGATCACCTCTTCCTCGTCCTCGTCCTGGCCATATTCCTCGTACTCCTCTTCGCTCTCGAGCTCGTAGTCCTCCTCGCTGTCCAGCAGCTCGTCGCTCTCGTAGTCCGATTTTGCCATTTTTTTGGAATAAATAATTTTTCGCATAACTCGCACGCACTTTATGCCATTTGTTTACAGCATCAAGCAATTTTTTGCACTTTCTTAATTGTCAGATTATCCTTTTCAGGCTGATAAGATCTGGGGAAATATGTCCACACAGACCGACGCGCGTATCGCCTCCCTCGCCAACGAGTCCCAGCAGCAAGGCCACCCAATAACTCTGGCCGACGTCGACGATCAGCTGCGCTCGCTTCAACACCACCAATTGCCCTCTGTCTCCTCCCAGCAGTACTACGGCCAGCAGTACTACCCTTACATTCCAGAAAACCAGCTCGACGCCGAGACACGGGCTGATGGCGGCAGCGGGAGCCAGAAACGGGCACGCACGCCCAGCTCGCCGGATATGGTGAAAAAATGCTCGCGGTGCCGGGTCAAACGGCTGAACGAGGACCCCGAGATGCTTGTTCGGTACCAGACGTGTGTAAATTGCCGCAACAAGCGCAAGGTGAAGGAGAAAAAAGTGCGGTCGCTATCCAAGCTGCCGAACCTATCGGATGACTGGGCGCAGTACCAGCACAAGGTGTCTCTCAACACGCAGATCGACCTGTACCAGCACAACTACAGAAACTACACCGACAAAGAGCTGTTCCCGCGGTACCGCCGAGAAGAGCTGACCGAGGAGATTGTCAAGGAGATGTCGGAGTTGGTGGTAAACCACTACATTGCGCCGCTACAGATGCTGACGGGATTTAAGTTTGCAATCCGTGACCACCACAAGCCGAACCTGGCGGACCCGAACCCGAACAAGAGCAAGAAAATTACGTGGATGTACATCTGCTCGCAGGACAAGTACCGGCAGCGGAAGAGCCGGAGCGAGAACAAGCGGCAGGTGGTGAACAAGCTGAAAACGGAGGAGTGCGACTCCAAGATCACTCTCAACTACGACCTGGTGACCGGCGTGGTGCAGCTGAGCTACAACCACAAGCATCATTCGCCGCTGAACTGCAAGAAGGACGGATCCGAGGAGCTGCAGTTCCAGCTGGGCGACGTGCAGAACAGGCGGAAATACCACGAGCTGCAGCCCAAGGAGAGCGATGTGAACGAGCTGAGCAAGCTGCTGAAGCAGGAGCCACTGGACACGAACGAGATCGTCGAGCTGGCGACGCGCGCCGCACAGACCGACGCGGGCAGCCAGCAGGGCCAGGAACAGCTGTACGACATTGCGCTGCTGCAGCAGCACCAACAGCTGCAATACCACCAGTACCGGGGCGACGAGAACGTGGACGAGATGCTGCGGTGAACTAAAAATCGGGCAAATCATATTTCAGGTTTGTTTGCCGATGCGGACACGGACAAGTACGTAGGTGCAATAGAAGACTCGGTGACGTAAACGGAAGGAAGGGGTGAAGTCCGAGAAGGCCTGCACCCCACCGCGGGGTGCAGCTTGCTCCTGCTTCACCCGGGGCGCACATTGCAGCATTCCCCCATCCGGCCTGGGCCTAAAGGTCTAGTCCCAAACAAGGCAAGACCTTATTGGTTGTTGGGCGACATAATTAGTAATGCGCCCCGCAATCCGACAACAGTACACGACGAATACGCAACTCCTAAAATTTCTGGACGAACGGCGTTTTTCGTATATAACCACACCAGTTCCACCATGAGGGTGTTATCTTTCGTCCGACGTTTACACGCAATGGCCCACGTTCAAAAGCTTACTTTTCCCGTCATCAATAAATCGTACGAACAGCCTACCGGCCTGTTCATCAACAACGAGTTCGTTGCTGCTAAGTCCGGTAAAACTTTCAAGGTCAGCTCTCCGCTGAACGAGGAGCACTTGTGCGACGTCCAAATGGCCGATGCCGAGGACGTTGACATTGCTGTCCAGGCCGCCTACAAGGCGTTCAAGCAGTGGAAATTTACCGAGGGATCGGAGAGAGCCAAGCTGCTCAACAAGCTCGCGGATCTCATCGAGCGCGACAGAGAGCTGCTGAGCCAGATCGAGTCGCTCGACAACGGAAAGTCGCTGTTGTGCTCTTCGTTCGACCTCGGCATTGTTATCAGCACCCTCAGATACTGCGCGGGCTTCTGCGACAAGAAGGACGGCCGTCTCGTCGACACGGGGTTCACCCACATGAGTTACACGAAAAGGGAACCACTAGGGGTGTGTGGCGCTATCACCCCATGGAACTTCCCCCTCATGATGTTTGCGTGGAAAATCGGCCCGGCACTGGCCACAGGTAACGTTGTTGTTCTCAAGCCAGCTAGCGCCACTCCATTGTCCAACCTGTATGTCTGCAAGCTGATCAAAGAGGCCGGATTCCCCGCCGGTGTCGTCAACGTCATCCCTGGCAGCGGCAGAGGCTGCGGTAACGCCATTCTGCACCACCCTCTCGTGAAAAAAGTCGCCTTCACCGGCTCCACTTCTGTCGGCCAGGGTGTCATGGCCGAAGCCGCTAAAACGATCAAGAAGGTCACTCTCGAGCTCGGCGGAAAGTCGCCAAATATCGTCTTTGAGGACTGTAACACCGAGGAGACCATCCAGAACCTCATCACGGGTATTTTCTTCAACGGCGGAGAGGTGTGCTGCGCCGGTTCCAGAATCTACATCCAGGCCACCAACCCAGAGTGGTACAACAGTTTCCTGCAAAAATTCAAGGCTGCGGTCGAGAAGCTCAAGGTCGGCAACGCGTTCGAAGAGGGCGTTTTCCAAGGTGCACAGTCCACCCCAGACCAGTTCGAGGAGGTGCTCAAGTACATTGAGATCGGAAAGAAGACCAGTCTCAAGCTGCTCACCGGAGGCAACAGAATCGGCTCCAAGGGCTACTTTGTCGAACCTACCGTGTTCTACGACGTTCCGCAGGACAGCCAGCTGACCCAGGAGGAGATTTTCGGTCCGGTGGCCGTTGTTCTGCCATTCAAGAGCATCGACGAGGTCATTGAGAAGGCCAACGACTCCGAGTTCGGTCTGGGCTCTGGTGTGCACACTGAGGACATCAACAAGGCCATCTACGTCTCCGACAGACTCGAGGCTGGTTCTGTGTGGATCAACACCTACAACGACTTCCACGCCGCCGTGCCATTTGGTGGCTACAAGCAGAGTGGTATAGGCAGAGAGATGGGCACGGAGGTCTTCGAGAGCTACACCCAGGTCAAGGCTGTGAGAGCCAAGATCAGAACTCCTGTGTTGTAATTGGCAGGCCACGAAAGGCTACAATTTCACGAAAAGATTATGTACATGTGGTGAATGAGAAAATTCGTACAGAAAAATAAATAAATTTATTCGGTTTAATTAAATGGTCCAGCAGCTCTCTCTGTATTCGGCGACTAGCTCCGCAGACGTGCTGCTCATCACTCTGGAGTCTCTCACCGGGATGCGGCCCCAGCCAATGGAGCAGCACACGGTGGTTCTGCGGCCCAAGTTCCCGTTTAGGCCCGAGCAGAAAGCCGGCAAAATTAACCAGATCGAGTTGTACCGCGTCCGCATGACTCGAAAGGGCGGCGCAGACGACCACGAGCTCATGTCCAACCTCCAGAGCCCGCGCTGGAATAATTGCATATGGACGCTGCAAATCGCCGACATTCCTGCCGCAGGAAAACGCCCTGTCCTGGTGCAGAACCTGTACGAGACCACCATCGTGCAGGCCGACGACATTCTGGGCTACATGGACGAGCTCGGATACATGCCCGAGACAGAGTACTGGGTGCGCGGTGTGCGGTTCTTCTACAACGACGTCATCATCGAGGTGTTCAGGGTCTACCACTGGAAAGAGCAGCAGGAGCTGCTGGATCCTAAATACCAGGTGCGGTGTCTGGTTAACGTAGCGCGACTCAACGACTTGGACAGTGTTGCTCGCGGCACGAAACAGCTCGAGGCACTGAAAACCGAGCTTTCGGGCCTGATAGAGCTCGACCTGTACGAAAGAACGAGTCTCGATGGCCGCTTTAATTGGAATTAATTCATCGCACGTCTATATGACCAATTTTCTCTCGTAGCGACGCAGACCTTTGGTTTCACAGTCCATCTCTGCGTCGTCGCCGGCAGCGCCCTGCTGCACCTCCATGAGACGCCAGAAATGCTTTTCGCTCACGGGTGTCACGCTCAGACGGCCGCGTTTCAGCAGATACATGTCCTCGAGGCCTTTGGTCGCGCGCAGCTCCCCAAGACTTAGCTTCCTGTTGAGTAAGCACACAAACGTCACCGCGGGACACCACCACCGGGGCTGGTCCCGTGTTGCCTTGGGGTCGTACGAGGGCGAGTTTGGGTCGAACTGCGACTCGTCCGGCTTGGCTGTCTCGGCAACTCTGCAGATTCCGACAATCCCTGGGTTCTTGCAATTCGAGTGGTAGAAGAGGCAGATGTCGTCCTTGGCCATCTGGATGAGATAGTTGCGCGCCTCCCAGTTGCGCACGCCGTCCCATGACTCGCTCTCGACGTTGGCCAGGTCGGCGATCGAAAACTTGACTGTCTTGCCCGTTTTGGCGTCTACTCGAGGCATTGGCTCGCTCTTGACCAGCCAGTATCGCCGGCCGCGCGTGTCGGGCGCAAAGACAGGCGGCTTGCCTGGAGCCGGCGGCACCTGGCGGGCCACATTTTTAGGCTGCCGTTTCAATTCGCGTTTCATGAAAATTTAACATTTTCTCCGGGCTGTGCACTCACAAATATACCTCCTCTTCGTCACTCACATACGTCTTGAAGTGGTTGGACGAGCGCACGTTCTCGTATCCCTCGTTTAGGTCGTCAAAGTCCTCAAAGTCCTCGTACTCTTCGGCTTCCTGCGATGGCTTCTGCGCCTCATTGGAAGACTCCGGGGCAGACGTTGGCGCAGAGGAGCTGGCCGGCTTGAGCAGGCTCAGCAGCTCCTGCGATCCAGAAGAGCCCGACTGTGTGGGTGGCACGATGGCGTCTAGAAGTCCCTTGCTGGGGTCGCGTGGCTCTTCTTTCCGATTTAATATTCCCAGCAGAACCGAGGCAGAGGGGGAAGCAGAGGCCTGTGCCGGCTGCTCGGGCTGGGCAGGCTTTTTCAGCATGTCCAGCAGCTCTGCCGAGCCGTTTGCGCCGTTTGCGCCGTTCTGGTTCGCCGGCTTGTGTTTCAACAGGTCCAGCAGCTGCTTCGAATCGTCCTTTGGTTGCGGCTCCGGCTTCTTCAGGATGTTTAAGAGCTCCGAGCTGCCATTCGTTGTAGGACTTTGCTTTTGCTGCAGCAGGTTCAACAGACTGGCTCCGGGCTTCTCGGAGCTCTCCTGCTCCTTCGGCCGCTTCAAAATCGTCACCTTACGCGGGACCTGTGCAGGCTCTTCAGCGTCGTACTTGTCAAACAGATTCTGCAAGAAGCTCCCGCGCGGCTTGTGCGCTTCCTCTGTCTCGTCCTTTTTCTCTGGACGTTTCAAAATGCTGAGCAGCTCCTTGCTATTACTCTCTCCAGATCGTCTGTTTGCCAGCGCCATGTGTGGCTTGTCCAGGGACGAAGGCGGAGGCGCAAAGAGCTCGTTTTTCTGGTCGCTACGCGGCACAGACATGGCAGGCGGAGGCGGGAAGGGGAACCGCGGCAGCATGTGCGGAGCCATCATGAACGGCATAGGGAACGGCATAGGGAACGGAGCCAGAGGCATAGGCAGCGGCATATGGTGGCCCGGCATCGGCATAGAAGGTGGCTGTAGGTTTGGAGGCTGCTTGCCTGCAGAAACCTGCTGCAACATGTTGAGCAGGTCTCTTCCCGGGTCGGACTTTTCCTGCGGCTGGCCAACACCCAGAATCTTCTTGAGCTGGATCGTGGCCTGTTTTTTGAGTTCCTCCTCTGTCTGCTGGTACTTTTTCTTGTTGATGAAGTTCTGCAACTGCTTCATCATCGAGCTCACCAGGAATAAATTATTCTTGCCCTGCTTCGACAACGACTTGATGTCCTTCCACGCGATAGCGCAGATTTCGTTGCGAACACGCGGCTCGAACTTGGTGCTTTCTGGCACGCCCGCCAAAATGTATATTTTGTAGTTTTTCCCCTGAATGGTGCGCTCTATGTACTCGTCCTCGTCAATGTACTCTCTGCCATCAAATCCAGTTTCCTCTTCCAGCTCGCGCAATGCACAGTCCAAATCGGTCTCGTCCTTCGAGATCTTGCCCCTTGGAAACCCCCACGACGACGACTCGACACCTTTCACGAGCAGAACCTTGTCCAGCTTCTGGTTGAGCACAGCACACCCGCGAACGGGAATCGACGACTTGTACTTGCCGAACTGCGCCAGGGCGTCCTGCGAGTCGCCCCAGCGCCACACAACAGGACACTGCGCTATTATTTTCGCCGTAAACTGCTTCATCTTCATCGGCGGGAGCAATTCGTTGACGACTCTGGCAAAGTCCTGGTAGAACCAGTGTGCCTCCTCTATTTGGAAGAATACCCTCTCAATTGATGACAAGTCTTCTGGCGGACAGTTAATGACAAACCTCACTAGCAGGTCCTCCAAGACCCGCTCCAGAGACTCGTCTGCAAATCCTTTTCGCAGCAAAATCGACATTACAACACTCTCAACTTAAATTTTCTTTTACTATTTTTTTTTCAATTTGCCAGAATTCCTGGCGGTGGACACACAGACGATGAACAGGCCAGTAGACCCGAAAATACAAATGCAGGTGGATCCCAACGAGGATACCGAATGGAATGACATTCTGCGTGCCCACGGCATCATCCCTGAGAAAGAGAAGGACCCCACGGAACAGCTCGAGGAGGCCCTGGCAGAGGCCGTGCAGAAACAGCACGAGAACAGGCTCGAGAACAAAACGCTCGATGAGCTCGATGAGCTGGAAGATGACGAGGACGAGGAGTTCCTCCAGCAGTACAAACAGAAACGCATCGCTGAGATGAACAAGCTTGCGGCCCGCGCCAAGTACGGCACGGTGTACCCGATCACAAAGCCAGAGTACAAGCAACAGGTGACCGACGCGTCGCAGGACTGCTTTGTCGTGGTCCACATGTCGCTCCAGAGCGCGTTGCAGTCCCGGCTGCTGGCGAGCTTGCTTGCCCAGCTCGCGCCCCGGCTGCCCGATGTGAAGTTTGTCGACATTCCTGCTGATCGCGCGGTCGAAAACTACCCCGAGGCCAACTGCCCAACACTGCTTGTCTACCACAAGGGCGACGTTGTCAAACAGGCCGTCACGCTCGCCCAACTCGGCGGCAACCAGACGAAACTTGCTGATCTGGAATCGTGGCTGTGCAGCACGGGCGCGGTGGCTGAAACAGACTCCCGGCTCTCGATCAACACGCTAGATGAAGATTTGCAAGAGTCGCGCCAGACGCGGTTTGTCAAGAAGTCGCTGCGAGGCTCAAACTTATCCGACGACGATGATGACTTTTTCGACTAGGCCATTTCGTGGACTATGTAATAGAGCAGATAAGCACGCGAGTTGAGAACGTCCTGTTGAGACACTTTGGTCACCGTAGCATCGTTGAACATGAACCACGCCCCGGACCGCGCCTTCACCATGCAGATGTAGTGGCCGGTGCTGGCAGACCCGATGTGGCACACCACGGCAAACAGTTCGTACAGGTTCTGGCCGTAATGCGGCTCGCTGCTGGCCAGCACATAGTCGGACATGTTGAGGAAAAGCGGGATTTGCACGTGTGTGTCTAGCTTGGTGGACGTTGCGAGATGGTCGAACCGTTTGAGCTGGATGCCGAGTGTGCGAGGCAGCTTCTTTATTTTGAGCTGTTTGTTCACTTTTGTCTGTTTCTGGCACGAGGAGCAGCTGTAAGTGGCGTCCAGCTGCTCTGGTTTGGTGAAGACGTCCAAACAGGCTTCCAGACTCGGGATGGCGGTCTTGGAGCCGTCGGCGTGCTTTTCCTGGATCTCCAGCGACAGATCGAGCATGGGGTCGACGGTGACGGTTGTGTTCCGGCAATTCTTGCACCTGATGGAGGACTGCAGTTCGCCGGCAAAAGTGCGGTGGATAATGCAGTTGCACGAGCCGAGCGCCGGGGACTGGTTGTCGCCCGGGACCGGGGTGTGTTCTTTATACGATTTGGATTTCTTGGTGTCGTTCTTATGCAGCTGGTGGAGCAGAAACTGCCAGAACTCGTGTGCGTCCTGCTCGGAGTACCCTGCCAGTGACCGTTTCACTTTCCAAGCGGCCGTGAGCAGCGACACGGGGCCGTAGCCTGCAGCACTGGGCGACGAATAAAAGTCCTGGAAAATGTCTGCCACAGAGCACGAGAGACACTCTGCGCCCATCTTTTTGCAGTCGTTGTGGCTTCCAGCTAGGAAATAGTCTCTGATGAACGGGTTGTGGATAAGCGTTTGTAGAACAGAGCTCATGAAACAGGTAGATCCCATGTTCACAAAGCCTTTGAGCCCCGTGGAGGCGCGATAACACGGCGCACGCGACCCAGAGACGATCTGTCGCTGTTTTTCCGCGTCGTGCTCGTGCTGGAAGATGGGCATCCCGGGGAAGTTTGCAACCGTTCTCGAGTGGATGATCTGATGAATCCTGATGCGCTCGAGCGACGGATCGCTCACAAAACTCTCGCACAGCCAGCAAATGAGGTCGCCAGTGTGCGGATTGATGCCAAATGCGTGGTTGTGGGCGCTGGCGTGCTCGCTCGCATGGCGGTGTCTATAGCACCCGACAAACGAGCATTCCAAACACATGAAAACGTTGGACACAGCCTGGCAGCTCGTGCAGCGAACGATCCGCGACCGTAGCCGGACCAGATCCTCGTGCTGGACCTTGCTGCCGTCCTGGGCAAGATACGATCTGTCCTCGTGGATAGGCCTTGCCAAGAGGCAGATTTTCATGGCGGTGTTGTATGTTTTCAGCACGGCCTCGCCGTCGGCCGACGCCAGCACCTGCGACAGGTGTGTGCACGGCGGGAAAGACACGTACGTGCTGGGATCCTCGTTCGAGGGAATGTTGAGGTACGATACCATGGAGACAAGAGAATTAAATCTGTTTCGACTTTACGGCCTGAGGGTGTTGGTGCGAGGTGTAGTTACACAGACTACGTAGTGCGGTCCCGTATGGTTGCTGCGTGGTGTCACTTTCTTGGCAGCTGGATCTTGGCCAGATAGTGGATGAGGGTCTGACGCAGAGCAAACACCGTGTTTCTCAAAGCTGGCGGGACCACCGGCAACGAGAGCGTCTGGACGATGCGCGCATCGTACTGCGTCACCAAAGCCCGCGTGTACTTCGACTGGTCGAATCTGAGCTTGTTGAACACCACCACGACAGCCAGCAGCACCATTGTCTGCAGATTTCGCACAAAGTACGCTGGACGCAGCAGTTGCAAGAAAATCACCATCTTCACCAGCGGGAGCACGTACGCCGTGACAAGCAGCACCTCCATGTGTGCTGCGACGAGAAGCGACTGCTCGTGGTACGTCTTGAGAAAGTGGCCTATTGTGGCCTTGTAGCGGGCTTTTTGTTCTTTGGTGAGGACAGGCACAAAGCCAATAACGTTCGTGTTCACGTAGCTCAAGCAGTGGAAAAACGCAAACACAGCAAACGGATACAGCGTGGAGGAGTTTCCGTTGCGCGCGGAAAAGACCCGGAACACCAACGCCAGAAGCAGATACTGGACGTTGTCGTCTTTCAGCAGGGTCAAGGGCTGGGAGAAAATCAGCGAGACCGGCCTTGCGCGGTAGGTCTGTCGCACCACAATTAGATAGGTGACAATGGTGGAGGAGATGGAGTAATTGTAGTATTTGAGAGCAGCTGGCGAATGGGGGCCTCTAAAAGTGGCCGCCACAGTGTGCAGGATAAGACACGTGAGAGAGGCGAGATGGGACAGAAACCAGTAGAACTGAGGCGTTCTGGCAAGTTGAAACGTCTGTCGGTAAGCAATCTGCCAAGGAGAAGCGACGGCAACCTTGTCTGACATGGGCAATTAGTCGAAATCGTAAAAGAAGTCGTGGTGAGGCTTTGGGTGGAAAAAACAATAAGAGCACGAGATAAGCGAGTCGCCTAAAAAATTTTTTTCTGGAGAAACTACGGACGATCGACGCACAAGGGAAGGGTGTAAGAGAGGACAGATCAAATCTTTTTTGATTCTATACTAAGTGGAGAAGCAGCACTCCTTATACAAAAACAGGCGCAAGAATAGACCCGACAGAATCAGAAACACTTGTGGTGGACAATGGATGGTCCGGACTCGTCGTATTCTTGCTTGGAAATCCACATCTGTTGGAAAGTGGACAAGGAGGCCAAGATGGAACCACCGATCCAAACAGAGTACTTTCTCTCCGGTGGAGCAATGATCTTGACCTTCATCGAAGATGGTGCCAAGGCAGTGATCTCCTTTTGCATTCTCTCAGCAATACCTGGGAACATGGTAGTACCACCAGACATGACAATGTTACCGTACAGCTCCTTTCTAACATCGACATCACACTTGATGATGGAGTTGTAAGTGGTTTGGTCAATACCAGCGGCTTCCAGTCCAAGCGGACCTGGGTGGAACAGAACTTCTGGGGCTCTGAATCTCTCATTACCGATGGTGATCACCTGTCCATCAGGCAACTCATAGGACTTCTCGATAGCAGAAGACTGGGAAGAAGTCTGCAGCTCCTGGTCAAAGTCAAGAGCCACGTAACAGAGCTTCTCCTTGATGTCTCTGACAATTTCTCTTTCGGCAGTGGTGGAGAACGTGTAACCTCTCTCAGAAAGAATCTTCATCAAGTAGTCAGTCAAGTCTCTACCGGCCAAGTCGATTCTCAAAATGGCGTGTGGGAGAGAGAAACCAGCATAGATTGGAACAACGTGCGTAACACCGTCACCAGAGTCCAAGACAATACCGGTCGTTCTACCAGACGAGTACAACGACAGCACAGCCTGGATCGAAACGTAGAATGCTGGCACGTTGAACGTCTCGAACAAAATCTGGGTCATCTTTTCTCTGTTGGACTTAGGGTTCATTGGAGCCTCAGTCAGCAAAACTGGGTGCTCTTCTGGCGCAACTCTCAACTCGTTGTAGAAAGTGTGGTGCCAGATCTTCTCCATGTCGTCCCAGTTGGTAACGATACCGTGCTCAATTGGGTATCTCAGAGTCAAGATACCTCTCTTGGATTGGGCCTCGTCTCCAACGTAGGAGTCCTTTTGACCCATACCGACCATGATACCCTGGTGTCTAGGTCTTCCGACAATCGAAGGAAACACGGCTCTTGGAGCGTCGTCACCAGCAAAGCCGGCTTTGCACATACCGGATCCGTTATCAATGACCAACTAAATTGTTAGTAACTTTGGGTTCGCATATGCGGTGCGCAACTCGGGCTTAACTTTTCAACCCTCGTATATGGACCGCTTAGTACTTACAGCAGCAACGTCTTCTATAAAAGTGTTAGAAACATGTAAACCGTCGACTTCCGGGCCCCAATCTCCACTTTGCGGCTGGATCGGTCGAGTAAGGGCAACCAAACACGTCTGGTTGTTTTTTTTCGGACTGAGGCGAATTGTGCTGCATTGAAAAAGACAATTATCGTCACCAATACTGCCTTAGCATGCCGCATCCTATCGCTCTGTCCTCCACCTACTCGCAGGCGTGATACCACAACGCCACGCTGACTGTCTGGGCTGCAAGAATCCGCGCTTTGGCATTTGACCTCCAAACAATTTTGGGAATTGCCCGCTCCTTTGCCACTGATCTCAATCGGGCCCGGAACCGAATTTCCTCAGTACTTACCTCCGTCCATTTTGCTATAACTCAATTAAGATGATTCCAACCAATTGAAAGATCTAATTTACAAAACAAGGTAAAATAAAAACTTTTATAAAAACTGAGAGGACAACTCAACAAGATGGAGGCGATCTGCTGGAGCCTGCTGATTGGAATATTCGCGACCACCGGAAGGGGCTTTGCGGGCTCGTAACGTGACGTCCGGAAAAAATATTGTCACATCTGTACACCGGAACCGAATCTCGTGTGCACTGCGTGTGATGGAGAGCATTGCATTGGCTACACTTGCACCATTTACCTGGCTTCCGCTAAATAATTTGTAATCTAAACGGCTGTGCTGCTGAGATGGTCTCGGACCCACACTCACACGTGTTCCTCTCACCTGTATCTGACCTTGGTCTTCCTGCTCTCCAACTTTTGCTGCCGCTTGCTTTTCACGGGCTCTGTCTCTATTTGCTCTTCTTTCTGCCTGCGGGCAAAGAATGGCGAAATGAAACCCTTCAATTTGTATCCAGCGTAGCTAGGCACAGCCAGCAGAAGCAGCCAGGCCTTGTTGGAACCGAAAAGGACCATCAAAACGTCAATTGCCAGTGTCAAATAAACAATGTCGATCATGTACTCTGTGAGACCCTGCTGTTGTAGATCCTGTCCAGCAGAAGATAGAACGCTGTATCCCTGAGGATTCATGTGGTATTTGGGCCTGCCCACCTTTTCGAGCACATACTGACAGCCCAAGCCCGGGAGACTGAATATAAAGTAGTATTTTTTAGCTGCGGGCCTGTGCAAAACAAAAAGCGCAAGTAGAGCCACCACGTTCACCACGACAGAGGCAAGATGCAGCTGCTTCAAGATAGAAGAATTGGCCGCGGCCTGCTTTTTGTCGGAAGCTCCAGCCATAACAGATGTAGATAAATTTGAATAATTTATTTGTCACTACATATTACCCGACTTTAGCCAGCCGCTTAAGCTTGTGTAGGGTCTCCTTCGTGCTGGCACCTGTATTATGAATCGTAGCTACATCTTAGAAGCAAAGCCCACTAACAACATCCGCCCTGTTGGTTGATCACAGAGGTGCCGCTGAGGTTGACATTGGGCTTGCCTGCGGTGTTCGAGGCCGGTTGCGAGTTGGCCATCTGCGACTTGATCTGCTTGGACATGACGATGAACGCCTGCTCGACATTGGTGCTCTGCGACGCGGAAGTCTCCAGGAACTTAATACCTCTGCTGTCGGCGAACTCTTTAGCGACGGCGTAATCAACAACCTTCTTGTCGGTCAGATCACACTTGTTGCCGACAAGCAGCTTCATGACGCCGCTGGTGGCGTATCGGTCAATCTCTTGCAGCCACTGGTTCACGTTGTTGAACGACTCCTGGTCCGTCACGTCGTACACAATGATAATACCGTGCGCTCCTCTGTAGTACGATGAAGTGATGGTTCTGAATCTCTCTTGACCCGCGGTGTCCCAGATTTGCAACTTGATGGTCTTGCCGTCTAGCTCGATGGTCCGGATCTTGAAATCCACTCCGATGGTCGATATATAGTCCTGCGTGTACGTATCTTCTGCAAACCGCAGCAGAAGACAGGACTTGCCCACGCCGGAGTCGCCGATGAGCAGCAGCTTGAAAAGGTAGTCGTATTCGTTGTTCATCGGTATATTCGGACGCTTTTAAACCCCTAAACAACAAAAATGTTTGTATATCTTTTGTTGCTTGTTGGCATTTATTTGCCTCTTGCTTAGCTAAGCGGATACCGGGAAAAAAAAAGCCAGCCAACCAGCCAGGCTTACCCGGCTTGACGGTTTTTCTCTGTTCTGGCCTGTGCTCAACGCATCGCGCTGCCAGCCAACCGAAATGGCTGTGCGCCCCCGACCTGTCGCTTTCGAGTGTTGGCCCAGCCAGCTTCGGCCCCCCGATATTGTTCCAGCTTATTGTCTCGCCAGGAGGAGGATGTGGTCCAAGTGGCTGGTCTGCGGCCGTGCGGCTCACTTTTACTCCTTAGCAGCCGTCCGTTTTTGGTCCCTTCTCTCCTCCCAGCCATTTGACCAATGTCGTATATAGCCTGTGTTTTTGCTTAGTCCAGTGCGTGTAAATCCTCATGTGGGATCTGGCCCAGCAATACCCAGACACGACCCCAGAGCCCTCGCCTCTGCATGTGACCAGGGCCAGAGAGAGACGCTCGTCCCTGGTCGATCATCGGCCGCTGAAAAGAGCCAGCAGTCTCTCGTTCCGCATCCACACTCCGTGCGACTACTCTAGCGGCGCTAGCATGACTTCCTATACCTCTTCCACCTCCCTGAGTTCTCTAGGCTCGCTATCTTCCTCGGCAAAACAGCTAATCATGTCTCGGAAGACCAGCCCACGACACCCCGCCAGGCTCAAGACGAGGTTTTTCTCTCCATTCCACAGCACAAATACCAGCCCAGTTTCGCCTCGGTTGCTAGAGACCGTGGAAAAACTCTCGATAGACAACGACGCACATCCGATCTTCGAAATCCCGGAGATTGTCAACTTAATTTTGCATTATGTTGGCCACGACGATAGAGAAAGAGTGCCAACCGAGCATGCCCCGGTCCGGAAACCGCCCATGTCGCTGAATCACGCTAAACTCATCCATGGCGAGCAGGGCGAGAAAGTCTGGCAACGGACCCATTCCACCTCCAGCACGGCGCCACCTACGGGCAATCTGCACAACTGTCTGCTTGTCAACAAGCTCTGGCATTCGCTAACTCTCGAAGTTTTGCAGGAGAACCTGTATTTCGACTCGGACCTCAAACTAATGAACTACTCTCCGCAGCGCATCGCCGCGCCCAAGTCATTTGTTCTGCACAAACTCAAGTCCACACAACAAAGCCATCTTGCCAGTCTGCATATCAACCCTGTCAACATCGAATGGCTGGAGTTCTACATATGCCCCAAGCTGCTCCCATCGCCACACCTCTACACCGCGAAGCTGAAAAAGCTGGTGCTCCCGGGCTCCAAAGTAGTTGACGACGAATATCTGCAGCAGATTGCACCGTTGATGCCGAACCTGGTCCATTTGGATCTGCGGGCGTGTGAGCGCATCACGGACGCCGGGCTGTACGCGATTGGAACACACTGCCCGAAAATAGAGACCCTCAACTGCGGCCGGCACACCAAGGGCATCCTCGTGACCGACGCGTCGATTTCGCACATTGTCGCCAACTGCAACCTGAAAACCCTGGGCGTTGCTGGCTGCGGCGTCTCGGACGCCATTCTGTGGTCTCTAGCGTACCAGAAGGGTCATCAGCTCGAAAGACTCAGTTTGAACAGCTGCTGGCGACTCACCGACGCAGGCATATCTAGCGTTTTAATGATGGACCGATTTCCACGACTTGCAGTGCTGGAAATCCGTAGACTTACGGGACTGCAGCAGCTGCGCCCGATCGTCGAGTTCAAGAAGCGCCAGATGCGGCGCAGAATCGCGGTTCTGGTGGAGGCGTGCGAGGATCTGGAAGCAAGACTGCGCGCCGAGGAGCGCAGCCTGGACCTGGAAATCAGCACACGTATTTTTGAAGACATCAGCGAGTGGCTCAATGGCGACGATTTGCAGGATCAAATCGAAGAGCGCAACCTGCAACAGTTTGTGCAGCGCCGCAGCGTGCTGGTGTGAATTATATCATCTATTAATTATATAAATAATTGCATGTTAATTAGGCCTCGCAGAAAGCACGGTACGAGGTGAAAGTGTCCTTGGACTCGGAAACAAGCTCGATCGCGGTCTTGGGAGCCACGAAGAAAATGTTTCCCGTGGAAGCGTCCAGAGCCTCGTCGGAGCTCTGCAGCTTGATTTTTCCCTTACCTTCCGTAACAATCAGCAGCGAAGGGCCGTCCAGCGCTTCGAACTTCTCTGCCCCAGCGCTCGTGAACGTGGTCTGTAGGACGCTGAACTCATCAATAGGCGGGTCGTACAACTTCAGTTCGGCAACACCGGTTCCTCTGGGAAACGGAGCTGGCTTCAGTTTCTGCTCCTCAACAGGATTGAACGAATAAGTTAAGCAGTCAACAAGAACTTCCACGTCCTTGAACTTTGGCGTGAACCCAGCACGGATCACGTTATCGGAAGCAGCCATGCACTCCATGATATCGCCAGAGATGTAGGCATGTGGGTCCTTGGCTTCGAGAAACATGGCCTCGCCCGACTTCAGAATGCAGTGGTTGAGCAGCAGACATCCGCAGAAGAGACCAATATCGTTGGGAAATTGCGCGTCCAGGCGCTGTATCAGGTCGGCAAGAGTTTCGCCGAAAAGCTGCGGGTCCGACCTGGTTCTTTCCACAAGTCTGGCCGCGAGAGGCTCGAACTTGGACTCCGGACTGTTCATGACGCGGCTAAACACTTTTTGGAGCAGCTTCTTTTTCCCAGCAACGTCAGAAGAAACGATTCCGGAATGGAATTCGGCAACAACGTCATCGCCAACAAGCTCTCTAAATTCTGGGATTTTTTGCAGCAGGGCATCTATCTGTGCAAGCGGCTTGAATCCACAGAACGCCTCGAAATCAGTGATCGCAACAGCCATTTCCGGCTTGTGGTTATCGTCTGGGTAGTGTTTTGGGTCGGACGCGTGCAGCTGTCTGGCCAAGGCCTTGTCTGGATGTGCCTGGATGGAGAGCACCTTGCGAATCGAAAGCACCTTGAACAGGAAAGGGATGCCCTCTTTGGAGCCGAATTTTTTGATGATATCCTGGCCAAGCATCTCTTCTGGCGCAGCACGCACAAGATCTCTCAACGGAGTCCTGTCCTGAGCAGAAACAGTAGGAACAGAGGGGTGGGTGCCCATCCAGAGCTCAGCGTAGGGTTTTTCCTCCTCTATGAAGACGTTTTCTGGGTCGTTGAGCTTGGCAAACCGCGCGACCGCGGACGTGGAGCCCAGTTTTCCCCAGTCATAGTTCTGGGCACCTCCAATGACTCTGAACAGTTTTGGAGCGGAAGACATAATTACAGAAATTTGTGAATTAACAACACATCGACATTTTATATTTATTTTTCACATGGGGCCGATCGGCGCGTCGCGTCGCATTTTCGACCACAAAATTCTAATCACGTCCCTGCTGCAATCAGCAAGTGAAGCTGCACATCAATGTTTCCAGGTTCTTGGGAAAACTCGACAGCATCTTCAGGCAATCTCTGGCCATGAAGTCTCATTTCGCGTTTCAGCTGCCATTTGAGACAATCAAGACGGAAAGCTCCACGCGACACGGCGCCTGAAACAGCAAACTCGGACCCTGCACTGTCAGACTACTACAGACCCGCACAATAAAAAAACACATATACGGCATATTTATTCACCGCATAACAATACTTGCTTGGATACATGCTGCTGTTTCGTTTTTTTCCATAATAGTTTTTTTTTCTCTTTTGTTTACATACTGTTCCTCCAGTGTGCCCCTTGTCCCTCGCTTCTACAACCTAAAAACATGGCTAAGCAGTGTGACTTTTTGGAAGTGCCGATGACACCCAAACTTGCTCATCCACAGACCTTGCAGCGATCCCCCAACAGTATGCCCTCGTTTTCGGCACTCGGGATAAAACGGCCTAGCGATTCGATCCTCAACTGCGCCCGTCAAGACCTCGCCACCGGTGAATCGAGCGGCGATTCCAACGGGTCGACCTCGCGAGTGTCGTCAATTACCAGTGCCTCGTCCACAGAACTCGCGAAAATACGGTACAAGATTCCTCCGCCTCGTGTAGGCCGAGTGGGCAAGACCTTGTCTCAACAGGAAAAATACAAACTATACGAGGAAATGGAGGAGGACGATGATATATCCCAGGAACCTGCCATGTTCAACGTGCCAATGGCCTTGCATTCCACTGCTTCGCTTTTTGAGTTCTCAAACAAAACTTCGGGCTCGCGAATACTAAAGCAAGCGTGGCATGATTCGTCCAAACTTGCGCCTTCCCCGCTGCCCGGCGCGCTGGCTAAGAAAAGCCAAACCGAGCCTACATACCTGCCGAGTCCGGTCCTCACAAAGCACCACACATACTTGAACCTTTCTCCTGACGCTCGTGACCTGAGCAACTTTTATGAATACTCGATACAAAACTACGTGGAACAGGAAATGAACAGAAGATCCAAATACAGCAACAAAGTGGACGAGCTCGATGACCGGAAGCTTGTATCTGCGGAGAAAGCTGACTCGCTGACGATAACTAGGCCCTCTTGGCTGCCTCCCAAAAATAAACACGAATCGCTCAAGCACGAAAAAGAATTTTCCAAATTGGTGGAGAAGCAGGGGCTTCGTCGCAAAAAGGAAAGTTTGAAGAAAGAGCAGCGCGAACGGGACAAGATGATCGGAGACGCACGACTTGTGTACCTCTCAGGAAAGGATAGGATCTCGAGCTCGAATCTGGCGGAAATCAAGAAACTCATATGGAGGTCTGAGGTGGACCCTACAGTCAGATACACTCTATTTGTCAAGGTTTTGGAGTACAAACATTTAAGCACGGACATTCCTAATCTGCCATCAACAACAAAAAAGCTCGATTTGGACTCGTTCATTAGCAGGCATCCCGACATATACAGAAGCCCGAAACTGGTGGCGTCTTTGGAGCAACTGCTCCAAATCACATCTGCACAGCAGGACTGGCAGTTCAACACCTACCATGCGAACCTGGCGCTGTTGGTAAACGACTTCACATTTTCGAGGGCCCTGGGCGTCCTGTATTATTTGAATACCCACGTCATTACGAAGGAATTCATCACGAAATTCAATGCCATTCAATCGCACTCATACATCAAATCGGCTCTCAAGTGTTTCAAGGACGATTTGAGCCTTGTGAATTTTGATGCTTTCATCAAGATTGTCAACAATTTCAGTCTACCGATCGTTTTCAAGATCATTTCGCTGCTTATGGTGTACGCAGACCACAAGCTACTGTACTCATGCATTACGACTATTCTTCTGCACTACCATTTTGGATGGAACAACCTGAACCTTGTCCTTCACAACCAGGACCCCGTCATACGCATTGACGACGAGGAACTCTTCTGGAGCAGGGTGTATTCTTACTATAAGAAAATGTAATATAATTTAAGGCTGTGCCCAAAAAAATATCTATTTTTCATAAATTTTTCACCTCTAGTTATGCTTAATCGGGCCCTTTTCGTCACCCGAGCGCGACGGATTCCGCTACATTTTGCCCGAACGGTTGTATTTCACCGTAAGCGGAGGCCTCAGCCCCCAGATGCAACAAAGATCGACACTTCGCTGAGCGAGCAGATCAAAAATCTAGAGAAATTTACACAGCAGTTCCAGAGCATTGTCAAGACCAAACAGGACCTTTCCGCACAGAAAAAGGCCATGGAAGACCTCCATATAAACGACAACCCAGACGATCCAGTTGATGAGGAGGCAGATGCGCTGTTTGAGGCGCTGATGTCCTCAAACTCCTCTCAGAACCCGCTGCTTTTGGAGGACGGGCCCAGCGCGCAGTCCCTGTCGATCTTCCCCCCTGCTGAGCCCTACACGGCGCTTCCCCCATCCATCCGCGAAAAGCTCGATCCAGAAACCATCAAGCACATCACTGTGGCCGCCGGGGCCAACTGGGTGCCTGTGGTGGACCGTTTGCACCAGACCTCTGGGCTGGCCGGTAGCAGGCCGATCGACGTCGTGCGGTTTATGACCAAGATTCCGCGGGCGCAACGGCCGCTGGTTGTCGCTAAGATCCACGACATGTCAATTTCTGCCGGGCTTCTGGAAAACGTTCATATCTACAACACCATAATGAGCTGCTACAACATGGCTTCTGCCACGCAGGCCCGACCGATCGTCGAGAAGCTGTACTCTGAGCTGCAGGAAAAAAACATCAAGCCGAACCTCATCACTTACAGCGTGATGGTGAACCTGTACAGCAAGCTGACTGACGTTGACAATGTCCGCAAGTTTATGCAGCAGATTTCCAGCGAGGGCCTGGTGGCTACCAAAGAGGTGTACACGTCTGTTTTGCAAATGTATGTGCGGCTGGAGAAGTACGAGCACGTTTTGGAGACGTTTAACACGATGAAGTTTCTTTCTATCGAGACGGCGCCCTCGTCGCGCACTTACTCGTCTGTGATATTGATGGACGTGCTGAATAATAACGTCGAGCATGCTTTGGGACTATACGAAGAAATGGTGGCCAAGAAGCTCCCGCTGGAGCCCGAGACGTATCTGGCGCTGGTAAAGGGATGCACCACTCGGCGGGAACTGATTGAAAAAGGATGGCAGTTTATTATTGAGTATTATTCGAAAGGTTTTCCGATGGACGCTCGCGTGATAGAGATGATGATGGCTCTGGCGGTGAAGGACTCGGACCTGAACCTTGCAAGGGCGTTGTTTGTGGGGCTGTTTGACACACTGACCAAGGCCGAGGGCCGCCTGGCGCCGCCGTCGCCGGTTGCGCTGAAATACCTGTTCAACGCGTACGCTTTCTACGACCCGCAACGGGTGCCAGTGAGCCGTCTGAACAAGCAGGTGGGGGAAATTGCTGCGCGCACGTTCGACTTGTGCGACTTCTGTTTCCACGTTGACGCGCCGCCGTTTCTGCCGACGCTGCACGTTGGCGAGACACAGGCTCTAAGTGAGGCTCGCGCGCTGTTCCAGTACTTTTCGGCCAAGTTTCCGCAGCAGATATCTGTGGAGGTCCTGGATGCGTTTTTGTTTGTGTTTGCGTGGAAGGGCGAGTCGATAGTAGAGTTTGAGCAGCTGTGGAACAGACACACGTTCTTCAGAGGTGAGGGAGTGACGGTGGAGGAGCCGGAGGAGCCGGAGGAGCAGAGCGTGCAGGAGCAACTTTCCAAAGAGCCAGCCGTCGCTGCTGCGGCTACCACCCCCACCCTCAAATACCCACGCAACGACAGACTGTACAACGTGTGTCTGCACGCTGCGCGCATTCACAAGGACGTTCGGTTTGCACAGAAAATATGGACAGAACGCGGCAAGTACAGAAAGACGCCCGAGTTCCAGAGACTAAGTCCGCAGAAACAGGACCAGCAGGACTTCAAGTTCGCCAGAGGCATTGTTTCGGTGTTTACGCAGACCAACAATGTCGTCGACGCCTACCAGGTGGTGTTGAGCTCGCAGCGGCGCTTCTCGTGGACATATTATCATTTAAAGGAGCTGATGCTCCTTGCCGAAAAGCTCGGCTACACCAGCATCCACAAAAACCTCAGCGAGGTGGCTCATTTGGCCGAAAAGCGGCAACGCAAGATGTTTGTAAATAGTTAAATAAACTATACAGCTCGTATTTACAACGTCGGCTCCGTCTGGTACAGGGTGTCCAGAAAACAGCCAATCAGCTTATCGGCCACCGACCCGGTCTGCAGACTGTTGGCCACGCCGTACAGCTGCGCGGTGTCGGATTGGACGTCGTTCTTCTCGAGCGAAAGCTGCTTGACGGCAGCCTTGAGCTCGAGCAGCAGCGTGTCGATGGCGGGCACGGTAAGCTTTGTCACGGCGAGGTGCAGCGCGGGCGGGTTCTGCAACGCGCTCAGATGCCACCCCTTTTTGCCGAGCATGTCGCCAAGCTTGTGGATGTTGAGTTTGTCGGAGCGGAATGCCACCACCGAGAGCTGCGGATTGCCGATAATTTGGAGCTCTGGAATTTCCTCCTCGATCGTCTGTCTGAGTCTGCGCGCCGTCAGAATGATATCCTGGCACGCCTTGGTGTAACCGTCGTCACCCATGTACACCATCGTGGCCCATGCGCCCACGGTGAGCGCGCCGGGACGTGAGCCTGCTAGCGTGGGGGAACCATACAGCCCCCCAACCCACTCCGTGGACACAAAGTACTGGTACTTTCTGTACTCGTTGGAGCGGTACATGATGATGGACGAGCCCTTTGGCGCAAAGCCGTACTTGTGCGTGTCGCAGCTGATCGACGTGACGCCGGGGAGTCTAAAATCGAACGGGTCTAATGCCTTTTGGAACGCCTTTTCGTAGTACGCAATCACAAACGAGCCTAGGCAGCAGTCCACATGCAGCGGGATGCGGTGCTGGACGGCCAACTGCGACAGCCCGGCAATGTTGTCGACGAGGCCGTGCGGGAAGTTAGGCGCAGAGCCGATCAGCAAGCACGTATTCTTGTTGATAAGCCGTCTGACCTGAGTCAAATTTCCGATGTAGTTTTCGTCCAGGTCGACAAGGTGCAGTTTCATGTTGAAGTACTGCGACGCCTTGAAAACGGCCGCGTGGACCGTCTTGGGCGCAATTATCTCAAACTCTTTCAGGCCCCGCTCTGCGCGAGCTTTTTCTCTGGCCGCTAGACATGCCAGCAGCAGCGACTCTGTGCCTCCCGACGTGGTGGTGCCGCAGCCGGATTCCGGCGCGTTGAACAGCCTCAGCACCATCGACACCACCTCGGCCTCCATCTGACGGACTCCCGGAAACGCGTCCGGGTGCAGCTGGTTGGCCACGGCGAACTTGTGATACGCCTGCGACTGCAGGTCGATCAACTCGTCGCCGCCGTGGTACACCGCACCAGACAGCTTTCCGTCCTTCCAGTTGGCGGCTTTGAGGCTGCTCAGGTCGTCGAGCTTGTCCATCACCTCTTTTTCCGTGAGACCGTACTCGGGCACCTCGTTGTAGGAGGTGGAGGCCTTCACCAGCAGGGAGTGCTCCAGCTGTTTTTTCACCTCGCGCACCTCGGAGTCCACCTTTCTGCGCATAATCGGCAGCCTCAGCACCGTACTGTAGAACCGCTTGGCGCAGCGCCGGTACAGCATCGTGGCGCTGCGCACGGGGCCGTACGCATACGTCACACGCAACAAGCGAGCGACCCAGCCCATTAGATACCACAGGATCAGGAAGTCACGCGCCAGCTCCAGCAGCGTGTGGCGCTCGTAGTACAGAACGGCGCAGGCGGCCAGCGACTCGTATTTCTCGCTTGCTGCTGTCCGGAATGCGTCCAAATTAAATGCCATTGCAAATATAAGGTAGCTAAGTAATTTGGCTATAAAATTCCGAATGTGCCGGAGTAACCACAAGCTGGAGCACTTGTGGAGAAAATGCTGTTTCGGGCAATCGCTGCTAACAGTTGATGTTTGGCCACGCAATTGAGCAATGAGCCGGTCAATTGTGCGCACAGCCACGTCTGACAGGGCGCGTGTACCCTGATGCGTAGCCTGATAAGAGCCGACCGCCCGGGGCTGATCGACGCGTCGATAGCTGACTATCAATTTTATTCGATATCTACTTTCTCTGTCTTGTCTCTCTTCATGAAACGGTCTCTGGAGCAGCTGCTTGGCCCCGCAGACGAGAAAAAGGCCTCGCTCCATCTATACAGGGCAGCGTGTGTGCGCTGTCGCAAGAAAAAAATGAAGTGCACCAGCGACCTGCCCCGGTGCGCTGGCTGCGCCAAAGCCGACGTCGAGTGCGTGTCCATTGACCCGGTGACCGGCCGTGAAGTACCGCGTTCGTACGTGGTGAGTCTCGAGTCTCGCGTGGAAGAACTGGAGAACCGCCTGCGCAGTCTCGAGGGCGCCACGCCTGCAGAAGCGTCGGAATCGGCCTACTCCAACAGATCCGACTCTTACATCGACAACGTCCAGAACTCCACCGCCGCCTCGGGCTCGAAGGCGCCGCCCTCGTTCATGGGTGCCTCTTCAGGCATCTCGTTCTCCAAGCTCATGGTGACGGCCGTCAATCTCCGGGGCCCGGACAGCTCGAGCCACAAGGTGCACACCTCGAGCCAGTCCATCATGGACCCTTCTGTGCTGAAAAAGACGGTTGCCGGGTCGAATATCGCGCTTTTGCCGCCGAAACAGCAGGCTCTGAGCCTGCTGTCTGTCTACTTTGCGCAGTCGAACGCCCAGCTCCCGATCTTCCACAGAGAAGAGTTCCTGGCACGCTATTTCCAGCCCATCTACGGCGACGTCCCGCTCGACGTGTCGTTCGCCTCGACCTACACCGCCATCAATCCGCAGTTCTTTGCGCCGCACAGAGAGGAAGACACCTGGTACTACCAGTACACGCGGATCCTCGACCAGGAGGTGGAAAAAAACAAAAATGCCGACCTCGTCCAGGTCGCCAACTCCATCGACGTGCCTACGCAGTTTCACGTCCCGCTGTTTTTCATGAACATGGTATTTGCCATCTCGTCGTCTGTCACGCTCCTCAAGTATCCGGACCATATTTCGGAGAACTTCAAGAACGCAGCCATGCTGTACATCGACTCCGTCTACGGCTCCCACGACCGGCTCGAGGCGCTCCAGGGCATTTTGTGTTTTGCGCTCTACTCCTTGATGAGGCCTGCCGTCCCCGGTATCTGGTATATCCTGGGATCGGCGCTGCGTGTCTGTGTCGACCTTGGTCTCCATTTCGAGGGTGACTACAAGTTCGACGCATTCACGCTCGATTTGCGTCGCAGACTCTTCTGGTGCTGCTACTCGCTCGACAGACAGGTGTGTTTTTATCTCGGGCGGCCGTTCGGCATTCCCGAAGAGAGCTGCTCCGTGCCATTTCCGAGCGAGCTCGACGACGCGTTCATAACCAGGAACACCGCCGTGGCCGACTTCTCTGCCAAAACGTCCACCATGCCCACCTACAAGCTCGTGTCCCTGTCGATGTTCCGCATCCGGCAGCTGCAGTCCGAGGTGCAGAGCATTTTGTACGACAAACGAGAGCTGCCTCGTCGTTTCGCTACTCTGGAAGACTGGCACGCAGACATCACCCGCAGACTCGACCAATGGAAGGCCGACACGCCCAAGAGTCCGCGCAAGATGAACTGCGACTTCATCCATGAATTCTTTATTCTCAACTACAGCCATACCAAGGTGATTCTCAACGGGCTGTCGCCGCGAAGCTTTTCGCTCACGGTCGAAAATTATATCAACGTGCTCGAGGCCTCCAAAGATATTATTTATTCGTATTATGAGCTGTACCAGAGCCAGGTGATCAACTACACGTGGGCAGCCACGCACAACCTGTTTATGGCCGGATCTTCGTTTTTGTACGCCATCTTTAATTGCGAAGAGGCCAAACAGCGCATCTCCGTGGAAGAGCTGCAGACGGCGGCCATGTACTGCAGCATCGTGCTCTCAGGGCTTTCTGGCAAGTGCGAGGCCGCAGTGCAGTGCCGGGACATTTTCGACCTTCTCACGGCGGCCGTCATCCGCATTAGATACGCCAACTTCGTCGACCCGGTGGACGTCAGCCTGCCATCCACAGAGCAGATCAAACAGTTCCAGCCAGGCAACCACGTGAACGAGCACCTCAAGGACCTGGTCTCCAGTCTCCCTGCCACAATGCGCAGCCTGGGAAACAACTCGGATTTCGCAGCACCGGCATCAAAGCCGTACGAGCCAATTACCAACGAGTCGGAGTTGACGACCTTCTTCGAGGAACTCAACAAGCTGGAGTCCATGCCATCCAGCAGATCGCCCAGTGACATTCATTCTCCCGCCAAAGCGGCGCGCTTAGGCCCCTCAGGCGAGTCGCCGCTCCATCTGAGGTCTCCGTCATACGACCAGAACGTCGACCGCCGACTCTCCAAAGAGGGCCAGAAAATCTATAAGATGATATTCCAGGTGCCAACAGAGAGCATCTGGGAGCAGTTTTTCGCCAACCCGGGTGTCGATCAATGAACGTCGTCCATCTGCATTAATAAGTCCATGCGATTGTTGACAATACTGCCGTCCTTGACTTCGTAAATATCGAGCGCGAGAATCGGCGACTGGAGCCCGCTGAACGCAACCTCCACATTAACAATCGCACCGGGCTCCAATGCCGGGTTGTTGAGCGGCATCCGCGAAACAATCTTGCTCATATCGACCTGTAAATCTGGAATGTACGTTTCGTTCCCGTAGGCAGGAACGAGATTGTTAATGCGCAAAACCCCGCTCTCCTCGTCGTAGCCAAGCGTTTGGCCAAGAAGCCGTAAATAAGCCGGTCTAGAGTCTTCCAGAAGAACGAGCCGCAGCTTGCTCATGTCCACCACTAGTTTACCCATCTCCACATAGCTGAAATATTTTATTTTTCGTACAACCTGTATTTATCTGAGCACCGCCTTGATTGTGATTAGAATTTGACCCTGGTTTTGCGTTTGTTCTTGAGCAGGATCTTTTGCGCTTGTTCTTCCGCCTCACTCTCATCGCTCGCCATCTCCATGTCCTCGTCCTCGTCCTCGTCCATCTCGTCTTCTTCCTGTTTTCTCTGTGCCTTGGCGGCCTCCTTCTCTGCCTTGATCCTGAGCTCAACTTCTCTCATTCTCAGCAGTTCCTGGTTCTCCTCCACAAGCTTTCTGTCCGCAGCAAGCTGTCTCTCTTTGTTTCCTCTCATTCTGTTCTTGTAGAATGCTCTCTCTCTCTTCTGTCTGATCTCCTCGATTCTAGACATGGCCTTGAGCGTTGTAGCAACAAGATCTCTGTTATACCGCACCGGAACATTGCGTCTGCTTGCAAACGTAAGCGTGGAGTCGACAGCAAGCTCTTTTCCGGCAGCTTTTCTGAAAGCTTTAGTCCACCTGAGTTTTCTTGGGTTTCTCTTTTGTTTGAACGCCTTGTGGCACTTCGAGCGACAGAAACGGAACTCTTTGGCATCGTTCCGCACAAACATGATTCCATGGCCGGGATACACCGGCGAGGAACAGAAATGACAGGAGTAGATTCTCATGGTTGTGATAAAAAAATATTCCAAAAAAAAAAATTTGAGTTTTCCTGTACGAGCAGGTGATGCAAATCATGTGCCGCTGGCCTATTTTTCATTTTTTTCTCTGGAAAAATTATCGAAGCCGCCATGTCTAACATACAAAACATCAGTATACCCTCGCTTCCGGTCCCGGGCGAAGAGTCTGATAGCCACGATATGCCATCCCAGATCAGCCTCGAGCCTCCAAAACGGTCTGTTTCGACGACAGAACAGTATTTTAATGCCGCCTCCGAATACATGTCTGAACACCCCGTGATAACTGGTATTGGTGCGTTCGCAGCCGCGTACGTTGCCGCGGGAATGTACAAGAAGTTCAGCTCTTCAGGAGCGTCCAAATTTTACAAAGGAGGCTTTGATCCAAAGATGAACGCCAAGGAAGCCTTAAGGATCCTGGATCTCAAGGAAAGCACGCTGACGAAGGCCAAATTGAAAGAAAACCACCGAAGAATCATGTTATTGAATCACCCTGATAAAGGAGGGTCGCCGTTCCTGGCCACAAAAATCAACGAGGCTAAGGATTTCCTCGAGAAGAGAGGCATCAACAAATAAGCTATTGTAAATAGGGGAATCAATATGAAAGGTATTGTCGAAAATAGTGCAACGTACTACGAAAAGGTCAGCTCCATTTCCACCACTTTTTCTTTTCCGCCGCTTCCTGGCGCTTCTCCAGCTCTGACTGCGCCGTGTCCAGCGCCCTCATCAGGGTCTCTTCTCTGTTCTGTCTCACTTTTTCCGCCTGCACCACGTGTTTGACTCCAAACCGGTCCTTCACAAACTCATTGCCGTCCTGTACATGCACGAGATCGTTTTCTTGATTTTTTTCATACACGATCGACGGCAGCGGTTTCTGGGGAATCGTTCTGGCCTGATCGTAGTAGTACAGGTCTCTATAGTCTTGATCGTTTAATTCACCCATAATCCACTCCTTTGCGCGGAGCTGCATGCGTCTGAAGGGTGCCAAAACGTGGTCGTAGTCGTTCCATCTGAAGAAAAACACGCCCAGCACGGTGAACCCCACCATCAGGGAGATTCCGGTAAGTCTGGCCCCTCTTTCGAATTTGTTTGTGTAGTTCACGCGACGAAGAACCTTGTACCTTCCCGGATACAGCTCAGAGGCCGGCCGTGGAAAATACTCCAGCCTTTTCATGTCAATCCTCAATTTCGAAAAATCCCCCACATCTTGAGCCAAGGTGCCTGAGTTCTCCTTGAGCTTGCCCGGGGCGCTGAACTCACTGGGGTATCCCTTGGCAGGACGCAGGTCAGACGGGTCATAGGGATTGTACGGTGCCTTGGGCGGAACCCAGCCGGGCGGATTGGGCCGTCTTTCGAAATCATCCATGGTAACTCAAATAAATAATCTCCAAATTATTTTATTTATTTATGATCTCCTATATCTACAAATTTCTCTCGCTGGAAACGCTGGACGCGCGGCTTTGCGCGCCGGCCAATCCTAAGAAGAAGGCTGAAATCATGAAAAGGGCAGGCCCTTCGCGGTGGAAGAGCCTCGAATTCAAGGTCTACGCCGTCGTCTTCGCGGTGGTTGTCCCACTGATGGTCAAGACTGCCATGGAGGCCAGCAACGAGACAAACCCCAATTTTTACCGCTACGAGCGCATTCTGAGCGACGGCTGGTTGTTTGGCAGAAAAGTCGACAACAGCGACAGCCAGTACCGGTTTTTCAGAGACAACGTGCCAATGATCGCGGCGCTGATGGTGTTCCATTTAGTGTTGAAGAGGACGTTTTTAAGTCTTGGCACCGAAGCGGTGGTATTTGACGCTGGGTTTGGACTGTTGTTCCTGTTCGGTGCTCATGGCTTCAATTGTCTCCGAATTCTGTTCCATACCATGGTCATGTATACGTTTGGCCGTGTTCCCAATAAAAAACTCAGCATAGCCCTCCTGTGGACCTACGGCCTGGCCACGCTGTTTCTCAACGACAGATACAGAACGGTCAAGTTTGGCGGGCTTTTGCCAGCGCTGTCATTCATGGACTCTTTCAAGGGCCTGATTGCCAGATGGGACGTGTTTTTCAACTTTACGCTACTCAGACTTCTAAGTTTCAATCTGGACTATCTCTGGAGAGAGCCGAAAAAAGACAAAGAAACCAAGGATGGCGGCGAGCTGGATGAGAGACAGAGACAGAACTACGCTCTTGAGGACAAGGACTACTCTCTTCTGCACTACTTTGCCTATGTTTTCTATACTCCGTTGTTCATTGCCGGGCCCATAGTCACCTTCAACGACTACATATACCAGACCCGCCACCCGCTCAGTTCCATCACGTGGAAGCGGACTGCCACGTACGGTCTGCTGCTTTTATGCTGTATCATGCTCATGGAGTTCATTCTGCATTATATATATGTGGTTGCTGTGTCGAAAGCAAAAGCCTGGGACGGCGACACTCCGTTCCAGATCTCGATGATTGGGCTGTTCAACCTGAATATTATATGGCTCAAGCTCTTAATCCCGTGGCGGGTGTTCAGATTCTGGGCTCTCTGTGACGGCATCGACCCGCCAGAGAACATGATCCGCTGTGTCGACAACAATTACTCCACCATGCAATTCTGGCGGGCATGGCACCGCTCGTACAATAAATGGGTCGTGCGGTATGTGTACGTGCCACTGGGCGGCTCGAAGAGCAGGATCGTGGCGTCGTTTGCGGTGTTTACGTTTGTGGCGATCTGGCACGATATCGAGCTGCGACTGCTGATCTGGGGGTGGTTAATTGTGCTGTTTTTGCTTCCGGAAATGCTGGCCACCCAGCTGGCCAAACCGTACGAAAATAAGTGGTGGTTCAGACACCTGTGTGGCGTGGGGGCCATCATCAACATCTGGATGATGATGCTGGCCAACTTGTTTGGTTTCTGTCTCGGCAAAGACGGCCTGACGCTGCTGCTGAAAGACATGTTCACCACCATGGACGGCTGGGTGTTTTTCGTGCTGAGCAGCGTGTGTCTGTGGATTGCTGTGCAGGTGATGTTTGAGTGGCGTGAGGAAGAGAAACGCCGCGGTGTCGACGTCAAGTGCTAGCAAGATTGGCTCAGTTGTACATTCGTTTGTAGTCTCTTGGGCTAACAAAGCTTTTTTTGTTCTTGTCCTTCCAGAGGCCTCGTTTCTCGCGCTTGGCGTACTTTTCCCACGCCAGATAGAGCGCCTCCTTGCCGTCGAACTCGACGCCCTGCTTTGCCTCGTAAACGGTGCCGATCCCGTTCTTGATCATCTCCTCGCTCACGTCGCGAAACCCGTTCCATTTCAGCACCATTACTTTTGCAACCACCCGGTTGTACTGGTCCAGACTCAACGGCTTGACATACAATTTTCGCCCCAAAATGTAGTTCCGCAGCCACTGCAATGCCTCCTCGCTGTACGGCTGCGCAGGCTTGCCAAAATGCGATCTTTCTGGAGCGTCCACGCCGCAAAGACGAACGTGAATGGTCCTATTTTTCAGTTTGCGGAACGTGTTGATCTCTGGAATCTTCCGCAGCCATCCCCAGCCGCCCAGACGGCCTCCTGGTAGGTGGAACATGTGGAAGTTGTCGCCGTCGCCGACGGAGGTGACCTTGCCAAATAAATACCTTTTTCGAAACATGTACGACGGGATGTCTGTGGCGACGTTGATGCGGCGCAGGTTACGCGAATAGAACGCGTACCCGGATATGAGGGCCGACGCAGTGCCAAATCCATACAGAAGCACGAGCGGGTGCGTCGGAGAGACGTCAGACATAGGCTGGATCAAACGCACTTTTTTTTATTTACCAGACGATCGTCCGCAAACATGAAAAAATCTCGAGTCGCTTTATTTTTGTTAAACCATGTTCAGACGATTCTCCCGATTCTACGCCACATACCGCCATTTTGGCAACAGAACCACGCGAACAGGATGGACATTTGAGCTTACGCCGATAGGCCGTCGCAACCTGACCATTGCGGGCGCAGGACTCGCTGTACTCGTCGCCACCCATATAGAGCAGGCTCCCGTCACCCACCGGTCGAGACTGATGATTGCGCCGGCGTGGATGGAGCTGTGGTCTGCAAATTCCAGCTACAAGGCCCTCATCAATCAGTACCAGGGGGCCATCTTGCCCGCGAGCCACCCGGCAACGCTCAGGGTCAAGGCCATCATGGCCCGATTGATAAAGGCTGCCGAGAACTACATTGACCCAGACACGGGCGAGCGGACCAATTTGTTTGCGGACCTCAAGACACACACGATGCCGGCAATTGAGTGGAAAATCCACGTGATCGACGACGTCAACAGGGTGGCCGGCAGGCCGACACCAAACGCCTTTGTCATCGGCGACGGCAAAGTGTTTGTGTTCCGGTCGATAATGCAGATGACGCCGACCGATGACGAGCTGGCGACCGTCCTGGCACACGAGCTGGGTCACCTTCTTGCGCACCACATCAGAGAGCGGCTTTCCGCGGCTCCCTTGTACACGGCCGCTGCGGTGCTGATGAACACCATTTTTGGCCCCTCGTCGTTCAACTCTGTGCTGTCCAACATTTTGTTTGAGAGCCCAAACTCGCGCGCAATGGAAACCGAGGCCGACTACATTGGCCTGATGCTGATGTCGCTGGCGTGCTACAACCCGCACGAGTCGCCGCGGTTCTGGAACCGCATGGTGCAGTACGAGCGACGCAGCGGCCAGATGATCCCGGAGCTGCTGAGCACGCACCCAAAGAGCGAGCGCAGAATGCAGAATATCGGCGAGTGGATGCCCCGTGCAGACAAGCTGTACGAGCTTGCCGGCTGCGCGGGCATGCTGTCGTACAGAGACATGTTCAATAGATGGTAGTGCGTCGATCGGCGCGCGACCCACAAAAATTTAACTTTTGTACATAATCTGCAAATATAATGGATCTGGGCACCTTGGTCAACTCGCAGCCGGTTGTGGCGTCCGTGCCCCCGCCTGCTGCGCCGCTATTGTTTCCTATCCAGCAGACGTCTATTCAGAGGGAGCTGACCGAGCTGCTCATCAAATTGCATCGGCCCTACTTGGAGAAGCTATTAACGGGACAGGTAAAGGACGAGATAGATTCGGACACTTTGAGCAGCTCGGCCATGCTTGAGCTTTTCGTCGCAAACCTCCGGCAGATAGCGAACCATTCGAGTCTGCTTGTGGATCATTTCATGTCCAGAAACATGGTGTTGATGAACCCCAAACACAACCTCAAACGGTCCTCTGCCAAGTATGTTTGCGTCGACGACCTTCTGAGCCGGCTTGCCGTGCGCAAACAGCCACGCACCGTAATTGTGACGGCGGCAAGCTCGCGCGAGCTAGACCTGATCGAGGGCATCCTGATTGGCAAGCGGGATCTTCAGTACTACAGGTTCAGTGGCTCTTCGCTCTACTACGACAATCACGGCTCGTTCGACTTCAGCAAGCAGGAATTGAGCAACCCGACCATGCCGTCGCCGCATGCAGCAGCCGCCAATGGCAAGAATAACGGCACAGACGACTACACGCCGCGGATCTCGAAAAACAGCCCGCTGTACCATAAAATCGAGCAGCAGAAAAACCGGGTCGTGAGCGTGTACCTGATTTTATCGAACCAATTGCAAAGTCTGGCACGTTTCGAGGAGCTGCGCAGTGACTTGGTGATCTCGCTGGACGCAAAGCTGGACCAGAGTCTCGCAATTCCGGTTATCAAGCCAATATATCTGAACGGCATCGAATACTTCGATCTTGCGCTGGACAGAGCAATTTCGGGCGACGAACGAGATAAACAGCTCGCCAAACTGGTATTGGTGAACAGGAATGCCGCTACACCAGGTCCGGAATTGCAAGACGTTGTCAGTTGGCTCGATGGCCAGGGCAGGTATCCATACACCGAGAGCAAAGAAATAGAGACAGTGAGCGACAACGACGCGTTGGAAGCGCTGGCGAGCCTGGAACTTGAGACACCGTACCATCTGGACCGCTACGAATTTTTCAACCTGTCGCTGGCTCCAAAGGACGATCCCAAGAAAATCAAGCTTGAGGAGTCTCCGTTGGTGGGCCTGACGTACCACGAGTACCAGCTAAGGCTTGGCCGGTTGATCTACGACCGCTACCAGGAGCTAGTTTACACTGTTGACACGCAGCGGAGACACCTTGCGGGTATTCGCGAGGACGACTCACAGCGCCAGGCCCAGCTGGAGGCCGTTGTGGAGGCCATGGGAGACGTTTTTAGAAAACTGCAGACAACCAAAACCACGGCGGAAACTTTGGCCAAGCAGGTCGAAAAGTGTGAAAAAGACTTGCGTACCGTTGAGGAGACAGACCGAAGGCTTAAGGAGCGCATGGAAGAGTACACCAACCGAGCACGGAACGGAGCTACAGAAACAGCGCTGCATGAGCAGCAGGATGCAATCAGCGCCTTACAAGACGAGTTGAAACGGCTAGAAGTCGAGTACCAGAAAGTTATGGCGGAAAATGAGTCTGTCCGTGCAGAATACCAGCAGAAATCGTCTGCTGCTGCGGAAATGTCGTCGATGCTGATGGAGACAAAAAAGAAGCTCGAAGCGGTGCATACAGAAAGCAAAGGCGATTTCCGCAAGCTGCAGCAGACAAAACTCGACAGAGAAACGGAGATGTACAAAAGACGCACAGATTCGCTCGCCAGTCAAAACAAGTTTCTCGAAAAATATATCAAAATTCTCGATAGCGTCGCCAAGGAAAAAGCAACCGTCGGCCGCATCCGTGCAAGCCGCAGCACAACCCCATATCAATAACCCAAACACGCCAACGTCACATGGATGTGACAAACTGGATCCCGTTGATGTGTTGACAATACATGCCTTTAATTGCAGCCAGCTGCCGATCCTCGTCAATGGGTATTTCCAAGTACTTGCCGGCCAGACACTTGCCCATGGACTTGGTCTGTCCGCCCAGTTTCGTCTCGAACTTGATCTTGTCCAGATATTGCCCAAATTTCAAGTATATCTTGGTGATTTTGTCTCCCCTTTCTAGTTCTACCCGATACGTATCCTTAACAGGCTTCCAGAACCCGAACATGTACGTGTCGCCAGAATAGGTGATGAATTTGATGCTCTCCACGTGCCGGTTGCAATTTACTTCAATGTAGCGGATACTGCGCGGAACAGAAGTCTGAACCGGCGTCCCAAACTCCCTACTGCCCACAAACTTTGACAGCTTCACGTAGGGTGGCGGTGAGACGTTCATCGACTCCGAGTACCTTACCAGCCTATTCTTGCGCTTCTTGGCACGCGTCGCATCAATTTTCTTGGTGGTTTTGTCCACTAATACGATACCCACCGCAATGAGTCCCAACATGTTTGCGGAGCAAGGAAAAAAGGTAATCTGATTTTGAGATAAGAAATAATAATCACCGGTGCACAGCCCAGGGCGTATTTATTTTCCTCACTCGATGCCGTTAAAAAACGACCGTATTTCCTCCTCCGTGACGACCTTGTTCTGCTCTGCAAACGGCCGGAGAAACTCTGTCAGCTTGCTCTTCACCTTTTCATACGCGTGCACGCTTGAGATCGCGCTCTCCACAGGTAACTTGCTGAGGTTGCGCAGCCCCAGCTCGAAGATCGACGAGTCGTCGTCCTCGTCCTCCGGTGGCTTGTAAATCGAGTCTTCGAGGTACAAGTACGTGTGCACCTTGAGGAGGGATATCAATGGCATGTTCTCGGGTTTGTTTTCTGTGATTATCTTCTGTAACTGGTCCTTGAAGTTGTCCTTTAGGAAAATGGTGAACGACGGCTCTGTCTTGGCTCTTTTGGCCTGTTCCGGCTCAGGTTTCACTTTTCTGGTAATTGTCTCGCATCCTAGTTCTTTTACAAGCATTTCCATCTCCATTCTGTATTTTTGGACGCATTTCCAGCAGATAATGGTGTCAAAGTCGTCCAGATCTGGGAATCCTGGTAAGGGCTGGATCTCCAGCAATTCTCTGTGTTTCTGATCTTCCTGCGCATCCAGCCCCGGCTCAGATAATGACTCCAGCTTGTTTTCTCCCTCCCCCTTGATTTGGCGCCGATTCACGTCCCCCGGTCGCATTCCCATGATGCATTCCTCGTGGAACCAGTCTTCTCCGCACGCATCGCCAAAAGTGCACTGGAACATGTTGCTGTCGTCTGTAGGATCGTATCTTTTGCGACAAGCACAGAACGTGCCCTCGTAATTGTGATTGTACAAGTTGGTGCTCGAGGGTATGTCCGTAGGCAGTTGGTCCTTATTGATGGTGGTCTTCTTGCCAATGGTGGTTCTTAGAGAACAAACGCCGTACTTCTCTGTCCGCTTGGTCCCGCAGTCGCATGTAAAGGATCTTTTGGCAAATAGCTCCACAAGGTCGTGCGACGTGTGGCATTGGATGGAACACGCGTAGCATACGCCTACAGGATGGCCATTCTGACGCGAGCACGTCAAGCAGGCGTATATGTGCTGTCTTATTGGTCCTAGTGAGTACGTGCACACTTTGGGATCATACGGCATCAGATGACGAGCCTCTTTTTCCAGCTGGAGCTGGTTGGCGAGATACTCCTCTGCAGTGATAGAATCCATAAAGAAAAAAAAATAAATTAAATCAAATCATTAAAAAAAATATAAAAAATCGCTTACTTGTCATGACGATGCTGGTTTATTTCCTCTTCTTTTTGCTGGTGAAAGGTGACTTCTTCCAAAACTTCTTTGGCCACCAGCGTGCACCAGAACAGTTTGACTACCAGAGCAAGCAGCTGAATACAGACTGCTCGCAATACCTGTGTCCCGAGACTTTTGCCTGTGTGGCAAGCCCTGTTGACTGCCCGTGTCCGTTCCCAGACTCGCAAGAGAAATGCGTGCTTGACAAGAAAAATTACGTGTGCATCGCTAAAATGGATAAAAAGGATCTGCGAGACTTCAAGGGAGAAGTCAGGGACTGCAAATGGGTCCAGAAACATTGGAAGCAATAAATTAACTAATGCATACGTCACTCCCGCTCGCGGGCAGCCGACCAGCGCTTGAAAGAGATCTCGTCCAGTATGAAATCATTGAGAAGCGCGAAAACAGATTTTTTATCTGTGAGACACTTGATACGCTGGTCAAAGTCTGGCGGAGGCCTCACAAACACCAATATTAGCTTCTTCTTCACCGATCCCACCACACGGCTCATCGAGCACGTCTCAAGCCAAGTGCCCGGAGTGGCGATCTTCACAGCATATTGTGAATGCTGGAAAACGGGACCGCGTTCGTACAATATAAAATCGCACGAAAATTTGAGTCCCGATTTCACCACCCACCCCAGCGTGCGGTAGTAATAGTAAACCAGGAACCTCAAGCAAAACTCTTTAGACGCCAGCGACCTAAATAGAGAAACAAAATCTGTGTTTGTGCGCACACAATCGAGAATCTGCAGAAATAACACCTCCTCAGGCATCAACTGCACGTACTCCAGCTGTTGGATGTCGGAGCCAACGATGAGTTCCTTGTCTTCGGACCGAATAACCTGGACTCTCTCGGGCTGCTCTAAAGTGAGCTCGTGTCTTTTTTTTTCCACTTCCTCAAGTCCAGCCCTGTCGTTTTTCCGCTTATAGAAATTTTCCAGCTCGTCGAGCTGCTTGCGTTTTTGTTTGAACTGACTTCGGGCTTTGCGACGTTGCGCGACCATCTCTTCGTCTGTGTGCGAGCTGCGCTGGCCTAGTACCCGGCGCCGAGTTCTCTCCAGCCAGGTCGGCTCGCTCCGAGAAAGAATACCCTTACCAAAAAACCCATGGTTCCAGAGAAAAAGCATGTCTGGCCCATAGACACGGAATTTCTCGTCGATCTCGGGCTTGTAGGTCCAGAACTGCCAAGCCATTGCCACTGCTGCAAGAGCCCAACTCAATGGGCTGAGAGCAGTCACCCCTATGGGAAGAGGGTCTCTGTACCGTTGCGAGTTTCTGACTCTCTTCATGACATTTCTAATAGTTAGTACTCAGATACCGTTGTAGTCTTTGAGAAATCGTGCTCTCAGGAATCGAGCAACAAAGATTATCATCAGGGTACTTACCAAGAGAATGTCGAAATAATAAACAAGTTAGATTTTTTTTTGCCGAAAAATTAAAAATGAGAGTTAAAATATGTGACTGACAGACAATATGAATCCCAAAACGAGAAATGTACAGAGTAGGTTTCAGACCAACAGTTTGATCAATAGGACGAATAGTTAACAAACAATAGACAGAGCTCTTTTCATTGTCTATTCTCTGTATTTGGCCACTCCCTACCAAATAAGTATATTGCTGACTTAGCTCAGTTGGGAGAGCGTCAGACTGAAGTTCTGAAGGTCCTGAGTTCGATCCTCAGAGTTAGCAATTCCTTTTTGGGCATGAAGCGATAAAATGCTTTTTTTTTTCTTATCATGACTATCGACAACGAACTGGACTTTAGTCGGTTACGTTGTCTCTTCAGACAACAACTAGACAAGGGAACTGTCTTGGAGACCAAGGACATTGACCACAGGGCCCTGATCCATCTGATGGCACGCTACAAGTCAGATCGGCAAGACTGGGCCAAATATGCTTTTGAGGACAAGAGCGTCGCATACACCCGTAATGGCGTGGAAAACTTTGGTCCCAACGGCAACCTGCTGCTGCTTGTGTGGAATCCAGGTCGCGGGTCGGCCATCCATGACCACGCTGGCGCCCACTGCGTGATGAAGATTCTGAGTGGCGAGCTCACCGAGGAGCTTTTTGACGGCGAGTCTTTAGAGCCCATAAGAACAAGCACGCATCACACGAATGACGTGACCCACATAGAGGACACTATTGGGCTTCACAGAATCACAAACAGAACAGATAAGGTGGCTATCAGTTTACATTTGTACACTCCTCCATATGCCGAGGTGTACGGGTGTCATGTTTTTGAGAACGGCAAGAGACAGCATGTGGACATGGACTTGTATAGCAGTGGCGGCGTGTTGCTAGCGGATCGGGATGTTGCCAAGAAGGGGAGTAGTGATAGATAATGATGTTTGATGCTCGTATATTACCCGTATATTACATAGTGTACATAGTTTGACCGACTAGCTGCTGACTCCTCTGACCCAGTAGTCTGCTTTACTTCCCTGTGCGCCATAAATCTTTTTTTCGAGTCTGTTGATTTTGATGCTCAGGGTGTACTGCTGTCTTTGAAACTCTTCTTTCATCTCCTCGAGCTTGCCCTTGGCATACTCCAATTTGTCGAGCTCGACGCTTCTCTCCATTTTTGGCATAATAGTCTCTAGAAACGCGATTTCTTTTCCGATCTTGCACACCCTGACCGCCAGCTCGTCCTTGGATTTGGCCAGTTCATCCAGCTGGTGTTCCTCCGGCGTTGGCACTCGTTTGCTGGCGGTGAAGTGTGACGCGATTCTCAGGGGGTAGGTGTTGGAGTCTCTGTTTTTCGGAACAACCAGGATACTTTCCGAGGAGATCTCTGATTCGTTGGTTGTTTCGCAAGTCATCGAGTCCATTGAATTATCGGCAGCGCGGTCAGCGAGGTCGGCAACCGAGCCGTTGAACTTATCGTACTCGAGCTCCAGTTCGGAAAACATGTGTTTATTTATTATTATTTATTTATTTTTTTTCGCGTTACACAGTAGTGCTTAGTGTCACGGTAGCAACGGTGACAGTCAACGTCTGAGTCGTTGTTGGAGAGAAGCTGTCGTACGCATCTCCGTTCTCGTAGAACACATAGCAAGTACCGTCAGTCGTCTCTGTGGCGTATGGGGTAAAAGAGGTGAACGAGGCGGATGGCATCGTCGTGACGGACGGGGTGGCGGTGTCGGACGAGACAGAAACCGTGGAGCTGGCGACGCTAATTGGGCTGGAGCTCGAGGGGGTAGTGGAGGAGCTGGAGGAGCTAGACGTTGCTGAGCTGCTGGTGGTCTTCTCCACGTTGGCAGACAAAACGAGATCCTCTGTGGAGGCAGAACTGTCGTTGTCAGAGGCAGCACTGGAACCAGTGCTGGAACCAGTGCTGGAAGTAGTGGAGAAAGTGGAGCTAACGGTGCTGGTATCACTGGTTTCGGTAGCTGAAATTGGGACCTCATACGAAGTCTTCAGCGTCGTCATCACCACACTAGTCTGAGCAGGCCGGTCCGTGCTGGTATACACCTTTTCCAACATGGTGACAGCCTTTCCATCGATAGTGGTGGTGATGGTACTTTCCAAAGTGCCCGGCTGGCGCTTGAGGAATACCGGAAGTCCCATTGCCGAGACAAGCAACAAATACAAGGCCGTGGTGTTCAACAGCATAAGGAGTGACTGTAGTTAGTATAGTTTGAGCGAACTGTGTCCGAGGGCTGCAACTAGGCGTATTTATAGTCTGGGTGGCTAGCTCGTGCTTGCCGTCTTGGGCAGAGCTAGTGCAACTAGGGAAATGGTCTATTCCCAATGAGGAACGGAATAATGAAACTTAGCTGCGTAGCAGGATGGCTAGCACCATTTTTGCCCAATATGGGAACGGTGCAAGGGTGTCAAAGAGGAGACTAAGATTTTTAGCGCGCCCACTTTTTGGTGTTACCCGGCCCTCGGCTCTTTGTAGTTTTTTCGCTCCTATCTCCGCTATCAATCTTGAGGCTGTGTTCGGCTGTGTCAGGCTCGTTCGGCTGCGCGAACTAAAAATCCGATCGCAGTGGCAATACCGGCAACATTTGCACCAGCTGCAGAAGGAGAGCATTTGTTGGGTGCCCATAACCTTTTGTGTGGAGCTAGGCATGTACCCCACGCTCAGTTGTCTTGTGGTTCCCAAACTACCCTCGGCGCATATTGTGTGGTCATCGGATCCCGCCTCTTGTTTCGGGCGCAATAAACTACAATGAGGGACGGGTGGGGCGACTTCTCATCCGATCTTTCCACAGTTCGGCCCAGCAAAAAAAAAAAAAAAGTACCGAAAATACCTCTGCGCTACCTCTTACATCAGGATCGAACCACCAGCTGATCAGGCGAATAATGCCCCCTCCGACCGGGGTACAAAGGCGACATGTGCACTGATTAATATGCAAATGACAGAATGACACTCCCAAACCTTTGGTTGTCCATCTCCAACCCATATGCCAAAAGCGCCCCTGTCCCTTTCAATTGTCGATCTCCAGCGTGCTCGCTGCAAAGTGACCTGAAATTTTTTTTGTATCAGATCGGGTATCGCGTGTGAAGTGTCACAACTACCGACGCCCCCGTTTCTGCTGTGCGCGCCTGCACTCCTTTTAAAATAAATTAGAATCCGGATTGCACAGTCTCAAATGGAAACCTATAGTGATGGCTCTTCTCCCCAGCTCCAAAATTTTCGCCACTATTGCTGTCTGTTGGGGAAATCATAATAGTTCGTCCCGATTTGGAGGACTCAAAAGAAACAAAAGAGGAGATTGTCTGCCTTGCCTGCAGCTGATATGCAATCATAAGAATCTTCTTCAATTTTATAACGCTACATTTGCCAATTAATCGCACGCTGCAGCACGTCGCCGCTGATTTAAATACTCCCTTTTTCCCCCTGTGCTTAATTCAAAGGACTATCGCTATCGAGAATTATATTCCGCCGACATTTGTGCTTCTCATATGCCATATTTGGGCCCTAGATCCTTTGACACAGCCCCTTTAACCACCAATAATCTTGCTTACCTGAATAACAAGCTGGCTGAGTCCCATCCGTCTCCGAATGTATCCAGAAGTTCCAGCATAAGCACCTCACCGGAAGAGACGCTTTCGATCACCACCCCTCTTTCCACTATATCTAGCACAAGTTCTGTCACAGACATAATACCGTCTTCTGCCGGTCACGAAGGCGAGTTGGACAATGACGATAATCAGACAGTTGTATTTCAGCATGAAGACGCCTCAAGCTCTTCCATCTCAACCATAACAGAACTGAAGCCTAGTTTGCTGCGGAAGAAGTCCGGAGAGTTGGTCAAGTCATCGCTGAAGCTGCCATCGCTCAAAAGATCAAGCTCGATGCCCAACGCCAAATCCGTGAGGTTTGCCAACAGACTAGAGGACATCAAATTTTTTGACAAGCTTGAGAGACCGACGGCGGTTTCCGCAGAAGCGTCTCCGGTGGGCTCTCCGGTTTCATCTCCCTCTTTGCGCCCTTCGTGGGATTTTGCCTCTCCTGAAGAGGGGGACTTTGACAATACAACGGATTACCTCAGTGAGTACTGGGAAATCCTGCACAATGATGTTCCGCACACTTCCAATGTTGTGAACTTCGGCAAGTTCAATTCCGATAAGCCGATCATACTGGAGAGCTTGAAACTAAACTCCACAAAGGACTCTTTGATAGGGTTTGTTTATGTTCGCAATTTGGGATACGAAAAAAAGATCCTCATCAAGCTGACCTTCGACGACTGGAACAGCTTCATCGAGATCGACAACGCCAACTACATCTCCTCCAACCATATCTTCCGCTACATGGAGGATGGAGTTTCGTACGATAAATTCTCATTTATCATTAAGCTACGCAACCTGGGAATCTACAAGTTACAGATGAATCTCAAATTCTGTATCAAGTACCAGGTCAACCAGATGGAATACTGGGAAAATAATGACACGAAGAACTACACTGTTACACTAAAGAAGATTACAAAAAGAGGTATCCAACGGCGCAAGTCTTTCGATACCGATTTGGACGACATCAAGTTCAGATTGAAAACAAATATGAATTTCAACGATTCGTTTTCGTTGCCTTTCACGACTCAGAGCCAGCGCAATTTTGAGCCAAGAACGTCAAAGCATTACTTGTTACGCAAAATCAACTCTGAGTCAGCCATCCCAACTCTAAGTTCCTTAACGCCAACATCCTGTTCGTTGCCTCCTACTACATTGAAGTCGAACTACTCTCCTCCCTCTGCATACAACATTACACCTAAGAGCTTGGCAGCTTCTTCCGATCCTCTTTACCATAAGATCATTGAAAACTATTGTTTCTTTGGCTCTCCTTCGCATCAACTCAAAGGACATGACCAAGTTCCCGATTACGCAGACTCGTTTTGCTTAAGTTAATTTAGATCCATTGAGTTTGTGGCTTGCCGCTCGCTGTACTAGCCATTCTCATAAGTTTGGGGATTTGTTGGCTATTTGCTCATCTTTGCTATGGATTGTATGATATATCAATGAGCAGTAACATAGGTCAATAATAATCAAAAGTTTACATCATCCACAAATTGTAGCTCGTGTTTATTTTACCCGGCCTCTCAATTATAGATAAAAAAGTAGGAATCGTTCTTTTGTCTTCAAACATTTTATGACAGACGAATTAGTCAGTCTCTTTTCTCGTATTGGGTTCCAAGAATCCAAAGCGCAGGAGATCCTTAAGAACAAGAAAGTCGCCTCTTCATTGGCTCATTTGATACAGCTCGCTGGTGACAATGTTTCGTGGGACAAGACAAAGAGTACTCTTCTCCATCATTTGGCTACACTGTTGAAAGGCGAGGATCTTTCCCATGAGAAAAGCATCGTGGATGCCATTATTGACGGCCGCTTAGCTTCGACTTTGCAAGTCACTGAGGCATACAAGTATGTCAAATCTGCGGGAGATAATTTTGACGAAAAGGAGATGGAGAAGAGCTCTGGTGTTGGTATCAAGATTACGGAGGAAGATGTTGAGAACGCGATCCGGGGGTATATCGAATCTATCAAGGCCGAGTTTTTGGAAAAGAGATATAAAATGGTTCCTAATGTCCTTGGCAGTGTGCGAAGCCTTCCTGAGCTGAAATGGGCCCCACCTGCTTTGTTCAAGCCTACTGTCGACCGGCTAGCACAGGAATATCTCGGTCCTAAAGATGAGAGAGATGTGGCGAAGAAGGAGAAAAAGAAGAAGGAGCCAGCCAAGGGGGCCAAGACAGAGACGAAGACCGAGCCCGAAAGAAACATGTTTACCGAGGGATTTTTGGGAGAACTCCACAAGCCTGGTGAGAATCCGCAGAAATGGCCAGAGCTCATGCAGGAGCACTTGAAGGTGACCAAGGGCAAGGTGGTTACCAGGTTTCCTCCGGAGCCCAATGGATTTTTGCACATTGGACACTCAAAAGCCATTATGGTGAACTTTGGTTACGCCAAATACCACGGTGGAGTCTGCTATCTGCGTTATGATGATACGAACCCTGAGGCTGAGGAGCAGGTTTACTTTGATTCCATTTTGCGCTGTGTCAAATGGCTTGGATATGAGCCTTGGAAGATCACCTATTCTTCAGACTATTTCGACCGGCTTTACGAGCTCGCTGAAAAATTGATCACAACAGGATATGCCTATGTGGACCACTCGACGCCAGAGGAGATCAAAGCTCAGAGAGGTGTGAGGCCAGATGGTACTCCTGGTGGAGAAAGGTTCCCATCTCCATGGAGAGACAGACCAATTGAGGAGTCGTTGGCCGAGTTCAGAAAAATGAGAGACGGCTACTACGAGCCAGGTAAGGCTATCTTGAGAATGAAGCAGGACATTTACTCTCCATCTCCTCAAATGTGGGATTTAATTGCTTACAGAGTTTTGAATGCCAGACACGAAAGAACGGGAGACAAATGGAAGATTTATCCGACCTATGACTTCACTCACTGTTTGGTTGATTCGTTTGAAAACATCAGTCATTCTTTGTGTACAACGGAGTTCTACTTGAGTAGAGAAAGCTACGAGTGGCTCTGCGACGTGCTACATGTCTACAGACCTGCTCAAAGGGAATACGGCCGTTTGAACTTGACCGGAACCATAATGTCCAAAAGAAAAATTGCCAAGCTCGTGAACGAAGGCTATGTGCGTGGATGGGACGACCCGAGACTTTACACCTTGGAGTCTCTCAGAAGAAGAGGTGTTCCTCCAGGAGCCATTTTGAGTTTCATTAATACCTTGGGTGTTACCACAGCCACCACAAACATCCAGGCAACTAGGTTTGAGAGTGCCGTGAGAAACTATCTTGACCACACAACTCCAAGACTAATGATGATCGAACATCCGCTGAAGGTGGTTATAGACAACTTGGAAGACGACTACGAGGAGCTGGTGGAAATACCATACAAACCTGGCTCGCCTGAGTTCGGCTCCAGAAAAGTGCCGTTCACCAAGTGTGTCTACATCGACAGGTCGGATTACAGAGACTCCATCACCAGGGATTACTTCAGACTGGCTCCGGACCAGCCTGTGGGTTTGATGAGGGTTCCGTTTAATATTCGCGTCAAAAGCGTAGAGAGGAATGAGTCCGGTGCTCCGACACTGATTCACGCGGAGTACCTGAACGATCCTGCGCAACACAAGAAACCAAAGACATACATTCAATGGGTGCCAGAGTCTGAGAAATACAAGTCTCCTGTTAAAATTGAAGAAGTGAGAATCCACAACCGACTGTTCAAGTCTGAGAATCCATCTGCCCACCCTGACGGCTATTTGGCCGACATTAATCCAAGCTCGGAAGAAATTCTGAAAGATGCAATTATCGAGCCAAGCTTCTACGAAATAGAGGCCAAGTCTCCATTGAACATGCCGTTCACCAACCCTGAGTTTAGTATCAAGGAAGAGCCAGGCAAGGAGACCGTCAGATTCCAGGCTCTCAGAGTTGGCTACTTCTGTCTTGACAAAGATTCCGGTGACAAGCTAATTTTCAATAGAATTGTCACTCTGAAGGAAGACTCTTTGAAAGATTAAGTAATCAACAAACTTTTTTTAATAAAAAAATTAAATTTTTTTGAAATATTTTTAGTACTCGATCTTATACATGTCTGTCTCTGTTGCGCAAGACTACGTCGATGAGGGCGTCAGTTTTGAGTCCTTTGATTTAGATGCGCGTCTAATTCAGGCCATAAACAAGCTTGGGTTCGAGCACCCGACGCTGATCCAAACACAGACAATCAAACTGTCTCTCGAGGAACGCAAGGATATCATAGCCAGGGCATCTACAGGCTCTGGCAAAACTGCAGCATACTGTATACCGATTGTGCATTCTATTTTGACGTCAGGAAGTGACTCAGAGGGTGTGAAAGCACTTGTTTTGGTCCCAACCAAGGAATTGAGCAAGCAGGTGGCCGACTTTCTGGGCCAGTTGACGGTGTTTTGCGGCAGGTCTGCACGTGTGCTGAATCTGAATGACAACGTGAGCGAACAAGTGCAGTTGCAGCTGCTCAACGAGAATAGAGAAATATATGTGAGCACTCCTGCGAGATTAATATCAGTCTTGGAGAAAAATAAGAGCATGCAGTTGACGAATCTGCGATTTTTGGTGATAGACGAGGTTGATCTGATGGTCAGCTATGGGTACAAGGACGATTTGGACAAACTAGGAGAATATTTAAGCACCAAGACAAACACGCAGACTTTTCTCATGAGTGCCACGTTGAACGAGGAGGTGACGGAGCTCAAGACGAAGTTCTGTAATAAACCTGCTGTTCTGAAGTTGGAAGACGTCGACAGCGACAAGAAGAAGCTTGTGCAGTACTACATCAAGACTAGCGAGTTCGACAAGTTCCTGCTGATCTACGTGATATTGAAGCTGGGCCTAATCAAAGGAAAAATCCTGCTGTTTGTGAACGAGCTCGACAGGGGATACAAGCTCAAACTTTTTCTGCAGAACTTCGGAATCAAGTCGTGCTTGCTGAACTCTGAGCTTCCAGTGAACTCTCGGTTGCACATTGTGGAGGAGTTCAACAAAAACGTCTACCATCTGCTAATTGCCACCGATGAGGCCAACCAGGAGGGCCAGTCAAACGACTTTGGTGTCTCGCGTGGTGTTGATTTTAAGAATGTGGCATGTGTGCTGAACTTCGATCTTCCTGTCTCGTCCAAGACTTATGTGCACCGTGTTGGACGGACGGCCCGAGGCGGCAAAAGTGGCATGGCTCTGTCGTTTGTGGTGGCAGCCAAGGAATGGGGAAAACATAAGGCCTCGAGTCTAGCCAGTGCAAAGAAGGACGAGAAGGTCTTGGCCAGAATCGAGCGGTCGCAGAGCAAGCTCGGGTACGAGCTCAAGCCGTACCAATTTAATATGAAGCAGGTGGAGGCGTTCCGGTACCGGATGGAGGACTCGTTCCGGTCTGTGACCCGTGCGGCCGTGCGAGACGCCCGACTACGGGAGATTAAGCAGGAGCTGATGGCCTCTGAGAAGCTGAAACGCCATTTTGAAGAGAACCCGCAGGACCTGGTCACTTTGCGCCACGACAAAGACCTGGCCAGCGTGCGTACGGACGCGCATCTGAAAAGAGTGCCTACGTACCTGCTACCAGAGGGGGCGCGGCCCGAGGAGAAGAAGGTTGGGTTTGTGCCGTTCAACAAAGTGAGGAAGAGCCGTGGCAAGAAAAGAGGCAAGAAGGTGGATGTGCTGAAGGGGGTCGGAAAGAGAAGAAAAACATAGCTCGCTAATAACGCATATTAGACGTCAAAAAAAAATAAAAAATGAATATTTTTCTTTAAAAGCTCGTCGCTATTTTTTTCGTGTCTTGTTTTCATCATGGCAAAGAAACCCGTCAAGCTGGCTCCGTCTACGACGGACTCCACTACAGAACTTCCTTTACAACCCGGTCCGGTCCGCAGATACATATCGACAACGCTGGGGCCGCAGACAATGGCCAATCGCCGTGTTTCCTCGGGTAAGGAGATGGGGCTCGTTGTGCTGTTGGCGCTGTTCAGCGCCGTGATTCGGCTCCGCAGCCTCGATTTCCCCGACTCGGTGGTGTTCGACGAGGTGCATTTTGGCGGATTCGCGAGAAAATACATTCTGGGCCGCTTTTTCATGGACGTCCATCCTCCTCTGGCCAAGCTGTTATTTGCGGCGGTGGGTGCCCTTGGGGGATTTAATGGCAAGTTTGAATTTGCCGAAATCGGCGACAAGTTCCCCGACGACGTGCCGTATGTTCTCATGAGACAGATGAGCGCCTTGTTGAGCGTCGGCACCGTGGTCCTCATGTACTTGACTCTCAGGACCACCGGCTGCAAGCCACTGGTTTCCTTCCTGACGTCGTCGTTGCTGGTGCTCGAGAGTGCGAATGCCACCATCTCGCGTTTTATTCTGCTCGACTCGCCGCTGCTCTTCTTCATTGCCGCCGCCACCTACGCCAGCTCCAAGCTCAACATTGAAACTCCATTCACTCTCAACTGGTGGAAATCTTTGGTGCTGACCGGCGTCGGTCTGGGCCTTGCCTCGTCCTCCAAATGGGTCGGCTTCTTTACTGTTGCGTGGGTGGGCGTCTGCTGTGCGATCAAGCTCTGGTTCGCGGTCGGAGACCTCAGACTGTCGGCCAAAAACATCGCCTCTCAGACCGTCACCAAGTTAACGGTCCTGCTTGGACTTCCGGCCATCATCTACCTGGCTTCATTTGCCATCCATCTCTCGTTGCTGCCCTACGAGGGTGACGGGGCTGCGTTCCTGTCATCTGCGTTCAGAACTTCGTTCAAAGACACTACTGTTCCCAAAACCACTCTCGCAGACGTTGGTATCGGCTCTGTCGTCACCTTGAGACACGTGAATACCAATGGCGGATACCTACACTCCCACAACCATCTGTACGAAGGAGGCTCTGGGCAACAGCAGATCACGCTGTACCCACACCTTGACGACAACAACAAGTGGCTTGTTGAGCTGTACAATGCTACCGAGGAGCCAACAGCTTTCGAGCCGCTGACCGACGGAACCAAGATCAGACTGAAGCATTTGTTGACACACAGAAGACTGCACTCTCACGATATCCGACCATCTGTTTCTGAGATTGATTGGCAAAACGAGGCCTCGTGCTACGGGTACGAGGGCTTTGAAGGCGACCCGAACGACGACTTTATTGTCGAGATCGTTAAAGACAAGTCTGTTCCGGGAAAAGCGCAGGAGACGGTCAAGGCCATAGACACCATTTTCAGGCTCAGACACGCCATGACTGGCTGCTATCTGTTCTCGCACGAGACCAAGCTGCCTAAATGGGGCTTCGAACAACAGGAGGTCACGTGCGCAGGCCAGGGAATCAAGCCGCTCTCGTACTGGTACATTGAGCAGAACGAGAACCGGTTCCTGGACCCAGCGACTGCAGAGAAGGTTTCCTACAAGGAGCTGTCTTTCCTGCAAAAAATGGCAGAGCTGCACAGCAGAATGTGGAAGATCAACAGGGGGCTTAAGGCACCCCATGCGTTCGAGTCGAGACCGGAGTCATGGCCATTTTTGCAGCGCGGCATCTCGTACTGGAAACAGGGCGACAGACAGGTGTACTTGCTTGGAAACCCTATTGTTTGGTGGCTGTCGTCGTTTTTGTTTGTTCCCTTCGGCCTTTTCGTCGTCTACCACGTGCTGAGATGGCAGCTGGGCTACCCGCTTCCAGAAAGCTCTGTTGTTTTCAACTACTCTCTCAACACATTGCAATTTCTTCTGGGCTGGTTCATCCACTACTATCCTTCGTTCCTCATGGACAGACAACTGTTTTTGCACCATTATCTGCCTGCCCTATACTTTGGCATTTTGACCTTGGGCCAGTCGTTTGAGGTGATCTACTCTGCCGTGTTGAAAAAGAGAAAATCCGTGGCTATCGTGCTGTTCCTTGCTGTCTTTGCAGCCGCTGCCCATATGTTTGTGAAGAGATCGCCGATCGTGTACGGCTCCTCATGGACCAAGTCGGCCTGCGAGGCGGCCAGGATGCTCAACTGGGACTTCGACTGCAGAATCTATCCAGAAGAGCTGCCGCAGACAGCCGGCCTCAAAGATGAGCTCTAGGTATATAAAAGATAAAACACGTCAATATTTGTTCATTAGACACAAATGCATTTAGTGCGAGTCCGACTCGTCAATGAGCGTCCGCAGCTGGCGGATGTCGGCTGGCCCCGTGCGACAGCACCCGCCCACAATGCCCACGCGCTTGTACTGCAGACACTGCTTCACGGCCTCGACAAAATGGCTCGGCTCGCCCGACCATGTCTTTGTCGTGTCGTCGTACACCTCGCCGGAGTTCGGATACAGCACGATTCGCGCGTTTCGCAGGTTCTGCGAGTTCGAGAGCTGACGGTCGAGCTCTTCCACCACTGGCAAAGCCACCCTTACACCGCAGCAGTTGACACCGACGGCGACGAGATTGCGGTCGTAATGGCTGTCTAGCCAGCTGACGACGTGGGCGAGCGGCGTGCCGTCAACGAGCGCCGTCTCGCGCACGCTGAGACTCAGATACCACGGTTTTTCTTGTGTGCTGGCCAGCTCCGCCAGAACCCTTATTTCCTGGAATGACGGAATGGTTTCAAGCGCCAGAACATCCACGTCGGACGATTGGGCAAGAAAACGAAAGCGACCTTCGTGGAACGCGCGCAACTGTGCGTCGGTAACAGAGCCGTAGTTCCCCGTGTATTCGGACCCGTCAGCAAGATACGCACCGTAAGGCCCTATCGAGCCGGCGATCTTGACGCCGGCATCGCCCTCGTACTCGCGTCGTGCCTGTGCACAGAGGCCTACAGCTTGTGTGTACACCGCATGTGGGTCCTGGTGGTTTTGCTCAATGTTGGCGTCGCACAGCTGATATGTTGCCGTTAACACAATATTGGCACCGCTCCGCATGTAGTCGAGATGAATCGCCCTGACCGTGTCTGCGGAGTCCAGTACTGCGCGGCCGGACCACAGGCAACCCGAGACGTCGACGCCGCGCTTCTCAAGTTCGGTCCCTAGCGCTCCGTCCAGAAGCAGCATGGAATGATTTGAGCTAGAAAAAATGGGGAAAAAATAATTAAATTAAATAAATTAAATAATTAAATTAAATAATTAAATTAAATAATTAAATTAAATATAATTATTTCCGCATGTATGCAGGCACTTTTGACTCGCTGCCGCACGAAAACGACTCTGCCGTCAACGTGGACGAGCTTTGGAGACGAACATATGCGCTGGCACACGAGTACGTGGTGGAGAACGAGCCGCCCGTCGTGCTAGAGCGCATACACACGGCGCGGTCGACGTTGCAGAAGACTGCGCTGCTGGCCGCAATGCTGCAGAACGACGTGCTGTCCGAGCAGGACGACACGTGGCTGCCGCACCGGGGACAAGTCATTGCGTTGATTGCCCAGTTGCTGGGTGAGTTGGATTTGCTGGTGGTTTTCGGCAACAGAGCCGTTCTGACAGCTTTCTATTCCTTGCTCGAAGCATACACGGAAACGTCACAAGACACAGGCTCCCTTCTAGTGGAGATCGTGCGCCGTGTGGGCGATACGGCGTCTCTTAATGCAACACTTTATTATTTACATCATATTACACTCAAGCACCTATACTCCCGCAAGAGCTACCGCGAAATTGCTAGTCTGGAGCCGTTGTTTGCGCGACATACGGCGATCGACCCGCTCAAACTGAACAGGGAAGACGTGTTCGAGTCGTACTACGCGCTCGCCATGTCGCTGATGAACACGGGCCACTACCAGGCAGCACACAGACAGTTCCAGATCCTGTTCAAGCTGCCGGTGTGCAGAACACAGCCGGCCATCCAGAGCCTTGTTGCAGCGTACACGGCCAACTTGGTGCTTGTCGGGCTGACGAAGGACGCCAACCTGCTCAAATACGGCGGCTATGTGAGCCCAGCGTGCTGCCAGCTGATTCAGAGCTACCAGACGTGCCAGCCAACCAGTTTTTCCCAGACGGTGGACAAGCTGGCCGAGGAGACGCACGAGTTAGTCACACAGGTGTTCCGTGACCTTAAGACGCAGATGCGAACACGAATTTTGCAATTGAGCTTGGAGCCGTACAGCAGGGTGGGCCTGGAGACCGTGAGGACGATCGACCCGCTCGACGACGTCGCTCCGCTTCTGGAACGGCTCGGGTACGTCGTGGACGCCGGGCTGGTGCAGGTGCCCAGCAGGGGCCGCCGTGAGCCGGTCGACACGGCAGCGCTGGTCGCGGCCATCAAGTCGCTCGACAGGATCACTGCCAAAACAACACAGAGCGCACAGCTAAAGGAGGCACAGGAGTTGCGCAAACAGCGCAACCTGTCGGTCTAGTCGAGCTCGCCGTAGGTGCCACGACGTTTGGTGGTGTCGTACTTGCGGATGATGTTCTCCTGACCCTCGTCCTGCGAAAAAGCAAATCCGCGCTGCTTGCGCATGCGGTGCACCTGTCTGACCTTGCGGATGGTTTTCTGGAACGAGGAGAACCGCGGCTTGTGATCCTGGATTTGGTATTTCTGGATTTTTTGCACTTTGTGGTAGAATTCCGGGTTCCAGGTGCGTTTGTAGTACTTCCACAACAGGTCGCGGAGCAGACAGAGCATGGGCACAATTAATATAGTCATCCAATAAACGAGCGAGCCGAATATCTTCGGAACCACGCCCCAGTACTCCTTGGAGACGCCGACGTGCGGCGCGACGCTGGCGTACACGGGCAGGACCACAAACAGCAGGGCGAGCGAGCCGGGAATGGCCACCAGCGTGAACTTGGTCCATTGCGACGAAATAAGTGCGGCCTTGCCCAGAGCAGTCACCAAACAGGTCGTGTAGATGGCAATGCCGAACCCCCAGTGGTCCATCGTGGTGCCGTCGGCGAGCTGGTTGCCGTACTTGAAAATATTGATGAGCGCAATGTAAATGATGGCACTGTGGTAGAAGCCGTTAACTGCCCACGACCAGAAAATCTCCACGTTGAAGAAATGGCCCGCCTGGCCGATCTTGTAGAGCTGCGGATACTGGTTCAACATGTTGGCTGTGATGTACTGGTCGAAGATACCGATCACGAGCGGCGGAAGCACAAGGAATATCACGTTGTACAGCGTGAGGGTCCACGACTCCACCATCGACTGGCCGCTGAACCCGTTGCTGAAAACGTACCAGAACTGTGTCATGTAGAACACAATATTCTTGTAGAATGAGTACAGAATCGCCAGCGAGAGTCGCTGGTACGACCACGAGCCGTGGACTAGCAGCAGCTTCTTTAGGTACTTGAACTGGCCGATCGCAAAGTCTGCGCTGCGCGCGGCCTGCATGCCTTCCATGCCGCTGATGCCGACGCCAACGTGCGCGGCCTGGATCATCGACACGTCGTTGGCACCGTCTCCGACCGCCAGAAGCAGCGCACGCTTCTTGCGCTTCACGAGCCGCACCACAAGCGCTTTCTGCAACGGCGACACACGGCAGCAGATCACCGCCTTGCAGAGAACAGCGATTTCCAGCAGCAGGTCCTCAAGATCGGCCTCCAGAGCAAAGCCCAGCGACTTGCCGTCGATCACGAGCGCCAGCGTGTTGATGTCGTCCTGCGACAGCTGGTTGCTGCGCAGAATCTCCACTTTGTCGAGCAAGTTCTGTTTCGTGTCCCGTTTGCTCTCCTCGTTCACAATGAGCAGGTTCATGTCCTCGCTCAGCAATTTGCAGCTCATTCCAATGTTTATGGCCGTCTCCTGACGGTCGCCCGTCAACACCCACACCTTGATGCCGGCCTCCTGTAAAACCTGGATCGTCTCCGGAACGCCGTCCTGCAGCTTGTCCTCGATGGCGGTCGCGCCCAGCAGAAACAGGTCTTTTTCTATCAGTTCCGCAGCACTGTCCAGCTTCTCAGACCGGTTCTCCAGACTCGTCGACGCCCTGTTGTAGATCTGGCTCCATTCCTGGTACTCCTGTTCCGGAACCACTCTTGCGGCAATACACAGCGTCCGCAGACCTTCGACGGCAAACTCCTCCAGATGCTTTGTGGTGGCTTCGACAAACTCGTTGTTTTCCGCCAGCCGCGCAAAAATCACCGAGTCTGCGCCCTTCACGTACAGCCTGATCTTGCCGTCCGGACACCTGAAAATGGCGCTCATTCTTTTTCTTGACGAGTTGAACTCGCAGATGTTGAGCAGCTCGTACGTGAGCTCCTGGCCGTCCACCTCCAGGCTAATGCTCGACGGCTTGCGCACGGTGAATTTATAGCCCAGCATGGCCGCACCTTCGACCAAAGCTCCCTCGTCGGGCGACGCGGCCTGGTACTTGATGCCGTCGCCTTTGATTTCCGGAATCACCGTGTGGCACGCAGCCAGCAGAGTCAGAAACTCGTCGATGACTTTTCTGTTTCTGTGCTGTTTGCGGTCGATCTGCAGCTGCTCGAACGTATGGTAGCCGATCTCAATGCCGCCCTGGACGCTGGCTTGGCCGTCCTCCGGGATCTGGCCGATGTAGCACCGGCCGCCGATGGAACAGGTCTTGAACTCCATGATGTTTCTGGTCAACGTGCCCGTTTTGTCGCTGAAAATGTACTCGATCTGACCAAGCTCCTCGACAAGCGACGACGTGCGAACCACTGTTGGCGAGTCGGTCGGCTCGTAGTACATGTCGAGATCCGAAGCTATGAGATATGCCTGGTAATATTTGATGATCTCGACGGTGACAAACAGCGAGATCGGGACGAGGTTCGAGAAAAGCACCCAGTACGTCAAGATGTCGGCGAAAAACAGCTTCACTTTGCTCGTGCCTTCCAAATAGAGGTAGCCCAGATGGTTTTTCATGAACGCAATGTTGAGAATGTCGCCGAGCGACGAAACCACCGCCAACACCAGCAGAATGCCAAACAGCGCGATCACTTGCAGATTGATGATGCGCTCGACGTCGGTCTTTTTGATCGGCGCCGCGGTCGCGTTGCGCATCAGCTTTGTCTCGTGGCCCGTGAAAACCACAATTCCCTGGATCCAAACCGTGTTGCGCAGATTGGCGCCGCGCAGAAGCAGCTGGTCTGGGCTCAGCGGGATCTCGCGCCCGTTCAGGTACAGCGTACCCTCGTACGTGTACAGACTGCTGTTGGGCCGCTCGCTCAGGATTTTCCCCTGGCACTGGACCAGCTGCTGCGGCGACATCAGCCCGGCAGTCTCCTCGCGAGACTGCTTGATTTTCAGGTTGGTTTCGCCGTCCAGGTTCGCCGTCTCGATGTAGCACAGCCCTTCCGGCTCGGACGAGCTCAGCAAAATCAGGTCCGCCGGAAACGGCTCCTCGCTGTTCACCTTGACAATGTCGCCGACCCTGACGTTGATCCATTTTTTCATCACGTACTGCCCCGTCTTGATGTCCAACACCTCTATCTTGGACCGGTTCAGCTCGTTGTCGGACGAGTTTCGCTTGATATCCTCCGTAATCTCCTTAACGGCGGAAACCAGCAACACCACCATCAGCGTGCCGATCGTGGTGTATCTGTTGGTCGGAGACACCGACGGGACCTGCTGGATCACCGACGTGAACAGGAAAAACAGGTTTGCGTACTTGGAAAACTGCTCAAACAGAAACTTGGGCACAAACGTGACGAAGTTGTACTTGGTGGTGCTGATGTGGTTGTCGTAGTAGCCGAGCCGTGCGTTTGTCTGCGGATCGTTGATGTAGATCGTCCGCGGGCTCGTATCGTCGGTGCTGCTGTGCTTGCGGAAGAACCTGCGGATGTCAAACACGTTGAAGGTGTCCGTGGCTGTTTCTGGGGCTGGCGTGCTGCGCGACGGCTCGTGCGAGTCGTCCACGTTGTCGTACGCCGTTCTTCCCATTTTGCTTCGTATATGACCCACCATGGAGCGCAGGCGGCCGCTGGAGCTTGGCGGGCCGTAATTGTCGCTGTCGTAGTCGCTCAGAACGTCCGAGTCGAACGGGTTGTCGTGCAAAGGCCCGGCCGCGTCGTAGTCGTTTGCCACGTTGGCAAACGCGGCGGCAGATTCGGCGGGCCGTGGCGCCGGGTCGCTGAACGGGTCGTCCATGCTGTCCAGGTCAACAAGGTCGACAAGGTCGTTGCTGGCGTGGTAATTGGCCGCGCCAGACGTGTTGCGGGTCCCCTGTGACATGGGAAAATAATTATTAGTTAAAAAATAATACGACTTTTTTAAAATAATGGCAACGCCAGTCCTACTAAATCTCTTCTCATGTATTACTCTACCTATGCCTCAAGACTCAGACGGCCCTTAGGATTGGTCACCTTCACGCCGATGGCCTTGGCACGGGCCAGAATCTCGACCCTGTTCTTAGCAGACACGTTGTGGGCAATTTCAGCAGCGTAGGTCTTGGTGTGCATGATCAGACACTCCAGATCCTTGACGTTCTTCACCAGGAAAGCCTTGTGGCCGGAAGGCATCATGTGTCTGGTCTTCTTGTTGGATCCATAACCGATCTTTGGCTCTCTGATGGTGCCTCTGAATCTTCTTCTGACACAGGAGTCGATACCCTTCTGTTTTCTCCAGTTCTCGGCCACTCTGTGGTATCTGTCCGAGTGGTGTCTCTTGAACTTCTTGGTGTGCTTTTTGACGATCTTTGGGTGTGGGAGCGATGCAGCCATGGTTGGTGAAAAGATTATCGTAGAGAGTATTTTATTTTACTTTGAAAAATTTTCTAGCCCTAGACTCGGTCACGTGACAAAAAAACATGAAATAGACCCCAAGGGCGCCAGAGCCTCCCGTCGATCGTCTCCATGCATTATTTTATCCACCAGGACACAAAATACGAGCCCGTGCGCCCGTCTTTCGATACAGACGTCATTCGACTGTACGGCCTGCGTCCCATCGCGCAGTCGCTCGCCAGGGTCAACCCGGACGGCTCTAAGGGCGTCAAGCTCCGCAAGTCGTACAAAAACCACATCGCCGACCTGCCGGGCAAGCACGCCATCCCTACCGAGCGAACGCTCTCGCCGATCGTTTTCCGGCCAGAAAACCCGGACTTGGGCGACTTCCAGCTCAAGCAGTACCCATTGGAGCAGCTGAAGTCGCTGTTTTCGTTCGAAAAAAGCTCGGTCAATGGCGTGCCCGGTTTCGACTCCAGCAAGCTCGCCATCGACAGTTTCGATTCGTCGGCCAAGAAAGAGCGCAAGAGAAAGGGCACACCCACGACGCCAAGCGAGCCCGATCAGAAAATACGCCACGTCCAGGTGCATTTCAGCTAGTGTCTTTTCATCTTGTGTCTTATGATCTTGCCGAAATGCACCATTAATGTCTGCCAGATGTATTTTTTCAGATAGTTCACCAGGTCGTCGATTCCCCAGAGCCTGTTGACGATGTCTAGAGCGGGCAACAGCAGCTCAAAGTCCGTCACATTGAGCAGTTTTTTCAGGCCCTTTCCGCGCAGCGAAACGATCAGCACGACCGGTTCCATGTGGATCGACTGGAACCAATAGTACCGCCCTGCGCGGACGATCATGAGCTTTGAGGACGCCGAATCGAGGTGTTCTTGCTCCTGCTGCTGCTCGCCCTGCTGCCCGCCTACAAAGTACTCCAACACCCGCTGCCCGACAGTCTCCTCCAACGCCAGTCGGATTGGAGAGCTTTTGATGTCCACCTCCTTGACCACGCGAATGCCCCCCACAGGCCGGTCCATAGTCCACGAAATGTCAAACATGTCCGTCGATTCGACGCCCGAAAGTAGTTGCGGGAAATAGGCCCCGGCCATGTTTCTTGCCCGTAACGTGCCCACCGTCACCCTGTTTTTCGTGGCCCCATCGGCCAGCTCGATCCTGTTGAACGTGCCTTGCGCGATCTCCAGCCGCAAAAAGGGCGTTTGTTCCTCCACCATGTCCATCTTGATCGTCCCCACCTGTAGAATCCACTCCACCTCGTCGTCCCGCGTCCCGCCGCCTTTCAGTAAAACACGCATCCGCGTGTACAGATCGACCAGCAGCCGGCTGCGCAGCGGCGACGGCTCGGGCAAGTACGCCAGTTTGCGCGACAAGTCGGCGATTTGGCCGAACACAGCGTCCAGGTCGCTGAAATCGGCCACCATCACCATCTCCTGGACCGCAGCGTCTAGCTCCTTCGACCGCGGCTCGGAATACAGCAGCAGCGTTGCCACAAGCGAGTACAGAGCGCGCGCCTGCGCCGAGTCGAGCCGAGTCTCGAGCCGAGCCATGTTGAACATGAATACGTTGCGTCGATCGTCGCCGCCGAAGCTGCTCGAGCGGTCGAGACGCAACACCATAGCCGTCCGCGACAGAATCTTGTATTTTGCAGGCGGCTGGGGCAGAAACACAGGCCAGTGCGGACTGTCACCGTAAACTATCGCGTCTTTTGCGTCGACAGACCGATCGATCAGAAAAATGTCCGTATTCTCCAGAACCGACCCGAATCGCGTCGCCAACGGCCGCGAGCCCACATCGTCCAGCTGGTTGCCGTCGTTCACGCTGACGACACTCACAGCGATCTGTGGCGTGCTCAAAAGCACAAAATAGTCCGCCGCGTCGTTCTCAATGAGCTGGATCTGAGGCTCGCTGATCAGCACCTCAAAATCGTCGCACGTCACCAGCCTCCGTGACGAGCGTTCCACGGCCCGCAAATCACTCTCAAAAGTGTCAATTCGCAAGCTGCGGTCTGCAAAGCTCACGTCGTCATGTGACGCCGTTTCGGCCGGCTCCTGGGCCCATGACGCCCGCGCCGTGCGGAATGCCTGGTAGCTGCGGTAGTACGAGTACGAGTGCCGGAACTCAATCCGCTGTAGGTACTGAAACACGCGGTTGCGCACGGCACAGTTCCATTTTGCCAGCGGGCGTGTTGCCTTGACGACGTTGCGGAACTTGGCAGAGTCGTGGTCGAGAAGATAAGCCATCTCCTCGCAGTGGAATAAATGCAAGTACTCTGCGGAAACGGCCCCTAGAGCCTGCATGTCCTGCTCTTCAAAGTCCCGGCGGTCAAACCACTGTTCAGCAGCAGCAGGATACTTGTCATGGCCAGATTTTAGCTCCTCTGCAGCCACCACACGCACGTCTACGTTGCAAAAACGAACTTCGCCGGTATCGAAACCCATCTGCATCAATTTGACCTGCCTGTTGAGATGTTCATTTTTGAGCATTACCGGCTTTTTGCGCTGATGTAGCTGCAGTCGAAGGTCCTCCATCTTGGCTTTAAAGCCAAGAGCACATTTGTTTTCTGGGTCGTCCAGGTCGAGACGGTAGCCGTGGAAAATGTACAGCGGGTGGACGTTAAAGTCGTAGGAAAAAGATGCGAGATGCGAGGCAAACTTGACGGATTCTGGCTTTGTGCCGAAAATCGGGCCATTGCGAATAGGCAGCGACAAGCCGCTGCTGAAGAGCTTGAACCATTTCGTGAAAAAAGAGAACGTGACCGGGGTCACGTGCACAGAATTGGAGGAGCACCTGGTTGCCAAGTGGATGCCCATGTGGATTGTGTCTGTGCGGAAGCCTGCGTAGGAGTCGTGGTTGGGAGGTTGTGGAGGAAGCACCATAGAGACAGCATAGTGGGGGATGGATGTAGTTTTGGAGCGCTCAAATTTGAACGACAACTTGAACTCGACCTCACCGCCCAGTGAAACAGCTCGCTTGAGCGATGTGCGTGGGGGGAATGGCGAGAAAATGCGTTCGTTTAGGTAGTAGCCAAAGGTGGAGACAGAGAGCGGATTTTGCAGTTTTTGGCCAAGGTACACGGGGTGTGCACTGCACCAACAAGGCAGGGTGCCCAGATGGTCAGGCACTCCAAACATTGTTTCGCTTGCGCGCACAACGGCAAAGTCGCAAGGTGCATTGCGTGGATTGTTCAACTCCAGCCGCACTTTTTTGCGGAACACAAATGCGAACCCAGCCGCGGCCCCGTGCAGTTTGTACGGGTCCATCGAGCCCTTAATGTTAATCTGTAACCCGGCCTCGGTGGCCCACACAAGGTCGACGTGGCCGTGCGCAATGAGACGCAGCTTGTCCCAAATGCCGAGTTTTGGGCTCGGGTCTATTCTGGGCTTGCTGAAACTGTCGAAGCAGAGTGACAGCTGGCGCAGGACAGGTTGGATCGAGGCCCCCCACGTAAGGATGACGGGCTTGTCGGTCAGCACGGTGGCTGTGAGTTCTGCAAGCGTCTTCATGGCGGCCATGGTGCGAGGAACACGCACAGACTTGCTACCCCCCACGTCCACGTCGCACCACCGCCAGTTGCCGCCAAGCTGTTCCAGAAGCACCACGTTGCCACACACACGCAGACCCGCTGGTTTGCCCCACGGCACCCACGCCAGTGGCAGCGGCAGATCAAGCAGGTGCGCGCGCACCTGCCCCACGGAAAGATCCACATACGCCGGAATCAGGGTCGTGTACTCCATGTCGCGCGGCATGCCCTTGCCCACGCGCTCAATGTAGGCTGGAAGCGTCTCTTCCATATGTGGGGCACCAACCTTTAGATCTACTTCCTCCAGGTACAATGACATCACAGGAGCGTTCGTGCTGGCATGCTGATGGCCGTGGCCTTCAAGAAACTGCGCGTTGCGCTCTATGGTAGCTTCCAGTTTTGTGCGGTACTCGTGCACAAGCCGGATCCAGGACGATGAGATGTGCTCGTTCAGGACATGCAAACATTCGCCATCCCCCAACAACCCCCACTTCTGCAGCCGCGACCGCTGCTCGACCCTGCCCAGCTGGTATATCATGCCGAGCTCGGATTCGAATGGGTCGTTCTCGAAACACACCGCCACAATCCCTGCGCGGATACGTATATCGGGCAAATTCACCGGTTTGCGTGCATGGGGCGCAATAACCAGCTCGTCGCGGCCTGTGCGCAGCGTGTGTACGTGCTGCTGCAGGCTTTTGGCAGTGTTGGAAGCGCTATCAAACAGCTCATAGATAAGGAACCCGTGGGGCAGAGAAAGCTTGGCAAACGCAACACTGGCTTCCAAACTGTCATCCATAGACACGTCCTGGACGCTCAGCAGCCGCGTCCACCGGCCGTGCCGCATAATTTCCAGCCGAAAGTTGCCGATGGTAGCAGCGGTGGCAGAAAAAACCAAATCCTGGCTGTGCACGCGCAGGTCGAAACTGGCTAAGCGGAGCACAATGGTGCTGCTGGTGACAATAACAGAGGGCCAGGCAGAGCCGGAGGAAGAGTTTTGGGAGGAGCTCTTAAGCGGCACGAACAGGTCCAGCAGTGCAAATACGAGCGGCAGGGAGACGTTGGCGTCGATAGCGGCCATTTCAAGCTGTGAGCCGTTTGCTGGGCTGAGCGAGTAGGTGAGGTGGGGGATAGTGAGAATATCTCTTGCGTAGATTTCGTTCACGGATGCATGCAGAGAGCCCCCCTGAAAGAGAACTTTGACCGCAGAGACGACGACAGGTGGCACCGATCCGCTTGGCGAGACAGTGGTGGCCCCTGCGACAAGGTTGCCGCTGAAATGCAGCGTTCTGTGCTCTATATGCATTACCCCACTAAAACTGATGTTCGAGACCCCCACGTTAAAGCGCGAGTCGGCGTATTCCACCCTCGAAACCAAAATCGAGAGTCTATAGACACGTCCTTTAGAAAACCGCATGCGGGCCGAATGAGCGTGCATTTGGTCCATCGAGAAGTCATCGATACTTATGAGTGTCTCTGGGACCCACCTAAGCAGGAGATCTAGAGCGATCTGCCAATAAGAAAGACCTTTGGACTCGTTTCGAGACGGCGTCGATTTTTTGTGGCTTTGTGACCGACTGACCACTAAAGAGCCGAGGTGCATTCTCAGAAATGGCCGTGAACAGCTGCATGCTAGCGCAATGTGGCCAATAGCGACACTCAGGCCCAGAACCTGCACCCGGAGCCCATATATTGCTATCGGGAGCAGAAAAGAGAATCCGGCCGGCGACAGGCCAATGCCGCGGACAGACACTCGCATGCCCAGCAGCATGTTCAGTGTACACCATGACAGAAGCAGAAGGGCCAAAACGGCGTAAATGTTCATTTGACAAGAAGTGTACTCGAGATTGCTTTCTAGGGAAAAAGACCGGGGCGACGCGCCGATAGACGTCTGCAGTGGAAAAAAATATGAAAATTTTTTATTCTTTCCAACAAACAATCAGTATAGCATGCCTCCTAAAAACAAAGTTAAGATGGACCTGGGCTCGTTCCTGGCGGACGAGAGCTTTGGCGGCTCGTGGGCGGACGAGGAGTTCGACATGAACACGCTGGAGGTGCCCGTCAGCGGCAAGCCGTCAGGAAGCAGAAGCGGAGGAAACGACAGGGACTACGAAAGAGCCGAGTATCCGATCCCGGACCGTGCGCCATACACTGCGAGAGTGAGCAACCTGCCGAGAGACGCGCAGGAGGATGAGATTCAGGCGTTTTTTGCGGACAATTTGCGCATTGAGGATCCGTTTAGCGAGATTGTTGATTTCTACGCTCCGAAGGACCAGCACACGGGGGCACTCAGAGGATTTGCTTTCATTACGTTCAAGAATAGGAAAACATTGGAAGAGGCATTAAAACTATCGGGACAGAACCTGGGCGGCCGTGTTGCGTACGTCAGCGTGGCTGCTCCCACGAAGGAACCGTTTGGGGGCCGTGGTGGCCGCCAGTCACGTGGTGACATCGACTGGGGCACGATGCGGGACGGCCCGCGCAGCGAGCAGCGCGGGGGAGACTTCAGAGGCGACAGAATGCGAGACCGGGCGCCAGAGCCTGATTGGGGGGCTGTTAGAAGCGCGCCTGCGGTGCGGGAGGGCCGGAGAGAACGGTTGCCGTCCCGCAGAGAGGCGGCGCCAGAGCCTGACTGGACTGCCGTCAGAGAGGGCGCTGCTGTTCCCGAGCCTCGGCGCGAGCGGCTGGGACCTCGCAGAGAGCCACGGGCACGTGGGCCGGAGCCGGACTGGGGCGCCATCAGGAGCGGCGAGCCCTTGCGTGTGGAGCGTGCAGAGCGTGCAGAGCGTGCACCTAGAAGAGAGCGCGCGCCAGAGCCGGATTGGAGCGCCGCCAGAGACAGCGTGGCAGAGGCCGTTCGCAAGAGAAGCGAGGGCACTTTGCGCAGCAAGCCAAAGAAGCCAGAGCCTGACATGGACTGGGAAAACCTGCGTGGCTCTGCACTGAACAAGGAGCGCAAGCCACGGGAGCAGAAGGAGTCAGAGACCAAGCAGAAGGCCAAGATAGACGGTCCAAAACAGTCGTCTTTCAACGTGCTGCCAGTGGAGGATGACGAGGACCAGCTGGTGGCTGGAACTGAAAAATTGTCAGTGAATGAGTGATCGCACGTTTAATTAGATAATGGAACAGAAATGAATAGAGTATGGTAGTCACACCATGTGTTCAGGCTGCCGCGGCTGCTCGGGCTCGCCTCCGGGCCGCGAGCTGAGCCGCGAGCTGCGGTTGCGCTCGTAGAACACCAGCACGTAGTGGTAGTACAGGTCCTCTTTGCGGATGCCCATGATGCGCCAGAAAATCGCCGACACCATCGTGAACTTGTCGTTGACGGTCTGGAACGCAAGCGTGTCGATGTCGCGCAGGTCATCTGGATGGAACGGTCTCTCGTTGATGATCTCCATGATGGACGACTGCAGCGAGCGCAGCTCCGGCATCGGTGGTCGGCTGAAGTCGCTGTTGTGCATCGGAGTGACCTCCTCGACCGGGCCAGTAGGCGGCGCCGTTGCCGCCGACGTCTGGCCCTCAGACGAGTACTCGCCATTGCGCACGAGCTGCAACGAAGCCAGCAGCGTCTGGGCCTTGAACTTGGTGGAACGCGGGAAGAACAGGTCGCTCACGGACTCCGCGTTGTTGAAGATGCTGTCGAGACTGCGGTCGCCCTGGGCCTCGTTGGTGTGGCGCGAGCGGGCCTGGTCGCGCATGAAAAAGTCACGCTTGCACATCGGACAGCAGCCGCGCCGATTGGTTAGCCAGGGGTCCACGCAGTCGGCGTGGAACACGTGGCCGCAGATCAGGCCACGGACTTCGTCGTCGTCGAGCAGGTTGTCCAGACAGATTGCGCACATGCCGGAGGTGAAGTGGAGGTCCTGTGCGGCGTCGGCAGACGAGGCTGTAGCAGGAACCGTTTCGCTGAGCTCGATGTTGTCGGTTTTGTTCTGGTCGGCCAGATCGACCTCCTCTGGCGGCGAGGAACGTGCGTCCTGAAAGTCGTCGTGCTCCTCAGGAGTGTTCTGATGTCCCGCGTCCTCCTCGTACACCAGGACGCCCTCGTTCCTGTTGATGACGTCCTCCTGGCCGCCGTTGAGCCACTTGGCGTACGTTTTCAGCGGGAACAGATCGTCGACCTCCTCCTGCGTCAGCTTGCGCTTCCGCGAGTACCCCTCGCGGCGATGGGGACGGTACCCGTGCAGATGGCGGTGGCCCACGAGGTTGAGGGCGATGTCGTGTTCAAAGTACGGCTGGAGGCCGTTCATGGACGCGCGCCCCGTGGGGCCCATGTAGAACGGATTGCGGGCAAACTGCGGCGCCGAGCTGTAGAGCCCAAAGCGAGACCGCACAAGGTATCTGAAGGTGAAGAATATAAATAGAACGGCAATGATGACGCCCACGCACAGCGCGATGAAGAACAGCACTGTGGACGGCTTGCTTCCTATGAAATTTCCGGCCACGTTGGCGGCCGAAGAGGTGGCGGAAGGAGCATCCGACGTGGAACTCATTGATTCGGCCTTAAACAACAACGGAGGGAAAAAAAAAGTTAATTTACGAAAAAGCCAAGCCAGAGATTTTGCATATGATCACGGTGAAGGCAAAAAGACAGGGCCTGACGGTGTTTGTGAGTGTGCCGGCAGGGTCCGGGGTGGGGGAGCTGAAACAGCGGCTGACAGAGATGGTGAACAGTGCGGGCGGACTGCAGTTGAACGGCGAGCCTGTGGGGCTGTCGCAAACAGATGTGGATGTGCCAGTGCCGTCGTTCGAGGAGGGCGAGGAGGCGGCCGAGAGCGAGGAGGCGGAAGAAGGAAGAGAGAAAGTGACCGCTGAGGGATTGCGGATTGCAGTGCTGGACGACGAAGTCCGCGAGGTGGACGAATTGGAGCTGCACGACGGGCTGGCGGTGGCCTTTGCGTGGGGGGAGGAAGAGTTCAGCGTGGCACAACCGCAGGAATAACTACGCATAATCTAAAAGTGACTTTATTACTAAAAACTGCCTAGTTGACCAGGGCAGAAGCAGTGGCAGACTCGTATTTCCAGGTTGGTGGCAGCACAGAAACAGTTCTGTAGTATCTGGCGAGTCTGTGGATTCTGGACTCGATCAGAATCAGTCTGAACTTGGAGTCCTTGTCCTTTCTGTTTCTCTCCAAGTGCTTTCTCACGGAAACAGCTTTCTTGATCAGGTAGTACAGGTCCTCTGGGATCTCTGGAGCCAGACCGTTCGACTTGAGAATTCTCAGAATCTTGTTACCGGTGATCACCTTGGCCTGGTTGACTCCGTGGGCATCTCTTAGAATAACACCGATCTGCGAAGGAGTCAGACCCTTTCTGGCGTACTTGATAATCTGCTCAACAACATCCTCGGAGGAAAGCTTGAACCAGGATGGAACGTTTCTCGAGTATGGAATGGCGGAGGAAGAAATTCCTTTTCCCTGGATGGTTAGTATTCGATACTTATCCAATACATGGCAAAGGATTGGTGCTGCGCAGCTTGCACCGCTGCAGCCCGAATCAAAGGCGTGTATTGGGCAAAAGGCTACCCACTTTGCTGTGCATACGACCCATGTTGGTAGAATAGTTTGAATAAAAATTTTTTGGTGTTGAAAATTATCTACCCGCGTGCACGTGACAAAGGAACAGGGCTGAAAGCCCTCGTATACCCCTGATCCCAAGACTGGCTGTCTTGGCTCCTGGGCATCAGCCCATAGCTGCCGGACACTACTCAACCTCGGACCTCAGCTCCTCCCAATCCTCCTCATCAGCCACCTCCACAAACCGGTTCGCGCTCACCTCGCTCTTGAACTGCTCCAGACACCCCGCGTACAGCATCTTGGCGTCCTGCTTTGCCGTCATCGGACGGTGGTACACCAGCACGAGCGGATTGCTCAGTCGGCCGTCGTCCAGCGTTTTCGAATAGCTGAGCACCACGAACCGCGGCGAGTTGTCGGGCAATTCCTCGACCAGCGCGTCGATCGACTCGATCTTTTCGTCCGGTTCCTCGTACAGCACCTCGTACGACTGCGGGTCGATCATGTACACCTGTGCTTGCATTGTGGTGCTGCGAGCGCTCGAAATGCGAAACTTGCGCAGTTTCTGTAACGTGGGGGTGGAGAACGAATACAGCGACATGATAAGGAAAAAAAAATATATGTAACCTCTCTACTCTCAGCTCAATCCCGCGAGCTCGGCCTCCTCCTCTACAGTGGCACGTTTTTTCAGCACCAGGTCGTGGCCCGTAACCCGCCTGTAAATGTCCTTGACGTCGTCTGTCGTGGACTCGAAGTGGGACGATGGGTCGTAAGACTTGGAGATGTAGATGTGGTCCTTGGAGCCATCCTCGATCGGCTCGTATAGCTCAGCAATGCCCATGAGCACGTCTTTGGTGGCGCCGATCACCTTGAAGGCGGGCTCGAGCTCCAAATGTGGTTTATCGGTCTCGATGATCGTCGAAATGATGGCCAGATAGTAGCCCTTGGCACAAATGTTATGGGCGGACGAGACGGTCGCGATGTAGATGTCGTTTTTCCTGCCCACCTGGTTCTGTGGGATGATGATCTGTGCCGAATCTGCATCCGAGGTGTTGGGAATAGGGTGGTCCAGAATGCACATGGCCCTGATCACCTTCTGGCCCGTGCTCCTGACTTTCTCTGGGAAATACGTGGGGTCGGCAATCACTACTGGCGCCTTGGCCACGCCCTCTTTGGTCTTGACACCGGCAAACTTGCCGTCCTCGTATAACACCTCCTCGATAGGCGTGTCCAGCATGAACGTGCCGCCGTAGATGGCCGAGAGTCTGGCAAATCCCTGAGGCAACTCGCCGAGCCCGTACAGGGGATAAATGTATGGTGACTTGCCGTATCTGGCAACAGAGCCCAGATAAAGCACTATTCTGTCGTACGTCTCTCTGGCGGGCTGAGACAGGTAGTCGTCGTTTGACCACAGCGCCATGGCATGGCCAATGAAATCCTTTGTGCCCCTTTCCAGCCCGTACTTGTTGTAAAGCTCCTCCATGGTGATTTTATCCAAATCGACGCCGCCGTGCGTCGACACCTCGTCCTCCTTGTATTTGATGATAAACTCCAGGAAGTTCTTCATTCTTCTCTTTTCAAAGAAGCCCATCAGAGGAGACGAGATCGCCTCTGACTGGTTCGAAGGCACCTTTGCGATCCGCCCGCCTCTGTACACATACGAGCCCGATATCTGTTTGAATTCCATGTACCGGGTAACATCGGTGTGGACGAGGATGTTGGTGAGCTCGCCGTTGGACATAAGGAACTTCGGGATCAGATCCACGCACCAGTCGCGGTCCTTGCCGAACTGGTCGCTGTACGGCTTGCTGGGCTTGAACTTGGAGTACAGTTGGGTCAGATTCAGCGAGGCGCTCTCGCCGCCGTAGTAGTCCTGCTTGTCAATGTGGAGCACCTTCTTGCCGTCAATTGACAGCAGGCCAGACAGAATGCACTCTGTCAGTCCTGTGCCGAGCACAATAACGTCGTAGTCGCCTTCCATAAAAATAAAATGTGTGAAAATGCCAGGATATATTTTTTTGATTGCCTTCCTGCACCGACGGGTCGAAAATTAAATCGATTTAAATTAGATATAAATTAAATATTTAATTTCTTGTGCTTGAACACACGCGTGCCGCCCGCGCCCCTGTAGTCACCGGCCACCTGGCCATTGCCGCGCAGCTGGTAGTAGTAGCACACAAGCCCCTCGAGCCCCACGGGGCCGCGCGCGTGGATTTTGTTGGTCGAAATGCCAACCTCTGTTCCGAATCCATACCGGAACCCGTCAGCAAACCGGGTCGAGCAATTCCAATAAACGCCTGCCGAGTCGATGCCCGCAAGGAACTTCTCGGCCGCCTCCTTGTCCTCTGTCACAATACAATCTGTGTGTTTCGAGGAATGCTCGTTGATGTGTAAAATGGCCTCCTCCACGCTTGCAACGCTCTTGACAGCCACGTCCAGCGACAGAAATTCGCGCGAAAAATCAGAATCTTCCGCCAGCACGCTCTGTGGCTGGTCCTTGAACAGCTCCGCCGACAAGTGGCACGTCACACCGGCCTCGCGCAGCGCCTGCAACACTTTTTCGTGGCTACCATCTTGCACGAGCTGCGAATGAAGAAGCACCGTTTCCACGGCATTGCAGCCTGCAGGATAGTTGGTTTTCGCGTCCACAATTATCCGGCACGCCTTCGCGAGATCTGCAGCCTTGTCGACGAAGATCGAGCAGATCCCATCCGCGTGGCCAAGCACAGGAATCTTGGTGTTTTCCTTGATATTTCTGACGAGCTCGTTCGAGCCGCGCGGAATCACCAGATCAATGTACTTGTCCTGTTTGAGCAGGTCGCCGACCTCCTCACGCGTGCTGATCAGCTGGATCGCATTCTTTGGAACAGCAGTGTCCTGCAACACCTTGTTGATCACCTTCGCCATTGCCTGGAACGTATGCAGAGACTCTTTTCCGCCCTTTAAAATCGCCGCATTGCCGGACTTGATTGCCAAAGCGGTGATGTTGGCAATCACCTCCGGCCGGCTCTCGAAAATGATGAGCAGAACGCCCACCGGACATGTCAGCCGGGTCAACGTGAGCCCGTCGTCGAGCTCTGTCGCAAGAGTCACTCTGTTGAGCGGGTCTTCCAGATTGGAGACATCCAGCACGCCCTCGCACATCGAGTCGAACTTGCCGTTCTTGGACAAATCGAGCCGCTTGATCAGCGACGACGACAGCTTGTTCGTCTCGGCGACCTCCATGTCCTTTCTGTTGGCGGCCAGGATATCTTCCTTGGCAGCCTCGAGCCCCTGTTTGATCTGATACAGCGCAAGTGAACGCTGCTCGTCCGACAGCGTCTTAAGCACGGTGGAGGCCAAATGGGCCTGCTGGGCAATAGCTTTGGACATGGTGCCGATGACTAAATTTTTTTTATCGCCTTCTTACATAAGCAGCACGTTGGCAATTACACGAGGCTCGGCGCCCCGTATGAGCCGCACTTAATTGGTGGCGTGCGGTGTTTCAGCGCATGCAAGGTGGTAATCGGGGAGACAAGCCAAAGGCACTTTACAGGGTCTTAGGGCGCACGTCACGTGTGATAACTGGAAGCTCAATACGAACGAGTCTGCTAGCAGGTTTCGATTACGACCGTGACAGTGCCTGTTTAGGTGAAATGATCTTCAGGAGACAAACGCGCCCCACGATCTGCAGACAAGAAAGTGTGCCTGAACACGGTGCGAAAGGAGGCTTTCCGGACCAGTGTGGATCTAGAATCTGGGTTTAAATCCCAAAAAGGAAGGAATTGTTTACTGCAAACACTCAATTACGCCGAAAAGGGAAGTGAAGAAGGCTCCGTTAGGGGGCTTGGCTATTTTTAGCAGCTCGCGAAACTGAAATGAGCAACTCCTTGACACGACGGTGAGGTTGTTATCGCAGGTGCCACAATAATAGCAGCAAGCATAGAGTTTTAACCACGGTGATTGTTCACCGTGTTTGGCTATTGTTTGCTAGAAATTTCTGCTTGATGTAATTTCCGAAAACAGAAACTGCTCGAATCCGGTATCGTGAATGAAAAATTTTCTGGATGATCCCTTATAAAGAGTGGCGAGATATAAATAGAGCCAATTCCCACTTAGAGATTCTCACCATATTAATTAATCGAAATGCAATTCTCTAAGGTTATTGTCGCTCTCGCTGCTGTCGCTTCTGTTCAAGCTGCTAACAACTCTTCTGAGTCCTCGTCGGTCTCTACTGCCGGCGCTGCTGTCAACACCTACGGTTCCGTTGCTCTTGGTGCCGGTCTTGCTGCTGCTTTGGCTCTCTTCTAAGCACGAAGTTTTGTGAAACTACTCGGTACAATAGGCGCTTACATTTGCTAGACTCATTATATAATCCCGTGCCAGGTGGAACTGGACTGTTCTATTTCTGATAGTCCGTTTTGTATTAATTTATTTATGCTTGGAAGGATATCAAGACGGTAGTTATGTAGCCGGATTAATTTTAATTTATTGAGCTCTCATTTAAGGCTTAGCCGTCGTACGTCTGTAATTTCCTATCTGTTTATATTTTTTTCTGTGTCGTCGCGTCGATTTCTACGCGTCATGGAAATTGCCCATGAATCTGGTCTCCTAGCTCTCGCCGCCAGTGTGCGCCCACGCAAGCGACTTCGCCCTTGCACGGAGGTCATCTCGCTTGTCAGCTCCGAAGGCCAGAGCTGCGACGATGAGCTCGAGGTTACAAACTCCACAGACAGCGAGAACGAACTCAGTGAGGACAACATCGGGCTCGAGGCTGCCAGACGCAGCCAGGCTCTTGAATCTCAATGTGGATCTCAGAAGGGAGCCCCCGATGCAACTCACAACAGGAGCCCCCACTCACAATCCCGCGAACCTTCTGCCGCACTAGAGAGCCCCCATCTCGAACCTTCGCACATCACGGTGGAATCACAGTCCTCCTCTGAGCCCCTCACCGCGGCTATCCCACAATCCACACAACTTGCTCCAACTTCTTTAAAAAAAACACTCCCCCACCTGGCAAAGCCCATCGCCGTACCGACGCAACCACGGTACCGCGTGGGCTTGTCCAAAAGAGCAAGAGTCGATCCTTTACATCCTTACTTAAAGAAAAGCCAGCCTCCGCAGCCCTCATAGCTCGTCGTGCGGCGACACAATCTCCAGAAGTTCCGTGTCAAACACCAAAGTGGCGTCCGGTGGAATCACGGCTCCCGCCCCACGCTTGCCGTACGCCAGCTCCGGCGGAATCGTGAGCCGCCGTTTCTCTCCAACACACATGTCCATCAGTCCCTGGTCCCAGCCCTTGATCACGTGTCCCACGCCGAGCACGAACTTCAGTGGCTGGTCGCGCTCGACGGACGAGTCGAACACTTCCTGTGTGTCGAACAATCTCCCCGTGTAATGCATCTTGACCTGGTCACCAGGCGCGGTCTTCTTTGTGCACTCCTCCGGTGGCACTCTGTGGAGGACGCCAATCTGGAGCTCCGCGCTGGCGACAACAGTCAATGCCAAAACCGCTAACGTTCTGAAATTCATAATGACAGTTATTTTCGACGCAAACACAAAATATTTTTCTCTGTAGCAGACCCACGTTGCCGACGCACAACAACGGCCACGAACCGGAAGGTGTGTGTGGGGGCGTCAATCGTAGACAACATGCTCATGGTACCTACACGGGGGGTACCCAGCCTGCCGGCCAAGAGCTCTCAGACTTGCACAGTGGCAGGAGCGTAGGCCTACAATGTAGAAACGAATAATTCTATTTATTGTATTTACTACATTTATTATTTTTCGCGTCCCCATCCCATGTCCCTGACAAACGAAGAGTTGCTCGGGTTGCACAACCAAGACGAACCCGAGCTCCCAAAAAAACGGCGCACAGTGCACAAACTGACCGACGAGCTGCTGTTGGGGCCCCGCGGCCTGCCCGCTCTGCACAAATCGCTCAAGAATTACAGATTCCATCACAAGCGCGTCGCAGACAGAAGACGCGATGAATACACGAGATCGCACCATTTCGACAACCTCACGCGGCTTTTGCACATCTATCAGGCCTGGGGCCACGACATCTACCCGCAGTACAAGTTTAGGGACTTCATTCCGGTGCTGAGCCGCGCCATGGGCAGTCCCGAGGTGCGAAACTACAAACGGCAGCTGATGCGGGGGGAGACAGATGGAGAATTAGGTGGGGGAGTGCTTCAGACAGCTGAGGGTGTTCAGAAGGAGCAGGAGCAGGAGCCTAGGCACGACGACGAGCTGTTTGTGTCCGACGACGATCTGTACACGCCGATAGGCCAAGCTACCGGGCAAGTGCGCAGCCACGCAGGCGAGAACAGCGGTCCATCCGCCGAGGAGCTGGAGCTGGCGCGCGAGTTTGGGTTCTAGACAGGCTCCTTACTGACACATAATGTTTGATGGCAGTGTATAGTGCATTTTTTTTCGTGTGATTTTGCTTTAACAAATAACTCTGTCAGACGTAAGTAGACAGGCAATTGGCGCAGACGAAAACCGAGTCACTTGATCTTTGCGATGACGCGCACAAGACGGAATACTGGGCTTTTCAGTGACGACTCGGACACGGGCACTGCTCCTGTGGACGACGACGCCCGGTCGCGGCGCAAGCGGTCTCTGCCCCTTGACGAGGACTCAGATTCGGACGTGGTGCGGCCGCACCGTACGCGGGGCCGTCGGTCGGTCAATTACAATGAGGATGCGCTGCTGGCTGCGCTGGACGACGAGATCGGCGATGGAGACGATCCAGACGACCAGGGTGTCGGGCGCAAGCGGCGACGCACGCGCTCGCGGCCTGCCGAGGACGACGATTTCGACGAGGACGATGCTGAGGCGAGCGACTCGCATGACTTTGACGACGACGGCTCGTTCAGCTCGGACGACTCGCTGCGGCCGCGCAGGAGGCGACAGCCAGGGTTCATTGTGAAGGACGACGAGGACGTGGCGTCGGATGAGGAGTACGACGTGCGGGCAGAAAGAAATCGCCGCAACGGGCGTCCGAAGCGCAGGGGCCGTGGCCGGCCGCGGAAAGAGGAGGTTGAGGAATTCGACGACGACGAGAGCGAGGAGGAAGAGTCGCTGACGATTGCCGATGAGCTGAAAGCGCTGCAGGACGACTCGCCGCTTAATTCGCCGGTGCAGCGCAACTTGCGCGAGCGCAAGAACGTGAACTACCAGCTGCCGCCGCCCATGCTGCAAGCGGAGCCAGAGCGGTTCGACGTGGCCGACAGCCCACGCAGGGGACGCGCGGGTGGCCGATTTGGAGGCACGGGCACGCCAGTGCCCGCCAGCACGCAGATCAGACGGCTGTTCCCCACGGTGGGGCCGTTTGGGGGCGGCGACGTGCACGCGCTGTTCCAGAACGGCGGCTCCGCAGACACGCTCACGGCGATCGGCAACGTCGAGAGCAGCGACTCCGAGGACGACAACGAGCTGTTCAAGCCGACGGACCCGAACAAGCTAAGCATTGTGACGGTCGACAGCGGCGCGTCGGGCAAGAAGAAAAACACCCTAGCCGACACAGATCCGCTCGGCATCGACACCAACATCGACTTCTCTGTGGTGGGGGGGCTGGACAGCTACATCGACCAGCTCAAGGAGATGATCACGCTGCCCCTGCTGTACCCGGAAATATACTCCAAGTTCCACATCACGCCGCCGCGCGGCGTGCTATTCCACGGTCCGCCTGGAACGGGCAAGACGCTGATGGCGCGGGCGTTGGCCGCGTCGTGCTCGTCGCAGCACCGCAAGGTGACGTTTTTCATGCGCAAGGGCGCCGACTGCCTGTCTAAATGGGTCGGCGAGGCCGAGCGGCATCTGCGGCTGCTCTTTGAAGAGGCCAAGCAGCAGCAGCCCTCGATCATTTTTTTCGACGAGATTGATGGCCTCGCGCCGGTGCGCTCGTCCAAACAGGAGCAGATCCACGCGTCGATCGTGTCGACGCTGCTTGCGCTCATGGACGGCATGGACAACCGCGGCCAGGTGATTGTGATCGGTGCCACCAACAGACCCGACTCTATCGATCCGGCGCTGCGGCGGCCCGGCAGGTTTGACAGAGAGTTCTACTTCCCGCTGCCGGACGTGAAGGCACGTGAGGAGATCCTGAAAATCCACATGCGCAAGTGGGACCACCAGCTGGACGACGGGTTTGTGCGGGAGCTGGCACGGCTCACGAAGGGCTACGGCGGGGCAGACCTCAAGGCGTTGTGCACGGAAAGCGCGCTGAACGCGATCCAGCGCGCGTATCCGCAGATCTATCGATCCAATGACAAGCTGCGTATCAATATCAACAAGGTGCGCGTGGTGGCGAGCGATTTCACGCGCACGTTGGAACGCATCGTGCCGTCGAGCGCGCGCGCAACGTCGCTCACCTCGAGCCCGTTGCCCGAAACCGTTGCGCCGCTGCTGCAGCCGCAGCTCGACGACATGCTTGCGCGCGCCCGCAGGGTAATTCCGAGCGAAAAGCCGCTCTCGCTGCTCGAGGAGAGCCAGTACGTCGATTTGACAGCGTCGAGACCAGACGGTGGGTTCCGGCACCAGCAGCTGTTGGCCAGACTCAACCAGCAGCGCGTGTTCAAGCCGCGTCTGCTGCTTGCAGGCAGCAGGGGCGACGGCCAGGAATACGTCGCCAACGCCGTACTGCACAGCTTTGAAGGCTTCAACGTGCAGACGCTCGACTTTGCCAAGCTGCACTCCGACGCGTCGATCGCCCCCGAAAATCTCGTGATCCAGCTGTTCCAGGAGCTCAAACGGCACAAGCCCAGCATTCTGTACGTGCCGTACGTGCTGGGCTTCTTGGACGAGATCACGCCGTCGCTGCGGTCTACCATCAGCACGCTCGTGCGCACTCTCGGTGCCAACGACCGCGTGCTCATCTTTGGGATGGTCGAGGAGCAGCATTTACTCGACGATAGGTACTACGACGAGCTGTCCGCTGTGTTTGGGTTTACGCGCTCCGACGTGGTGCAGCTTGCGCGGCCCGATGAGCGCCAGCGCGAGAGGTTTTTCGAAAGCGTTTGGACATGTTTCCACATGGCTCCACTCGATTACAATGAGCTCAGTTTGCGGCCGAAACGCAAACTCAAGGAATTGCCCAAGGTGGAGGTGGAGGAGCAGCCTCAGACCACACAAAACACAGCCACTAATGACGCAGAGCTAGCCAAGAGCGACATGCGCCTGAAAAACACGCTCAAGGTCAAACTGTCTGGCCTAATGGACCTGTTCAAAGCCCGCTACAAGCGCTTCAAAAAACCTGTCGTGGACGACGCGTTCCTTGTCCACCTGTTTGAGCCGGAGCCGGACCCAGAGGCGCCGTACCAGCGCCAGGGTGACCGCATTTTGGAGGTGGCCACGGGAAAGCTCTACTACAACATTGATCTCGACGTGATCGAGGAACGACTCTGGAATGGCTACTATTCGGAACCCCGCCAGTTTCTCAACGACATCGAGATGATCTTGAAGGACGCCAAGACGTCTGGGGAGCGCGACCGCGTGCTGAAGGCCAACGAGATGTACGCAAACGCGCAGGTCGGCATCGAGGAAATGGAGGCTGCGTTTCCTCAGCTGGCGGCCGAGTGGAAGGCTGCCAGACAGCGCGAGAAGCGGCGCGAGGCTGAGTACTTGCGCAAAGTGCGGGAGAAAGTGGAGCAGGAGCAAGCTGAACAAGCGGAGCAGGAGCCAGCCGGCTCAATGCAGCAGGTGCAGCAGGCACAACTCGTTAATGGGGAATCCACGCAAAGTCACGTGACAACGGACTCAGCTGCAACCAACGTGGAGGTGGCACCGGTGGAGCCGGCCGAGCAGCCAGTCAAAGAGGAGCTACAGAAGGAGGTTGAGGAGGAACAGAAAGAGCAACACGAGTCCGAGTCGTCGGACGAGGAGTACCCGGAACTACCAAAAGAGCAGCTGATCTATTCGGAGGAAAAACTAGCTAAACTGCAGCGTCTGTTGCTGGACAAGTCTGCCGGGATGTCTGTGGAAGAGCTGGAGAGATTGGCCTCGCGTCTGATCGAAATGATTTGGGACGAGCGGATGAATTTGGACAAAACCGCGCTGCTAGACCGAATGGAGACTTTGTTGCGCTAGCTGTCGTACTCTTCATTCTGTTTGCTCACGTGGAGCTTCTTCTTACGCAGTCGCTTGATCTTTTTGAGCAGTCGCACTTTCTTTTTGCTCTCCTGCTCTTTGACCCTGGTATAGAACCTCATTGTGAACGGCAGCAGGCAGTTGGTGACCACGACCCAGCCTATCAGGACGCACACGTTGCGCGGCATGTTTGCGTCCTTATAAGTGTTGAACAGCAGCGTTTTGTACAGATCGTAGCCGTTCTTTATAGGCATCATGTATCCATAACGATAAAACTTGGGACTCAAGTTTAGCGGGTAATATGTGGGGGCGATGTTCGACACCATCCAGAAAAACATCCACATTGGGATTAGATTGGGTTTGGCAGCCTGCAGAAAAATGCTAATGTTCTCGTTGACACCACCAAGCGACGACAGCACCAGGTACGACACGAGCCAAAAGATGAGAAACCCCACCTTTTGTGGGTACCCTGAGTATATGTCGATTTGGAAGAACACCTGCACAAGCGTGTACCCTAGTCCAAGTACCAGGTACGTTATCTGCGAAGAGATCAGCCGGAACGCTAGATACGAGCCGTCTTTGAGCTGCGACGCGATTTTGTTGTGGTATGGCTGGAAAAACGCAAACTGGAGTAGCGACAACAGATGCAAGTACACGAGACCGAACTGCTGCGGACCAGCTACTATCGGCACCAGAAGGTGTGAGGGGGTGAGATCAGTAGTTTTGAAAATGATTGGCGTCAAAAGTTGCTGCAGACTATTCAGTTTCTGCTCGTCCGACAACTCTTCCACGAGACGAGCGGTCATGTTGGGCTGTAATTCGGTGAAAAATGTTTGCAGCTGCGCAAAGCCCCGCGTAAAGTAGGACGACTCGGCCACATAGTCGCGGCCCGTCTCGTAGATCACCTCCACGACGTCCGACGTGTTGAAGCTCGTGCCCTTCTGCAACGCTTCCAGATAGCGCGACCCGGCCCCCGGCTGTACAAGTACAGCGCCCCAGATTTGCTGTCTGTAAACTTTATGTGCCAGAATCGAGTGCAACTGATCTGTGTCGTTGGAGATGGTCTGGTACGGCTTGGGGAGCCACGTGCCGATCAATGGCATCATTTTGGTAGCCTCGACAACGTAATGCGAAAGCAGGTCGTTCTCATCAACAACAACCCAGAAATGGAAGCTTTTAAGTCGCGAGTTGCGGTGGTACATCGTTCCCCAGTAGAGACTGTAGATGGCCATAATTACACCGGTAATGAAAGCGTAGCCCTTGATGAAATGGAGCACGGTCTTGATTTTGTTGAATTTGGGGTCGAAAAAGCCGATCTTGGTAAGCTTGTCTTTGACCTCGTTGGTGACCTGGCGTCGGATGCTGTTGAGTTTCGTGATGGTTGGGGCTCGGGACAAGGACTCTGTCTGGCCCACGTCGTCATGGTCGCTTTCTGTGTCCGAGTCGTCGCTGTTCAGCACCGCAGAAATGACCTCCTCATTGGCGTCGTTGGCAGAGCTGGGAATCAAGCCATCCACGTAAAATGGCGACGTTCCAGGCGACGTCTGTTGGGTGAACTGTCTGGTGAGTCGTCGGCTGGCCGGTTCCTGCAACCCCTCATCAGAAACGGCACGTTTTAGCCAGGACGTAAGCGTAGATGCGCGTCTGCGAAACCCAGAGCTGCGACGTGGGTGCAAGTCTGGCGATTTTGACTCGTTGGCTGGCCAGGGCGCCGGCACAGACGCAGTGGAGTTCTGTCTTGTTTTTGCCTCGTCCGGAGGGTGGTACGACCGGACATGCTGGCTTGTCGACAGGGGATCAGAGTCAAGCGACCGCAACGACAGCGACGACAGGGACGCCTCATCTATCTGCGAAAGTCGCAGGGAATCCATAGAAAAGAGTGGAATTTTAATTAATTCCGTATCTGAAATTGATAATGAAATTACACTATATTTTTTTTTTTATTATTTTTTTTAGCTCATGTCGAAGCTTCTGCAAACAGAAATTCAGCAGAAGCTAAGCCAGGCAAATATGCGAATAGCCGACTGGCTGGGCGGCGAGAGCAGTGGGTCGCCGGAAAGGAGCGCTTTTGAGGACTTGCCCGTGATCAAGCCGGGAGCTGGTCTTGATCTATCCTCAGATGCGGCTAGAATAGGCGATTTCACGTCAGGGAAGGTGGTGAAAAAAGCAAAGAACCCGCAACGACCGCAGTCGCGGTCGCTGCAGGCGCTGCAGAACAAGCTGCGAAATGCCAACAGAGACAAGGCCCGCGCCAAAGTGGAGAAAACGAGGCGGGAGGCCACCAGGCCAGCTCCGGGAGAGGATGGACGGTCTGAGGATGACTCGGACTCGGACGAGGTGGTGCGACGGAAAAGAAGTGGCACCACCACCAAGAAGGTTAGTAAGCGGCCATTTTAGCATCGAGTATTGATATCGCATTCAAAACAAATTGGAATAATCTAATACACTAGAAAAATAGTACAAGTTAGTCCTGGACAAGCGAACTGAGTTTGAGTTTCTTTTTGGCCATCAAATCTTCCTCGGGCTCAGAATCGGAGTCGAACGAGCGCTTTGTGTCCTTCTGAGTGGCAAGCTCGATGGACTGGAGGTGCGACTGGGACTCTGAGTTGAGAAGGTCCGAGATGGAGGAGTTTCTACCCCCACTAGAAGTTTGTGTGTTTGTAACGGTGATGAGCGGCACCATAGACGGTGGTGGCCCCACGATGGAGGATCCCACAGAGGTCCTACTAAAGATGGAATTGGAACCCCCGGTGGAAATGGAGGAGACCGAGTTTATGTTGTGCTGGACATCGTATACAGAGGGTCTCATTTGCATAATGCGCTGGTGGGAAGGGGGTTGTGGGGGCGGCGTAGTCCTGCGTGGGGTGAGTGGCTGCGAAGGTGCGGGTCTGGAGCCGGGGGTGTTAAAGCGATGGGGAGGCAGAGCCGGCGACGGTGGAGCCGGCGACTGGGGGAAGTACTCGTTAGGAATAGACCGCGGCAGGCGTATCTCGTGCTGCATCAGGGGCGCAGACATTTTGGGATATGACCCCGTTCGTCTTTGGTTCGCAACATGTGGCGGCGCTGGCAGTGGAGGGTACTGCTGGTCGGAATGGGGGTAATACTGTAATGGTACAGGGTTCTGCGGGGGGAGTGGTGCTATGTGCGGCGCTGGGGCTAAAGGGTCCAAAAACACCGACGGATATCTGTTTCGAGAGGACGACTGGAACGAAACCTCAGTGTTGTCGCTGATGTGTGTATTAAGAGTCGCATTTCGGGACTTGTTTTCCACGTCCGGCATGGAAGGCAAGATTATGTGACTGTTGTACTCGTATGATACTTGCTGATGGGGCGGGAGCGGCGGCGGTACATCGTGGTACGGGATGTATACCGTGGGCTGATACTCCACGGGCTGGTACAAATGGTCATAATGCGGCTGGTGGGGGGGATAATACTGCGCTGCGACAAACTCTGTTGCCTGTTCGGACGTAGCCTTCTGAGTGCCCGATGAGCGTCTTTTGATGTAACAGAGCGACCCTTCATCGCCCTTACGGAATCTCCCCGTGGAGTGGCGGAACTCCCACACCTGCATATTTTTCAGCTCCTCCTCAGACAAGCCCTCGTTCGGCCTGGAAGGTGGAACAAGAGGAGGGTTGTTGTCGCACACTTTGTGGAAGCCGTACATGTGCAGCTGCCTCACAAAGGACGCAACGTTGCCGTGCTTAAAATAGCCCGTTAAGGCGTTCGCAAACTCTGCTCCGGGCAGTAACGCAAACGTGGTAAAGTCGTTTTGGTACGTCCGGCTCCACCATATCAGATGGGAGAGCTGGGGATCATTGAGCATGGCATACAGCTTCTGGACAAACGCGGAGACCTTCGGTGGCGGGGTGGGCTCCTGGTGTTGGCCCGACGAGGATTTCCTGTCCGACTGGGCCATAAAAGGCGGCAGTATTGGAGGATGCCCGTGGGAATTCTGAGACATTGCAGAGAACGGGCCGATTCAGAGAAGTGAGGGCAGCAGGATGCAAAAACGAACAGATATTTCACTACCCATACAACTTGCACATCCAGAGGATAGGCGGGAATCTTTGTATTTCGACAAAAGTATGTTTTAACTTTTTTTTAGACCTGTTCTATTTTTCGTTTCTTTTTCAACCTAATTTGCCGATATAAAAACTGTTCTCTTTATTTGTGTAGTGCATACAATGGCGATTGTACAAATAACGCCATGATCAGCAGCATGTAGACCAATAGGGCGTTTTCTCTGCCCAGATGATGCAAGATCCATTAATCTATTATGTTCTGGTAATAACCCAGCAGCCATCGCCCTTCGCTAAGCGCAGTTGCAATCTGCGCAAAAATGTACACTGCCTTCCAACGGCTGCAGTTTTTTAGTCTGGTGCTCATACCACCGGCTTTTTCTCTATTGTCACTATTTAATCCACTATCAGACAATATTGTGCTGCGTCTTCCGCAGCACGCTCCTGCCACTCAGAATGTTGTTTACTGTAACCATGTCCGTCCAGTGCATATCCTTGCCCTTTCTGAGCACCACATCGGTGTTCTTTTCCCAGAGCTCGTCCACCTCCTCGAAAATCACGCTTGTGCCGTGGATCCCCACCACCTTTGCGTTGTCGTTCAGAATCAGGTGCTTCTTGCCATGCTTGTACACAAACTTGAGGTCGGCCTCAGAGTGGCCCTTGAACGTGAGGTTCGACCCAAAGCCTTCGTTCCACAGCCGGGTTATCGCACTCTGCGCGGCAAAGTTCGTTTCCTCAATGTACTGACATGCCTTAATTGCAAACCGTGCAGCAAGACAACGGTCCATAGCGGAAGGGACTCTACCCTGCTGCACGTGACCCGGAATAGCCGTGCGGCTCTCAAACTTGCCGCCTCCACTTTCCCTGATAATCTCGGCGATAAGGCTTGTGCTGTATGTGTCGGACGCGTTCTCGTTGCGGATGAACATCTTGCCCGACCGGTTGTCGCCCTCGTCCTTCTTGAAATTCTCAGACAGCAGCTCCAGATCCTCCTGCAACGTGCGCAGGCTGATTTTCTCTTCTGGCGTGTACACCGCTAATGCACCTGTAACAAGCCCCGTGTACGACGCAACGTATCCTGAATTTCCGCCTTGCACTTCGACAACAAATACTCTTCTTCGCGACGCGGACGCACTCTGCTTCACAGCATCGCAATATTTCACAAGCGTGTTCAAGCATGTATCAGAGCCTAACGAATATTCGGTACCGGGCACATTGTTCGAGACAGTTGCAGGAAGGCAGACCATCGGCATGTTAAAGATGGGATAATTTTCCTTGGCAACTTTGAGCTCGTGCAGCGAGCGAAATGCCTCAAATCCGCCGATGATGATCAACCCGTGTATTTCGTATTTTTGCATGTAGTAAGCCACCGTGCCCATATCTGTCGACGGCAGCGTTCTGTTCGTGCCGATCTCGGATCCGCCCAGGTTGTGCCACTCCTCCACGTCCAGCCAGTCCAGTTTTCTCACCGCCCCGTGGCGAACCAGCCCGGACCACCCGTTCTGGATTCCATAAGGCGTGTGGCCCTTCGACAGACAATAAAGCGCGGCTGCACGCGTTGCAGGGTTCAGCGTGGCCGTCGGAGCCCCGACGTGCACTATGGCGATGTTCAGCCGCTTCGACTCCTCCACCACCTGCGACCCGTCGTCGTGTTTCGAAATGTCCAGGAAGTTGGCGTAGCTCTCTTTGAAGGTCGAGTCGCGCAGTCCCATGGCCTCGTCGAATTTTTTCGCCGCGATCGCCGTTGCCACGCTTTTCGTTAGCTTCACCGCCTCCATCAGCGGCTGCCGCACAATCTTGCCGTCCAGAATGCCAATCATTGGAGACGGCGTGTCCGGAGTGCTTTCCAGCACCGCCCGCACCGCGTCCACGCCCTGCAGCGTGGCCAGCATCCGGTCAAAGGCCACTGCAGAGCCTCCGCGTTGGACATGGCCCAGCGTGGTGATCCTCGTGTCCAGACCGATCTCAACCAGACAGTCCTTGACCTGCTGCGACGTGATGGGCTGCAGCTCGTCGTCCAGAGCCCCCTCGGCCACGATCACGGTCGTCTTGCGCCGGCCCTTTTCTCTGTGCCGCAAACACACCTTCTTGAGGTCCTCGCGCCAGCCCGACGCGCTCGGCGGCCGTTCCGGGATGAATATCGCGTCGGCACCGCACGAAATGCCCGCCATCAGCCCCAGCCAGCCGCAGTGCCGACCCATCACTTCCACGACGAACGCACGCGAGTGCGACGACGCGGTCGAGTCGATGTAGTCCACCATCTCGCAGATCCGCTCCAGCGACGAGTATGCGCCGATCGTGTTGTCCGTCGACGCCATGTCGTTGTCGATCGAGCCAACAAGCCCGACGATCGTCAGATGGCGGTATTTCGCCGTCTGCTCTGCGCTCAGCTCGCCAGTGGCAACGAGCTCGTCCACCAGCGACGGCCACTCGCTTCTGAATAGGTCTGCGCCCGTCAAGGAGCCGTCTCCGCCACACACCACCAAAGCGTCGATGCCGCGCACAATCATGTTTTTGGCCGCTTTCAAACGGCCCCATCTCTCCTTGAACTCCATGCAGCGCGCGGTCCCGATCAGTGTGCCTCCCAACGACAGCCACCCGCGAACGTCATCCCACTCCATCTTGCGCAGCAAATCGCCGCCTTGCACGAGCCCGGAGTAACCCTCGTAACACCCGTACACCTCGCAGTCGTAGTAGATACCGGCCCGCACAACAGCACGCACAACAGCACACATGCCCGGCGCATCGCCACCAGAGGTCATCACGGCGATCCGTTTCTTGGCCGCCAGCACGCTGTCCACGCCGGTTTCTGGCTGCTGCTTTTGCGCGGCCACTTCTGCAGCACCATCTTTCTTCCCTTCATTTGGCTGCCTGCTGAAACCCAATCGGTTGCCAATCGGGTCCACAACGTAGAACTCCACACGGCCCTTGCCCGGCTCGACCCGGAAGCCGTTGGCCTCGCACACGGCCCTCACTTTGGACGGATCCTCGCTGTAAAAAACGAGCTCTCCCGGAAGCTCAATATTCTTGTGCACGTCATGGCTCACTAATCTCAGCTTGATAATTGTCCCTTTTCCATATGCCCCGCCCGCACTGTGACCCGCCGTATCGGCCGGAGGAAAGCAGCTGAACCAGCACTCCTTGCGGGAGTCGTTGGAAACCCCAATCAGTTCGGTGCCTGCGGTGTTGGCGTCCTTGGAGAACGTCTTCACAACAGACAGCCCGAACGACTTGTAGAATTGGATCAGCGCAACATAGTCCTGCGTCCTGGTGGTCACAAACGAGCTGAAATTGAACGACGAAACAAGCGACATACAGTTATCTTTAGCGGTTTCGCCCTTATATAATATAATGGGTCGATGTCTTCCTGATCACCTCACATCGCAAACTTCTGTCCGAGCTACGCCTCAGACCACGCCTCAGACCGTATTTTATTTAGCTAATTAATATTTCGCAGTGCTCTTCTTGAACAGCCCAAACCCGCGTTTTCTGCGCGGCGAGGGCGTCTCGTCGGACGTGCTGGTCATTGCGCGCTCCAGGTTCGTGAATGTCAGCACGTGCGGGATTCTTGGGCGCTCCGCGGTGCCGCCCGCTCCCGCCAACGCCAGCTCGCTCTCACTCTGCGACTTGTACACTGAGGTCTCCGGCAGCGAGCTCGTGGACCCGGCGTGCGGTTTTGGCGCCTGTGTGGACACAGCTTTGAGACTCTCCGATAGGTCCTTGAGATCGTGCGAGTCGCGTTTGTGTTCCTTCAGTTGGGCGATCATTTCTCGCGTGTTGATGGCCCGCAGCATCAATTTGATATCGCTCGCCAGCGTGCCGGACTCCACGAGGATGTCGATGATCTGATCAGAGCATGCGGGCGCGTCTGGGTTCATGAGGCCTTTCAGCGTCGGCCACTCTTTGGTCTCTGTAGGCTGTCCTTCCATGTCTGATTGGAAGTCTTTGTAGTGCTGCTCGTTGAGCAGCCCGAACGTTTCTCTGACCGATTCGCTGCTGCTCTGGCTGTCCTCGGGTGCCATTTCGTGCGACTGCACTTTGCTGGCTGTGTGGAACGAGTCCCGGAAGTGAATTTCGGAGCTCGCTAGACTGCCAGAGTTGGAGTATCGGCCGATAGCTTTGGATGCGCGTTTCAGTAGCGTCAGGTCCATCAAATTGTCGTCTAGCGCGGCCAACTGCTCGGTGAACTTGTCGATCGCAGCGATCCCCGTGCTCTCGTCCACGACAGGGTGGCAGTTCTTGGCCTGCACCACCAACGCGGCCTCTTTGCGCGCAATAACTACGAACAGTGCTTCTGAGATCAGGTCGTACAACAGCGGCACCTCGTACAAATTGGCAATCATCAGCAGTTCCACGCACGTTGGCACCACTTTCCAGTTGCTGCCCAGCTGTCCCGTGTACAGAAACTCGGAGAATGCGCGCACTGTCGGCTTGGAAAACGGCAGACACAGCGTCCGGGGCAAGAAACGCGCGTCCATCTTGGCATCTGCCGCGTCTGGGAAATCGACGCTCTCCTTTCTTGGCCGTTCCGACAGACGGGTGTTTGAAAGCGGGTCCACGTCCTCCAGGGCAGACAGAGCCTGTGTGAGGCCGCTTGACGAGGCGTCTTTGGGGCCAAACGAGGGGGCACGGAAATCAAAAGACGTCGTGGAGTCGTTCAGGTCCTGCGGCAGCTCTGGCATTGGTGGCTGCGGTGGCAGCTCGTCAAGTATTAGCGGCGAGCCCAGCAGGTGATCGGACGTCTCGGAAACGTCTCTGTTGGGATTGGAGAATGCTGACGACGACGACGAGCTCGAGATCCCAGAGCTCCGGCGCAGGTTCGAGCTTTTCATAGACATCGATAGCTTTTCATGCCCAAGCAGAGAGTTCCGTCGCGAGGCGCCAGAGTCTCTTCTGGAGGCAGCCAGCGAACTGCGTCGGGAAGCCGGCAGAGAGCCAAATCGAGGCGTGCCAGACAATGGAGACGATTTTCCAGACTCCTGGAACGGATGTCTGAACAACGGGGTACGCGATTCGGGCGTTTTGGACAGCCTCAACGATCCGGACAAGTCTGTATCTGCCGGCGAGCTGGCGAGCGAGCTCGGCTCTGAAAGTTCGGGCAACGCGTGGCGGTCCGCAAAAGCCCTGGCGTACGCGTCGGCAAGCAGCTTGTCGAAACGGCATCCCCACCGTTTGCGGCACAGGTTGAGCGGCACCGGGATCGACGTGCCGTCAGAGCAGATGAACTCAAAGTCGGAAATCGACGTGGACCGTTCAAACGCGTGCTTGCCCAGGGCCACGGCGTACGGAGGAAAGACGGACCGGATCGAGTTGGTCATGATCTGCGGCGCCACATAGTGCGAGTAGGCAGCAAAGCTTGTGTTTTCGGACTTGTCAAGCGGTATCGAAGACGGCACGTGCTGCGGAGCGGTCTCTGGCGCGTTGCTGAAGGCCTTTTCCATCTCTATGCCGTAAGTGTTGGTGAACGGCAGCGACACGGCACTAAAATGAGAAAAATACTGCACGCTGGGCAGCGTCATTGTGGCTTTGGTGTTTCCGAGAAAGACAACCTTGTGGTGCGAATTCCACACAAATCCTTTGAAAAAGCGGTGCGAGCGCGCAGAATGGGTGCACGATATTTGCAACCGCGTCCAGGTGCGGGTAATCCTGTTGAATATGTACAAAGAAATCGAGTACTCGCCGGGCTGGAAGCCTGTGACAATGAGGTTTTCCCCAAAATAGCCCAGCGTCGGGTAGTCCAGCTCGAATGGCACCACTTTGGTAGAGTTCGTCGACGTCAGCGACATCACCGTCCCCGCCACGCATTCGTCGATAGGAAACGTGATGAACGGCTCATGTTTCTGGTCCTGCTGTTTGTGGTACAGATATATTGGCGGCACCTGCTGCGTCGAATTGAGTGCCTGAAGCGGAATCGCAGAGTTCAAAGAGCTTCGCAACCCAAGGGCCCGTAGGCCAGGCACCTCCACCTCCAGCCCGTCCAGCGCGTTATACTTGATTTTGCCACGGCCCTCATCCTCCTGCACCCTGTACACCAGATTCGGAAACCACTGCTCGGAAACGAGATCGTATATGTGCGACACGAGAAGCTCCTGTTTCTCGTCGGATAATCCGCCAAAAAAGCTTATCCCGTGGTGTGTCGGCTTCCCCACAATGTGCAGTTCGGGGAGGAACATCGACATGTGGTCAAACCGCTTTAGGACCACGGTGTTGCCGTCGGGAAGAAGACATTTCCACGATTTGTCGAACCGGTCAAATCGCCACACGTCATTGAGCGTCTTGAGCTTGTTGTGCTGGTCAAAACACAGTCCGCCGTATACGTAAAGGTAGTTGTCGTGCACGATCATAGAATGGAACATCCTGGGTCTGGGTTTTTCCAGTTTATTTTTGGCATGCAAATGGATCCACTTGCGGTTTAGCAGATTGAGCGAGAAAACTTCGGGCGAGAGATACTCGTTGTAGTCGCTGTGCGCGTCTGTTTCGCGCGCCACAGCCGCCTCGAACTCCAACTCCACGTCCTGCAGCGAAAAGCCTGCCTTCAATGTCAAGGGCAGCAACGACCCGCTGTAGACTAGGATTCTGGAGCGATAGATGTCTGTCGACGCCCCTGACCGCACGTCTAGCCGGTTTGCAGGGTTCTCGTCGTGCGCGTTTGGCATTTCCACGCAGTAGCACCTGCTGGCAGACGAGTCTAAGGGCGGCATGGGGAGCTGACGTTAATTCAATTTTTAAATAATTCACTATGGGGAAGAAATCCGGTCGCGAACGACCCTGGCTGGAAATAAAATTGTAAATTTAATATTTTGCTCAACAACATGCTGCCATTATATCTACTCACGTCGGTGAAAACACAGCCGATTTTGGTGGAGTTGAAGTCTGGAGAGACTGTGAATGGCCTACTAGAGAACTGCGACTCCTGGATGAACCTGACTCTTAACGATGCCGTCACTGTTGACCTCCACGGCAAACGTTTTGAAAAGGTGCCCGAGGTGTATGTGCGCGGAAACCAGATCAAGTATGTGCGCATGAGCAACGACATCATTGACAAATTCAAGGAGCAGAACAGAGGCCCGAACAGACAGCGCCCTATGCAGAAGAGACAGCAGAGAAACGGAAGGGACAGGGACCCAAGAGATAGACGCAACGGTAACCAAAGAACAAAGTGAGGATACCACATGACAAAGAGAAGAGGAGCCGCATTGGTGTTGCATGGACAGGAAGTTATTGCTAGTACGAATAAAATATAATGTTGGTGTAGTCCACCCAACCTTATAATTTGTATTTTTCGTATTATTTTTTGCTTTGGTATACAGTTTGTTTCGTATCCCGCGTTAGTTGCCGTAGAAATGGCGAGTCGATAGATGCAAAGCCTAGCACGAGACTAGGCGGTGAAACTTACGAACTCTGGTCTGGCCCTGTCGGGGGGTGAAAAGTCGCTGCATTTCTGCCATCGAGGTGCATGCTACCATCGCATGGCGTCGAAGTGCTGCAAAAACGCAGCCAACGGCAGGTGAATAAGCGACATCCAAAGCATCATATCATGTTGTCCAGCATGCATGTATCATCTTACAGACCATGTATGTAGCGATGTGGACGGAGTTTTTTTTCTGCAATGATCTGGTACATAATCTAGCCTGCAGTAGCAAACAATAGTGAGATATCACGGGCTTCTTCATACTGAATAATTGTAAAAATCCAAGAGCCAAGCTAGGGCTAAGGGACGGTTAGCCCGGCTCCCTGGACTGCCTCGGCGGTGGTCTGAACTCAGTTGCGAGTCTCTGAGGCGGTAGCAATACGGTTGCAACCGGTTCTAACTCATTTAATTCGTTTCGGCAACTGCGGAAACAGAAATGGGAGATTGTGTCATCAGATTGCACGACCTGATCGGCAGCAAACGCACGGTGCCACTTTCGGCAAATTCTCCAAAGGTCTGCCTGACATGATTTGGGAGTGAATAACTTGTATCGGGTCTCCCAGTAGGAAATCAAGTGGCCGTATTCAAAATACTTATGGAGGAGAGAACCGTGAATCTGAATGAATAAAAAAAGTGAGGGATGGTGTTTCTCAAGGTCGAGCTGCCATTTATCATGGCTGGCCTATAGAATGAGCCAGAGTTATTGAGCGTATCAATTCAGCCCTATGTTGAGTACACAGTCTGTTCAGCACCAGTACGACTACCATTCAAATTTCGTGTGATTATCTTGCTGTTCTATTTACATATTCATCTGGTGCAATCTCTCAAACCTCTCTCTCTTTCTCCTTTCCTCATTGCTCTGGATCTTGAACCGTCTCTTCAGCTGAGCAAGCTCTCTAGCCTCCTTGAGCCTTTTCTCGGCAAGGTAAATTCTTCTTTTGCGCTCTCCCCCGTGGAGTTTCTCGCCCCTTGGGATCTCGTGCAACTCGGCACCCTTTCTATATCTTTCCTGCCAGTCGAGAATATATTTTCTGGCACGAGGCTCTAGTCCCTGTTTTTTCATCCCTGAAGAGCCCAGGTCCCAAAATTTCTGCCAGTCATTCTCAAAAGTGTCTGTGTATTCAGACACACCACGGCCAATTTTTTGGAGGAAGGTGCTCACGTCGGGCACCTTTTCCGTTGGCTCTGGAGTCGGGCGTCTGATGGATTTCGTAGCGTAGGTTCCAAAGCACGTGTATCGCCAGACAATATTGGATCTACTAGAAATCAACGATGTTATCCGGAACATGCTGAATATTGAATTTTTCGAGTTTTTTTTTTTTCAGATTGAATTTTCTGCCAAATATTCAGTGCACCGGTGTCATGTCTCTGGAAAACCTCGATGAATTGCAATGGCGGTCGCCCGAATGGGTCAATACGTTTGGTCTCCGCACAGACAACGTTCTGGAGTATTTTTCGCAGTCGCCATTTTTCGACAGAACGTCCAACAACCAGGTCCTCAAGATGCAAAACCAGTTCACAGATACAAACTACTACAACAAACCATACGACCAGCTGCTGCAGGACCTGCGCAAAATGAAAGGCGTCGAGTTTGTGATTGCGATGGTCCGCGAGCCGGACTTCTGGATCATCCGCAAACAAAACAGACTCTCTGAGAACGAGACGGTGACCATCTCCGATTATTACATAATTGGCTCCAGCGTGTACATGGCTCCAATCACACACTCGATTTTGTCGAGCCGGTTCCTTGCGAGTGTGCTGAGTCTCAGAAACGCAAGCAGCCAATTGCAAGATCTGCCTGCGTTCTCTCCGTCAAACGGCCACCAGTACCTGCTCCAGACTTCCGACTCCAGCGTTCCACATCCGTACACCGACAGTGCAGCACAGATACCGGACACATCTGCCAACGCGTTTAGCAACCTGCTGAACTTGTCGCTGCAAAACAACGCGATCGAGCTGGACTCGATGCCATCGACGGGGATCAACGAGGCGTCTTGGCGGATGGAAAAAACTGAGAGCACATAAATATAATAAGGTGTGCAATTAACTGTGCCAAATAATTTACCCCTCAAAATTATGAGACATTTTAGAGTGCTTAGACAGGCACAGGAGGTGCTCATTCGTTCTGGGAAAGGCAACCCCACTGGGCTGACGGGCATTTATCAACATCCCAACCCACGGCCCGTTCTGATCAAGCTCTACAACTCGACGCTGGCGAAGCTGAAGGAGAAGTTCCCTGAGGAAAGTGTTTACCGCAAGAGTGTCGAGTCGCTGACCAAGAGCAGGCTGGCCGTTGTGGAGGCAAACGACGTGGTGGAGCAGATCGAGCAGAAGATCGGATGCGGCCTGGTGGAGGAGCTGATCATCCAGGCAAACGAGGAGTACGAGCTGCTGCACAAGATGGCCGAGTGGCGGGTCTGGGACGAGCTGGAGGAAAAGCCGCTTCCCGACCAATGGGTTTACTGGGGCAAGGGAGTTTGATGCTGCGCAAATAGCTTCAAGTATTTATGATTGGCACAGTAGAGAGCTTTTTCCGCGCAAGAAATATTTTTCAGCAGATATCTGTATGTTACGGACTTGTTTTCCACGGCCAGTTGTGAGACCTTTTGTTCGGACCTATTTGCCGCGGAAAAAACCCAGCATGTTCAAGATCAGCGACATTTTCAAACCAAAGGTGGAGGTCGAAAAGGACCAGCTCGAGGGGCTGACGCCCATCAACGGCAAGTACGACCACCTGCTCCCGATCGTGTGGATCGACTGCGAAATGACCGGTTTGGACCTTCTGAACGACCACATTATCGAGATCTGCGCTCTGGTCACCGACAAGCATCTCAGACTCATCGACAACGAAGGGTTTGAGGCCGTGATTCATTATTCACAAGAGCGCATGGACCAGATGGACGAGTGGTGCAGGACGCACCACGGCGACTCTGGGCTGACGAAGAAAGTGGTCGAGTCGTCCAACACGCTTGAAGATGTGGAAAACCAACTTCTGGAGTACCTCAGCAAGTATATGTCGAAGGGCGTGGGAATTTTGGCTGGCAATAGCGTGCACGTTGACAGACAGTTTCTGTGCAAGGAGATGCCGAAAATTACAGATTATCTGACGTATCGGATTATCGACGTGTCGTCTGTCATGGAGATTTGCAGAAGACACAACCCGCAGGTGAACGAGTTCAGTCCAGAAAAGGTGGGCGCGCACACTGCCCGGAGCGACATTCTGGAGAGCATCAACCAGCTCAAGTACTACAGAGACGTGTATTTCAAGGGTCCAGGGGAGGTGGACTTCGGCAGCCGAAAACGGCGGCACGCGTAAGTGTTCCTTGTGTAAGAGAAATGTAAGAATCAAAGCTTATTTTTTTTATCGACGATCGACGCAGGCGTACTTAATTCTTGTTAGGCGCAAATAAAATCTTTATATATAAACTTCGCCCCAAGATGAACGTTGAGCCATTTCCCGCCCCCTCGTCGCCAGAAAGGCTGACCGTGTCGCCAACGTCGTCGCATACCGCCAAGGACCATCGCCGCAGACGCTCGTCGTCGCTCATCTCGAAGGTGGAGCCAGAGACGTTTGAAACAAAACAAGACCAGGACATCCAATCCAACATGAACGCCAATTGGGTTCATTTCAAGGGCGCCTGGATTATCCATATTGTGATCATAATACTACTCAAGCTGTTCTACGACCTGATTCCAATGTTCAACAACGAGTGGAGCTGGACCCTAACGAACGTCACTTATGTCATCGGCTCGTATATCATGTTCCACCAGATCAAGGGAACGCCATTTGATTTCAACAACGGGGCGTACGACAACCTCACCATGTGGGAGCAGATCGACAATGGCGACCAGTACACCCCTGTCAAGAAGTTCCTGATGGGAGTTCCTATCTTTTTGTTTCTCATCTCTACGCACTACTCGTATTACGATCTCAACCTGTTTGTTGTCAATCTCGTTGCCTGCTTGTGCGTCGTCATCCCGAAGCTTCCTTACAGCCACAGAGTGAGAGTCAATATCCCCTATATCACAGACCAAAATTAAGCTGAGTATATAGCAATAATACCTTTCTAGTATACATTCACAGTTGCTTGCGTGTGATTCGACGCACCTTGACGAACCGCGCAAGAATCTCGCTGCGCGCTACAACCTCCTCCGGCGGACAGTGGAACTCGCGTTCCAGTTTTTCGGGAGCAAGCATCCGTTTGTCTTTTGTAGCACGGTACAGTCGAAGGTACCGTGAAAGACGCGTCCATTGAGCTCTGCTCCAGCGTGTGGCATGTCTCAGATCAGTGTCTGAATTGAGCGGGCTATGTTCCGGGCTGCGTGGACTTGAGTCTGGACTGTCTTCTGTAGTCCGTTCCGGATTATGCACAGGGCTGTGCTCAATACTCCTTGCTAAACCACGCTCTGGAGACTTTTCTATTGCTGTCTCTTGGACCTCCCTCCTGCCCCGAGGCTCTGTTTTTTCGCGGCGCCTGCGCTCGACGAAATCCGCCACGCGGAGAATCGTCGCCTCTGCGTCCACCTCGTCCCGCACAGACTGCTCCACCATCAAACTTTCGCCCTGTTCCTTGTCTCTTTCATCCTCAGAATCTTCAAACTCGCTGCTGATGTCTACGATCGGCGCCTCCTGCTGGCCCAGACCCTTTATACCCTCGTCTTCGTGTAACGGACTCCCAGGAAGCTTGATAGGAGACATGACGCTCGAATTGTAGTCGTTGTAGTTGTAGCTGCCCGCGTCACTGTCAACACCGTCCAGCTGGACGTCGTCGTCCAGATCCACAACGGGCTCTTTGCGCACCGGAGTGCCTGCGTGCAAAGGCCCGTTTCCCTTGGTTTTCAAAGGCACCTTCGAAACGGCAAACGACGCGGTGCTGGCTGGCGAGTTGCCGGTGTCAGGCGTGCGTGATGATGTTGTAGGACTGCTGTGCTCGGCTCGCCGCGAACTCGGGTACCTGAACGGCGAAAACTGGATCCGTGGTCGACCCATGTTTGAGATTAGGTAATTTGTTTAGGAAATCGTATATTGATTGGATCATCCGTCACGTGATAAGCCACGACACCGCCAATGTAACTACCGGACAACGACCCATGAGGTGTTGGGCCAGCACTTGTTTGACATAGGTGGAGGGGTAAGAATGGTGCCCAATGGTGGTCAACTCTGGTGCGGCTTTGGGCTAGAACTGCTTACGCAGAGCTAGCCAGCAAAAAACTTTACCTTGCCTCCCGATTCCACCGTTTTGTCATATTTCTGGATAGTATTGAGTTTTGAAATATTGATCTATGCTTCAGCTATGGCTCCAACGGTATCAAATCGTTGTGTAGGATGAGATTTCTAAGCGTGTGGCATCTATACACAGGTGCAGGCATGCGAAGATAGCTTTGAGCGCGGTCACTTCAATTCAGAAGAAAGCTCGGGTTTGCTGGAGTGGACTCGGAGAATAAAACCACTGGCTGCCAGCTACCAGTTCCGGATCAAGAGATGGTAGAGCCAAATGTCAAGCCCATTTCCACTACGAATTTAGGAGCCAAACTTGAGATCGTTCGAGCTTTAGAGATTGAAAGTTGAGCCTACCGCTCTGCTGTCGCAGCCGTTGCTCTGACAGTCTCTATTTGCTCCTTGTGTTGGGCCCTGAATTTGCTACCCATCTTTGCTGCTGGCTACACAGCCGTGATTATTTTTTTCACTTTTTTTGGCCTTAAAAAAAATTTTATACCCACTTATTTGCAATGGCTACTGGGAAAACAGAAAAAGCCCGTCGGGTGCGCCAGAACGATTTGCGGGATGGTAATCTCAGGGTCAAGGGAGAAAACTTCTACAGGGATGCAAAGAAGGTGAAGCATCTGAACATGTACAAGGAGGGCAAGGCCGTGAGAAATGCAAAAGGTGAGATTATCAAGGCTGCGTACTTGCAGGACACAAAGGCCCCAACGGCCAGGGTGGACCCCAACAGACGGTGGTTCGGTAACACCAGGGTGATTGCGCAAGACGCTCTGACGCATTTCAGAGAGGCCATGGGCGACAAGAAGGACGACTCGTACACTGTGCTGCTGAAAAGAAATAAGCTGCCCATGTCGCTTTTGGACGAGAAGGACACGAGCGAATCTCCGAGCGCGCGTATTTTGGAAACGGAGTCGTTCGAACATACGTTTGGCCCCAAGGCCCAGCGCAAGAAGCCTACCACGGTGGCTTCTTCTCTGGAAGAGCTGGCTCGGCTCACCTCTGCGGAACAGACACAGTATGAGGAGAAACAGGAGCTCAAGCCCACGCTCGGACTTATGGGAGGTTTTGACACCGATGAATTCAGCGCGGAGGCCAAGGAGTTCATTTTCTCCAAAGGCCAGTCCAAGAGAATCTGGAACGAGCTTTACAAAGTGATCGACTCGTCGGACGTGGTTATCCACGTGCTGGATGCGCGTGACCCGCTAGGAACACGGTGCCAGTCTGTCGAGCAGTACATCAAGAAGGAGTGTCCTCATAAGCATCTGATCTTTGTGTTGAACAAGTGCGATTTGGTTCCCACATGGGTTGCTGTAAGTATACTTTTTTTCCCCACGTTTGAATGGCACCATGCTACCAAAGTTTTTTGTCAGGATATTCCATCTGCCAATATGGTTTATCTGTTACAACTTTGGGAGATCATGTTCGCCAATCGTCGGTCGGTGTCGTTTTGATGCTGGCTGACACCCTGCTGTGTTCCGTTTTGGAGCCGGCAACATGGTGTTTTGGGCCTTTATGAGTTGAAGGAGTCTTAGTTACCGGCTTCTTCGTAGTAAAAGGCCCAACATTCAAACGCGCTTTTCTCTTTGTTAAACTAACTTTTAGGCTGCATGGGTGAAACACTTGTCCAAGGACTACCCAACCCTGGCGTTCCATGCCAGTATCACCAATTCGTTCGGTAAAGGATCGCTGATCCAGCTGCTGCGTCAGTTTTCCGTTCTTCACCAGGACAGGAAACAGATCAGTGTTGGTTTCATTGGGTACCCAAACACAGGGAAGTCGAGCATCATCAACACGTTGAGGCGCAAGAAGGTGTGCACGGTGGCTCCTATTCCGGGAGAAACAAAGGTGTGGCAGTACATTACGTTGATGAAAAGAATCTTTCTAATCGACTGTCCGGGAATCGTGCCGCCATCCACGAAAGACACCGAGGCAGACATTTTGTTCCGCGGTGTTGTGCGTGTGGAGCACGTTTCGAACCCGGAACAGTTTATTCCAGATCTTCTGGCCAAGTGCGAACGCAAACATCTGGAAAGAACTTACGAGATCAAGGGGTGGAAAAATGCGACGGAATTCATTGAGATGCTGGCGCGCAAGCATGGAAGACTGCTGAAGGGAGGCGAGCCCGATGAGAGCGGGGTGGCCAAGCAGGTGATTGCCGATTTCAACAGGGGAAAGATTCCGTGGTTTGTGCCGCCTCCAGAGGACACTGAGGAGCGCACAGGAGTGGACAAGAAGGCGGCCTATAAGAGAAAGCGGGCCGAGCGCGAGGAGCGTGCCGAGGCCGAGCAGCAGGCAGAGTACGAGGCCGAGCAGGAGGACGACTTGCTGCCAAAGAAGCAGAGAACTGAGTAGAGAGAGGTGTAATTATTATTCTCGGTGTAAGGATGCGCTGGTCTTCGTGGTTGAAATCCATAGGAATATAATTTGATTTTTTAAACAAGGCAAGCATGACAAACCAGATGAATATGCGATTCATGTCGCAGTTCTTGAACAATCCCGAGCTTCTGCAGCAGGGGTCTGGGTCGGGCAGTTTGCCGCAGCAGCAGAAGGTGGGCATGATGATGTCACCGCAAGTTCATAACAGAAGCATTCAACAGCAGGTGTTGGCGGCGACGCTCCAGCAGCAGCAGCAGCAGCAGCTTTTACAGCAGGTCCAGCAGCAGCAGGCAGCATTGGCGGCCCAGAGACTGAGCCAGCAGCAGCTACAACAGAAACAGCAACCGCAATCGCTCCAGCCCCAGCCGATGGTGAGAGAAGTGTGGAAAGACAACCTAGAGAGCGAGATGATGGTCATACGGGAGCTGTCCGAGCGCTACAACCACATATGCGTGTCTACGGAGTTTGCTGGGATTGTTGCGCGGCCGATCGGGTCGTTCCGGTCGACAAAAGACTACCACTACCAGACGATGAGATCGAACGCAGATTTACTGAACCTGATACAAATAGGCATCACATTGAGTGACAAGGACGGACGGCGGCCTGAGGGTGTTCCGTCGACGTGGCAGTTTAATTTCAAGTTTGATCTGGACCAGGAAATGTACAGCAGGGAGAGCATAGAGTCGTTGATCACGACTGGGCTGAATTTTAGCAGGCTCAAGGAGTTCGGTATCGATGTGTTTGAGTTTGCACAGGTTTTAACGGACAGTGGGCTTTGTCTGATGAAAGAAAACGTCTGGATCAGCTATCATGCGGGCTACGACTTCGGATTCATCACGTCGCTGCTCATCAACAGAAACATGCCGACAAGCGAGGAAGAGTTCGAGGAATGGCTAAGTTTCTACTTCCCGACATTTTACGATATCAAGTACATATCTGTTTCACGTGTTGGGGGAACGCACAAAACACGGTCGCTCGAGACGCTGGCGGAAGAGCTGGGCGTCATCCGCAACGTGAACCATAATCTGCTACAGGTGGGAGGACAGTCAATGCTGACACATCTGTGTTTCTGGGAGCTGCGCAGGCTTATTGGCGAGAAGGATATGCGTGAGCTAGCCAATCATATCTGGGGGTTTGCCGACGACAAGACCCAGTTCACTCCCGAGCAGAAGATGATGTATCTAAATAGATAGTGTAGAAATTCTTAATGTTTCCATTTTCGCTCATTTTTTTTTTTTTATTTTTTTTCCATTTTTCACCTAATGTCGGATATCGACCAGGACCCAAACCGGGTCGCCATTGCATTTATCGAGTACTATTATAATCTCATCCACTCGGGCACGGAAAACCTGTACCAGCTGTACTCGCCGGATGCCGTTCTCAGACACGGGGACTACAAGTCTCCGTTGAGCGGAGATGTCGTGGCCGCTGAGGGCCTGGAAGAGATCAAGGCTCGCTGGAACAAGTCCAAGCTTGCAGGCTCGAAGGTGATGATCCAGTCGATAGATGCCTCCAGGTCGTTCCAGGACTCGATTTTGATCGTCTGTGTGGGTGAACTGGCTCCCAAGAGCAGTCACGACACAGAGCCTGTGGCATATAAGTTCGTGCAGACCTTTCTACTCGTTCCTACCGTCAAGCACAGCGTCTACGACGTTTACAACGACGTGCTGAATTTCCTGCCCGATGTTGACTCGAAATACGATCCTGAGCCGGAGTCTGCGACGGACACCCCGGACAGCGCAGAGAAGGGTGAGGTGTTTTCCGTGCAAAGCAAGGAGACCACCCCAGAGACCGGCGAGGGTGAGGAAGAAGAGCCAGAACGGCCAGAGAGACAGCCAGAACGGCCGGTCGCGTCGAAGCCGATGAGCTGGGCTGACCAGATCGCATCTGCGGCAGCCAAGAAGGTAGAGGCGAAGAAGACCAAGGAGGAAAAGAGAGAAAGAAGAGAGGACAAGAAGGAGGACGAGAAAAGGGAGGACAAGAAAGACAAGAAGGAGGAAGAGGAGTTTAGGAAACACAAGAGCCAGATGGTCAACAAGAAGGGCCAGGTTGTGTATCCAATTTACGTGAAGGGTGTTACCAGTGCGATTACTGACGAGGAGCTACAGAAACACCTCGAAGAGAATTTCGGCAACGTCGACCTGTGCAAGATTGACCGGATGATCGCTCTGGTGAACTTCACGGAGCAGAGCTCGCAGAAGAAGGCCATCAAGACGGGCACAATCCAAGTCAAGGGAGTTGAAATCAAGTTGGAGCCACGGGCGAAAAAAGACACGGCCCCCGTGGTGGCCAAGAAGAAGCGGAAGGGAGGCAAGAACGGTGGGGTCAGCGAGGACGGGTTCAGAAAGGTGGGGAAATAGTTGCCAGTAAATAGCTACAATAAGTGTATGAGTATCTCCAAGTGTATATCATTAATGAAGAATTTCATCTAAGACACTCTGCTGGGTCTGGACATCGTCGACCCTGATTTTTTTGAGGTCGAGCTTTCTCAAAGCAGCGATGATTTTGTCCTTGGGAAAACCCATGTCCTCAAAGATCTGGACGGTGGCTCTGTCAATGCCGTACTTGGCGCACTCGTCCTGCTCCTGGATTTTGGACTGTTGCACAAACTCGTCGTAATTGGAGCCTCCCTTCTCGGGCTTGTAGTTGTCATTAGGGGCGTAGATCTTGGTCCAGTTGGCAGCCGTCTCGGCAAACTTCTTGGGGTCGCTCATGTACACCTTTGCCACCTGTGCGTCCTGCGGATCGGTAGGTTCTGGGCTCTGCAGCAGAGACTGCAGAGAGATCAACGACGACTTGAGGGTCAGAATCGGCGTCCATGCGTCCTTCAAAATGTCCAAACAAATGGCTCCTGTCTGTGAGGAGATATTTGGGTGGTAGATCTTGGTGTCGAACTTCATTATTGGCGGTTTGAACGGGTATGCGTCGGGAATTTGGATGTCAACCTCAAAGAGTCCTCCCTCGTACGGTGTTCCTGGAGGCCCGACAAAAGTGCCCTTCAAATGCGAGAGATCGTCCTCCGACACAAGCGAAAGAGTCACGCCCGACAACGCGTCCTTTTTGACGTCCTCCAGCTCCTTAGCAATTCTCTTCACTCTGGACATTGAACAAGAATTAATAAATAAGTTGACGCTAAAATTAATCGTCGCGTCGAAATAGTTTTTTTCACCACCCTACTTACTACAGTACCTCTCGCTCCGGGCCGGCCAGCCCTTCCAAAAAGGCGTGGTCCGTCTGTTTTCGCGTGAACACATGCTTTATCAGGAAAATCAGCATGAACAGCACGCTGAGACCTCCCACAACCAGGTAGCAAATGCCCAGGCTAAAATGCCGTCCTCCGAGCACACTCGATGTAGACAGGATCACGCTCTTCGTTCCACCAAAAATCGACACCTCGTATCTCATCACAATGTCCATCGTGTACGTGCCCTTTGCCAGCACCTCGCTGCTTTTTCCATAAAGTTTCATGAACGACGGCAGCGCAGCAGTCTTCATCCAGTTCATGAATCGTTCGTCCTCAGCCAACGAGTCTAAATCCTCTTCGGAGTATCCGTCCGGATACTTCTCGATCCAGTTCAGCGGCGGAACAATGTCCGACGTGTTGTATTTTGTGCGCTTATACAACGAAAGGTCCGACTTCCAGGCAATCCCCTTGGCACTGAACTCGTACTCGCTGCCTGACGACGAGGTGAGACTCGAAAACGAGTCGTTGAACATTGAATTCGCCACCAGGCCACACGGATACACGATCTTGTCGTCCCGGTAGCGCATTGGCGAGCAATCGGAGCTCACATCGTCGTACGGAACAGCGTTTCCGCGCAGCTGCTTCCAGTCGTAGGATTCCACGTATTTTCTGTGATTTTGGTAAAAGTTGGTGAGTTTATAATACAGGTACAAGGGCCCGTGGATGTCGCCCGGAATATCAAATTGGATCGTGCACACGGTGTCCGTTTCGTTGATGGTCTTTTTCCACTGCACGGTGGACGACTTGCCGCCATTGAAATGGTAGTTGACATACTTTGATGGCACGTCGGCGAAGCTGCTGGATGCCAAGTCGGCACACTTGCCGTAATTTATCTCCAGTTTCTCGATGCTGTATGTGGCAAAGACAAAGCCTATGCCGATGGGCACACAGATCAGCGCAACAAGTAGAAGCATAGGCAAAACGACCCGGGGAACAAGAATGGGCTGCCAGGCCTTGAGCCGCTGTTGTCGGAATGCCGTGTTGGGCGGCCGGCGACTCTTGGTGAGCGTCGAGGTGCTCTCTTTGAAAGGATCGTCAGCGTCGTCATCCGAGGCACCCACTAGTCTACGTCGAAGAGTAGAAAACATGTCTAAGTCCAACTTTTTTTTCTAAGCCGTGTTAAATCTAGTTACATAATCAGAAAAATAGAGATTCATTAACTCGCCTTTGGCGAGTTCTTAATGTACAACAGTAATGTATTGAACAGCCGCTCGTATTCGAGACTGGTCTTTGTGAACGGCAGGTCAAAGAATGCGTACTCACTGTTCTTCAGCAGCTCAGTAAACGTGATCAACAGACCCCATGGGTGAGGCTTGTTGCACACAATGCGTTCCAGAAGCACACGCGTGATCAGCTGTTGGATATCGGTCTTGTTCGTTCCCCACAACGAAGTCGAGCCAAAGAAGTGAAGCACCACACAGCTGAACCAGTGGGTGTGTGCGTTAGGATACCGCAGGTTGTTCACCATTCCTTGCAGCAGCAAATATTGCAACTCGATAGGACCTTCCTGGATCAGCGAGCTCAATATGCCAACATGCACAGATTTTGGGTTGAATGCCAGTCCGCTCTTCGTACGCTCCTCCACGGCGCATATTCCAACGTACAAGGTCAACGCATTGACTAGCTTAACATGGTATCTTATCTGTTTGAAACCTATGCCCGACTCAGCAACAGGCTCGGGCAACTCCAATGCCGCCACGATCTGCTTGAGTGTGGTTGGCGAAGGCATCCGCAGATAAGAGTCCACCAGTTTCTTGAGGTTTTTCTCTTGTAAGATCACACCAGGCGGACTCAGGATCGGAGGAGATACAGTAATTTCTGGAAGTCTATCCACCTTGAGGCCAGGCTGGAACGGATCTGGAATTTCCATCTTGCGCGGAGCAGCAGAAAGAACAACGTTCCGCAGTTGGACAAACGAAGGGGACATTGCACTCACCAGAACGTTAGCAGACTCCACCAGAAACTGTGGGAAGTCGTGCAACAGAACGAGAAACACACGCAGAGTTCCCTTGTAAACCACAGATATAGCCTCAGGAAGCTGCTTGTCTCTGACGTAAGTACTCTCAAAACGAAGCAATGCCACCAAAAGTGATGCAAACTTGGCATGGCTGATCTCATTGTCCTCTTCCAGCTCTAGAATGATCGGAAGGAACATACGATGTGAAATCAAACAAACCCAGGCAAACGTGAATCCCGGGAAGGCATCTGGTTGTAAGGCCAGGAAGAAGTCAGATAGAGTGTGGTAAAACTTGAGGTTGAACTTGTTGAGCTTCTTGACATCTGATTCATTTTCTGCAACAGAGGCATAATTTTCATGAGTCAAAGATGCCCAGTTGCACAGAAGTGTAGAGAAAAATCTAAAGTATGGTCGCTCGTTGAAATTGGCCTTGTTGGTCTCGTGATCATGAGCAAAGACCAAAAGAACCACACAAAGCGCAGACCTGAAGAAGTTGACGCGAGCTCCTGCGGTGTCATTCTGAATGAGTATCAATTGGATGAGAAGCTCTGCAAGCGCATCAATGGCAGTGTAGGACTCAACAACAAGCTTCTTAGACGCATCGCTTTCCTTCACAAAGGAAAGGACAGACATCTCCATGGCGGTCGTGAAGAACAGAACAAAGTGGTCTGGTTTTGTCAGCACACCAAGATCATATAGTTGATTGAGGAAGTCCAGCTGCAGACCCTTGGAAGAATTATCGAATTTGAGCAGCTTGACCCACTCAGCAAATATGTACGCGAAGTAGTCTTTAAGTTTAGTTGGGTCATGCATCAATGTCTTGAATTTCTCTTTTTGTAAGTCAACTTTATTGTCCAAATGCTTGATCAGTTCCTGGGCCAGGGGGCTTTTTTCCACATCATCCTTGTCAAGAGACTTCACTGCATTAATAATATTTGTGAAATCGGATCTCAACGCAGTAGGAGTTGCTCCGAACACCATGTCGAGAACCAATCCGGATGCAAAATTCAGCACTGCTTCATCCTTCTTGTTGACAAGTGTCTTGGAAATACTCAAGTCCAGATCGCCTAGAGAAACCATTCCAATCTGAACGAGCGAAGCCATGACCTGTTTATTGAACTTTCTTGGGTCCTCTGCATTGATCAACCAAGTAGTAACAAACTTGGCAACGTATGAAGAAAGTTCACAGGACTTGTCAAGAAGAAAAATAAAAGCCTCCACGAACAGCTGCGAAGCATTCTGCGCACTGAAAAGGGTGTTCATCACCACCTGTGCAATCTTCATTTGCAGTTCGTTATGGTTCAATCTGCTTAGAAGTTGAATTAATTCGGTCAAATATGATCTCAGAGGGTGGTCAATGGAGATTTCTCTAAGATGAATTTCTTTCTCCGGAGTCTCCTCTATCGACTTCACAACAGCCTCCAGCAACTGTTGTATGTAAATAAAGGTCTGCTCCAAGGTCCGTTGTGGTTGTGGTTGTTCACCAGGCAGATGCGCATGTGCAGCATCGGCGGGGCTACCTGCTGTACGAAGAGCGGAGATGTTTGGAAGGCCCTGTGCTTGAATTTGCAAAATTCTCTGAGCAATGGCAGCTTGGTCAACGCCAGCATTCACTGAAGGAGGTGTAGCGACAGCCTCTGGAATCGTACCTGGGGCAACACCACCTGCAGCGGCAAGTGTTGCACTCAAACCTGCAGGAGTTGTACCGTTCTTTGGTTTTCCAAATTCAGAGTAGATAGAGAATTGCTTGGCTGTGACTCCGTTGGGTTTTATTCCTAATGGATCAGGAAGAGACATTGCATATCTGGAAGCATGCTGAGTGTCACAGAAGGCCTGATCCGGTCTAGAATCTCTGAATTGTCTTCTCAAAGCAATGGATGGCAGCATCATTTCGTCCAGGTCCTGCACAGACTTTTCCATTGCAGCCTTTTGAATGATGGAGCATGCCAAATCCAGGTTGTCATTGATGGCTCTTGGCAAATCTTCTAAGATAGCGGTATCGATTTGCTGGCCCAGAGAGCTAATGTATTGATGCAAATTCAATTGGATGTTCTCCCTCAGTAAATCTCTGCAAGAAGCGTGCGTAAGGGATTCCGAAAGATGTCTCACTGTGTTAATGTAAGCTTTCCTTAGCTTCAGCTCGTCCACTTCAAAGGCAAAATCCTTTAAGACCAAAGACTTTGTTGTCACGAGAGCAACTGAATTCGTTCTGCTCACAACAGGAGGCAAGATTTCACGCACTGCCTTAGTGATTGCAAATTGAAACAATCTTCTAAGGTTCGGATGCGTGACGAACACAGAGTTTCCATTCAAATTCTCAAATGCAGAGCCTTGCTGTTGTGCAGCACCTTGGCCAGAAGTAGGCACGTTGCTGTTAACTGCAGGTGAGCTCGACGAAGAAACTGGGGCACCAGGAATTTCAGACTGCAAATGCTGTTGTTGTGCGCTTGCCATGAGACGTTGCTGTTGCAGTTGCTGAAGGACATTGAGTTGTTGCTGGGCAGCTTGCGGAGCACCCTGTGGAGCAGCCAGCACTGACGGATTGAGATTGGCTAGAGGCGTGGCTAGATTGCCCGCGAGATTATGTGGAGTCGGCTTTGTGTCTTCCAAGGACATTCTTGCAAGCTTGATAATCATCTTCTGCGACTCGACGAAACGCTCTAATTCTCCTGGCTTGTGGTTTCTGATTTTGGTAGCCGCCTCGATTTTGTTGAGATCAACCTTCAAGGAGTTACTAACAACTTCGATTTCGAACTTGAGAGTCAATTTGAGATTAGCAACGTCATACAACTCCTTCAGTAATTGCAAGATCCCCAATAACCATGGATTTGGGTACTCGAAAACTTTGGATGACTTTGTCTGGTCAATAATTTTGCAAACAAACGGAATCACAATCTCCAGTCTCTTGTGGTCATAAGCCTCCGTCAACAAATCCTTGATCGATAAATTTTTGTGAAGTATAGGTTTGTCCCTAGTCAGCGTCAACCGTCCCAGCCAAGCACCCAAGTTTTTCAGATGCGATCTTTCCGTAGAAGTCAAAACATCAGCAGTGTCCTCCGGCTCCGATGATTCACGAGCTTTGTTCAATAGTACCACAATTTGCTGAAAGGTGGCTTGGATCAGGTGTGCATCAAACAAAGTAGAGTCAAAGTGTTCAGCAATGCGTCCATACAAGGCATGATAGTTTGGCTCTAACTTAGCGCGCTGATTGACTAGGTAATTGGAAAACCAGTTGAAATACTTTGCGTCAAGAAGCTCCTTCAACTCCATCAGACGCGTATTGGCGTTGTCATCTGTTAGATTGTTCACCATAAATAGCACTCTGTCCAAAGTCTCTGCAGCAGGATTCTCTTGTCTAACATCGTCCACGATCTTATCAGGCACGTGAACAGAAACCCATTTGGAAACATATACGGATGGATCAAGCTCTTTGGCCTTTTGGTGGGGAGTGGCAAGATTAGCATTGGAATCCTGCGGTGAAATAGAGGAAAGTGATCCACCAGCTGCGACCGTTTTGCATGCTTCGTAAAGCTGAGGCTGGCTCTTCAAAGCGGGTATTTCGCAAAGCATAGCGCAGAACTTTGGAAACTCGCCAAGACGTTTCATAAATGAGTACAAAGCCTGAACGGCAAACTTGAACATTTTGCTTTCAGGTGGCTGTCTGACGGAATCAATAATATATCTTAGCGCAATGGAAAGGGCAGGTCCTTCGACAAGTCGGAAAAGGATCGTGCTTCCAAAGAGAACAGAGGTTGTTGCCAGCGCGTCCACGGGGTATTCAGGGAAAAATCTATACTCATCCAAAAGGGAGTGGATCATGCAGGCAAACACATCTTGGTCGTGAGGGTTGTCACTTACTTTCAGTCTTTGAAGCATATTGATAATGTCTTTGATCTCAATCTCCTTGTTGTACATCTTTTGATAGTACACTTTCATTTCCTTTTCCACGTCAATAGAGAACGTGTTGGTGGAGCTGTTCATCAGAATGGCTGCATCGTGTCCTTGCCCAAAGTTGATTAATCTAGGATAGGCCTGCAAGCACAAAGCTTGCAAATTCCTAAACTTTTCAAACAGCTCTGGAGGCAATTGCTTACTCGCCAGAGTAGTCATCAAGAAATAAACTGTCTCCAGGTTGAGCGATTTGGCCAGTCGATGGCCCTGTTGAGCGCTTTCATACTCCAACGTGGCTTGGATTTCCATGAATTCAATTATTGTGCCCGCAACAACGCTGATGTTTCTATCAAGCTGGGTCAGAACAAACTCTTGGAAACGTTTCCAGCCATATTGAGAAAATATGATAGCAAACGAGAACGCATCTTTGAAATCGACCGAATTTGAGAGGATCGACATAATGACTGTGTCACGTTTGAAGGATGCAGTGAGACTGGCAATCTTATGAATCGAATCGGTGGACTTTCTGACCTCGTAATATTTAACCAACAATTTGCCGAGCTCAACAGGATTGAACTCCTCAAACTTGGTGAAAATGGCACTCAAATATGGAGAGCTCACATCCAGCAGCGAAACAATAAAGTTCTGCATGATGTTCACAATCACATCGTTCTCCTTGGCCTCCGGCTCATCATGCAAAATATAAAGACATGCCAGTACGATGTATTCTGGAGCAGCTCTGTAATCTCTGGCGAATATGCTGCTCACAACAGAATCGTTAATATTCTCGTTCTGGAGGAGAGCAATGGTTTTCACCTCGATCTTGACAATTGATTTGAAGTAGAGAAGCAAATTTCTCGAATTGACCTCCGATGATAGGATCGGTTCCAGATTGTAGTCAAGCAGGTTGATGGAGCCCTGACTAGGATCTAAAGAATTTAATTGGATCAGTAAATCTTTCAACAATTGGGGATTGACAGATTTACATGCCGTTGAAAGGAACAGATCGATGAGATCCTCCTTTTCTAATGCAGACAAAAATTCGGAAAGCGATGCAGTGGTCATAGATGTAGCCGTTGCGGTGTTTTTGAGCACAAGGTTGAACACGTTCTGCCAATTTGGCTGTGTCTTCAATCTATTAATAATGTTGGCCATTTGTGCTCCTCTTGCGGTTGCCTCAGGAACGCTAGCTGGAGTGAGTGCCGTGATGGGGTCCGCGTTGGCACCACACAGTCTCTGCGAACCGGGATATAATAACTCTGCCATCAAGATAGCGATAGCCTCGTCCAGTTGTGTCTGAGGTTGAGCTGCAAGTAAGTCTGTGAGCATTTTGTTAGGAAGTAATTTCGATGGCTCGAAATTCTGTAGCACTTCTCTGAACTCCATCTTTCCTAACTCGAAAAAATAGTTGTTGATTTCCTGTTGCACCAATTGATGGAGTTTGCTGTTGTTGTTTTTCTTCAAAATGTTGACCAAGTGTTCAACAATCAATAGTTTGTGGGGTGCTGTGAAAACTTTAGATTTGAGGAATAACCTGAGAAATTTCCCGTACGCGGTAGCTTCTTCCTCCGGGAGGTTATTCTTGTCTGCTAAATTATTCAGGTGTTGAACAAGACCCGGTAGACTTTGTTGATAGACAGGGGCAAATTGTTCAGATATCTCTTTCCAGTATTGAGATTTACAATTCTCGATGTCAAGAGTGGCAAATACGGTCTGGAATCCAGATAAACCAAGTTTACTGTAGATGTCCGATAGTGTGTATCTGGATGAATTGTTGAGAAACTCGCAAACGGGCCCAGCAAAAGACTCTAGATGAGAAACGTCCGTAGAAGTGTATTTTCCGAGCTCTTCTTTGAGAATTTGTAGAGCAATCTCGCGTGATTCAGCTTTGAGGTCTGTTTCGTCAAAACCAGTGTCCAGCAAGTATTTGATCAGTCGCTCACCACGAGTATCAGGATATGATTCTATGATGGATCTGATCTGAGGCACGGTCTCTTCTTTGTTTCCGGAAACAATAAGCGAATCAATTGCCGCTAGAGACGTTTGACAAAGAACTGTGTTGAGAGATGGGGGATCAGTGGAAGGCGTGGGTGCCTCTGAATTATTGGCCCTTGAGCCTGGCAAAACTTTAGATGTCACTTGGAATGGAGTAGAGCGGATTTATATCGATTAGATACCGACCAATTGGTTGATGCGTATGTACTGTTGGGACCAACCAATTAGATCTCTGTTCGAAAACCTAAATGTAATATGTTATAAACAAAAAACCAGCGTTGTTTCTTGGATTGTCTTTTATTTAACTTTTCCCACCCTTTTGCTCGTCGGAAGCTGTCAGAAAATTTTTGTGCAACTTTGCAATGGTTACGAGCGTCGGCAAGAATTTTTGTGCCAGCGTACGGTCGAAAAATACGGCTGTGCCAGTTTTGTTGATCTAGTTTTGCATTAAGCCTTTTGTTTGATGTTATTTCCCTTTATTCTCTGGCTAGTGGCCTTTTGGCAGCTCTGTGACGCTCATGGTGGCCACGGAGTGTCCTCTGCGGAGACTCAGTCTGCTGTGCCCGAGCTTTCGTTTCCTGATCTCGTTTCGGTGAAGTCTCTGTCGGAGCTCCAGAACAACTGGCAGATGTATGGCGACGTGGAGTTCAGCGAAGGGCGTGTTATACTCACCCCTGCACCTTCACTCTTGCAAAAAGCCACCCGAGAAATAACCAGCGGCGCTGCCTGGTCCATAAACAAAATTTCATCCGACAGCTTTTCGTTGCAGTTCACCTTTAGATCGGTGGGTGCTTTTGGCTTCACAGGCGCGGGATTGTCGCTGTGGTTGCTCGATCAGGATCCTGGATCCGATACCTCGAATTTTGGGGGACCGTTGCAATATTCTGGGCTGCAGATTCTGCTGGACGCCAATGAACAGGACCTGGGACCTGTATTCAGGGTGTACGTCAACGACGGTTCGCGGAAGATCAATTTGGCACAAGACTATCTTGGAGCGTACACATACAGCTTCCAGGACTCACAGGTCCCGTCCACTTTGAAACTAGGCTACGAGAACAGGAAGCTCAAGATCACGTGTGACAACAAGCTGCTATTCGAGACAGATGCCATTAATCTGGATCCTTACTTGAAAAATATGCGTGTGGGTATCACTGCGGCATCCTCAAAGGATGCTAAGAAGGCCGAACAGTTTGAGATTTTGATGTTCAAGTTCTTCGACAAGGTGATTGAGTCGCTAAAAGCGGAGGCATCTGAGACGCTGGTTGCCAAGCACCCCGAGGTGGACAAGAGACTGGCCCAAAAAGCACAGGTGGTCGAGGACTTCAAAAGAACACGAGAGCAGCAGAATGGCAACAGTGTCCCAGTGCATTTGCGGCCTGAATCTGCTGAATATGACCTTCTTGCCAAACTAGAGGAGGTAAAGACCATAGTTGAACAGCAGACAGCCCCGCAGGTTCTCCAAAAGCAGATGTTCGATGTGACCAAGTCAATCAAGATGATGAATGAGAAAAACTCCGTCTACAACACCCAGATGGAGAAAAGCTACGACACACTGCTCAAGCAGACCGAGGAGCTCAATGCAAAGTACGAAGCGCTCAGACAATTAATCACTAGACAAAACCAGCTGCTGGAGCTGGTGGACGAGAGATTCGTCACCTTTAACAGCTACTTCCAAGGACAGTCACAAAATCACGAAAGCATCAACGACAAGCTAAAACAATTGCAGGAATTCTATTCCAAAGGCTCTTACCCGTCAGGCTACGAGTCGGAATTTGAGTCTAAGCTGAACAAGTTCATGTCTGCGGTGAGACTCATTCTGATGCCTGTTCTGGTTCTGCTCATTATCATGACGCTGCTGGTGTACAAGCTGAGGAACGACATTAAACACGCCAAGGTGCTGTGATGTGTATGGGACTCAGACATACGGTGGTTTCTTGCATCGGATATTTGAATATCCCAGGGCGTTCGGGTTGGGTTTTCGTCTCAGTCTCAGGACACGGGAGTGAATGATACCGTCCGTCTGCCTTGCCTCATCTAGCATTTGATAAGAGTTCTGAATACCATATAATCTGTTCTGGTTGTCGATTAGTTCTTTGTCGTCAATCGGTAGTTCTTTTTCGATGATTAGCTCTTTGGTCAGGTTGACAGGGATGTCCAGCGACTGGAACCTAGGTCCTTCTTCTTCCTCGTCTATTTCGTCCTCGTCCGAATCCACTGTATTTTGAGGTGGAAGAGGCGGCAATCCTTCCATCTCGCGTTTTCTGCGTTCCATTTCCTCGCGTTGTTGGCGTGCCATCTTTTTCTCGACCGATTTTTGGAAGCTGCGCACCGACTTGTACTTTATGTTGTCGTAGGAGCTGATTTTGTCGCTCAGTTTGCGTCCTCCTTGTTTGTTTGCAAAGTACATGAGCCATTGGTAGTTGCGAACCAGCCGTTTGTTGTTCAAAAACTGATTGAGGATCACGGTGCCGTGCAGATACTCCACATCGTCGATTGTCTCGTTCATATGTGCGGAAAACTGCGATCTGTGTGACATTGTCTTGGCCTTTTTCTGATTCAGGTACTTGATGTGCTTATCGACAAATTCCTTGTCGTAGTAGGGCAGTCCGTTGGCCAAAGACCATTTGGTGCCGTCCAGCTCCTCGTTAAGAAGCGGCAATCGAATCAGCTGGCTGTTGAGCGACGGCATGCCCAGTGTGTGTGTTCCGAGCGAGGAAACGCTGTCGGCCGCTCCCAGGCCGCTTAGGATGTGTTTTGTCTTCGTCGAGTGGTATTCCGGGTCCTCGTTTTTGGGCGACCATTGATACGAGGGGATCTTGTTGATGGAGTGGAGCGGGATTCCCAAATTGTTGTTGATGTTTTGGCCGACAATAAGATGTGGCTGGTTCGCAAAGTCCATTGACGAGGGGGAGTCGCTTAAGTTTGCAGAAGACGTGAACATGTGACTCCTGTAGCTTTCCAGCGAGTAATCTGCTTGCAGAACCGCAGAGGAGTCCTTGAGCGCGCCAGGCAACTGGTACGCTGCTGCAATCTGGTTGAGCCGCAAATTGAGGGCTGTGTAGTCGACCTCGTGAGGGAACATTAAATGAGATTATTATTTTATTTATTTATTCGGCAATTATTTATTGTAGCTAGAAAAAAGAGCTACATACATTTGCACAGGCCGGTCATAGTTCAATCACCGTGACGGACAGCTGGCACCACTTAAAAAAATGCTATCTACGCTAGTGGTTCCATGAATTCTCAGCCTTCAATTGACAAATAGACTGTGCTCTGGTATCCTGTCCTGATGTATCTACTGCTATTCATGACTCTGATCGTGTTGGTTGATCTATAGTCATTCTTTGTTGTAATTTGGCAATCTTTGTACTTTACAGCTGTGTAAAGGGATCCTAACTTGGGAAGCAGGCTAAATTCAAGCTACATACAAGCCGGATATATGCAACACCAAAAAGTAACCCAGCCTCAAGAGCGATTGCGAAAGACTTTCTCCTCCTCAACTTCTCCTTTGACGTAGCCAATGAAATATGATGGGTTCGGTGGTCCTGCTGACCTTCAGACTGGTGGCGGACCCGTCCACACGACTTTGCCCCTCTTATCGAACAGAGAGTTCTCGTCGCTCACCTTGATCGCGCCGTGCAAATTCTTGATCAACTTTCCCGAGAGGCCCATCGGGTCCCGGGGAATCCACAGCGTCGGGCACGCTGCGCTTCTATCTGGCAGATCATACGCGTGCTTGACCCATTCGGGGTCCTCCACGGGGAAGTCGTAGAACGAATGCGGAAGGTACGCCTTGAGCTTCTTGAATGTGTAATGCTTGTGAGGTCTTAGAAACCGGTTGATTGGACCCAGTTTTCTGTCATCAAAGTCGTCACCTTCCACGAGCAACGGAACATGGAACGCCTTGTAATTTTGCACTTTGGAGTCTCTGTACTCCTCTTTCTGCTTATCGGCCAGTAACATTTGTTCCTTGAAATCAACGCACGAGCTCAGAGATTGCTCGTTGAACTGTCTGTTGGCGTGTGGAGCGGTCCAGGACAGTGTTTCGCTCACACCATCTAGCGGTCTCATCACCGTATTTGGCACTACCGTCATCAGATGGTCGTACGCCTTGTTGAGATGAAGATGCACAAAGACGGTGAAGCCGAGCAGAATGGCCTCCAGCACGATGCAGCCCCATGTTTTGGACACGACAAAGATGCCGAGCAAAACAATTTCTCCGAGATAAACACCCACCATGGTCTGGAAAAGGGCCCGTGGGTAGTACATGCCCAGGCCGTCGGCGCTTTTTCCAAAGACGTAGGTTGCGGTGTACAAGAATGCAATGTATATGAGCGAAAAGCCGGCAAAGGTGAAGAGCATGATGATGGGGGCAATCATGCTGTACGACAGGAAAATCACGGCCAGGTTGGTGTAGATCGGGAACACTGTGCCCCACGCAAAGCCGCCGATGCTGTTGAATCTGGTCCAGAGCTTTCTGACAGTGTTGTCAAACATGGCGCTGAACAGATAGAACGAAACCAGACTGACCACCTGGAACAGCGTACCGCCAGCAATGGAAAAGCCCTGCAGCACCATGTAGGAGACGTAAAAGTTGGACGCTTTCGGCAGGTTGGCCGAGAGCAGGTCCATCGCCTCGGTGGGCCTTTCTGCGATCTGGGTCACAGTGGAGGCAAAGGAAGACGCGATGGTGGTGACAAGGAACGCCTGGATGACCTGAAATGCAAAGTAGGCCTGCTGGGTGAAGTATTCAATGCTTTGGGCCGTGAGACAGCCCGACAGCTGGCCCATTCTCCTGATAAAAATCGGCAGCAGCAGCATCAACAGCGCCAGCATCACCGTCGGCAGCAGTGATGTGATCAGGCCAAGCAGCCAGTCCGGCAGGTTGTAGATGAACTCGAGCCAGTGCATTTTGTTGGTCAGGTACGTGAGGTTGGACACCAGACCGACAAACGAGACCGGGATCGACCAGAGCACGATCAGGGCCACAATCGCGGCCACAGCGCCATGGAACCTCATGAGCCGCTCCCACCAGAAAATACGCATGTTGGGCCAGTAGACGTCCTCTGGATTGACGTTGGTGTGTTTTGGAGAGAAAAATAACGGCAGATCGTGGATCGTGGTCTGGTACGCGAGCTGTGCGTAGTACTGGTTTTCGAACTCGACCGCGATCGAGTTCATGGGCCGCGTGCCCGCGAGCGTGGACTGGTGCTCCTCGATTAGGTCGTTGAGTCTGGGCAGCTGCTCTTTGCAGTACTCGATGGTGTCGACCTTCTTACCGAAAATAGGCACGCCGATGCGCATCTTGGGCCGTTTCTTGTGCGGCACATACGACGAGAGGTCGTCGGGGTTCTCGATGACACGGCCCTTCTTGTCCGCCTTGATTTTCTCCCTCACAGCACGCATGAGCAGCTTCGTCAGGGCCACTTCGAGGGCGTCTGCAAGTTCTTGTCTGCGCTTGAGCGCACGAGACAACCGTCTGTTTCTCCTGGCCACCCAGACCCGCTTGACGCCTTCAAACAGCTTGAAAAACTCCTGCTCGTCGAGGTACTGGTCTGTGACGGTCTGGAAAATGACCGTTCTGGAGCTGAGCTTTTTCGCGTACGCCGGCGTCGTGAGCACGAGGTTGCGCAGACTGGAGTAGAAGTGCAGCTCGCGGTAGATCACAAACAGCACCACGCAGTAGAAGATCCACGATATAAACACGTGGGCGTAATATCTGCCGGCCGCGTTGACGTTGGATATGCCCAGCTGGTCGAGTCCGTCCTCGCCCTTGCCGTTCGTGGCGTTCACAGGGAGCAGGACGGGCCATGTGGCTATGCCTCCCAGAGCCATGCAGGCCACGATAAACAGGTATCTAAGAAACAGGTACCCGTCGATGCCGGCCTGCTGGATGATGAAGGAGGGCGGCTTTCTGAGCAAAACGAAGAGCCAGGTCAGCGGGTCCTGCGGCAGCGGGGCGGGCTTCTCGCTGTCGGGCACAATGTCGAAGCTGGACTTTGGCTGGTAGATGCGCTTGAAGCTGACTCTGAGCACCAGAAACAGCACCACAAACACGCCGCAGATGGTGCCGTTTGTCGCGACGGCCGTGAGAACGTCCTGGGTGGACGTGTTTTTCGTGTCCGTCATGGAGCAAAAGAAAACTTGTTGTTGTGCCTGAGATCTGCGGAAACAGGCTTGTAAATTTTATGTGTCGCGCACGTCTGCCTCGAGGCAACGACAGCCGTATGTGGCAAAAGACACCTTCACAGAAAGTAGTCGGCCACGGGTTTTTTGGACGGGATCTCCGAGCAGTCCTGCAGCATGCTGTCAAAGACGGTGTAATTGCGGTTGAGGTTGTCGTCGAGAGTCAGCACGGCGGCCACGTTGCCGCAGCGATAGCAGTAGTTGGGTGCGGACCACACGGTCACGAGGCCGCCGTCAAAGACCTCTTTGTAGCCCTCCATGACCAGCTGGTGAGCGCGCGCAATGAGGCTGAGGTTGTTCTTGAACAGGAATCGCTCGGTTTCGGTGTAGCCAAACAGGTACCCGGCGCCGCGCGGCGACACCGCCCAGGCCGGGATGTTTTCCTCAGGGTCCGACCAGAGCAGGTCGCACATGAGCCCGTCGTGCGGCACCTCCTGTTTGCGGTCGATCAGCCGGATCTCGTCGATCGTCTCGATCGCCGGGCTCAGTCCGCCGTGCACGCACAGCACGCCGCCGTCCGCGCTCGCACCACTCAGAATGTACGCTCCCAGCGCGAGGTAGTCAAACACGTCGCAGCAGTAGCGCCACACGTTGGCGGAGCCGTATTTGCGCATGCACTCGTCGTAAAACCCGTACACGCTGGTGATCTGACGCGACTCGTGGTTTCCCCGGATCAGAAAGATGCGGTCTGGATATCGCACTTTGTAGCATAGCAGCAGCAGAAACGTCTCGAGCGAGTAGAAGCCGCGGTCCACAAAGTCGCCGAGAAACAGGTACTTGGTGTGCGGAGGCTCGCTGGAGATCTTGAACAGCCGCAACAGGTCGTGTAACTGCCCGTGGATGTCTCCGCAAATTGTCACGGGGGGGTCCACCAGCTGGATGTTGGACTCCTGGATCAGCAACTCCTGTGCCAGAAAACACAGCTCCTGGATGTCGTTTTCGGGCACAATTTTGCATTTTCGCACGTCCTGTATTATTTTGTCTATATGGAGCATGGTGAAATCAAATTATTTTAATTAGTGTTGAATTATTTCTTGGATATTTTAGTATAAACATATGCAAAATTACAAGTCCGGGTCGAAATCAGCGAGGTCCTGGTCGGCTAGGTCCGGCTCCTTCAGATCGTCCCCATACACGTCGACGTCGTCCCAGTCGACCTGGATCTTGCGCGCGCCCCGAGAGCTGTCTGTGTTGCGCAGAATCAGCGGCTTCTCCTCCTTCCATTCGTCCTCCACGTCCAGAAAACCCGCACCGTAAACGCGTTGGTACACCTTCTGCATGCTCTCCTCGCGCTGCTGTCGCACCTCCTCCTGCGCCATCCACTCCATGTGCTTCAGATCGTCGTTCGACGGCTCGTAGATGTGCCAGATCACGTAGTGCGGCAGCCCCACCACCGCATACCCCATCCGCTTACACATCTTGCCAAACCCTTCGGTCTCCGCGTGCTTCTCGAACGAGAACGCCGGGAAGTGCGCACCGCTCTTGAAAACGCGCGCCTTCGACAAGATCGAAACTCCGCCGATCCCGTCCAGCACCATCTCTGTCTCTGGGTCGCCGTACGGGTCGCGCAGATACGCCAGGTGGGGCCGCCACGTAGCGTACTCCACGTAACCTTCCACGATGACCGCGTCCTGGTCCAGAGTGTTGGCCAGTTGCAGCCCGCCGTCGCTCTCCTGCCACGAGTTCAGGTCGTACGGCTGCTGGTTCCCCAGCCATTCCGGCAGCGGCCGCCACACATTCGGCACTATCACCTCGCGGTCGTGATGCATCAGGTCCTCAATGATCGTCGGCGAGATCGTCTCCACGTCCACGTCTCGCCAGTACACCCATGAATGGTACGGCTTGAGTGCTGCCGACGAGAGCCAATTGCGGGCCCTCGCCATCATCTTGCGCCGCGGGCCCTGCGCCGCAAACCCGTGGCGGTCGCTGAAACCCTGGCCGATGATCTGACCGAAATCTTTCTGGAAAATCTCGATCTGGCCAAAATGCATCTCGGGGTCCGGATCCGACTGGATCTCCAGAAGGTTCTTCTCCAAAACGCCGAGCGTGTCGTCGGACGAGTCCGACACCAGAAATGCAAGATCGATGAGGTAATGCGGATAGGTCATGTTGCGCATGTGGCCAAAGAACATGGGCAGGTGGTTGGCCGCATCTCGTAGTGGAACGCAAAACAGCACGCGATCGCCTCTGAGCCAGCCGTCTGCGTGCCCCATGTAATCGATAAGGTCGTAAAAATGTGTGTCAAGGGCGTTGGAGCTGTCGAAAGAAGGATTGTAGCGAAATATGTCTTTAGCTGAAACAAGGGAAATAATTATGTACACCACGAAACTCGCCACCAACAGACCCGAAACGCTTGCTATTACGCAGATCCGGCTGCGCTGCAGTACTGTCTTCCTGGGCTGGCGAAAGAGCTTCGGCGATCCCAGTTTATCGTCCATGTATGAGGGAAACGACAATTTTGCAAGTCCCGTAAATGTATGATGTATGCTCGGTTTGTGCGTGTCGGCTGGTTATTTGCACCTTTGCACTGCTGTAATTGGCCGCAACTTACGTCTGTGTCGTCAATGTTGCGGGTGCAAGTCGAAATTGCCGCTCTTGTAGTTGCAGTATTTATAGAATTCAGTAAACACTATTTTTTTTTTTTGGCTTCACCCCTGGAAACCAGTTCCCTCGCATAAACGACGCGTCGATAGACCCCAAGAGAATACAACACTCTAGAATGTGATACATGCTATATAAACAGCTCGCTGCTCGACACCTGGCGCGACGGCTTGCGTATTGGCGGCGGCGTTTTCTTGCGCTGCACAGCCACCTCTCCGTACTTGTTGGCCTTTGGAGGCCTGCGCTTGGGACCCTTGGCTCTGCTCTTGGTCACGTGCTCCAGTGGCCGCCCCTGTTTGTCGAATTCTGACGAGTCCAGCGCCGGTTTCTTTGGTTCTGTCATTGCCCTAGAGACAAACGCGTGCGGTTGAGCAAGCCCAGGCAGCGGAACGCCCATTTGGGGCTCGGTTTTCGCTCTTGGTGGCAGCTTTTGGACCGGCACTGGTTCCTTGGTTTTCTTCAGACTCGAAAGCATGAGCAGGGCCTCTGGCTTAGGAGGCGCAGGCTTAGGAGCCGGCTTGGCCTTTGCAAGCGACGAAAGTTTGGCGAGAGCTTCTGGCGTCTCTGATGGCTTTTTCGATACTGGAGCTGCCGGTTTCAAAGCACCCAATTTGCTCAGGGCCTCGGGTTCTTTACTTTGCGGGGCTGAAAACTTCTTTTTCGTGGGCGAGAGCTGAACATTTAGGAACGGCGGAGGGTTGTCTGTTGTTTTTGCGACGGTGCTTGTCAACACAGGGACTGAGAGCTTCTATTTGGATTGCGGAAGGGGTTGTTTGGCAGGCTTCAAGGAGGCCCGAAAATCTATCACTTCTGGTTTTGGCTGTGGCTTGGGCTTGACGACGGCGATTTTCTCCGGCGTAGGGGAACTCTTTTCGACCGATGGAGTGAAGAGAGGCTGCTTCATCACATCCTCGAATTTTATTGGTTTTGGCGCGTTGGGTTTCTCAATGGGCTTTTCGAGGTCCACGCTGAGAACGAATTCCTCGACCTTCTTCTTTTCTAGCTCCACCTTGACTTTGTGGTCGAGATTGGCCGCCTTTTTGGGCACAAGAGGTTTTTTCTTTGGAGACAGCTCATATTGTCTACGTTTCTGATCCACCTCTTGCTCCAGACTCTGAAGCCGGGTACGGTTTTCCTGTTCCCTGGCAGAATGGAGCTCGCTGAAATTGTTCAGAAACCGTTCCACCTCAGGCTCTGAGTATATCGCAGACATTAAAAATATAAATAATATTAAATTTGGCTGGAAATTAAATTAATTTACACAAGTTTCTGGGCGGTGCAGACAGTTTCACTCCTCTGCCTCCTCGATGATAGAGTCGTTTTTTGGGTCCTTGTCTTTGTCGCTCCGCTTGAATGCAAAGCTGAGACGCCTGGAAATGAGGTTTCCGGACGGCGAATCCGGTCTCGAGTCCAGCGCTTGGTCGTCAGACTGATTTTTCTTGAGCTTGAAGAAACGCGACGACTTGGAGCCAAAACTGCTACCTAGCAGTCCCGGCGTAGCTGAGCTCGACATCGAACCCAACGAAAGCTCCTCCTCGGCCCCCACACTGGCGTCTTCGGAACGGTCGCTGGATTTGGTGGCCATTTTTGTCGGACTGGTTCCGAACTTGAATAATTTATTTTTGAAGAACGACGGCGATGACGGCACCTTGTCCTGCTTTTCCTCATTCTCAATGTATGTTTTCGATACCACGTCACCACTAAGCTGCTTGTCGAGAATATTCATCGACGCCCAGTTGGAATTACTGCCCCCGTTGTTCCAGATACTCGAGCCAAAGCTCGTGCTCCGTGCTCTGCTGAGGTCGAAATCCATGGCTGCGTCCTGCGACGAGTCTGCAACCGAGCCACTCGACCTCATCTTGCGGTGGCTGCCAAGCGACCCAAAAAACTTGGAAGAGTCGCGCACACCGGGCGATGTGGGCATACCGAGGTCCAGACCGTTGGCGAAGAGCTGGTCATCCGACGTATTGGGCAGGATCGCGTTCATAGGCGGCTGCATACCGAATGACGACGAATCCTGGAACATCAGGTTATCGCCGTAGCCCATCCGGGGTCCAGAAATGTTGAGGTCCGGCAGAAAGTCGAAATTCGACATGTGCGACGGCGGAGGCGACTCAGACGACTGCGGCTGGTCCAAGAGGTTGAATAACATGTCCCTCTGGCCGCCGGCCGGCGCGTTCCACACTTTTGGGCTCGTGGACACCACTGGCTCCGGACTCAGCGTGTTGTACGACATCGTGGTGTTCATTCTGCTCATCGCGGTTGACAAGATGTTGCTGATCGAGCCATCGTTGTAGGATCCCAGACCCTCGTACTGTGAGCCAGGAGGCGACCGCTTCTCGTCCAGCTGGCGCTTCAAATGGTCGATTTTTTCCTTATCTTTCTGTCGCAAGGCCCGCCACTGCAGCTCAAACTGCTCGTCAAGAGTAAACTCGTTTTTCAAGTCCTGCTCCCACTCAGGTTTGAGCCCCAAAATGGTAGCCAGCACCGCCTGGCCCTCGGGTCTCAAGATACCAGTCTGCTCGTCAATAAAGGCCCTAAGACTCTCGAAAAGACCCTGAAGATGCTGTTTGAGCGCGTCCAGTCGCTTTCTATTGGCCGACTCGTACTTGATGTCCTCCTCGACATCATGGATTTCTGTCTGCAGCCTGAAAATGTCCTTGTTGAGCTGCTCGACCTGCAGTTTCAGAGTCTCAAGCTCGGCAGGCTCAGCCGCCGCTAGCTGCTCCTTGGCGGCCCGTTTCTCCGCCAGAATGGCCTCCCACTCCTGCATCTGGCGCCGCTTCTCCTCGATCTTGCGCCGCCGCGTGGCCAGCTTCGTCTGGTCGGACGCGATCCGGCTCTCACTGCGCATCCGCGTCTCCTCCAGAAACTTGATCTCCTGGCGCAGACTCAAGCGGTTCTGGTCCTCGAGCTTCCGCCGCTCCTTGGCCTCGTTGCGCGCGGCCAGCAGCGACGCCTCCTCGTCCAGGAAATCCGTCTCGAGCTCTTTATTGGCGCGCGTCAGACTGCGCACCGCTTCCAGCCCCGTCTCCAGCAGGAACTTGAGCTCGTTGATGTCTGTGATCAGATGCGGGTGGATCCGCGCCTTGTAGTTCTCCTGGTCGACCGTGTTGCTGCGCGAGCGGCCCGCCGGCGATTTCTGGCGGAAGGTGCTTTTTTTAGTGACGGTCTCGCGCTCGTCGTCGGGAATAAGCACATTCAGCAGCTCGTCGGGATGGTCCGGCTCCGCCATGTCGTTCTTACCCGTCTTGACGTACACGGGCGACGACTTGGAGCGGAAATTCGCGATATTGAACGCCACAAGGTCCACCTGGTAGTTGCTTTCGGGGTTGAGCCCACTGATGACGCACGACTGCAAATTGCCATCGATCACAGCCGTCTGGATGCCATTGATGTACAACAGATAGTGGCTGATGCTCTTGGGCGACGTATGCAACAGCACAGGCGGGCCGTCGACCGTCTGCTCGTGATCATCGTCGTCCACGGGGTAGTCCCAGTGGAGCACCATGCTGGAGTGCGTGACCTTGTCGATGGAGATGAGCGGCACCGGCGGGATCGAGACATTGAGGTATTTGATCGAGCGGTCCAGCGGCACCGACAGCAAGACTAGCAGCCGGTTCAGGAGCCATAAGAAACCCAAAAGCGCTAGCACGACAAGGACAAGCATGAAAAAAATAAAAATATTTTTTTTATTTTTTTATTTTTATCGAGTTAAATTAGCGTTCATTATGCTACTTTGACTTATCCGCTCTATATATGCGCACGGCGCCCTTGGCCACGTACGGATGCGTCTGGGCGTATTCATACGCCTCCTTGAGCATCTCCTTGAGCTGATCGACTGCCTCGCGCGAGTTCTGGAAGTGGAAGGCCAATCTATAACCCATAACTTTAAGGCCGTATTTTTCAGACAGCGACGCGAGCACGTCAGGGTCGATCCTGAATTTCTTCGGGTCCAGAAACACAAAATTCGTGTCAGCCGGCGACTCCAATGCTATGCCGTTTGCCTCGCAGAACTGCGCAACGTCTCGTGCAAACTGGTGGCCTATCCGCAGCTTGGCAAAATTCTCGTCGATCGCAATGCTGGCCATCCTCGTCAGTATTCCCGCCTGTCTGATTCCTCCTCCGTTCTGCTTCTTAAAATGATTGGCCTTCTCAATGAAGTCGCGCTCGCCAACCAACATCGACCCAACGGGAGCACCCAGACCCTTAGATAGACACAGCGAGACCGAGTCAAAGTATTGACAGTAGTCGCCAATGCTTATGCCGGTCGCGGCGCTGGCATTCCATAACCGCGCACCGTCCAGATGCAGTTTCACACCATTCGCGCGACACCACTCCGAGATCTCGCGGATGTTGTCCAGGGGCATGATTATCCCGTGCAATGTATTTTCGAGCGAGACCACTTTGGTCGGAGCCATGTGAATGTCACCGTCGTCCGGGATGTAGTTTTCCAAAATATCGTCCAAAGTCAGGTATAACCCGTTCGCTGGTATAACCGGGGTCACCATCGCTTGCGACAGAGTCGCCAGCCCACCAGCCTCGTGCGCATACACATGGCCTCTGTAATCGCACAGTATCCGGTGCGGAGGCTGGTGCAAATGTGCCCGAAGCGCGATCTGGTTGGACATCGTGCCCGAGCAGCAGAAAAGAGCGGCTTCCTTGCCCGCCATATGCGCAACCTTGGCCTCTAGTGCCAAGGTATCCTCGTCTTCTTTGTAGACAGAGTCTCCAACAGAGCACGCGGTTGCCGCCTGCAGCATCGTCGCAGTCGGCACTGTGAAGGTATCGGATCTGAACTCGTTGTGTGTCGGGTAATTTTCGCCAACAGTCATGTCTATGCCAACAGGCGATCTGCCCGCCCCTATATACTTGTCACAACGCACGAAAACTTTTTGGGAGGTCGTGTACACACCAAAACGGTTGGCGATAAGATCGCCGAGATCTGGCTCAGGAACGGGCGAGAGCATCTGGACAGAGCTCAGGGTGGGCTCGAAAATGTCGTAGAAGCGCTCGGACTGGGCCCGTGTTGCTGGAGCGCCTACAGCGAGCGCCAGCAGAGGCCGAAATTCGGGTGTTGCGGGTCGTGCATGACCGAGACGGGTAGAAAATTCCACGAACGTTCATTGGACGGTCCTCGAGCGTCAGCCTGGCTATGACTAATAGCAGTTGTAGGCTCGAAGTATGACAGCTCGTGAGATTATATAGGCCATTTAGGCCCGATTTGATGCTGTCTGCACTCCATATCGATAAGATAGAGCCGTCTGCAGGATATTTGACTTGGGCCGAGCAGCCGTGACAGGTCGGCATTGTTTCATGCAGCCAGAGTCAAACGGTGTGCGGAGATTTACAGGTCAGCTACAGGGATCGACACCTTGCACCGAGGAGTCAGGGAAAAGTCAAAAAGAGCGGCAAGAAATCGCATGGTGTACGGGTGTATTGTACATCTATCTACCTAAGCCTTCACTTCTCTAATACCGGCTTCTCTGAATATGGAATCTCCCTCTGAGTAGGCTCTTCCAAGACCGAACCCGAGGCCAAGCCACACTGGAAATGCTCTTCTTCTGAAAAAGAGAACGGACGCGAGCACGCCGGCTCCGAAGCCGAGACCAGACTTGACAATTCCGTTCGAGATGACCACATCCCACTTGGCGTTGACCAGGGATGTGGATGGGGAGGAGGTAGCGATTTCGGACATCTGTAGGAGTTAGTATTGGTGGGATTGGGGTTTGCGATGGGGTGGGGGGAAGGCGACATCGGGATCTGGGGCCATGCAGAGTTGTCGGCATAGCGGGGAAGAAGTAAAGGGTCTATTTTGTGGAACAATGATTGGGAGGCCTTGCTCGAGAGTTGTGGATCAAAGGTGGTGGTGGTCCAGAGTCAATGACCATGGTTTTCTTCTGGTGGTCTCATCAAAATTGACGAGCTGAGCATATAGATCGAGGAACCAATGTCAATGTACCTCCCTTGACATCATAATTTGTGCCCGCAGATTACCCGTGCGAGCCCCGTTCCGGTATACATACCTGTTCAGCGTATGAGTCTTTAGTTTGTTTTCGAAAATTGATGGAAAATGAATGGTCTGGCATAAGTCCCTGTGCGCGCGAGTTGTACTGTACGTCGTTCGTCGCGTCGGTGGAAAAAAAACCTCGTCCACCAAAACCAAAGGGCCGCTGCCCTTGATCCAAATCACGTGAACAAATTTGCTCCCTCCCTCTCACCTTTACATTTTCAGGTCTGAAAAATTTTATTTCCAATCAACATGGGTAGAGTTATCAGAAACCAGAGAAAGGGTGCCGGCTCCATCTTCACTTCGCACACCAGACTCAGAAAGGGTGCTGCCAAGCTGAGAACCTTGGACTACGCCGAAAAGCACGGATACATCAGAGGTGTTGTGAAGCAAATCTTGCACGATCCTGGCCGTGGAGCTCCATTGGCAAAGGTTGTCTTCAGAGACCCATACAAGTACAAGCTCAGAGAGGAGACCTTCATTGCCAACGAGGGTGTGTATACCGGACAGTTCATCTATGCTGGTCAAAAGGCTTCCTTGAACATCGGTAACGTGTTGCCATTGGGAGCCCTGCCAGAAGGTACCATCGTTTCCAACGTGGAGGAGAAGGTTGGCGACAGAGGTGCTCTCGGAAGAACCTCTGGAAACTACGTCATTGTCATTGGTCACAACCCAGATGAGAACAAGACCAGAGTTAAGCTGCCATCTGGAGCCAAGAAGGTTCTGTCTTCTGACGCTAGAGGTGTCATTGGTGTGATTGCTGGTGGAGGAAGAATCGACAAGCCATTGCTCAAGGCCGGTAGAGCTTTCCACAAATACAAGGTCAAGAGAAACTCCTGGCCAAAGACCAGAGGTGTGGCCATGAACCCTGTTGATCACCCTCACGGTGGTGGTAACCATCAACACATTGGTAAGGCTTCTACGATCTCGAGAGGTGCTGTTCCTGGTCAAAAGGCCGGTTTGATTGCTGCCAGAAGAACTGGTTTGCTGAGAGGTTCGAAGGACAAGAACGACGACTAAGTACTGGGAAATAGCAGAGTAATCATCTACAGATAAGTGTTTTACATAAGTACATTTGGTACGGCCGTATACCGTCCTACGCAATACCTCTGTTGTTCTACACGTGCAACGCACTATTCAATCCACTTCTTATTAACTATATCATTGCCTAGTTCTTCTTCTGAGCAGCCAAGGCCTTAGCAGTTCCGTGCAAAGCGTATCTGTGGTTTCTTCTGAATTTAGAGTCCACACCCTTCAAAGAAGGGTATCTGTGGGTCTTTGGCTTCTTGATACCGTTTCTGTGGGCCTTTCTGGTCTGGTTGTGGGCGGTGTGGTTCTTTGACTTAGCCATGGTGAATAATAAGTTGGTGAATATTTTTTACAAGCTTGCAATATACCACTTGTAGGTGGCAGGTGTAGATTTTTCGCAGTCACACGGTTTTTGGAAAGTACACAGGTCTATATGGCCAGGCTACTGCGCCTGGGCTCTACTTCTCTTGGCCAGTTTAGCGGTGGTTTTGGCGCCCATGACGCCACCACCCCACTGTTTTCTAGCCTGCTCGTACTTCTCGGAGAAGTTGGCGTCCGCTGTCGAAACAAGCTTCGCAAACGTAGCCTCGTCCTCGGGTCTGACATCCACCAATGCAGCAGCAGCAGCGGTCTTCTGATGCACCAATGCACCCAGACGCGCCTTACCCTTGACGATGGCGTATGGAACACCCATCTTTTTGCACAGAGCAGGCAGAAACAGCACCAGTTCGACCGGATCCACGTCGTTGGCAATGAGCACCAGCTTGGCCTTCTTGTTCTCAATCAATGAAACAACGTGGTTGAGTCCGTACTTGACAACAAACGGCTTGGAAAAAACGTCCTCCTTCTTGTTGCCTTCCGCAATAGCGGCCGCCTCCATCGACAGTCTCTCCTTCTTCTCGGACTTTGTCTCTGGTCTGTACTTGTTCAGCAACTTGAACAATGCCACGGCAGAGTTTCGGTCCAGAGTGTGGGAAAACTGGGCGATAGCAGGCGGCACCTTGAGTCTCATAGTCAGAACCTTCTTCTGTCTCTGCAGTCTCACGTACTGCGGCCACTTCACAAACCGGTTCAGGGCCCGTTTTGGCTGGACATTCTGTCCGATTCCGTAGTTTCTAGGTGTCGCGTCGTAGACAGACGTCTTGACAGCTTTCTGCTGTTTGGCTAAAGGCGCTGGAGCAACTTTTTTCGAAGGCTGGGTCATCGAGGTTAATACTCTAGGAAAATCGGTCATCGAGCACTAATCTCTACAGTTTGTCGAGCAAACTCAGCAAAAAAAAAGAGACGCGCACCATCTCTCGGTACGTTTACAAAGATCCGGCCGCATCTCAGAGATCAGCGCCGTCTTTAGCCGTACTTACCATAACGATTGATTGATTAACTGGCTAAAAAATTTTCCCACCACATTTTTATGTATATCACACCTCAATCCCAATTTAACTTATCTAAATGGACCTTGCCAGCTTTTCTCTTCTGGCCGGCGCAGAGACGCCTTCCCAGCTGCGCACCCAACTTTCAGGTATTGCCGGCTCCATTTCACTTGCGTGCTGGCTGGTGCTGCTTCTTCCGCAGCTGATTGAACAGTGGCGGCTGAAATCGGCCGAAGGCATCAGTCCACTATTCCTCCTCTTCTGGACTCTCGGAGATATTCTCAACCTCGCGGGCGCGCTGTGGGCCGGACTCCTGCCCCAGGTGATTTTGCTGGCCGCGTGGTTTGCTGTCGCAGACGCCTTTACGCTGGCATTCTACTATTACTACACCTACGTGTACCCCAAAAGGAGACAGCCAGAACGCACCCCGCTGCTGACAGACACGCCGCGACGCAAGTCGTCCACCATTGAGGACATCGTGCTCCAGCCACAGAACCACTCTGTGCTTGTCAGATACGTGCTGCCGCTGCTCGCCGTGTTTGTGGCTGGCATCATTGGCTACCTGTGCTCGTCGCCCGCCAAAAAGCAGCCCGACATCGAGCTGGCCATTGGCCCGCAGATCTGCGGGTATTTGAGCGCCGCACTGTATTTGAGCGCCAGACTGCCGCAGATATACCAGAACTACACCAAAAAATCGTGTCGCGGGCTGAGTCTGCTCTTCTTCATGTTGTCGACCCTGGGCAACGTCACATACGGCCTGCAGATCCTGTTCTACCGCTCGGACTGGGACTACGTCGTGCTCAACAGCAGCTGGCTGTTGGGCTCGCTGGGCACCATTGCCGAGGACCTTGTCATTTTCGCCCAATTCTATATGTACAAAAACTCGGAGACGGCAGTGTTGGAATAAAAAGCTGAGTCAAAATTAAATTAAATCAAAATATTTGCCCATGTCCAATATTGTCGAAATTGCAGACAGGCTCAACTCGCCGCTGCCATTCAAGTCGCCCTCCTACAAGCCTGCGAAGCGCAGGTATCGGTTTCTAAGACAGATCCTCAACGACGAGGCCAAACGGGTCCAGCTCAAGCAACAGCACGCTCACGACCCAAATCTCGTGACATACCAGTCGCTGTCGGCGCCACCCTCGCTCAGACCCACCAAGACATATTGTGACATCACAGGACTGCCCACGCACTACAAGTCCCCACACAACCAGCTCAGATACTACGACAAGGAGTGCTACGACATCGTCAAACACATGGCTCCTGGCGTTGATCAGCAGTATTTAGCGTTGCGCAGTGCCAACGTGGTGCTTAAGTAGATAATGAACGATTTTCCCACCGAACAACGGCCTCCTTGATTTGGCGGTCGAACCGCGGGTTGTCGATCTCCTCGTTTTCGGACTCAATGGTCCTGAACGGGTTGCACACCAGCTTGAGGTATGCGCGCTGGATGTCTGCAAAAACCCCGTTCAGACCCTCATCCGGCAGCTCGTTTTCCGCGCGTGTAGCCCCCACGACGATCCGCAGCCCCGTGCTCGTCTGGTGTCCAAACACATACACCCCGTCCTGCACAAACAGCAGAACATAGGTTTTTTTCGTGTTTGGGTCTGGGGCCGGCTGTGCAAACGGCGACTCAAAGATGTCCAGCGACATGTGCGACAGGAAGTTGTACTTGAGCAGCTCGTTGGCGGTGCACTCGTCCGCGGCACTGCCTGCCACAAACGGCTGGATGTACAGGGGTCGGTTCTGGTTAGCGCAGCGTGGTGAATACTTACATCTCTCGATATGAGCGAAACAAAAAGAATTGTCATGAGAAACAAAATCGTCGCGTCGAAAATATATAAGAGGGAAGCCTGGTTCACAGATTGCTGACCCGAACAAGACCTTGTTTGCGCTTCAGGGCCCACCATTGTGCTGGAAACCTCCGTGACAACTTACAAAAGGCCAGTGTCGCAACTTTTCTGCTTCCCGAGTTCGCAACTGCGCAGGGTCGGCCCAGGCTGCCGGCAGTGCATCGACCCAATTTTTTTTAAATTTTTTTCCCTATCTATCAACATGTCTTCAGAACTTACTGAAATCGCGGCAGAACTCAAGTCCGCGCTCCATCAGTACCCGAACTTCCCCTCCGAGGGCATCCTGTTCGAGGACTTCCTTCCTATCTTCAGAAACCCGGCTCTCTTCAACAAGCTCATCAAAGCGTTCAAGATGCACCTGGAGGCCCGCTTCCCTAACCAGACCATCGACTACATCGTCGGGCTGGAGTCCAGAGGCTTCCTTTTCGGCCCAACGCTTGCCCTGGCTCTCGACGCAGGCTTTGTGCCTATCAGAAAGAAGGGAAAATTGCCCGGAGAGCTCTACAGAGCTGCCTACACTAAGGAGTATGGCGAAGACTTCTTCGAAATACAGGTCGAGTCCATCCCAGAGGGATCGAACGTGGTGATCGTCGACGACATCCTGGCCACCGGAGGCTCGGCCAAGGGTGCCGGCCAGCTTGTTCAGATGTGCAAGGCCAACATCCTCGAGTTTTGCTTCGTGATGGAACTCGACTTCCTCAAGGGCAGAGACAAACTGCAGGCAGACACGTTCACGCTGCTCAGCGGCCAGACTGAGTCTCTGAAGGAGTCTAGATAGATTCTTTTGCTAATACTATTTTTTCTTGAATATTAGGTTGCGGCCGCTCGTCACTGGCCGCTTCTTCTTTGGAGCAGTCAAGGCGCCCTCGTTCTTGTACGGCTCAAACACCTTGCGCTTTTTCTGCTGCGGCTTCGAAACCATGATCTTTTGCGACGTGTCGAGCTTCTCGGTTGCAGGGGCGTCCTGCTTGCGTCTCCGTTGCTGGTGCTTACGCAGCGTGATGATCTCGTCGGCAGCCGCGCTCGTCAGACGACTCTCGGGCTCAGGCGTCTCTGTTTCTTCCTCTTCTTCTGGCTGCTCCAGCTGCTCGTCGACAGGCTCCTCAGAAACGTCGATTGTAACGTCTCGCTGAATCTTCAAATATTCCAGCGCCTTTTCCAGCCGGTGCTGCTTCACGTCCGCACCAATAAAATCCACACCCCCATTTCTAGTGTACCGCACCGAAAACACCCCGTTGTCGGTCTCTTTGGCCATAACAACGCCGTCGTAGACGGGCCTGTTGGCCGCCTCAAAATTCTGCTTCACAGTCTCAAACGCCAGTTCAATGTCCTTGGAGTTGCCTTTCGTCGTCGCCGGCTTTTTTTCGTAGATACTGTCCCACAGCGCCGTGTCCATCTGCTTTAGCTCCTCCAAACAGTCCTGGATCAGCATAACAAGCTCCTTCAACTTCGAGCGCACAAACTGCGACCCACCGAACCGCGAGGACGAGTTGATCACCTCCAACACCGTCCGCTTGCTGACCACCTCCGAGTCCTGGCTAAAAGCGTTCACTAACGACACAAGCATGAAATCAGACATGATGTAGCGTGGCGACTCGTCCTCTCGCCGGGCCTGCTCGTCCCGCCATTTGAAAAGCACCTCCAGCAGAGGTCTCTTGGCCATTGGAATAGAGTTTGAGTCCGCCAAATTGCTCCACGGAAGGTTTGTCGGGTTATGCACTGACACAAGCCCATTCTTGAACTCCGGAAGCTGCGGCACAGACTGGTTAGTAGCAACGACTTCTGCGCCGCTGGAAAATCCGTTTGCCGACTTGACGTTTCTTGGCTTGAACGTCGAGTACTCGTAACGTCTGTTCGACACCTTGCGCGACTCGTGCAAAACCCTTTTTAGCTTGTCCGGATTCTGCACAAGGTCGCTATGCATTTTGTAGAAAACCTCAATCAGAAAATGTGTGTCTGCTTTTGCGTAGTTCTTCATTTCAGAGTTCAGCGGGCGCATTCTCCAGTCGGCCAGCTGCCATTTCTTCGACGTCTTAAATTTAACATACGTCTCCAGTAAATGTGCCAATGAATGACGGCCAAGCCCCAATTCTCTGGAGGCATGGTAGGTGTCAAATAGCGAAACAACGTAAAGCCCCAGGTCCCTCTGGAGCCAGATTATGTCCATAAATGCGCCATGGAAGACTTTGACGATGTTTGGGTCTGTGAAAATGACGTTCAGAGTCACCAGATGCGGTCTGAGCTCTGGGCTCAATGGGTCAATCAAATAGTCTTTCTTTGTGTCGGTGGTTAGTTGCATCAGACAGGTGATTCCGTGGTACGTTCTGTAGTCGTGGTGCTCCAGATCAACGGCAATAACCTTACATTTGCTCAGCTCAACAAGCAGGTCGTCCAGCTGTGCTGGATTATCTATCCAGGTCGGCTCCTCGCTCTTTTTCCATGGAATCGAGTCAAACGACTCTTGTGGCTGCAGAATCCAATCTGGGTACGGCTGGTTCATAATCTCGTAAGAGTATGGGTTCTCGTAGTGCTCTGGCACGTCTGGAGCTGCACGCACCAGCTGCATACTCTCCTGGAGCGGGATCAATGCGTTGGGCTTTGTTTTGATAAGCGGTTTGAAAGGCGACGTCTCGAAGTTGTCCACGGGGGTTTTAAAGAGCAGCTGGGGCTTCTGTATTTTTAGCGACTGCGGAGTGCTCTTGTGGGTTCCCGAAGTGTCAGTTTCGTCCAAATATGTGAATTCGTCCTTTGTTTGGTTGGTCTGCTCCTTCTTCGTGCCCTGCTCAAGCGCTATTTCGGCGCTTTCAAACAGTGTATCCAGCACACTGCCCACAACTTTCCAATTTGCTTCCTCTTTGTCGGCATGGAGCTGGCCGTCCTGGTCATTGGTGATAGAAAATGCGTTAGGAAGCAGCTCATTCAGAAGATCTACGAGATGCTGGTTCAGGGCGGTGCTTTCACTTTTCACAGTCGGATCTATACTATTGTAAAATGAAATATCCTTGGCACTCACGGCCGAAGATAAGCGAATCAGATTGATAAGCGACGGAGCCAAGGACTCCAGGTCAAAAGACATTGCTTAAATAATTTTTTTTTTGAATTTGAATTTTTTGTAGACACTTTTTAAGTAATTTTCCCAGTCAATTTTCTTAGTGGCAAATAATTAGACATGTACCCAATCGACGAGGATGCTTCAACTGTTTTGACTACACTACGAGAGCAAATCGAGCCTTCGGGAGACTCTGACCTTGTGGGAGCTATGTACCAGCTCGAGGACTTGTACGAGAGGAAATTGTGGTACCAATTGTCAGAGGTGTTGTCACAGAACGTTTACAAGAACGAAAATAGCACGCCGATCAGACTAAAGCTGTTTGAGAACTTTGTGCTGAAATTCAACGACAAGATCAACCAGCTCAAGCTGATAGAATTCCTGCTCCTATCGCTACAGGATTGCGACTTAAAAGAGCGCCTCGAATACTTGACCAATCTCAAAGACCTCATTAGAAACAGAAAGAACATCAAAAAAACCGATGACGACGACATTGCCGACATAGATATCATCCAGGCACTGCTTTTCCTAGAAATCGAGATTGCAGGCGTCAAGCTGAATCTGGGATTTGTGGACGAGGCATCGGCCATCATCGACGAATGCTCAAAGAGAATCGACAAGATCAATTGGTCCTTGGACAACAGGATTAATGCCAGCTATTACTTCACAAATGCCAGTCTTATGAAACTCAAGGGCGACTACACTGCGGTTTACTACAACTCTCTGTTGTTTTTAGCATGTATCGACAATCTCGACGATCTTGCCAACAAGCATGCAATTGTCAAGGATATCTGTGCAAGTGCGTTGCTCGGGGACAAGATCTACAATTTCGGAGAGATCATCATGCACGAAATTTTCCAGTACCTGGATATTGCTTGGTTGAAACAGCTAATTATTGCGCTCAATTCTGGCGATCTGGCCGCTTTTGAGCAGGTGCTTGGCAACCCTGAGATCAGACAGATCCCAGAGATTGCCTCCAATGTCGGGTTCCTCAAGCAGAAGATGTGCATCATGTCGCTGACCAAGCTAATCTTCAACAGCCCAACACAGAATCGAACGTTCAAGTATGACGCCATCATGGCACAGGTGCCTTTCCTGCAAAATTATAACGAGGTGGAGAACTTGCTCATCAAATGTTTCAGCTTACAGCTGATGAAGGGGCTTATCAACGAGGTTAACTCCGAGGTTGAGATCTCTTGGATTCAGCCAAGAACAATGACGTTGGATCAGATCGAAGCCATGAAGAAAAAGCTCATTGTGTGGAGCGATAAGGTGAGCGATTTGAACCAGTTCATGGCTTCTGCTGGCAAAGAGCTATGGGTTTGATGGCAAATCTAATATCATACCTTATCGTTTAGCTAGTGTAGAGATGTATCGTCTGGAATATATTTTTTATTTTCAACTGTGTGGGGGGACTTTTTTTTTTTTCGAAGTGGCAAATGGGAGTCAAAATAATTGAACATTTTATCAAAATATCTGAATAAATCGCCCTTGACAATATATTTGACAACACAGAAAACTACTACTCAAGGTGTCGTACTACTCCTTAGAATACGAGAAATCACGCTCATTGCTCATTAATCCTTAGATGAGAGATTCCAACAACAAATCAGTAACAGCCAACAAGGCAGCAGTATCCATAACATCCACTTTGTATGACCGGCGAGCACTGGATTGCACCGAAGACAAACCTCTGGTAAACTCATTGAACCATCTTACGTTCCTTGCCTCGTCTTCATTGAAGGTGCGCGAGGCGTTGTCCCAGGATGGAGGGCTGGAAAGATTGGTCGATATCTTGTACGAATGTCAAAGTCCAACGACCGAGAAAGAAAAATGCATCAGTGCATGGAAATGGGTGCTTGCTTTCCAGTGTTTAGTTCTGGTGGGGACCAGAGGCAATGAGAGAATCAGAAAGAAAGTGGTGGATGCTGGAATGATTCCTATAATCGCAACGATCCTTGACAACTATGTCATTTCGAAGAAGACCGCGTGGAATTCGCATTTGCAGAGCAACAAGGACAACTATCTCAACGTTAGAACTACAAGCACTGCGAACACTACAGCCACAGAAGGTACCTCTGAAGTGGGCGACGACTTACAAACGAACGCATCGTCGTTTACTGCTGCCACGGATGAGTCGCAACTGGCGCAGCAGCAGCAGCGTAGCAACGAAATGTACGAAGATTTCAACAACGATCAAATCAACGAGGTGTTTCAGAATGTGAGACGCCTCGTGGAGGAGGCGAACCAAACGGTTATGGAGGCCGAGGCTGAAATCCACAAACACGAGCAACATAAAAAGAAAACCTTAGGCGATTTGGGTCTGGGCAAAGCAGAGGCCCAACTTGACGAGGAGTACTCCAAAATATCCAAGTCCCTCACTTTCCTCAATTTTCTCGATAGACTCAACACTACCGATGATATCTCGAAAATCAATCAAGAGCTCATGACAAGTTACAGTGAGCTGACGAAGAACGCGGTATTCACCAATCAGCTAGTTAACAGCCCTGAAATCTCGAACATTCTGAGGGAAAACATGTCCTCTACGGATCTTCCGTTTTTCAGAGCCACGGAGGACAAATTCAACCAGTCCATTCCACGCAATTTCGAAAACGGGATCTTGATTCCGAAAGAGGACGATGTTATTTGGTCGTTGCAAGTGCTGGCATTCATCTCCAAATACACTTATCTGAGATATAAACTTGTCGATACCTACATTGTGAATGGGCTATCTCTTAGAAATTACAATATACCGCCTCCTTTGGAGACTGATTGCGACATGAACGAAACGGGCGATTTACTGAACGATATTTACGACGACGAGGACAGTTCGGAGGATGAAGAGGTGGCGAACGACCTAAATGAGTTTGTGATTCCAAACGAAAATAATTTCGGCGTGACTTCGAGCCTGACGCACCAGCAGTTCCCCGAGAACATATCGCTGGGCTCTAGCTCGACGAAGTCAAAGAGGCAAAAATACAGCGACCGCAAGTGCGAATCGAAATACGCGCATCTGTTACGCGATTACAACTCACTTATAAACGAGCAGGATCGGATAGAGAAGGCGACGAAGCTAGAAAAGTTTGCTTTGAATATTTCACGGTACGCGCATCGCGAACACAATATTCTGAGACTCCGAAACAACCAGATCTACAAACGCAAAAAAGACAAATACGCTTCCACATGGGACTACGACGAGTGGGACGATTTCGAGATGGGGCCTTTATCTTTGATGTTCCCCAATTCCCAGACGATCGACCCAAACATCCGTCCCATCAAACGGGTCAACATATTTCCACTTGTCGAAAAGTTTACTGTCAAGCATTTGCATTCTAAGGACATTACCTATTGGGCCTCTGTGATTGTGCGAAATTCCAACAGAAAGGACGAGAGCAAAGGGGGAAGACGGCAGTGTGCATACTTTGGCTGTGGCAAGTGGGAAGACGAGCCTCGCCAGTTTGCCAAGTGCCGGCGATGTAAGCGTGCGAAGTATTGTTCCAAAGAGTGTCAGTCCAAGGCTTGGACGTACCACAAGTATTGGTGCAATGCTGCTAGCGGGTCTACCAGCACAACGACAGGGTCTGGGACCGAAGCAGGTGCACAGAGCTGGGGAGAACAAGCGGAGCAGACAGACCAGACAGACCAGGATCATGATTCTGCGCTTGGACAATCGCAATGACAGATTTTATGGAGTCTCTATATTAGTTTAGACAAACAGTCCCGATTCCACCATGAGCGTCAGCTTCATGGTTTGTTCCATGAAAGTGAGCGTGAGAACGGTGTGAGGAGCAATTCTGAGCAACTGTGCTCCAAATCCTTTATATAGAGCTCCAATACCCTCACTTTTGACCGTCTTGATGAGACAATCGATAGGACCAGAGTACTTGTTTCCCTTTTGGTTGTAGACTCTGGTGAGAATAACGTCTCCTGGGTTCATCACCACACCGACTCCGAGACCCGAGATTGTACTGGAAAGCAGATGAAGATGCGGGCCTTCCTCAATCAGTCCTGTCTTGAGCAACTCGTGCTTAGCAAAGTTGTAGATCGGCAGCTGAACTGAGGAGCCCATACCAGTTCTGATGATGGCTGCATCCACTCCTCTGAAAAGTCCAAGCAATCCGCCTTGTCTATACTGCGAAACAAGTCCGTTCCACGTGGAGGTGTAATGAGTTTGCTCACCAATCTTGATACTAGGCGAGTAAGACTGCATCCGGGTCTTGATGAGATAGAAAGGTGAGCCGACAATGGCTCCGGCTATACCAGATAGCGCTCCGGCTGCGACGTTGACCGGTATGCTTTGGACCGAATGTGCGTCCTTCGACGGGAAGACAACGGAGTTCATGAAGTTTCTGACCGGCTCGTAAAGGCCGAGACGACATCCGTTCAGTCCAAGTTGGTAGATGTACGCGCAGAATAGACCTTTCTGACACCCCCTGATACCCTCGTTTTTGTAGATAAGCCCCAGAGCCTGGAACGGATTTTTGTAAACTCTCGGGGTGTTGGTTGCACTGGACAGCTCTCCTTCCAGCTGCATTCTGGTTTTCACCAGCTCGATCGGATTCGTCACCGTCACAGCTCCGCAGGCCGCGAGTCCTCCAGCGATGAACCCGCCAACGGTGGACACTTTCTGAGACGCTGTTTTGTCGGACATCCAAGATATAGTGGAAAAAAAATTAATTCAAAACATAATCCAAAAAAATCGCTCATCTCCGTCATAGTTTATCCTTGATCCCGTTCAAACGATATTTCACGTCCCTCAAAACCTTGGACTCTGGGTTCCAATTATCGAATTCTTTGAAAACCATGTCGATCTCCTTCTCGCCGTCGCTCAGTCGCTTCTTGACATCGAAAAACAGGCCTCTTGTGCACCACGGCAGTGTGAATGGGTTGCTGCCTACTTCCGAGACGTCGAGCTCTCGGAATCGGACCGGCTGTCTCACGGCAAGGCTTGAGTCCATTGTTTTCAACGCAAAGTTGAGTGCGAGCTTGTATACGTCGGGGCTGTTGTAGATCCGAGAATGGCCACCACCAGTAAGTGGACCTGCCAAGGCGTGACTCATTTCAGCAATCACTCCGTGATCCGTGTACCCCAAGTTCTGTAGCATGCACGAGAGCTTCACTATGCGCGCAACAAAGTCCGGAGTGTTCGACTTGCCGTCAATGTAGACCGCCTTGTATATGTTGGGGTGCGAGACATGGTAGCCGATGGAGGAGTAAAGAGGAACCAACTGGTCGTTGACAGAGCCCACTAGGGTGATCTTCACATTGTGAGCAATCAGATAGCGCACACTTTCTAGATATTTGCGGCTTTGCAAACTCTGGAAATTCTGAAATTGAAAGAGCTCCAGCATGGACTCATTCTCGATGGACGAATAAGCCCTAATAAATAGCGACTGGTCCATTCCGTAGTAAGGACCAATGTTGATACCTGCCATTCCTAAGATGGCTATGCGTTTATTGTCTGCAATTAGGCCATGTTCTATCATCTTGGAAATCAGCATCATGGCTACCGGAGTGCCCTGTGAGTGTGCACACACATAGATGAAATCAGCCTTTTCCACCTCTTCGTGCCACTTCTGCATTGCCTTAAAGAAAAACTCCACTCTGTCAAAGACCTTGCCTTCCTTTTCAAGTGCTATCTTTTGTGTTTCGATGCTCATTCCCTGCTCTTGGGCCCACGCGCTGATTGCATCTTCTGCCGCCTGTGCAAATCGTGCAGACGTCCCTGTGGGCTCGCCAATAAGGGGGCGAATCATTTTGGTCGGGAAGAATCCGTGAACACCAATGATGAGCACTCGTCGGAAGTTGGCTGCTCGGATTTTCCTGCTGAGATGGCCAATTGGCGCTGGATCGTACCCTGCCAGAGTTTTTATACTATTGAGGGCGGAATAAACGTAGTTTCCCGGTGTAATACACGGCAGAGACTCGAATTGCGGCACCACCAAATCGGGCCTGCTAGCTGCAGACGACAGTTTCTGTTTTTTCTTCTTTGGTGAATCGGCTGGCTCCTGCCTCACCGGTTCAGACAGCGTAGCATCTGTCTCTATCGGGGTCGGTTGCTCCATGGGTCTAGTATTTCTGGGCCAGAACGACCACGATTGCGCACGGTATTTGGTGTCTTTGGGTCGCTCGGTTTCTTCATTCTCGGCATCCTTGCATACTGACCCCGAATCGGGCTCCAGTTTCGGGCTCACAGGCTCGCTCTTGAGCGATTTGAGCGAGGCGTTCGATGTCGACCGTGTTTGCAGTTGCTGTGTCTTAGAAAAGGCCCACGAATTGAGCAGTTTCCTAGGCGCTGAGTCAGCGGCAAGTCCTGTGCTACTCACGTTTTCTTGGTTCAGTTCGTCTTCAAACACCTGGCTCTTCACTGATCGTAGCAGCTGGTTTATGGTGCCTCTCTTACCCTTGGTTGCATTACTCATTGGCGATTGCAAAAGTCACCGCCTTATAGTGTCCTTTACTTGGCTCTTCAAAACAGAATCACTGCGGCAGGTCGTACGTGCCAATGCTGCGGTGCAGAAGCAAAGATAAAAAAGAACAAGAGACTTTTCTTGTGTCAAAATTAAATTCCCCCAGTAAATCTAAAATAAATCCTGAGAGCACTGCCAGAATCGCGACGCGAATATATCATCATGAACAAGGTGTCTCCCAAGATGGCGCAGAAACGCACAATCACTGACTTTTTCACCGTGAAAAGACAGAAATCGGACTCTGTGGCCAAAAGCGTGGTGTCTGAGGCACAAGTGGTCGGAAAGACGGACTCGGTCAAAAAACAAATCACTCTCCAGGTGACCACCACAAGCTCCTTCGATAAACAGAAATGGATCAACTCGCTGACTGCGGAACAAAAAGATCTGCTCGAGCTGGAGATCTCCAGCATGGAGTCGTCGTGGCTTGCTCTCCTGCACCAAGAACTGACCAAGCCCTACTTCCTGGGTCTTAAGAGGTTCCTGCTCTCTGAATGGAAGTCCCAGACAATCTTCCCTCCTAAGGAGAATATCTATTCGTGGACGCGTCTGACGCCAGTCAATAACGTCAAGGTGCTTGTTCTTGGCCAAGACCCGTACCACAACTACAACCAGGCTCACGGTCTCGCGTTCTCTGTCCAAGACCCGACTCCGCCACCACCCTCTCTGAAAAACATCTACAAGTGTCTAAAAAAAGAGTATCCGAACTTCGAGATCCCCAAGAAAGGAGACCTCACCAAGTGGGCCCAGAATGGAGTCCTCATGCTCAATACCTGTCTCACGGTGCGCGCCCATAACGCCAACTCACACTCGGGAAAAGGCTGGGAACAGTTCACCATGCAGGTCATCAAGAAACTGATTGAGCACAGAAACAGGAACGGCAAGGGCCTGGCCATTGTTGCGTGGGGATCGCCTGCCCAGAAGACCGTGTTCAATGTCGGCAAGATCGACTGGAGTCTGAACCTGTTTCTGAAGTCTGTCCATCCCTCTCCGCTCAGTGCCGCACGCGGGTTCTTTGACTGTCACCATTTCACCAAGTGCAACGCGTGGCTCGAGGACAAATACGGCAAGGATGCCAGAATAGACTGGGCCCTGGTGGACGGAAATACAGTGTTGGAAAATTAATTTAGATAAAAAATAAATATACGGCTGTGATTTATGGACTATCACAAGGTTTACTCCTATGCGTCAGACGAGCTGTTGGCACCGGAGACGCTGTGTTTTGCTCTTTTCTACGTCGGCGTCTACAAGAACGAGGCCGAAATCAGGACAGAACTTGGCCAACTCAAGCATTACTTGGACGTAGAGCTCCGACCCTACATAGACCACTATCCGTGGCATGTTCGGCCTCCTAACTACGAGCTGGTGCACGACAAACACTGTTTTCTGTACGGAGAGCTGGAATACGGCGAAAATATGGACGATCTGTGGGTAGTTGCAAGTCTGCTGTTCAAATTCACCTCCAGGAGCGAAAACATCTACTTGCATCTATATGATCAGGACCGCGAGTTTTTGCTGATCGAGGCTGCCCATCAGGTTCCTGGATGGCTGGAGCCAGAGTGTGCGTCAAACAGAATCTGGATCAACACGCGACGCGTGGTCTGCATCCCGAAAGAGTACTGTGAAGGCAGGAACCTGGACCTGGAGGAGGCCCTTGCGTTTCTGCAGTCTGCCAGCTACCGTTTGGAGGTTCTCAGCGATGTGACAGAGGAGCTGGTGCGCAAGAAGATTGCCAATTATCCGCAGGAAGCTCTGAAACACATCAAAATGGAACCGCTCTTGGTTTCGGAATACACGGCACGCAGACTTGTTTGCCGGCCTGCGTACGTTGCTGGAGCAGCCATCTCGCATTTTTTGGAGCCCGTGCACGTTCTAGGGCTCCGACTCGGCGGCCAGCGGTCGTCCAGACTGGTGAAATTAAATATTAGAGTCAACGCCATAGTGCACATGGATCTGCAGAAGTACGGCGAGACGGCGGCCGGAATGGGCGAGATTGCCGATCGAGCGATTGAGGAGGAGGATCTGGATGAAAATATAGACAAGGCTAACTTCGAAGACATTCTAAAGCAGCACAACGAAACTATAGAGCAAGACCCGTTGCAGCAGGAGCTTTTGCGGTACAACGTGATAGAAAAGCGTGTAGAGTGGGAGCAACCGGAACAGGTGGACGAGGAAAACCAGCGCTATGACGAGGACATGGTTGAGAAGGTGAAGCATTTCATGAATAGAGAGACAGACTGGGCCGGAGCAGGCTCTGGGAGCGATGGAGACGACGACGAGGTAGATGGAAGCGAGAGCTCACGTATACGAGACTATTTCAGGCAGGAGGGAGTGGACATTGACGAAGACGACTTCTTTGAGTTCTTCTGTCGTGAGGCGCTACAGCTGAGCAAAGACGACATGGAGCAGCTGCGAGCGGCAGACTCTGAGGAGAAGGACGAAGATAAGGGCCAAGGTGGGGACGTGGGGGAGGACAACGCCACAGATGATATGGAGGTGCTGTCGAATCTGCTGGCGTCGCTGGCGTCGAGCAACTCGCCGGCCGCAACGCTTCTGAATAATCTTAAGTAACCCGTACACCGTATTTATTTTTATTGCAGCTTTTGATAACAGACTAGAACAGGGAGCGACACCAACGAGTGCTTCTTGTGTTATAGGACCCTAAGACCGCGCACACAGACAGAGACAGCCAGTAAACGATGTGGGGATACTTCTTTGGCGGCAACGCGAAGCAGAAAAAAGAGCTTCCCAAGAAGGCGATTGTGGAACTTAGAGAGCATATTTCGACGCTAAACAAGAAGTCAGCGTTTCTAGAGACGCAGGTCCAGGAGCAGGATGCTATTGCGCGCAAGAACATCACGACAAACAAGAATCTGGCGAAAATGGCCTTGAAAAAGAAGAAGAAGCTCGAGGCAGACATACTCAAGATTGAGAACCAGGTGGAGTCGCTGGAGACGCAGCTCAACGCGATAGAGTCTGCGAACCTGAACCTGGAGACGATGAAGGCGATGAAACAGGGCGCCAAGGCGATGAAACAGATGCACGGCGACTTCAACGTCGACAAGGTTGACCAGACAATGGACGATATCAGAGAGCAGGTCGAGCTCAGCGAGGAGATCTCCGATGCCATCAGCCGACCATTGGGCAACGATCTTGTGGATGAGGATGAGCTTGACGAGGAGCTAGCTGCTCTGCAGCAGGAGGAGCTTGATAATAAGATGACAGACACCAAACAGGCCATCAAGCCTCCGGCCGAGCCTGTCAAGTCGCAATTGCCAGACGCTCCGACCGGAAAGGTGCAGGAAGAGGAGGAGGATGAGGACGAGAAGGCGCTGAGAGAGCTCCAGGCCGAGATGGGGATGTGACTTTTGCTAGTTGTGAGTATGCTAATATTAACCATATCATTATTCATACATGTCGTAGAGAATTATCTGGCTCGATCCAGAGCTGCGCCGTGCGCAAAAAACAATGAGTTTGCCCAGCTCTTGAACAATCGAGTACCTTGCGCTCTCCATCTTTTGCCCCACCAGGCCCAGAAGGCCTACAAGGTTCTGTTTGTCGGGGATCGAGTCCAGCACGTCGGTCCATTTCATCACCTTCCCGTAAAGCTGGGACCCTGTGTATTCCTCATCTGTTGTGTCGAGAACACAGCCTGCTGCGGAGGTAAACTGGGAACGGATCCGCCGCAGATACTTGTACCCAGACTCCTTCGGCCGCTGAGGATTGTATGTTTCGGGACCACATTTAATGAACACATAGGTCCAGACCACCAGCAGAGCAATGCTGATCGGGTTTGACCGAAAAAACAGGTCGCGGTCGGCATCGTAGTCGTAGTCGTACTCTTCTGGGGCTCCATGCGGCGAAAGAAACATTTCAAAAAGCAGCAGATAGCACTGCACGACGGCCACTTTCGCATGTCTGGTTTCTGTCCACTCGACCACTCTTTTGCAAATTGCGTCTCTCTCCAGCGGCGAGGACGGCTTGACATTCATTCTCCAGGGAGCGCCAGCAAATATCAGGAAGTCGTACTGGGGAATCGACATACAGACGTGGGCCATGTGGTACACTGTGCATTTGCATCGAGTATCTTTCTGAGACAGCTCCATGAACCCAGAAGACGCTTTGACGTTCTCGACTGCTGTCTTCGATGAGCAGCAGGATACGCCAACGTCGTTTCTCCAGATGGAGTAAGCGGCTGTCATCAGCTCACGCCAGTTTTTGGCAGTCTCGCTTGCACCAAACTTATCCAGTCCAAAGGCCAGTTGCAGGTCCCGCTGTTGGATCTGGAACATAACAGCACTCAGCCCAGAGACCAGGACTTTCTTCCCAAACGCATTGGTTCGCGTCGACACCCCATTAAGCAGATTTTTTAGCACAAGCAGGAATTTCTGTGGTTTCTTGGCCTGCTTGATGACTTGCTTGAAATTTCGAAAATCAGCGTCCCAAACTTCGTCCTCTACAGGCATGGTGAGCTGCACCTGATGGGCGTATATAAGAACTTGGTGGCCGTACATGATGGCATCGATGGTGTCCATGTAGAAACACATGTACGTAGCTCGTTTGAGCGACTCCACCTCGATCCAGCTGTGCCAGTTATTGACATCTTCGGGCTGTCCAAGTTTCTGTGGAGTGCCACCCAGCGTAGGGAGCCGTCTGAGAAGCTGAATTGTGGTACCGTGGTGCAGATGTGCTCTCTCGTGCATTTTCCGGGAAGAGCAGTTTTTCTCATAGAACTCGAGCAACAGCAGGCTCTGGATCGTCCAGATCGTGGCGGGAGGCTCAAAATCCGGCGACGAGAATATGTGCCATCTCAAAGGGTTCGCTATGAGGTCGGCAAATGACTGTGGGTCCTCTATGTGGTCAGGCGAGTAGAGGTCGTCGAATATCGTGGACAATCTCGCTCCAATGATAAACATGGAGAGCAGCAGCGACGATGGCGTCTGGGATGCTACAAACGTGGGCTTGTGCAGAATAGGGAACCTCGGATGGAAATATTTCCAGTAGGTGCGCAGCATTTTTTCGAGTTTAAACTGCAAAAAGTCGGGGTGCGTGGCCAGAGCTGGAATCAGGGTTTTGAACTCGGCCAATCTCAAATCGTTGAGTTCGTATTCGTTCTTCATGTGGGATGTCTCTGGATTTCCCATGGCTATAGGCTGGTCTGAGAACAGAGCAGAGTTGGAGGAGATATTCTCAAATCCGTCTAGAAGAAAAAACGTCTGGCCATTGTTGGCAAACATCTGATCCATTTCGGAGGACTCCATGTTAGTGGGATTGACCTGGTCGAGAGTTTCGGGATCTTCACTGAACAGCCAGCTGAAAAGGTTTGGGGTGGGATCATCTCCGATATGAGGAGTCGGACTTGGGGCCAAATTATTATGCGTTCTCACGATCGTGTTCACGGAAGAAAGCTGTTTTGGTGGGGGCTCCTTCGACCCATCACGCTGAGCGTGTCGCTTTTCGTGGCGCACAAGCAAGTCGTTGCGAACAAATGTCTTTTCGCAATAGGGGCACCGAAAAATCTTTTTGGGGTTATGGTTGAGCTGGTGTCGGGACAAATGTTCAGACCGCAGAAACTCCTTGGTACAGTTGGGGTAATCGCACTTGAACGGCGGCCCATCGCGTCTTTTGGACCTTTTTTTGGGAGGTTCTTCAGATAAGAGTGTCATCACGGAGCAAATCTATAATTTTTTATTCATTAGTATTTTAATCACTTCCTATCAATATTTTTTCTTATTCCAATGGATGCCCAGACATTGGTAAATAAATATAAGAAAGAAGGTCTTTTTGACTTCAAGCGACGCCAGCTGCTGGACAATTTTGTTGCTTCGGACGACTCAAAGCTCAACGAACTTTTGGAAAAGCTCATCGACCTCAAAGTGGAAAAGGATCCAGCCATTCTTACTCAGAACAAAGGCCGATTGGTGGCATTGATACAGACTGACCTGCTGAAGCGGCAATCGAGCAGGCCATCAGGCGAGAAAACGCAAGAAGAGGCGATTGTGGACGAGATCAACGAGCTGTTGACCCGGTACGTGACCAAGGTGGTGGACGATAACAAGGAACTCAACGAGGAGTTGACATCCAAGCTGAACGAAATGAAGCAAGGGACCGATTCTTGATGATTATGACATTATTATACACTCTATCTTGATCTAAGTTCGTTTCTCCAGTCTCTGAACGCCTTAGAGATCATGCCAGTCTCGGGGTCGAGCAACTGGTTTGTCACAGTGGCGTTGTTTTCGCTCAGGTTCAAATAGTTCGGATTCACGGCTGGATCGAATACCAAACGGTACGTTTTTGTCTCGTCGCGGGGAATCGTATCGTTGATCCAGTTGATAAGACCGTTGAAAAACTTCAGAGACTGCATGAACTTGTTTTTTGTCGGATGCCTGTTAGGCAAAGGGTTGTTTTTGATCATCACAGGAATCTGTTCGGTTTTATACTCTTCTACAGTGCGCAGAATTAAGTTATCGTCTCTGAACCCACATATGATTTTAGGGATGCCAACGAGGAAACATTGGGCCCAAAACTTGAGCAGCTTGTTCTCAAACGAAAACACCGCCTGTGGAGAATCCAGCACCCGTGACGTCTTGAGCTCGACATAGTGCGCAAGGGGGTCGGCGTCCTCTGGTTTGTAATCGAAAACACAGTCCACCTCTGCCCCCATGACCAGTCCTGTCTTACCAAAAGAGGTCTTTACCACCGTTGCGTACTGCTCAATATTGTTCACCGGCAACTTGTTGCGCTGCTCGATCTCTTTGCGTGAGCACTGGGCCCACGGCTTGGACAGCGTCGCGATCTTCTCAAACTTGTATCCGGAGTATATTTGCCGTTTGTTGAGGTCGGATTGCGTCAGTTTTTCGAGGTCGGCGGCCTCTCTGGCATTCTGAAAGTCCTGTTGAATGAAAAGCTGGCCATCAAAGACCACAATATTCAGCACGATCTTGTCTCTGTTATCAAAGGGCAACAGCATCAAGCTCCTCATGAGACCTCTCCAGGTGATGATGTTTGCGGGAGTTTTGGCGCCTATTTTGCGCTCATAGGACTCAAGTGCCGCCAACAAACCCGTAAACTCGCCAAAATCCTCACCGTTGGCATGGAAGTCTTTGAAACCGGCCTGCAGATCAATTCCTCCTGGCACATTCAACTGGCTATCTGGCAGATAGAAGTAGCTCAGCTGCGAGTCGTCGACACGGTATTTGCCTTCGATGTCGCGCGAGTAGCTGATCAGTTCCTTGGGCTGCTTTACCGACGCGTCTTGGGCGCGCGATTGCAGCGGATAAACTTTAGAGAACTCCATTGGAAAGAAAGCTAGGTTTAATTAATTTTCCATTTTGTTTTAAATAAGCATCCTGAATTTTTTTTTTTTCTCTTCCCAGAATTACTTCTTTCACCTAATGACTATCCGACTAGAAATTGCCGGCAAGGCTCCGCTGGTGGACTATGCTGCGTTGATTGCTGCTGACTTTGTCAACAAGGGCAGTAATGAATCGATTGAAATTGACGTTATTGACGACAAGGTTGTTTCAAAGGAGGCCAACTCGCCATTAAGACTCACCCAGGGCGACAAGATCATTACCTCTGGACCGGAAGCGCTCAACTTTTTGGCAGATGAGTACCCTAAGCTGTTCTTGGCCAAAGAGGCATCTCAAGAGTGGATTAAGTTTAGTTACGAGAAGCTCACTGTGAAGGATTTCAAGAAACTATCTGCTGATCTCGAAAAGCTGGACTCTCACTTGAACCTCAGATCTTTCATAGTTGACTATGAGATTTCGCTTGCCGACATTGCTGCGTGGGGTGCACTGCGTGCGAACGCGGTGATGGGATCGGTTCTGAAGAACTCCGTCTACATCAACATCACTAGATGGTACCAATTTTTGGAGGCAGACAACAGGTTTGGCGGAATGGTTGAGTTTTTGACCAAGTCGCTTGCCGAGATTAGAAAGGCCGCAAAAGGCGGCAAGAAGGAGACGCACAAGGCCAACTTCGAAATTGACCTCCCAGACGCGAAGGACGGCCAGGTCGTTACTAGATTCCCTCCAGAGCCATCTGGATATTTGCACATTGGCCACGCCAAGGCTGCAATCCTGAACCAGTATTTTGCAGAGGCCTACCATGGAAAACTGATAATCAGATTCGATGACACTAATCCTACCAAGGAGAAGGTCGAGTTCCAGGACTCGATTCTGGAAGACTTGGAGATGTTGGGTATCAAGGGCGACAGAATTACTTACTCGTCCGACTATTTCCAGGAGATGTACGATCTGGCCGTCAAGATGATCAAGGAGGGCAAAGCATACTGCGATGACACTCCGCTGGAACAGATGAGAGCTGAAAGAATGGATGGTTTGAAGTCTGCCAGAAGAGACAGAAGCGTCGAGGAGAACCTCAAGATTTTCACCGAGGAGATGAAGAACGGCACCGAAGAGGGCCTGAAGAACTGTCTGAGAGCCAAGATCGATTATACTGCGCTGAACAAGACACTGAGAGACCCAGTCATCTACAGATGCAACCTGACTCCTCACCACCGTACCGGCACCGCGTGGAAAATGTACCCTACTTACGACTTCTGTGTGCCTGTGGTCGATGCCTTGGAAGGAGTGACCCATGCTCTGAGAACGATTGAGTACAGAGACAGAAACGCGCAGTACGAGTGGATTCTCAACGCTCTGAACCTCAGAAAAGTGCACATCTGGGATTTTGCCAGAGTCAACTTCGTCAGAACGCTGTTGTCGAAGAGAAAGCTACAGTGGTTTGTTGACAAGCAGTACGTTTCGAACTGGGACGATCCAAGATTCCCAACAGTCAGGGGTATTAGGAGAAGAGGCATGACCGTGGAGGGCCTGAGAAACTTTGTGATTTCGCAAGGTCCTTCCAGAAACATCATCAATCTGGACTGGAATATCATTTGGTCCGCCAATAAGAAGGTGATCGACCCAATTGCTCCTAGACACACTGCTCTCTCTGCCGAAAACCTGGTTCCTGTGAAGCTGTCGAACGGCCCGGAAAAGGAGTATGCTGAGGACAGACCAAAGCACAAGAAGAACCCTGCTGTTGGCACCAAGAAAGTGTACTTCTCGTCGAACCTGCTTCTGGAACAGGAGGATGCCAAGACCATTGCGGACGGCGAGGAGGTGACGTTCATGGACTGGGGAAACGTGATCTGCGACAAGGTGGTGAAGCAGGACGGCTTGGTGAAGGAGATCGAGGCTACGCTGCACTTGGACGGCGATTTCCGCAAGACAAGCAAAAAGCTGACGTGGCTGGCTGCCGACAAGTACGTCGACGTCGACCTGGTCGATTTCGACCACCTGATCACCAAGGAGAAGCTGGACGAAGGTGACAATTTCGAGGACTTCCTCACACCTCAGACCGAGTTCCACACCAAGGCGATTGCGGACGTGAACGTCCAGGACATGAAGGTTGGCGACGTGATCCAGTTTGAAAGAAAGGGATATTTCCGTCTGGACTCGAATGCAGACGGCAAGTACGTGTTTTTCACTGTGCCGGACGGCAAGAGGGTCAACAAGTACGGAGCCAAGGCCTAAATAGAATTAATGACTACTCCAACCTATGTATGATGAGGTAGCGAATCAGGATCTCTATCATAGACACCAGGACGCTGAGGCCGATCGCTATGATCAGAATCATGGTAATCTTCGTCATCGTACGCTCTGCCAGCGAGTCGGCCACGATGTCGAAGAAGTCGAGGAACACCTTGCACCGGTCGTTGATCACCTCGACCCGCTGGTCGATCTCGAGGTACTCGCGGATGGCCGAGTAGAGCGGGTCAAGGCCGGGCTCGATTGTCCAGAAGTATTCCGGCTTGTCCAGAACGTTAGACGAGAGGTTGACCTCGTTGCGCAGCTGAAACAGTTTACCTGTCTTGATGAGCAGTTTCTGCCGCGTGTAGTTCTGGAGCTTGCCCGTTAGCGCTAGCGCCTTTGGCAGCCGCGAAATCGAGTTGAGGATGTTGCTCATCTTGCTCTCAAACATGGACAGTTTGGTGGATTGTGCAATTGCGTGGGAAATGGTGAGCTTGATCAGATGGTCGCCCGACTTGAGCGTGATCATGTCGTTGTAGATGCGCGGCGTTGGAATGTCGCTGATGTACTCGAACTGGAACTCTTCCGTCTCAATGTCGTGTTCTGGCACCGGCTTTACGATGAACGTGAGCGCCTGCGGAGGGGCACAAGACGGGTCCTCACGGCTGGTGCTAGCTGCCAAGTAATTAGAGAGGACATGGTCGTCATCGTCGTCGTCGTCCAGATCGAACTCGCCAGGCTGGATCTTGGCGAACACCAGGTCTGCCAAGATGTTCTTCTCGTGGATCTCGGAAAAGTTCCAGAACACCACCACGCCATAGTCCAGAATGAACATTTCTGCGTGTTTAGTCAGGTCCGGCAGATGCGAGTACGATTTCTTCTTGTTCGAGCCCGACGACGAGCGTCTTTTCTCGACGCCTGCGCCCGGCCCGGCATCGCTCTCGGTGTCATCGATGGCCGAGCTAGCCTCCACCGCAGCCTCGTCCTCCCGCTTCCGCTCGCCTGGGCTGCTGTCGCTGTCCCGTACCTCCTCCTCCTCTAGCATGCTGTCGGTTGGGCTTGTGCTCACAAAAAACTGCGGCTCCGATGGGTCGAACTCGCTATTGTGCTGTGGCGCAGACAGCTCCTCGTCCACAAGGCTCCCGGCAGGACTCATCTTTGGCGAGCTCACACTGTCCACATCGCCGTCCTGGCCCGAGTAGAACTCGTAGTGGTGGTCGCGCTGCTCCGACTTGTCGATGAAATTCTCCATCAGCTGGTTTCCGTGCTGCATCTTGGCCGAGTTGTTGGACTGCACACGGTAGCCGTTTTCTCCTGGCAAAAGAGGCAACGAATACGCCACATACAGCGCCTCGTCGTACATCCGTGGCGACACCATGTGGTGTTTTGACAGGAACTTGCTCGTGAGCTTGAGATTGAACCCTTCTGCAATCAGGTATGCTGTCACCCGGGGATAAACGTTGGCTCTTTGCTCCTTGGACAGTTTTTCTGCGCGCGTCCGCACGTGGCTGCTGTTGAAAATGTTGTCTGTAGTGGTCTCCTCGCCAACGTCCTGGCCGCGAAGCAGCGACGCTTCGTCACCGTCAACAGAGTACGGCACCTGGTCGTGGTCTGGAATCAGCACGAGTTTCTGCGACGTCTTGGACGTTCGGGTGGGCAGCGTTCTGTAGTACTGTGGAACCATCCGCGGGCCCGACCGCGACAGGTTGGTGATGTACTGCGCGTTGGGCGACATGTACCGGGGCAATTCGCGCTGTCTGGAGGACGGAATGTCGCTGATGTTGGAAATGATGTTGGAGACCGAGATGTCGCTGAACTTGGAGGCTGACGGCGTACGACGCAGCTTAGAAGACGGCCGGACCCACGAGGGCGGGCCAGTGCGCTCCGGATGGCCCGACTTCTTGATTCGTTCCTGTTTGTGGCCTGCAAAGGGCGCCTTTATCTGGTTTTTTCTAGAGTCTGTGACCAGGATCGAGGGCGATCGCTTGGCCGTAGACGAGCGCTGCCGCTGTGGGGCAAGCAGCTCTTCGTTTCTGTCGGACGCGTCGGAATTGGGACGGTGCGAGGCCATGGCTAGCGATGGGTGATTTATTTAATTTATTTGAATATATTTTTCCACGGCTGTGTCCAGCTGGCCGGGTAAAGGTGAATAAATAAATGAATAAAATATTATATTGTTTTATTTGCCATGAGTGACAGCGATGACGATTTGTTAGCGCTTGCTGGAATCGGCTCAGAGGGAGACGAGAGCGACTATGAGCCGGAAATCCAGACCACGAAGCGTGCGGGCGGCCTCAAGCGCAAGATTGACGAGTCGGAGGGCGAGCAGGACAACGACGACGACGAGTATGGCGAGCAGGACCCGTACCCGCTTGAAGGCAAGTATAAGGACGATGCCGACAAAGCGGAGCTGCTGGCGATGGACGAGGTGACAAGGGAACAGATCATCTATGACCGTGAACAGGAGCGGGAGAAGTACAGGGAAAGACGGTTCCTGGCCCTTAGGGCGCGGCAGAGCAAGGCAGAGAGTAGTGCTATCAAGGCATCGCGGACAACGGGCAAGTCTTTACGGACGAGCAAGCTGTCTGAGCTGAAAAAACAGAGAGAAAGGAAGAACAGGAAGGAGAGCAGGGCATACGACTCTGACGAGGATGATGTGGACGCTAACGAGCTCGCAGACGAGCAGGAGGGCTCTGAGGACGAGGATATGTACGAGGAGGATTACGACATCGACGACACAGACACGCGTCGCAAAAAGCACACCACCAGCGATTATGACGACAAGTACAACCAGGATGCGACGTTGAAGGACCTGAACGCCAAGGTGCGTGCCAGTCGAACGATATTGTCGCGGTTCATGTTCCGAGATGAGTTTGACGCGGTCATCCGCAACACATACGTGCGTGTGAACATTGGGGTGTCTCGGGAGACGGGACAGCCGCAGTACAGGATTGCGCGGGTCGAGGAGGTGAAACGCGGTGGGAAGCCGTACCGGCTGCTGAACAAGCCGTGCGATGTGTACTTGCTGGTGTCTCAGGGCGAGTCGAAGAAGCTGATTGATATGGCGTGCATCTCGGACTCCCCATTTAGCCCGTCTGAGTTTGATGCGTATCGGAGACGGCTGGAGGAGTCTGGGCTGGAGCTGCCGTCTGTGGGCCAGGTAGACGCCAAATTCCGCGAACTGCGCGACATGTCGACGAGAAAGTTGACAGACGAGGACATCAACAAGATGGTGGCCAGAAAGGAGGCCATCTCTGTGGCAGCGATGGACTCGGGCAATAGGGTCAAACGGCTGGCGCGGCTGCGGGAGGAGCTGCAGGTGGCTGTGGAGCAGCAGGATGAGGCGCGTGTCGAGTCGTTGACGAAGCAGATCGACGAGCTGGGCAAGTACGTGCACGCGGGACACAACGAGCTGAACAGAATGGACCAAATCAACCTGCGCAACAAGAAGAGCAACGAGACGGCCATTCGCCGTGCCGAGAAACTGAACGTGGAGCACCGCCAGAAACAGATTCTGAACAACAACTTCAGCGACCCTTTCTCGCGGCTGCGCACAAACCCAAAGATCTTCTACTCGTCTGCACAGTCTGCGCAGAAGGAGATGGCTGGCGAGGAGCAGCCGGTGCCGGAGCACACGGAGCACCGCGAAGAGTCGCCGCTCAAGTGCCAATTCATCAGGGACGGCATCGACGCGGTTATTGGGACGATCGACTTCGACGTCCAGCTCCAGATATAGTGGTGTAATATTAGCAATGCCTATGTAAATGCTACGTACTCGGTCAAAAACCGCTTGTCCTCATCGCCAAGCCGCGCGTACACGTCCCGGAACCCACACAGGTTCTTGGCCGTGCACTCCTTGAAAAAGGCAGCGAGCAGCTGGCGGATCTCGTCGCCGTGGTTGTCTGCAAGCGTCCTGCCGGTATGCTCGTCCTCGTGGACGTACTGCTGCAGCTGTTCGAATGACGGCACGCCCACGTCGTCCAGATCTTCCCAGCCGTCATCGTCGTCTGCTGGCTGCGGGTTCTCGGTCTGCTCTGTCTTCTGCGCCGACCGGACCTGGAATTTGTACTCGTTGAGCAGCAGACGCACGATCTTGACGTCTGCGCCTATCTGCTCGTAGCGGACCGGCATTTTGCGCGCCATCGACCGCGTCACGATCACGTCGTCCGGCACCTGGTTCGGCAGCACATCGCCGTTGACCAGCGTGCGTTTCAGCCGCACGTCGTCCAGCTTGTAGATCTCGATGAACGCGCGGATGTTGGACAGAATCCTGTCGTAGCCTCGCATAACTTCGAACGCCTGGAGCCACACAGGCAGCACTTTTTCGAGCGCAGATTGGCCGTCGACCGCAAAGCCAGCAAGAAAATCGACGGTTTGCTGAGGTTGCAACACTGTAAGCGTATTGAAAATCAATACGAGGTTCTCGATCGTGATCATCTCCTTTGCGGCCAGCAGCCGCAAGGTGGCCGCCTGCAAAATGTCCTGGAAGTGCTGCCACACAGACGACTCGGTGCTGAAGTTTTCAATGAGCAACACAATCAGGTCGCCGAGCCGCACAATGGCGCGGTCGCTCATCGCCGGCGACAGAAATTTCGACACGATCTTGAGCAGCAGCTCGTTGCCCGTTGTGCCTGACGCAGCGTCGCGGTACGCGCGGATCTGGGGCGAGCCTTTGGAGAGCAGCACGTTGAACACCTCAGACGACGACTGCAGCACCTCGTCGTCGTCGCATTTGAGGATCAGGCTGCAGATGGACGGGAAAACCGCCACGAAGACGTCCTCTGGCAGCACCGCGTCAGAGCCCTGGCCGGCGTCGTTTGGCCCTGCGGGGCCCTTTAGAAACACAGCCAGCACCTGGAGTGCCAGATCCAACTCCGGCGAGTACTCTCCGTTGGAGTCGCCAACCACCTTCAGCAGCGGCGGCAGCGCCTTGTAGCACAATCCCACGTAGCTCTCCTCGGAAATGCCCCTGAGCAGGTCCTCGACGCACTCGAGCGTTGACGCCGTGAGCGAGAAGTTCGAGCAGTCGCGGAAGCCGAGGTTCATACAGAGCATGAGCGTAGCCTCGTCTGTTGCAAGCGCACGGTTGTCTATGTTGATGATGATGGTGAGCGCCTCGAGAAGCATGATATTGGTGTCTTCAGTGGCGGAGTCCATGAGCTGCTTAACCAACTGGAGCAGCCGGGTCTGAATGTCTGTGTTGAACTGTGACGAGGGAATGAAGTGGTTGAAGTATTGGAATGCAATGAGCACGGCCGCGCCCACGAGTTCGTGATCCGCATCGAGTGGCAGCCTCAAAATCTGCTCCAGTGCACCCACGCCGCACTCTTTGAGATACGACTCGTACTTCATCAGAAACTTAGGTATCAGCATAATGAGCCGGGCCGAAAGCAGCTGCGCACGGCGGAACTGCTCCTGAACCAGCTGCAGCAGGAATTTGAGCAGCTCTTCAGGCTCGAACGACGGCTGCAGCTCGGCCTCGTTCGAGAACAGACACATCAATAAGTACGCCGTGCTCTCTATCGTCACGTCAGGCGCGTCGGCACGCACCTGTGCGGTCAGCTGCTGCACGAGCTCGGCCACCATGGCGCCGTTCAGCTCCGTGTTGGCGGTCTCGAGCAGGTCTCTTGTCGCGTCGCGCACAACGGTGCCGCTCTCGATGGTGAGTTCTGTCTCGACACCGACAAAATCGTTGAAATCGGCTTGGTAGCCGGCCTGGGCCTCGCGTGGCAGCACGTTCAGCTGGACAAGCAGCGCGCACAGCTCGTGCACGGTCGTTTCCGGCAGAAACGTGCCCGGCAGGTCGGCAAGGGCCTGCAAAAACGCGATTGTGCCGGCAATGGCGGCCGCCACCAGCTCTGAGGAGTCGATGCGCTCGATGTGCACGCTCTGGAACTCGTTCAGGTCCGAAAACTGCGCGTTGGTGGCAGCCTCGATATCTTCGGCAGCCAATAGCGGCACATACACGGCAGCTGCGGAAGCCAGCTCGCGGACAGCCGTGTCGAGCAGCCGTGGCGCGTGTGGCGCAATAAGTTTGGGAAAGGTGTTGGCCAGGGCACTAAGACAGCCATAAAGCTCGTTCTTCAAGCTGATAATAACCAGCGACCGTAGTAGGGCTTTGTTTGCAACCAGCTGTGCGGCCATTGCGGCCAAGAGGTCCACCAGCCGCGGCACCACCTGGTCGACAAACTGTTTGCGGGCCGGGTGGTCGCTCACTTCGGCGCTGTTGAAGACATCGACGACCGTCTTGAGCAGCTTCAGTGTCTGGGCCTTGATCTGGAAGTTATACGAGTCCGAGGTCAAGATCATCTCGCATGTCTGCAGAATGCGCACCGACACGCCGCCTTCGAAAAACTGCTCGTCCGGAATGAGGTCGTCAAACAGGTCCCGCAGCACAGTTAACGAGCCAAGCACCTGGTACGCGGTGCTGGTCTTGTCGGTGGCGGTGGCGTAGAGGTCGCTGAGCAACGAGGGCCATTCGTCCGGGTAGTCCACCGCAGAGATCTGTGTGATGGCGTAGCTGGCGCCATTGCGGATTTTGGAGTCTGGGTCGCCAACGAGTTTGAGCAGGCAGTCGCGCACGTACTGCTTCGCAGTGGGTGCGATCGTGGACGGGCCCTCGTACGAGTTGAAGGCTGGAGACCAGAACATAGGAACAAGGCGTTTCACGTGCAGCAGCGCTCCCTGTCGCACGGCCAGATCAAGGTGAGGAGAGGTGCCGACCGCGACAAGGGTGCACAAGGCCTGGCTGGGGTCGGAACGGACCAATTGGTCGAATTCCTGCTCGGCGCGGGCTCGCAAATAATTATCAGGATTTGTCTGATGCGAGATCAGCTGGGCAACCTGGGATTCCATGGCTGGCAGGGACTTGAAGTGGTGATACACGTTTGAAATTATTCGATTATCTGAATTATATTATTTTTTTTTCTGCTGCCACCAGAGAAGACGGGCAAAAAATAAGTTGAAAAAACAATTGTATTAAAGGCAAACAGAAAAGAAGACCCAGCATCACAGATTACGATACATCTATCCTACAACCCTGCATCTCCTGTCGTCAGAAATGTTGTACGATCCATTTAACGATAAAAACGACCCGTTCATTCCCGACGAGGAGGACGATCTGTGTCCCCTGTGTGTGGAAGAGATGGACATCACCGATAAAAACTTCTGGCCATGTCCGTGCGGCTACCAAGTGTGCCAGTTCTGCTACAACAACATCAGGACGAACCCAGAACTCAACGGGAAATGTCCTGCGTGTCGCAGGCCGTACGACGACAAGAATGTCGTGCACAAGAGTGTGAGCCCTGAAGAGTGGAAGATGAACCAGGCCCGGAAGGAGAAGCAAAAGCGCGAGAGAAGACAGGTGGAAAAGGAGAAGAAGGACGCCGAGCAGGCCAAACGCCACCACCTTGCGGGAATGAGAGTCATACAGCAGAACCTCGTCTACGTAGTGGGACTGAATCCACCCTGCAGCGCAGACGAGCTGCCATCCGTGCTGCGTTCTGACAAGTACTTTGGCCAGTACGGTAAGATCTCGAAAATTGTCATCAACAAGCGGACCCCGAACCCAAATAATCCCCACCACACCAACCCAGGCTACGGAGTGTATGTGACGTTTGCAAGGAAAGAAGACGCTGCCCGTTGCATTGCTGCTGTTGATGGGTCGATCAGCGACGGCCGCGTGCTCAAGGCCGCCCACGGAACCACAAAGTACTGCTCATCATATCTGAGAGGCCAGCCTTGTCCGAATCCTAACTGTATGTTCTTGCACGAGCCCGGAGAAGAGGCCGACTCATATACCAGGAAAGACCTGTCTACTCGGGCCATCAACAAGAAGTTTGAGGAGAGAAGTGCTGTCAACGGCCTGATCCCCCCACCAGCCAGCCAAACGGACACTGACTCGAGCCAGTACCAGGACCACAGTCCTGCTCCCTCGTCGGCTGTTCCTGCTCCGTCTTCTGTCCACGAGGACGAGAACAACTTGCCTGGTCTGCCGCCAACGGCTGCCTGGGCTAAGTTGCAGCAAACCCAGTCCCAAATGTCGAGTTCGGGAGTCGGGCCGTCGTCTGTCAACGATCTTTCTTCGGCGCCTGTGGCTCTGTCTGCGTTCCCAACACTTGGCGATGCTATACTGCAAAAACCAGTTAAATCTCCTTCTGTGCAGACAAAGAAAAAGGACAAGAGCAAGGAGACGGGTGTGATGGAAGACTCGTTATATTGCTACAAGCTGATCGATGACTGCATCAAGCTGCTCAACAACCAGCAGGAGTTCTCTTACACTATTAAGCCAAGCATGAGAAAAACTAATGTTTCGAGCTCGTTCCATCTATTTTCCACCGACGAAATGCAAAAGTCGATGCTGTCGGAGGGTGACAACAAGCAGCACATGTCGCGGCTCGTGGAGTCGCTGCTGTTTGTTCCATTCAGCAAAAATTACAGTTACAAGACGGTAGCTCTACAGGAGCCCGTCAAGCCAGCACAGCCTACACAGCCAGCACAGACCTCCATACAGCACCAGTTCTACCAGCCACAGCCTCAGAGATACCCGAATAACATACTCCAGGGCGGCAAGCCGCCCGTGCAGAGCACACAGTCTGCACAGCAGTTTTTACAACAGCAGCTACTCCAGGAGCAGAAGCTGAAAGCGCTGCGCCAGGACAAGCCTAGCACAGCCACACCTCCACCTCCGGGTCTGTTCCCTGCAGCCAGCGCTGACAACATCAAGACAAATAGCGCAGAGTTGTTGAATCAATTGATGGGCGGAAAGAAACTGGCTGTTTAATTATGTACAATGTCATTAATTGATGTAATCAATATCTATCCTTGTTCACGAACCTGCCCAGAGGACTAGCCTCGAGACCAGGGATTTCATGGTAGCTGACGTTCGAGTCGAACCGCACGCTCGAACCCGGGACCTTGGTGCCGTCCTCTTTCATTAACAACGCTGCTGGAGGAGTGAAGTACACAGACGAGTCCAGAATGCGCTGTGGCGATCTCGCTGGTGAGCGCAGCGGTGACATGCTCGTCATTTGGGAGACTTGCGACGCGTTGGCAGTTGACTGGTCTGGGTTAAAGTGGTAATAATTATTGGTTGTGGTGGTTTTCGAGGACCTGAATTTGCTGAACAAGATATTGGGCACCAACACAAGGAATAAAGTCAGGAAAATTAGGCCGAAAAGCGTGCGGAAACTCAGGTTATGGAAGAACGCGTTCATGCACTCTGCCAGGATCTCGAAGTACGCCACCGTAGTGATCACTGCCTCTGGGTCTCTATTCATGCAGTTGTCCCACTCATTACAGGACTCCTCGAGCGCTGGAACGCGCAGCTCGGGCGAGCAGTTGTTTCTGAAATATTCGCGCTTGCACATGTTGATTTCGTGCACCACCTTGTTCGAATAACCTTGGATCTTGCGGTCTGCGTCTCGTTTGACTGCCAGGAACGAGAACAGCACGAGCGTCATGAAACAGGCGAAAAGCAGCGTGTTGAGCAGGATCTGCACCACGAGTGTAAGATTAGACGCACATTGCGGGTCGGACAGAAGACTGTAGACGATTTTGGAGAAAGTTGACTGTTTAGGCGTACTTTTTTCGGCTGACTGGGGCTGTTTGGGTTCCAAATTCTGCCACAGGTTGGAATTGGAAAGCCTTCTTCTTTTGCGGTTCACCACGTTGATCGGAGACCCGGAAGATCGCTTATCAAAGACGTTGTACGCTCCCTTGACCGGGTTTAGATGACCGTCCTGCGTCTTGGACATTCGGAGGCCAGGCTGGGAGTTGACAAAGTCTTCGCTTACAGATTTGCGGTCCGCACTGAAGTTGAAATTTTTCAGGATCGATGTTGGCGTTTTGTTAGAGGACGAAAACGATAGCGGGGTCGAGTTGTCCTGTTTGTTGAGATAGGAGTAGTTATTGTTGAGTTTTTCAGGAGCGAGAGTCTGGCCGAGCTGCGCCTTGCGCAGCGTTTCTGTCACCTCATGTCGCTCGTGGGTCATGTGACTCTGCACGGGAGTGAGGTCGACCTTCAATTCAGGGCCTCGGGGAGTCGTCTGCGACATGCGAGGAAAAAACAAAGATAAATAAAAAAAAGATCTCATGTTTTTCGACGGGTCGATCGTCTGCAGATGCATCGTATCACCTGAGGCAGACAGCAGGGGCTCTCGCGTTCTGGGTGTACATGGCGACCGCCAAGATGTGCCTCAGAACAGCACACAAAGGCTTTGCTTGTCTCCAGATTACAGCATGATCGGCTGCGATCCGTCTCCTGTCATAAATATTATCCCTCACTTTTTTTTTCTCCCTCTTTATGTATTCGCTGGAAGTGCACCTTGACGACAAAGCCCACAGCTTCAACAGCGTCCATGTGGCAGGCACGTTCAACGGCTGGTCGCAGACGGCTGATGGACTTGAGTATGACGCTGCAGGCACCAGGTGGGCTACCAGTCTGAAACTGAACAATGTCCGTGTAGGGGATAAATTGCTGTATAAGTTTGTTGTCAACGAGCAGGAGTGGGTTTGCAACGACCAAGAGGCCACGGAGACAAACGAGCTGGGCACAGAAAACAACGTTGTCGTGATCACAGAGGCCATGGAGGAGCCCGATTCTGCGGTGTCGTCTGCTTGGGTCGAGGTGGAGAACCACCAGGACGAGGCAGAGGAAGCAGCCAGGGACGAGCAAGAACACGAGACTGCGGCTGAGCCGGCGCCAGAACCAAAGCACGTGTCGCACAGGAAAAACTACTACTCGTGGCTGGTTTCGGTGGCCGGACTGCTGGAGTCGCTCAAATGGTTTTTCAGGTGTTACCTCGTGTCGATATTTACCAATAAGGGAGCAAATAGCCAGTGACCCCGAATAAATTGATATTTTTCTATTTGCCGAAAATACGCAGCTCTGCGTATCTGAGGACAGGGTATGAGAGCCCTGTGAACGCGAGGATCAGCCATGTGCCGATGTCGCCGCCATAGTCCCCGATCTTGCGTGCCAGCACACCGATATAGTACACCTGGTCCATCCCAAGCACCGCGCCCGCGGCCCCCATGCAGAAGGCCAGCGATGCAGCAATCCCGTACGTCTGGCAGCTGGCGGAGTCCCATGCTGCAAAGTTGTAGTAGGGTTTTTGACCATATTTCTGAGAAACCGTTGCCTCAAAGGCCATTTCCTTTGACTCGACCTCGTCGGCTATTTCATCCTCAGAAAACTCGAACCTGAACAGACTGACCAGCTTGGTGGAGCGAAAGATCACGTTCTCCTCCACGAGGATCACAAAGTAGATCGTGATCCAATAGCCCAGCATGGGCAGGAAGTTCGACAGGATCGTGCTCAGCTTGTCTCTGCCGGCCATCGCGAGCACCAGCGTCACGGCAAACACCACGAGCACCATAAACCAGCGCGGAATGTTCCGATACACCCACGGATCGACAATCTGGATGATCAAGGCGGACGAGTATAGATTGATGATATTGTTGGTCATGAGCGAGAGCCAAAGCAGAATGAGCAGAAACTTGCCGAACCCGCCCCACGCGTCGAAAACGAGGTTCAGCAGGCCGCCAAGCGAGGACGTTTCGTAGGCTGCGGCCCATGTCGGCTTTGAGACTGCGGCATTGCCAATAAGCAGTCCAATGACAGCTCCCACGGTGGTCGGGACGGCGATCGAGAACAGCGTGAAGAAGAACACTTTTTTCTGGCTAAATGTCTCGGGTAGCAGAATGTAGTAGTCCGACGCAATGCCTGCCCAGGTGGCCGTCACAGAGTAGCACAGCGTGAAGAAACAGAGCCGGTTGCCAATAACCGTGAGTCTGTCGCCAACAGAGACATTTTCATGGAATTGTGTGATGTCGTGGCGGGTCATTGGGTACATGAGAATGACCGTGACGATCACCACAACGCCGACCACCGTCTCAAGCTTGAGCACTAGCCGGATCCCAAAAATGGACACCACGACGCTGAGCAGACTGATAATAAGGATCCCAATCTCGACGGGTACCTTGCCGTTGCTCATTGAGAGCAGGATCTGGCCTCCAATCACAGAGTTTGTGACTGTCCACCCGCCAAGACCGATCACCGAGATCAGACACACCACCTTGATAGCAAAACGGCCAAACAGATAGCGCACCAGACACAGTTGCCTGAGGCCGGATCTGGGGCCCAAAGTGGCCGCGTAGGCGGGGAGCAAGCACCCAAGCAGCATTCCGAGCAGGCCAACAACCAGAGAGTCCTTGTATCCTAGTCCAAAGAGCAACGGACCGAGGAAGAAGGAGGACATGGAGGTGAGTCCTCCACAGCCCGAGTTCCACAGCCCTGCAATGGATGGGAGCACCCATTTGGACGTGGAGCGGTCGCAGGGCAAACAGCGCTCGATGCCTCTGGACTCGACGCCGAGCGAGTCAACTTTGCGCGAGATCGATTGCAAGGTGCGGAGCATTGGCGGTCAGAGTGAGTCAACGGGGTATATATATTGGATAGGGGAGGGAATAAACTCGATATCGGATAGGAAAGGGGTGAAAATTTATTAGTCGAGGGGTGATAACAAAAACACTCTAATTCAACAGATACGGAACATGGGAGAATATGGACGGCTAACTCTGCTTTAGGAAAATGCCCATTGGGTTTTCTGCGTCGAGCGACGTACCCGCCGGCCGTGGCGGCTCGTCGTCGTCGTCACTGTAGTCGCCAAACTGCTGTCCTGTGATGTCGTTCACCACCTGGCCAGACATGAAGGGCAGGCCGTGCGGGCCCTGGAAGTTGCGAGGCGCGTTGCCGCAGCGGTCCTTGCCAAAGTTGATCTTGCACTTTCTGTAGTCCGGGTTGTTTCTGATGCCGTCGATCGCCTTGATTGCGCTGGAGATGTTGGTGAAGTTGACAAAACAGCAGTGTTTTTCGTCGTAGAAATTGATCTGCTCGGTCTCGCCAAACTCCTTAAAATCATTGTACAATTTCTCCCTGGTGAACTTGATCTCTGGAATCTTGTCGAGCCCGCCGATGTAAATGTTGCGCGACGCGCCGTTGCCGACGGCCAGGTTGATCGAGTTCGGCAGAGGCCCCGAATGCTTGCCCCAGCCAACCTTGATCTTGCGGTTGTGGATCACGAGCCCGTGCAGCGACGACATGGCGTAGAACTGCGCAGCGGACACCGGGTCTATAAACGTGATGAAGCACACGTGCCGCTCAGGTATCAGCCGGACGTGGTGCAGGATGCCGCCCCTGCACACGTTGCAAATCTCCTCGACGGTCGAGTCCGGGTGCAAGTTGCCCAGGTAGATCGTGCGGTTGCCCTGGTTGCCCTGGCCCCCTGCGGACGTGGCGATGATGGCTGCGGCGTTGCTCTGGCGCACCAGCGTGTCGGCAATGGCGTCCTTGTCCACCTGGGCCGCGAGATTGTCGCAATTCGGGTTCAGTCCCAAATACTGGGCCGCGTTGTGCTGCTGTGTCTTGGTGACAAACGCACACCGGTCCTTGCCGTAGAACACTTTTTTGTCCCGGTACTTGTCTACCAGCGGCAGCGACTGGATGCACTTGATGGCCGCCAGAATCGAGGTGAAGTGCGCAAACGCGATCTTCTTCTCGGGCAGGATTTTGATCGTATCGATGTCTCCGTAGTGCTTGAGGTCGTCGAACAGCTCCTGCTCGGTCACGCCCGGGTCCAGACTCCCCAGGTACACGTTTCTGGTGGCGTTGTAGCGCGCGACACACGAGGCCACCACGGGCTGAACGGGCGTGGGCCTGCCCCAGCCAATCTTGAGCTCGTGGCCGCCGATGGTGAGGTGTTTCAGGGTGGCGTCGGAGTGGAACAGCATGGCAGAGTTCTCGTCCAGAAACGACACGAACGCGCAGTTTTTGGACGGCACGATTTTCAGAGACTCCACGGTGCCGGAACGGACGTGGTCGAGCAGCTCGTGGGCCTCCATGTCGGCAGGGATGTTGCCCAAATACACCGTCCTGCTGCGGTACGGCGGCGGATAGCCGATCTGCGTGCTTTCGTGGCTGTTTTCAGCAAAGGGGACGTATTGGAACTGCTGGAAGGCCATGGACATGATGGATCATCGGGTCTGACGAATTTAGCTTGAAAAGAAAGTTAGCAAGAAACGGACAAGATTATTTATTGAGGGGGGCTGAAGGGACATAAAGATACTGGAGGGGGGCCGAAGAGAGGGAGGGCAGAACTGAAGCACAGCACGCCACACAGGGCAACTACAGGATGGTGGGCGGCCGCCACGGGGCCGGCAAAGCGCGCGGGCAGCTTTTGGAAGTCCCTGCTACACTGTGTGCGTCCAGGACCTCATGTAGCTGGTCGTGTAAGCCAATGACTCGGCCTAAATTGTTCAGTGCAAACATTGCGAGCCTCTTGCTTGCACCGTAGTTACTTGTACTTGTCGCAAATTATTTTTTTATCCACCATGAGTAACAACACGCAGGCGCACATGATGCGGCTGCTGAACTCAATCCAGCCGCCGCCCGGGATGACCCGCCAGCAGCGGCTCGAGCAGATGATTCAGACCGGCGAGCTCAAGGACGAGGACATCCTCCTGCTCAAGCGACACCAGCAGATGATCAAACAACAGCAGGCCCAACTGCACGCTGCGCAGGCGGCGGGCCAACTGACGCCTCAGCAGCAGCAACAGCTTGTCCAGAAGAAGCTGGCACAGCAGCAGCAGCAGCAGCAGCAGCAGCCATCGCAGCCGGGCCAGCGAAACTTTCTTGGTCTGAGCCAGGAACAGCTTGCCAAACTGAACCCGCAGCAGCGCAAGATGCTTATGATCCAGCAGCTGCGCAGACGGGCGAAAACACAGCGATTCTACGAGAGTAGCGAGGAAATTCTGAAAAAATTCGAGAGCTATCCGGCGTCGCTGGAGTTCCACATCCACGAGAACCACTATCGGTTCGGCAACCAGGACGCCATCATCCCGAAGAGCTCGCCGACCGTGAAGGAGTTTCTGGAATACGTGGCAAAGGGCGACATCCCCGAGCCCCTGGTGGAGGTGATCAAGGACGGCGGAGTGCAACTCTACGACGGGAGCCTGATTCTGAAAGTGTTCGACCACAGAAACCTTATCCCCATCAAGCAAGAAAAACAGGAGCCGGGAGACGGCAAGCAGGACAAACCAGAGACGAAAACGGTGCCGAAAGAGTACCGCACCGTGCTGCGGTTCACGCAGCTGGCACAGTACGACGATTTGTCGTACCAGGCCGACACACAGCAGTTCCACGACACTTTTGCACTGACTTTTGAGAGCGAGGTGCTCACTGCAACCAATAGAAACATCAATCTGCAGCCGATCCTGAATCCGTACCACTATGACAAGTCTTTGCGGCCGTACGACATGGTGGTACCCGAATATGACCCGGAATCAGATAAAATGAAGTTTGTGCACCGCCCCGACGCACGAGAGGTCGACCAGGACGGCCACAAAACGAGTCTCTATCCACTATCGTACAGAAACTACCCGTACAAGCCGCTGCATGAGGATCTGCCGCACACAAACTCCAAGTACGAGCAACTGATGACGATTCTGAGCGAGTCGTACACGCACAACAACCGTCTTTCGGAGTCGGCGAAAACAAACACCAACGAGCCGGGCCAGTTCCAGCGGCTGCGGTTCGTGGAGATGTGGCGCCACAAGGTGGAACTGATCAAGCAGGCAGCGATTTCCGGCGGCATGAACCCGAACGCGAGCGACCCGAGCATGAACGGCCTGCTGGGCGGGATGACGCAGCAGCAGCGCGCGCTCATCAACCAGGAACGAATGCTCAACCAGCGGCAGAAAGAGCAGATGGCCTCGGCCGTGGCAGCAGCGGGGCATCCCCACGCCATGAAACCGGTAGACTCCAGACAAGGCTCGGCGCCGGTGCCGAACATGAACGGCAACTTCGTGGCGCGTGGCATTTCCACGCCGGTCCCCCACTCAATGCCGGGAGCAGATATGACTCCCGGAAGAGATAAAAAGGGAGCCAAAAAAATACGCAAGCCAACAAAAAGACAGGCCACCGCAGGACCCGTCTCATCACCTAGTCCGTCCATGTACCAGCAAATCCCGGGAGCGTACTCGCCGATGGACGAGCCGGCACGCAAAAGACGCATGCCCTACAAACAGCAGCCGGACAGCGGCACCCCTTCGTAATTTATTTCTGTTCTCCTTCTATACAGTATTTCAAGATTTCGCAGATATAGTCTCTGTCGGCGGCGTCGAAGATCCACAGGCCATACGTCTGCTGGCTCAGGTCACGCACAATGATAAGTTTTTCTGTGTTTTCGACGATGATCCCGTCCTCGGGATCGGTCAGCTGCTTGTTGCTTATGAGTCCGATGCTGAAATTCTCCGGCTTCATTCTATTGAGCACAATGAGTCCAAAAGTGTACAGCTGGTCGTTTTGAACAATCTGTGACGCTGGCGTTGGACCCGACACGTCGCTCTTTCGCGAATATATCGCCAACGGGCCCTGGAAGTCGAGCTTAACCCAGTCGTTCTGGTCGTGGTCAAAGCGGTATACCACACAGTACGAGGTCAAATGCACAAGCTGGTCAATCAGAGGGTCATATTTTGCTATCACATTGAACGTGAGGGCCTGCTTGTATATTTCGAGCGTTTTCTGTTCGTCGATCGTCTCCTCGGGGGGAGACTGTGCTTTCTTCTTGGCCATAAAATAATAAAATTGAATTATTTTTTTTTAACACAGCCGTATATACATGAACACTATGCAGCATTTCTAACATCATTTCTTGTCCTTCTCGGCTTGGTCGATGAGCTCAAACTCCTTCTTCCAGACTGCGTTGCCCTCGTCAGCAGTCACATCGCCAAAGAGCGTCGCAAACACCTCGTCATACCACTCAACAGGCACCGGCGTGATGCCCTCCTTGACGTTGTCCTGCAGTTCGTTCCAGTCCGCAAGGTTGTCCTTAGGGAAGATGACCGTGTTCACACCAGACCTTCGCGCAGCAAGCGTCTTCTCCTTGAGGCCACCGATACGCAGCACGCGTCCTGTCAGTGTGAGTTCTCCAGTCATGGCAATGTCGGGTCTTAAAGGCTTGTTCAGAGCAAGCGAAAGGAACGACGACGTGATGGCAACGCCGGCAGAAGGTCCATCCTTTGGTGTGGCCCCCTCAGGACAATGCAGGTGGATCTGGGCACGATCGAAGAACCGGTTTTCCGCGAACTTCTTGGCAAGATACATCTTGGAGAACGAGTACGCGATGCGCACAGACTCCTTCATCACGTCTCCAAGTTGACCCGTGCGCTCTAGCTTAGGCGTCGAGTCCTTGTTGATGGCGTGTTCAATGATCGACTCAATGTACAGAGCTGATCCTCCAGTCTGGGTCCATGCAAGACCCATGACCACACCCGGCGGTGTCTTCTCGTATAGTCGGTCTGCAGTGTAAACAGGGGACCCCACGTAGTCTTTGAGATTGTCTGGAGTCACCTCGATCTTGTACCCTTCCGGAACAACCACCTTCGGAACGTCTTCCTCTTCCTTGGCCTCGTCCTTGGACTCTTCTTTGGCCTCGTCCTTGTCTTCGTTTTTCTCGGAGGCCTCTGCCATAGAATTCTCAGACTCTGTGGTTTTTGCAGTCTCCTTGGCTTGCTCATTTTGCTCAACCTTCTCGTTCTTGTCGAAATCAACGCCATCAACGTCCTTCACCACCTTCAATGCGGCTTTTCTGAATATCTTCTCAATCTGTTTCTTGAGGTTTCTCACTCCGCTTTCACGACAGTAACCTCTGATTAGCTCCTGCAAAGTGTCCTCTCTCAAAGAGATGTCCACGTCGGTCAGGCCCGACGTTTCCTTTGCAGACGGAGCGAGGTAGTTTTCGGCAATCTTGATCTTCTCGTCCTCAACGTACCCGGCAATCTCTATCACTTCCATACGATCCAGCAATGGGGCAGGAATTGTGCTAAGAGTGTTAGCTGTGCACACAAACAGCACGCGGGAGAGGTTGATTGGAACGTCCATGTAGTAGTCCATGAACGTTCCATTCTGCTCAGGATCAAGCAGCTCCAGCAATGCTGCAGAAGGGTCGCCACCGCTGCCGTGGTGGGTGTGTGAGATCTTGTCGATCTCATCGATCAAAACAAGCGGATTCTCTGTTTCTGTGTTTTTCAGAGCCTGCACCATGCGACCAGGAATGGCACCAACATAGGTTCTTCTGTGACCCTTGATCTCAGCCACGTCCGTCAATCCGCCGACAGAAAATCTGTAGAATTTCCTGTTCAGTGCTCTGGCAATGGACTTACCAATGGACGTCTTACCAACACCTGGCGGACCAACAAAACAGATAATCTTACCGTTGATCTTGTTGAGAAGCTTGCCAACAGCAATAAACTCCAAGATCCGGTCCTTGACCTCTTTCAGACCGTAATGGTCCTCGTCCAGAATTTGTTTCGCAATCTTGAGATCGTACCTGTCTTTCGATTGCAGCCCCCATGGCAACTGGGTCAGCCAGTCCAGGTAGTTTCTGGTCACAGCGTACTCAGCCATCAGCGGCTCCAGAGTCTGAAGCTTGTTGATCTCCTCCTGGAAAACCTTCTGCACCTCTTCAGGGAACTTTAGCTTGGACGCGCGTTCGTTGTACTTGGCAATCAGCTTGTCTCTGCCGTCGTCAATTCCCAGCTCTTTCTTTATCCACTTGAGCTGCTCCTGGAGATTGAATTCGCGGTGTCTCTTGGCCATCCTCTCCTCGAGGTCCCGCTCTATCTGTTTCTGCAGTTCTTTGTTCATCAGTTCCTTCCGTAGCAAATTCAAAGCTTTATCGAGTCTGTCAGGGATGTTGGTGCAGTCCATCACGTCCTGCAGCTCCTGTGGAGTGGCGGCAGCAACGGCGGCAGCATAATCTGCCAGTCTCTCCGGATGGTGATACACATCGCCCTTCAATGAGCTGATAAAGTAAAGCAACTGGTCACTGAACGGTTTGTTGAGCTTGGTGATCTCTCTCAGCGTCTCAAGAGTAATGGCAGTCAACGAGTTAACTCTTGGGTCTCTGTCCGGATACGGCTCGTCCTCGACATTAGAAACATTGACCAGACTGATTGGGTATTTTTTGAGAAACGCAGTAGGGTTGTACTCGTCGTCCTCGTCAATGATAACCTCCTCGTCGCTGGACTTGATGACTTCCGACGGAGACTTTGGCTCGTCGCCCTCCTTCTCGCCGGTTATTCCCTCGATTATCTGCTTATCTGCCGACTCGTCGACCTCCGTGGTGGACACCTTGACAAAACTGTGTTTGCTCTTCGAAACATTCGGAACGAACAACTCGTCGATCTTGATCCGCTTGTGAGGGAACAACACGGTCGTTAAAGTCTCCACTCCGGTCTCTGTATCCCTGGTATACACGTTGGACGTGATTTGTGCCAGCACACCGGTGCTGTACACCTCGTCTTTCGAATTGATCACGTCTCCCTCCATGTTCTCGTCTTTGAACAGGAAACAGCCAATGAAAGGATACTGTGTGGACGTGGCCTCCTTGACGGCCTTGATAACGTTCACGTCCGTAATGATCACAGATCTGTAGAATCCAGGGAACAGAGGTCTTCTCGAGATAGGCAGACCAATAATAGGTGGATAAATCTCCGGCAGTTCGACTGTGGCCGGACTGTTGACCGACGACTCCTCATCTGCAGGATCGTCGTCCGAACCGGAGTTGCCTGGAGCTCCTGCTGACCCACTGGCGCCGTTGGCGCCAGCAGCAACGCCAGATCCCGCAGAGGGGGCAAGGGTCCGTGGTTTCGAAGGTCTCGGTGTCTTGTTGTCTGGCTTGTCCTTTTCGTCCTCCTTTTTGTCCTTGTCTTTCCTTTTAGACTCGTCCTTCGGATCGGGCTCGTTCCTTTTCGACTTTAGGTCGAACAACTCGCCTGCCACAGAAGGAGGCACAAAGTCTATCCCGTCCGCGTTGACCCAGAGTGCAGCCTCTTTGCCTAGCAATGGTTTAGCATACTGGTTGTGGACCGTGCTCGCAAGCCGGGTACACGCGCTGCGCACAAGACGGCCTCTAAAAACTCGTCTTGAGCAAGAAAACATGGATGAATTATTCAGAACCGATACTTTTTCTTTTGCCACTGTCGAGGGTCGATCGACGAATGAATTTTCAGTAGCTGATAAATATCAAGAATATATAGCTAAATACGGACTGGCAGAAACCTTCAGTCCTTTGGCCCAATCATCTTCTCTGGTCTGACCCACTCGTCAAACTCCTCTTCGCTCAACATGCCGAGCTCCAGAGCGCTCTCCTTCAAAGTGAGGCCCTTCTTGTGTGCGTTCTTGGCCGTCTTGGAGGCATTATCGTAGCCGATCTTTGGGTTCAGAGCAGTGACAAGCATCAACGACTCGTGCAGAGTCTTCTCGATCTTGTCTCTGTTGGCCACAATGCCGTCAACACAGTGCACTCTGAAGGAGTAACAGGCGTCGCCAAGAAGTCTGACCGACGACAACAGGTTTGAGATCATGACGGGCTTGAATACGTTCAGCTCAAATTGGCCAGAGGCACCGGCAAACGTGATACACGAGTGGTTACCAAACACCTGTGTGCACACCATGGTCATTGCCTCATTCTGGGTAGGATTGACTTTTCCAGGCATGATGGACGAGCCTGGCTCGTTCTCAGGCAGAGAGAGCTCGCCGTAGCCGCATCTAGGACCGGATCCAAGGTACCTGATGTCATTAGCGATCTTGAAGAGCGAGACAGCCACCGTGTTCAGGGCGCCAGAGGCCTCCACAACGGCATCGTGCGCAGCAAGAGCCTCGAACTTGTTAGGAGCAGTGTAGAACTGTAAACCGGTCAGCTTCGAAACCTCGCTTGCAACCTTCTCGGCAAATCCTTTTTTCGTGTTCAAACCAGTACCAACAGCAGTGCCACCTTGAGCCAGGTATCTAAGATTCTCCAGGCTGTGCTCGACTCTGGCGATGCCGTTGGTCAATTGCTGAACATAGCCACTGAACTCCTGTCCGAGAGTCAGTGGAGTGGCGTCCTGCAAGTGGGTTCTGCCGATTTTGATGATATCGGCAAACTCCTTGGCCTTCTTGTCAAGAGAGTCTCTCAGAGCCCTCATTTCTGGCAGCAGGTGGTTGGTGATCTCTGTGACGGCAGCAATGTGCATCACAGTTGGAAAAGTGTCGTTGGAAGACTGCGACATGTTGACGTGATCGTTTGGATGCACAGGTTTCTTGGAGCCCAAGGTTCCGCCCAAAATCTCAATAGCCCTGTTGCTGATTACCTCGTTGGCATTCATGTTCGACTGAGTTCCTGAACCGGTCTGGAAAACCACCAATGGGAAGTGGTCAATGAGTTTCCCTTCAGCGACCTCGGTGGCCGCCTGCTTGATGGCATCGGCGAGCTTCGGGTCCAGAATACCAAGTTCTGCATTGACAGTGGCAGCGGCCTTCTTCAAGACACCGAACGCGTGCACGATCGGTTCCGGCATTCTCTCTCTGGCCCCGCCAATCTTGAAGTTCTGCAACGATCTCTGAGTCTGGGCTCCCCAGTACTTGTTGTCGGCGACCTCGATGTCTCCAAAGGCATCCTTCTCCGTTCTCATGGCTCTGGTGGTGGCCGAAAAAGCTCTTGATCCGAATCTCTTAGCACTCAATCTCGCACTTAGCATGGTTTTCTTTTGGCAACAACAATTCCACTTGTTACAGCCTGTAAGAATCACTCAAATTATGTTTAAATTTAATTTCTCGACCCGGCGATATTCCAAATTCACCCGGTGTCCGATTCCGGAATCGAACGAAATATTCAAAGCTATAATATTACTATCCATGCCTTTTATCGCATACTCTAAATTATGTAGTAGCCTTCATTCGAAGCATTGTAGTGCACATCGAACGGCAGATCTTCCTTCGATTCGGCATTCACCACAGAAACAACAGTGACGTCGCCAACCTGCTCGCCGGCTTCCACCTGCTGCGAAACAGAAAAAACGACCTCCATCGGGAATAAGGCTTCTTCGTCATCGATTCCGCGACACAGAATTTCAAACGAGCCCGACGGATGTTCCACTAAGTCCGACAGTTTCACCAGCAGACCTTCCTCAACGTACTGCAACGACACGTTGTTGTGGTCGCTCGACTCAATGGTGGCATCGCCAGTCGGTATCAACAAATTGGCCTCGTCAAGCTTCTTCTCTGGGTGCGCCTCGTACTCAAACGTGAGGCTCACAGTCCCATCCTCGTTGTTGCCCACCCAGGTGGTCAACACCAAAGGCAACAAAGTATTGGACTCGCCGGACTCGGACATCTTCGACACAGACCTCCATCTGAGCACACCCAATGGCTGGTCGTTCGAGGCAAACGGCTTAGACTGGTCCTTCATGCCTATGACAGATTCGGAATTGAACAGGTTTTTGTCCACTTTCGGATGGGTTTTATACTGCGTGGTGCGCTCTGGGGTAGAACCAAGTTTGAGATTCACAAGAGCGTATGCTAGCGACGGATCGTTAATTCTAAGTTGCAAGTCTCCTTGCACCTCCGCAGTCGAGATCGAGCCCTCTCTCGTGATCTGGCCAGTGAACTTTTCGTTGACAAGAATCAGAATGCCATTGTTTGGGATCCGCTCCTTGGCGGGAGGCTCGTACGATGGTGTCGATTGGGTAGATGGTTGCGGAGGAGGAGTCGAGATGAGAAGAGGCTGAGCCTCACCACCCAGACTCGTTGTCTTCTTGCCCAGCTGCAAGCCTCCCTTTCTTGGAGGAGCCCTGCTAAACTGTTTCTCCGGCGCCGTGTACGATGGCTGTGTGAATTGGTGTTCCGGCTGTGCTGGAGGCTGGTACGACGGCTGCACAAAGTTCTGGGACTGCTGGAACTCATAGGACTCCATATTTTTCTTCATCATCTCTCTTCTCTGTATTTCTTTGGCCTTTCTCTTTCTCTCCTCGGCGGCCTCCAACTCCTTATTCCGCTCGATGATCTCCTGTATCTTTTCTTCGTGGGACTCCATTTCCAGGAATGTGATTATCTGCGACAGCGACAGATTCTCCTTGTAGCCCAAGTTGATGATCTCGTCGAACGCGTTGAGAATCTCGAAACAGTTGTCGAAGATTTCTCTCTCGTCGACCGTTCTGAGGATCGACGTAATTGTTTGTGTGAACAAATGCAACGTATCAATGTCTTGCAGAATGTTTGAGTGCTTGTTGGTGATCAACACCACGTAGAATTCCTCCAATGGCTGGTAAACGTATCTGACATTTTCACCTTGGACCGTGGTGTGCTGCGTCTTTGTCGTGTCGGGCAGCAGCGTCGGAAAAGCAGCCAGCAACGAGGTGACTCTATCCTTGGACAGATCTCTGAATTGCCTGGATATAATAGCTTTTCCGCCTCTTGTACAGATCGAAGCTGCTAGGACCACCATGAGGACTATTTGTTTTCGTTAATTTAATTTGACTATGTGTCCAAAATTACGATCTGGAGAGTCGGGGCTTCCAACCCACCTGTGCACCACGATGCCAAAAAATTATTTAAATTTAAATTGAAAAATGCCCTTGTCAAATGAAGACCGACTACTATGAGCTGCTAGGGGTAAGCGTGGAGGCGTCTGATCTGGAAATCAAGAAGGCTTACCGGAAGAAGGCACTCCAGCTTCATCCGGACAAGAACCCAGACGATGTCGAGGGAGCAAGTTGCAAGTTCAATGAGGTCAAGGTAGCATACGATACCCTCAGCGATCCCCAGGAAAGGGCCTGGTACGATTCCCACAAGTTTCAGATTCTGATGGAAGACGGAGATAGGGAAATTGACGACGATAATTCTGCCGAGGTTTACTACGCTGGCCTGTCTGTGGACGACATTAATCGCTATCTGAATCCAGATCTGTACACTCGGATGGACGATTCGATCAGCGGGTTTTATGCTGTTGCTGGGGTTATTTTAGATCGAATTGCGAGCGAGGAAGTTTCTGCGGGCAAGAAACAGAAGCTTCCTGGGTTCGAGAGCTACAAGGACGACACGCCGTTTGCCAATGCGTGCGACGCAAAGGAGCTGCTCTACCCTAGGTTTGGCAAGTCTCGCTCTGACTACGGCGAAGTAGTGCGGATTTTCTACAAGGTGTGGGGCAATTTTGCCTCCGTAAAGAGTTTCAACTGGTTAGATGAGTACCGGTATTCGAGCGCGCCAGACAGACGCACTCGACGGCTGATGGAGAAGGAAAATAAAAAAATCAGAGACTCTGCGCGCAAGGAGTACAACGAGGCCGTGCGCCGGTTGATCTCGTTCCTTAAGAAACGCGATCCGCGTGTGAACGCGACCGCGCAGCGCCAATACGAGCAGGAGCGGATTAGGAGGCAGCAGGACGAGGTAAAGCAGCAGGCGAAGAGAGAAAAAGAGCAGCGGCAGCAGGACAGGATAGAGTTCAGCGAGCAGAGCTGGCAGATGCTAGACCCAGACGACCTTGCAGAGATAGAGCAGCAGTTGGACAAGATGTATATGGAAGAGCAGGATGAGAGCGAGGACGAAGAGTTGTATGAGTGTATCATCTGCGATAAGCGTTTCAGACACGAGAAACAATTTTTGGAGCACGAGAAGAGTAAGAAGCATATCAAGTTGTTGAAACGGCTCCAATGGCAGATGCGCAAAGAGGGTATCGAACTGGGGATTGATGAGGAGAGCTATGTGCGCAGCGAGGATGAGTATGAGAGCGCCGTGGAGGATTTTGGGGTTGAAGAGCCCGGTTCTCGGCCTACCGAGGCTGAGCCTGAAGAAACAGATGTTACGCCGCGGCCTGTAGACTCTCAGCCTGAGCTCGAAGAGGTTCCGTCTGCAGATTCGCAGTCGGGGCCAGTACCTGCCTTTGCTCATCGAGGTTCTGTGTCCCCGGAAGTGGACGACTTGCTGGACGAGGACGAGCGATTGGCCGAGCTGGAGCGGGTCCTGAACGGTGAGGAGAACGATGACGACTGGTCGACGCACAAAAAAGGCAAGAAGAAGAAGACGCGCACCAAGTCTTCAAAGCCTGTTTCGCAGCCCAGCACACCGTCTGGCGAGAAGTGCAGCGTGTGCAAAGAAAAATTCCCAAGCCGCAACAAGTTGTTCCAGCACATCAACGCCACAGGTCACGCCTCGGCGCCGAAGAAGAAGAGACGATGAGCAGAGTCTGGATGAAACGTTTCTGACACGGACGATCGACCTGTAATATTTTTTCATCGTCGCGTGCCCGAAAATTATAAATACGCATGAGGGACACCTCAGGAATATAGAGCAATGTACTTTCTAGTGAGGCCCGCCGTGCGCAAACGTGTATTTTGCTGGATCGGCAGACGTCGGTCGAGTGCTGCGAATGCGGTCAATACACGAACGCTTGTGCTCCATATTCCTGAGCCTGAGCCTGGGCCGGGGAGCGAGTCTTTGCCAGGCACACCAAACGAGCCGGACGCCGGCGGCGTGGACAACGGTCCGCGCCAGGAGACGTGGGACGCCGTGGACTGGTTTCTGGGCGACAGCCACACCGGCGACCTAGTGCCGGTCCTCTACGATTCCAAGGGGGTACTGCCAAGCAGCAAGCAGGACCAGCTTATGGCGAAACTGACGGGCAAATACGACGCGCAGTACCTTCCGCGCGACTATTTTGCACCTGGGACCCCGCTACAGCAGCTGGAACTGCTGAGTGGGGGCAAACCGGGCCAGATCCGACTCTCGGTGACGAAAATACTTACTGGAGCGTACTGCGAGCTGCAGAAAATGTACCAGCTGTACATGGGCGTGACAGAGGTGCCGCGGACGCAGGAGATGCTACGCGGGTCGCAGGAGCACGAGCAGATTGAACTGAAGACACATCCGGTGACGGAGGTGCATGTGAATAACGCGACTGTGAGGGTCGATCGGACGATGCGGCTGAAGCCGTCGGTGGAGGAGGCTATTCCTGTGACGACGCCGTTGCCGGACGAGCTGGCCCAGATATACGGGCTTTTCGTGGACGAAACTTTTGAGAAGTCGACCGCACACCAGTGGTCGCGCAACGTGTCACGGCTCGCGCAATTGGTGACATTTGGCTCTGCACGCGAGATTCTCGTCCACGCGTACTATGACCAGCGCCTGCAGCAGCTTTACGTGGGGGGTGAGCCAGAAATTGGAGAAAAAGACAATGCTTGTCCGGATTTGGTGCTCATCAGCGGAGTGATCGATCTGCTGTCTTTGACAGGCGACGAAACCGCATTTTCACTGTACCAGCGCGAGCTCGAGACGCAGCTGGACAACCCGCTGGACCTCGCGCAGCTCGTCGCCAGCGTTGGTGCCACCGCAGTTTCGTGGTCCGACCTGCTCGAGCTCCATGTTGCCGACCTGAAAACCAGGTCGTATAGAAAACTGCCCCCACCTGCCACGCAGCAGCTCAACTTCGTCCAGGTAGCTATGTATGCGCGGTTCCTGGAGCTGCTGGCGCACGACCCGGCAGAAACGTACCAGATGCTGCTGTTAAACCTACGCAAACGCAGTATCGACCCGACCACGGTACTGGACCCGTCGTTGGTGGTATATTTGCTGCTGAACAATAACTATTTAATTGCCGACCTGTTTCGACTGCAACAGGGCCAGGACATTGGTTTTGCGCCGTTCGACGCGTCGGCAGCCAACAGATCGGCGGAAAACTACACTTTGGGCTGTTTGAAGCCAATTTTCCACAGCAATACGGCCGATCCACGCCTGAAAACGCTGCAGCAAACTGTGCCGTCGCAGCTGGCGCTTGAACAATGGACTCGCGTGCCCACATTCGAGCTGCTAGCCGCGCGGACCGCACAGCTGCTCGGCACGCTGCGACAGTTCAACATCGCCCAAACGGCCGTTGACTACTCGCACCAGGGCGAGGTATTTTCCAGCACAGCCAGACCGTACAATAGGCAGTTCGCAGATCACTCTATCGCCACCGGCATGGACCTCTGGCTCGCAAAAAGAGCACCTCTTGGGCCCGCGTACAAGAGCCTGTGCCAGACCTGCGAGTTTGCCCCGCGGTGCGGCTATCTCCACGCACTATCGTGATTCCGCTGTGGTCGGGCTGGCCGACAGCTGTGTCTGGTGCTGCGCGTGCGCCGCGCCGGCTTCAGAAACAACAAACTGCGGGTTTTGCAGCAATAAATACAGCGACCGCGATCCGTGCTTCCTGCGGATCGCGCCGCGCCGGTGGAGCACGCCAGCAGCCGCTTTGTGTGGTTTAACGATTTTTGACGCCGTTTTGGGCGCCCGTTTGGGCTCGTGGTCTGCGTCGTACAGCCGGCCCATTACGACTTTTAATTTATCTAATTCCTATTTATTTTGTCCGCAGTCTGACATAAGCAACGCTATATAAACCGCACGGTGAAAAATTTTGAGCTTCGATACGAACGCAGCCTATTCACTGCACCGTCTAGCGTGGACGAGTGGAGGGGAAAAGGTTGCCAGATCAACGCAGTAACATCTCATAAACTGTCTTGCTCACCATGCGAGGCGGGCTACTAAGTTTCTGCGACAATTATTATATATTTTTCCAAACCTATAGTACACAAATCAGTCCGTAAACCATTGAAATCAGGCCGACCCCAATGTTGATTTTGCCGGCGGCACCCTCGAATATGGAGGCTGCTGGAGCTGAGCTGGAGCTGGCCGTGCTTGCCGTGCTGGATGTGAGCAGGGTGCTTTTGGTGACCGTCGAGTAGGTGGTGAGCTCGACCGGAACGCTCGAGATGGTCGACGTGTAAACGACAGTCGACACGGCCGGCTCTGTCTCGACAGGCACAGAAACCGTCGACGGCTCGGCAAGGTCGACGGTGGACTCTGGCGCGGAGCTGGTCACTGTAGAGCTTGTGGCTGTGCTCGAGGAGCTGCTCACGAGAGTCGAGCTGCTTTGGTCCGAAACTTTGCTCGAGGCGCTCGCGCTGCTCTCGGGACAGTACGTGGTCAGCACCGTGGTGACGCCCCCAACGACAGTGGTGACAGTGGTCACGCTGGCGGAGGCACTTGTTGAGGCGGTGGATGTGGCGGTGCTGGAAGTTTTGGTCTTGGAAGCTTTGGCACTAGAGCTTGACGAGCTCAGCGGACAGATCGTCGTCACGACAGTGGCCGTGTTGTCGATAGTCGTCGTGTACGACGTGAGTTGGAACGCGGCGGCACCGCCCTTGGAGCTCACGACCGCCTCCGACGAGACCGGACCGTGTGTCGTCGCGACGGTCACGTGGCCTGAAATGGTGGTGGTGCTCGACGAGACGGTATCTTTGGTGGTCCACGTCGAACACTTGCCCGCAGAGCACGATGTAACGGTCTCAGTGACGGTCGCAGCAGTCGTCGGCGTAGCAGCCGCTGACAGTGGACAGGTCGTAGTTATCACAGTCACGTGCCCAGAGATGGTCGTGGTGTAACTCGAGACAATCTCTTCTGTCGTCCATGTCGAGCACTTTCCTGCGGAGCACGAAGTCTTCGTGGCGGTGGCAGTTTGAGGACCGGCACTGTCCAAGTCAGAAGTGCCCGAGAGCGGAATCAGGGTCGTCACCACCGTCTCGTGACCTGAGATCGTGGTTGTGTACGACGATAAGATTTCTTCCGTCGTCCACGTCGAGCATTTGCCGGCAGAGCACGAGACAATGGCCACCGGTGTGGCCACCGGTGTGATCAGCGGCGCCGACGAGGAGCCAGAGAGCGGGTACAGTTCGGTAACGACGGTCTCGTGGCCGGAGATGGTGGTCGTGTAGCTGGACACGATTTCCTCGGTGGTCCATGTAGAGCAGTGGCCCGCGGAGCAAGAGGTGCGCGTCAGAACAGTGCGCGGGTCGTCAGCTGTGGTGCTGGTGACGGGCGCCGGCGTGGACGACCCGGTCAGGGTTTCGTACCCCGTGACCACGGTCACGTGCCCCGAGATGGTGGTGGTGTACGAGCTCACAAGCTCGGTTGCCGTCACCGTGGAGCACTGGCCGCGGTAGTTGCAGTCGGTGTAGGTAGTTGTAATGGTGATGTAGTCATTTTCGGTGACGCCGATGCTGTTTGTGTCAGTCACCGTCGGCGTTAAGGTCGCGTCCCAGTACTGGTCCGAGGCTGCTCCGCTGCTTAGCGTAATCACCCTTGTCTGGGTGATAGTGGAGTCGGTGGAGCAGGAAGATGTGGAGCTTGGGGTCGCAGTCTCGATGGACGAGTTCCAATACCTCGGCTCCACCTTGAGGAAGTTCCCGTAGGCAGAGACCTGGGAGGCCCACAGAGAGGCCGCCAGGGAGGCTAGCAGCGTGCGATCTGATCTCATCAATAAAAGAGGCTGAATGCGGGTGTGTGAAACGATCGGGGCAGGGTGAGTATTTATACGTCGATCCGTGCAAATCAATGTTCATTGTTACAGGCGTGCCCAGCTAGCTATCATGCTTAATTTTGGATGGCTGGTTTACGTATCAGCTCGATGTGAGGCGCTTTCGAGACTTGATTGGGTTGGTGCACGACCCATCGGAGACGGAACTAGTCTTTTGTTGGAGGGGTGGGATGCTCCCGCAGAGGGCTTTTGCTGTGGTTGCTTAGTGTTTCAGGCTGCTGACTGTCTGAGCTTTTTCAGAGGGACACTGTCCCTCGGATCAGCCACCACTGATTTCTCAGATCTGATGGTTTTTTTTTTTTTCCGCGCCGCACAGCCGCAACAATTTTAGTCTCGTTACGCTTCAAACCAGCCATCTCGAACTTTATTTTGACGCAGCTAACTAAGCCGCTTACTTGATCTTCTAGATCGTGCTTTACGCCACCCAAGTCTATGTCCTATCAAAAATATCCTCATCGTACTCCTCCTCCTCAAAGCTCTCGTCGTCGTAGTTGCTTCCACCGCTGCCATCAGAGTCGTCCTCCGACGACGTCTCCTCAATCGCGCCATATGAGCTCTCCTCGTCCTCCAGATCCAATTGCAAATTCGTGAGCGTCTCTCCCTTCAGACTCACCTTGTGTCCAACCGCATAAGACCCTTCCACGTTGCAGTTGACCAGTCTTGTTCCGGCGCCGATTTGAGTGTTGGTGCCGATAATGCAGTTCTCCAGCTGGATGTCGTCCTCCAATACCACGCCGTCCAGCAGCACGCAGGCCGTGATACGGCACTTGTTGCCGATTTTGCACCTGTTACCAATCACAGACCGTTTCACGCTTGTTCTCTCTCCGAGCACGGTTTCCTCGCCCACTTTCGAGTCGGCGCCCACTGTCGCTGTGTTTTTCGGCTTTTCTGTCTTGGGTTTCTGCACAGACGTGTTGTCTCTCGCCTGCAATTTTAAGATGTACCGATTGGCTTCCATGTACACGGGCAGGTTGTTGCAGCGGGCAAATGTGGAGTTGGCAGGAAGAATAAACAGCCCCATCATCTCTTTTTCCACGGAATGTCGCCAGGACCGTCTTGCAAGGTCCCGTTTGATTTTGATGGCCGCCTTGTTCGTAGTGAGTCCATCTGCGTGTTCGTCTAGCATCTTAAATAATCGGGCGTCGCCGAAAAAAATAAACGAGTCCAGCAGGTTGGTCGAGACCTGGGTGTTTGGGTATCGCCAAAGCAGATGAGTTCTAATTTTCAAAAATTTGGACAGAGCAACTGAATCCTTCGAATACAGGTCCAAAAGCACCGACTGCCCGTTCTGCGCCGAGTACATCGTGTAATTACTCTTGAGCACTTTGTTTGTGTCGATGTTCTCAAAACTGTTGTTGTAGCACACAGACAGCCCGATATTATTGTTATCCTGACCACGGAACACCTCGACAAGCACCTGGGGCGGCACGTCAGTGATGAAGTCGCACGGCAAAAGCACAAAGTTCTGGGTGTTTTTCAGGATATGGTCCTTGTGTTGCGACAAGATCAGGCCCGTTGTCGACGCGTCGGCGCCAATGCATTCGATAGGACTCGTTCTGGCCAAATCCGGATCCCGCGACTCCTTGTATGTGTCGACAAACTTGGAGATCTTGCCCAATGTGTTGGTTTCTGTGAAGATGGTGATTTGACGGAAGGGAGCCCTGTCGCACCATTCGAGAACGTACTGGATCATTGGCCGGTTCGCCACAGGCAATAGCGCCTTCGGAACACCTGTTTCCTTTACGGCAGAGATCGGGGATAGGCCAGAACCCTTTCCGCAAAATATAACAGCATGAAACTCCATTGGACTGAATTAATTTGAATTAAATATTTATTTTTTATTTTTTACTTTACCCGGCTTTTTTTCTTCAACTTTTTGCCACTGGTTTATTTACAGCAATGAGCCAAGAACACGATCCATTGCTCGCGGCGCTCAATGAGGACGGCCAGGGCTCCAACACCGGAGGCGAGACATCCTCGCAGCCGCAAGAGTCGTCAGAAGAGTCGATGCGCAAATCGGCGCTCACTGGGCTGAAAAACAAGCTGATAGAACACAGTCAATGGGAGAGTCGCCTAAAAGAGGCTCGCTTGGGAATACGAGACCTCGAGAAAAAGTTCTCCAAGACAGAGGATGATATCAAGGCATTGCAATCTATCGGCCAGATCATCGGTGAAGTGCTAAAGCAGTTGGACGAGGAAAGATTCATAGTGAAGGCCTCTTCAGGACCACGATACATAGTCGGTTGCCGGTCGACCATCAAGCGGGAAAAGTTGAAGAAGGGGGTGCGTGTGGCGCTGGACATGACCACATTGACCATCATGCGCATCTTGCCACGAGAGGTGGACCCATTGGTGTACAATATGACAACGTTTGAGCCGGGCGAAATTTCGTTCAGCGGTATTGGAGGTCTGACCGAACAGGTTCGTGAATTGAGAGAGGTGATTGAACTGCCGCTCAAGAACCCGGAGCTATTCATCAGAGTGGGTATCAAGCCCCCTAAAGATGTGCTGTTGTACGGTCCGCCGGGAACAGGGAAGACGCTGCTGGCCAAGGCTGTGGCTGCGACGATCGGCGCAAATTTCATTTTCTCGCCTGCCTCGGCCATCGTCGACAAGTATATTGGAGAGTCGGCAAGGCTGGTTAGAGAAATGTTCAGCTACGCAAAAGAACACGAGCCATGTATCATCTTCATGGACGAAATCGACGCCATTGGAGGCCGTAGATTTTCCGAGGGAACGTCCGCAGACAGAGAGATCCAGAGAACGCTGATGGAGCTGCTTAATCAGATGGACGGTTTCGACTACCTTGGACAGACAAAGGTGATCATGGCCACCAATAGACCCGACACTTTAGATCCTGCATTACTCAGAGCGGGAAGACTGGACAGGAAGATTGAGATTCCATTGCCAAACGAGAGCGGAAGACTCGAGATTTTCAAGATTCATACTTCGAAGATCAAGAAGCAGGGAGAGTTTGATTTTGAGGCGCTGGTCAAGATGAGTGACGGTTTCAACGGTGCAGATATCCGTAACGTAGTCACCGAGGCCGGATTTTTTGCCATCAGAGAGGACAGAGACTACATTATTCAAAGCGACTTGATGAAGGCTGTGAGAAAGATGGTCGACAACAAGAAACTGGAAGGCAAGCTCGAATATGAGAAGTTATAGGAAATGATAAATGTTAATCGTTTATATATACATATTGCTATTGAGCATTAGCTTCTTTAGCTCGTTTGTTACGTTTTTGGGCCTCTTTGATTTGCAAGTCCTGCAGATGTTTCTCCTTCTCTCTTCTTGCCAGTTTCTGCTTTCTGTATTCTCCCGATACTTTGTCCACGTACCGTTTGAAATCTGGATCGGTCACATTGTTGAGATGCTCAGCAACTCTCGATCCAATGAACTCCATCACTTCGGCAGACATCTCAGTGATTTGAGACTCTCTAATCTGTTTTCTCTCCTCGAACATAGCCTTCTTGGTCTCACTGTATGGAATTCCTGGAGCTGTCAGCTTTGTAATGTCTCCTTTCTTCAACACCTGCTTGTCCCATTTGTACGGTCTCTTCATGATAGGGTCTCTGAGCGACTCAATTTTGAAGTCTGCCGGCTGTTCGAAATGCAGAATCGAGTTTTCAATATGTGATCTCTCTTCAGCCATCTCTGGTGGAGTCGAAAAAACACAGTCTTCTGCCGGATCAGGCCTAGGCCAGGGAATAATTATGTGTTCGTGGTATTTCACTCTCCGAATAGGCATCATTTTCTTGTAGTCCTCATCGAAATATTTGCCATTAAAAACAACCTCCTCGGCCACAATATCGTACTCAGTGCCGTCCTCCTTCACCATCGTCGTCACCACCCTGACATCGTCGGGCGAAACAGTCTTTGGATAGTCGATGAGATACTCGTTCTGACCTTCCTGCCAGAGTTGTTTAGGGACGGAAAGCGGCTCAGTCTCAGCAATGTCCGTGTAAATGCTATTTGTGAACGGTTGCAGCCCAAGCACTTTACCGATTTTTCCCTTGTTTGGACCTTTCACAAACATCACCCGGTCTCCTTCAAGCACTTTCCACTGTTCGGGCCTAGTGTACCTTTTTTCCTCAGGAATGAATTTCCCCTGGGAGCGAAACGCCGGGATCTGTGATTGGTCCGCTCTTCTCATGAAAAAGTCCCGGAAATGCAGCGGGAGCCTCTCCAACACCCCGGTGTATCTTTTCGACATGACAAGAAGTTTTTCGATAAAAAATGAATTATCGTTTTTATGCTCGGTTGGTTACCCGGAACTGGTTTCAGAGATAGTCCCACGACACACCGTTTGTCGTGTTACCCGTCCTTGCTGCGTTTTTTGTCACATGCAAATGTAGATCTCACCTAAGATGGTAGCAACCTAAGCTATATAGCCCGAAACACAGGCCTTTGTGTCTGCAGTAACAATAAGAAGCAGCAACACGTATCTGCTGACAACCTTTGCCTAATATCCAGCTCTGAGGACACAACACTGGGGAACCAAAAGGCTGTTTAAGCATGCTTCCACACTGCCAGCTACCGCCCTTATCTAAATTGACAGAAAAATGATGGTCCCTATAAAAGGGTTTTTTTTTGTGCACCTGCCTTTTACACGTCTCTTTCTAAGCCCACTAGGTTTTTTTGCTCACTGCTGTGCTATCTGTGTCTAATCTAATCAGCAATCTCTTTCTTCTACCATGAGCTCTTCCGAGACATCCAAACCTAGAAAAATCACCACCAACACTTACTCCCATGTGTTCAAGTACCCACTGGTGGCGGAGGCCAGCGCTTTAGCAGAGAAGTCATCCACAGTGAGGGTCGTCGAATCGTATGCGCATTCGCTGCTCAGCAGAGCGCTCTCTGTGCTCTCCAGCGTGTCCATTCTTGTCTTGCTCCTAAACGCCATCGATCAGACCACTGATGCCACACTATCGTACTTGGACAGTGCTTTCCCCTTCTTGACCACCATTTCCACAGAATCGGTCTCCAAAACATTTAATGACTATTATGACAGATGGGCCCGTGACGTGGTGAAGAATGCCAGAGCGACGTTTGCCAACACTACCAGCTCCGTGCGCTCGCGGCTGAGTGCTGTGGTGAAGGTGTTCAACGACTACTACGAGTCTGCCGTGGACAGATTGTTGCCGCTGAAAAACCAGGCTGAGGCCAAGGGCCAGGAGGTGAATGATATTGCGCAGAGCGAGCTGACGCGGTCCAGAAAGCTGCTCAGGTCGACCTACGAAAGAGCCCTTCCGTACGTCCACCAAGTCTCCGGCCTGCCACAATACGTGACCGAGGTGTACAATAGCGAGAAGGCATCGTCGTCGGCCCCTGCTGCCATTGCAAAGACGTCCCGAAGACTCTCGAACGAGGCGTACGTGAACGCGATCAAGCCTACCTACGATGCGACTCTGAAGCCGACCGTTGACCGCATCATTGGCAACCATTCTTCGCAGGCCAATGGCATCGTTGACACGGTTACCGAGCCTCTCAATGGCTCGATGTGATCGAGAAGTGCTTCTTTTTTCTGGACAGCTCTACGGGTTTGTTTTTGTTAGGTTGTATTTAAAGCAATCCGATAACTAATCAGCCATTCAGTAGGCCTGCCAGATGAGCGTTATATCTGCCGCCGTAGATCTTACACTCGCGCACAGCCTTGTTGAGCTCCTCGAACTCGTCGTGAGTCAACTTGATATGGGTGTTATTCTCATGGTTTCTCTCCGGCGTCGAGGCTGAAGGAATAGGAATCACCGTGGCGTATTTTTCCGGATACTCGTTGAACGTTCTAACCCACGAGAGCGCGATCTGCGCCATTGTGCACCCTTTCTTCTGAGCCAGGTTGCCAACCCGCTCCAAAAGGTGTTTGTTGGCGTCGATGGCTTCCTGCGAAGCGAATCTGTCAAACATGCGGCGCGGATCGTTTGGTGGAAGGTCGTCGATGGAGTTGATTGTGCCGGTCAAGTAGCCTCTTCCCAGCGGCGAGTATGCTACGATCGGGATTTTCAGCTCCCTGCAGGTGTCCATAATTCCATTTTTCAGAATGTCGGTGCTCCACAGAGACAGTTCCACCTCGACACAGGAAATAGGATACACGGCAGCAGCGCGTCTGATGGTGTTTGCATTCACCTCAGACAGACTGATGCCCTTGATGACGCCTTTCTCAATGAAAGGGATGCAAGCCTTGACGAACTCCTCGACAGGTGTCTTTTGGTCCATGCGGCCGGCTTCAAACAGCTCGAACTTGTTGCCAGGGAAAAACGAGGCAATGTTCTCGATGGATCTCTTGACTCCTTCCGGGGAGCAATCAATGCCGGTGGGAGTGACGCATCCTTTGATACAAACAGACACTTTGGACCGGTTTTCTGGGTACTTGGCGAAATACGCCTGCAGCAACTTGAGGTTTTCGAGCGGCCGTTTTTCCACTGTGGGGTCTGGGTTGAAGAAGTTTGGGCCATAGAATTCGCCGCCGTTGAGAAGAGTGACGCCTTCTTTGATGGCGTTGTTAATAGTAGCAAAGGCCTGCTCACGTGGAACAGGCTCTGGGCGAGCAGTCAGAGACATGAGGCCGTAGCCGGTGGGGCCAGAAATGGGGAAGGCAGACATGAGCAAAAGAGAGCGTTCAAAGGCTTTTTATACGGTGTGGGAGCTCGGATGGACTTGGCAGGGCCGTGGTTCGTGAGGTGAAGTCCGTTGCCGATGCTCTCGTACGGAGTGCTCTCGGGAGCTAACTCCAGCTATTTGAGTTGTGCACGACCTTTTGGATGAGGGAGATTAGATTAATTCCGTGTGTATAAGAAGCAGGAAATATTCCAGGAGGAGTAAAAATAATTTTTATTTAATAAAAAGAACTACAGTTCAAAAATAGATGGCAGTAGATGGTAAATAAAATTATTAAAGGCAATAATGTTATCTGCCCTTGGGATGATTAGTGGACGATGTTCGGATATGAAGTAGGCGGGCCACTATGTGCGGACAGCCATGGTTCAGCTCGTGAGATCATGGCCCAGGATGTGGCTGGTGCCTGAAATCGGCAATGCATTGTGGGTTGAACCTGGATTAAGGCCGCAAAAGAAACGAGGAGGGTATTTTGGGACCATGCACAGGAAACTTTCTGAAACTTCACTGGAGGCGACTAGTACCGTATTGATGCGGGGGAAAAGCCTGCGTGGTTATTTGCGGAAGGAAGCAAGCTTCCACTGCCGCGCCAGACAATAATTTTTGCGCGTCATGCACTGCAGAGAAGGCAAAGAGTCGCAATATGCATGGAAACGCGGACGAATTATAAATCGTACTTTTCCCAACCTCCAAATCATAACCCATCCGAGACCTCGTTCCACGTCCCCCCTCCCCCCGCACACGGCACAATGTTGATGATGACCGCCAACAATACCCCGTCCAACGCGCTCAGCACGACTATGGCGGCCTACGAGCGACAGCCTGCCCTGGACAATACCCCTGAAGACCGCTCCCAGAGAGTCAGGTTGCCCAGCATCAACAAGCTGTTCCCGCGCCAAGAACAGCCGCCCGACCCCGTGTTCCAGCCCGCACAGCACTACGTCCACACACCGAGCGTGCCTGCCGTGTTCCCCGGGCCGTACGCATCGCCTCCCTCGCAGCATGTCGTATACACGGCGCCCACCATGTTCCCGATGCCCCAGCCCGTTGCGCCGGCGGCCGTGGCCATGAGCCCGTCCGAGTCGCAGGACTCGGTGATTTCCCCGGTGAGACGCCAGTCGGTCTCGCAAGACAGCCGTTTCAAATGCGACCAGTGCCGCAAGTCGTACACAAGAAAACACAACCTGATATCCCACAAGCTGAGCGTGCATGAGAAGGAAAAGCTGTTTGGCTGCACAGAATGCCATGTGAAATTCAGCCGCTCGTCAGACCTCTCGCGCCACACGAAGGAGCAGCACTCATCGATCGTCAAGCCGTTTGTGTGTGGCGGCGTAAATCCGGACGGCACAGCGTGGGGGTGTGGCAAGCGCTTCTACCGCAAGGACCAGTTGAAAAGCCATCTCAACACCACCAAAGCCGGATACAAGTGTCTGCGGCGCAACTTCGCCATCATGATGGTGCCGGGCGAGCCGGACGCCGCCAGCCTGTATGGCCTCTAGATAGAGTGTAGGTATACGAGTAACGAAAGCCGGGCGCAGCTTGCCCCCCACCCCACGCAAATACCGTAGAAAAACCCACAGCCCTGGAATTTCACTTCGCGAAAATACTTTCCCTCTTTTTTATGATCGACCCGAGTGTGCGACTGCGCAACGCCATCGTCGACGGCCAGCTTCCCATCGTTGTGCGCCTGCTCAACCGGTACCCGGACCTGCTTGACAATATCGACCCGGCCAATGGGTGGTCGAACCTCCATTATGCCGCGTACCACGACCGGCTCGAGATATGCGACCTGCTGCTGCGACGGATTGCAGACCGCGCGCGCGGACCCACCGCGGGCGTGTACAAGGCCGCACGGCACGCGCCGCCGCCACGCTCGTACGCCCAGATCACCAGCGAGGACGAGATAAAGCTAACGTTCCAACACGATACCGTGATCCACACCGCCTGCTCCAACAACGCCCACCGCAGCCTCGAACTGCTGCTGGAGTATTTCAGCGTGTGCATCGACCAGCGCGGCCACCACGGCTACACCGCGTCGCATGTGTGCTGCCTGGCGAACTTCCCGCTCTGTCTGAGCGTGCTGCTGGAGAACGGCGCGTACCCCAACATCCAGGACGACGACGGCAACAGCCCGCTGCACCTGGCGCTGCAGTACGGCGCGCTGGAATGCATCGACCTGCTGGTCGCGTACAAGGCGGACGGCCAGCTCGTGAACAACGCGGGCTGGAAGCCAGAGGAACTGGCGTACGATTTCGAGGTCCAGTCGCGGTACAGGGCCATGCAGACGCACCCGCCCGCGCTGGCGGCCATGCCCGCGCTGGCGAACCAGTCCAGCGGGGTGCCAAGCCCGCTCAATGCCAAGGTCTCGCTGCCGTCGATCCAGCACCGCAAATTCTCGCTCTCGTCGCACACTTCGTTTAACAGCGACACAGACGAGCCGTACGCAGGCGACAGCAACTCTATGTCGACGTCGTCGTCGGTCAGAATCACGAGAGACCCGTCGCCGGTGTTTGGTGTGACTCAGGGGGCGTCGAGCTCGAATAGCCTGGCGAGCGTGCACGAGCACGGGCAGGGACTCGCGCGCAAGGCGCCGCCGATGCCGATTGCCGTGCCTGCGCTGGGCGGGTCGAGCGGGTCGTCGACGCCGCCGCGCAAGCTGTCGAACCCGGCGCCCGCGTCGGCAACGTCGTCGCTCAGCACGCAGTCGCCCGGCTCGAAACGCTCCTCGATGAGCATGCGCAATTTCCGGTCGAACTCGCAGACGTCGGAGTCGTCGCCGATGAAGCTACAGAACCGGCTGTTCTCGCGTCCGCACGCGCAGAGCTCGCCCGTGGTGCCCGAGGACCAGCACATGCCGACGCCGACGCCGACCGACGCGGACGACGCCGCGTCGAAACTGAGCAACTTCCGGCTGCAGAACGAGAACCGTGTCAAACTCGGAATGAAGCTGGACAGCATGATGCGCTCGCAGGAGAGTCTGGCGCAAGAGGCTGCCAGCGAGCCCGCCGTGCCGCGCGTGATGCGCTCCAAAACAGAGCCCGCCACCGACCATACCCAGAAACGGTCGCGCATCTTGTCGATCCCGATCGCAAGTTTACGTTCGAGAAAAAATTAGCACTACATAGCATTAACCTTGCGTTTCGACGCATTGATCCAGTCTTTGAACGCGTCGCTGATGGTGGAGTAGCTTTCGAAGTTGTTGATCACGCGCACAAAGTTGTCCACGTAGTCGTCCTCTGAGTCCGAGTCCTCGATGTTGGCGCCGCCCGTCAGCTGCGCGCCGGGCAACTCGAGTCTGTCGTCGAACTGGAAGTTGTCGTTCAGTGAGTGTGTGATCAGCTGTTTCTCGTCTGCGGCGGTCTCGGCGCCGTCGTCCGTCTCGTCCTGGTCCGACTTGAGCAGCCGCAGCTGCATCGTGTTGTAGCTCTGGCAATGGTCGCACTTGAGCCCCAAATAGTGGTACGGAACGCGCGACTTGCCACCGCAGTCGACGCACTTGACCACGCTCGTCCACGCGGCCATGCCGTCCGGCATCTTTGTCGCGCCGATCTCCTTGTCCAGCACGCGGAACTGCCGCTCCATGTTGACGATCGTGCGCGAGCAGATGGGACACTTGTACGAGTGCTTCGTGAACTCGTCGTAGCAGCCCTGGTGGATCGGGTGGCCGCACAGCATGAACACCACTTTCTTGGTCGAGCTGAACATGAACTCGTCGCAGATCGGGCAGTTGCAGTGTGTCGAGTTCTCGATGCACTTGTGATTCTCTTGCAACTCGATCGAAATGCAAGTGTTGCAGTTTTTGCAGTGGAAATAGTCCTGGTTGATTCCGAGCCCGAGACGACAGAGCCCGCAGTCGTCGCAGTGGTAGATGTTTTTCAGCTGGTCGTTGTCGAACAACTTGCACGTGTCGCAGTAGTACTCGCTCAGTTTGCGGTTGCAGCCGACGCAGAAGTGATGTGCCAGCTGCGGCGTGTTGCAGAACATGCACAGAACGTGTTTGATCCGGCTCCGTTGCAGCTGGTGCGACTGCACCTCCTGGTCGTGGCAGAAGCGACAGGTGTACCATTTGCGACACGTTGGACACTCCACCTTGCAGTTGCGCTGGTAGTGCGTGCACCCAAGCATGTTTTCCTCGGCGTTGTAGTACGTGGGCTCGAGATCACGTGGACCAAGCACCACCTCGTCTCCGCCGGCCTCGCTGTCGGGCTCGTCGGCCTCTGCGCGCTCGTACCGTTGTTTTTCCAAATACGAGCGCGACATGAGTTTCTGGATCAAGAACCGCTGGTCCAGCGGCAGCAAGTCCAAGCTCAGGATCTCCTTGATGCGCCGCCGCAAAAACGTCTGGTCGTTGAACTGCTCAAAAGTCAGGTACGTGAGGTGGTCGTAGCTGGCAAGCCTGTCCTTAACAAGCGATACGGTCTCCTCAGGCTCCTGCAGAACCTCGACTCCCCCGGGGTCATGCAGGTCCTCCACGGGGTAGTCGAGGTTGGAGTTTACCACGTCGGTCAGCGACTCGCTAAGCTGGGCGTATATTCGCGCAAGCTCGTCCTTTTTCACGTTGAGCTCTGCCAGCTTGCGCCCGAGCGACGTGGTGTTGTAGTCTCTTTTCAGGGCTGCTAGCTTGGGCAACGTTGGCAAATGGGGGGTGATGGAAAACGTGGGGAACGCGAGCCTGCCAACCTGCTCGAGCGTCTCGGTGATGGAGTCCGAGTCCGACTGCGAGTCAGATTCGGAGGGGGGGCTGCTGGCCTGCTCTGAGCGTAAACCCATTTGAGCAAATTGTCTGGTTAATAATTAGCTCTTGTCTAAATATTTGACAGAGTGCACAGCCGATGGTAAAAAAAAAATTGAAACTTGTTAGCTGTTTTATTATCAACATGGCTTTTACAGATTATATTAGGATCAGCGGATTCGTCCAGGACATGAAGTCCATGAACTTCAGGTAAGTGTGGCCCTTCGAGCCCTAACAACAGTCTCTACGGCCAATGGATAGGCATTGTGCTGATATTTCTGTCGATCGCCCTGGGCATCGCCAACATCTTCCACTTCAACATTGTGATTGTGTTTGCCATTCTGGCAATCATCCAGGGCATAATCCTGGCATTTGTGGAGGTGCCGTTCCTGCTCAAGATTTTCCGGGTGCCTGATTGGTTCATCCGCGGGGTCCAGACGCTGGACCAGAACATGTACAGGGTGCTGTTCTACGTGATAATGGCGGTGATCCAGTGGCTAAGCATCACGTGCATGTCGACGTCGCTGATTGCGCTGGCGGTGCTCATGACGATTGCGGCGATCTGCTACGCGGTGGCTGGCGTGATGAAGCAGGAGTTCCACAAGTCCAACGTTGTGGCCAGCGTCGACGTGAGCGAGATGCCGATCGACGCACAGATCAGACAGGCGTTGTGATATGCCTGTTGGTCGCTCGCTTTCGCGTATATTGTCCTATACATTCTATTTCAGATGGCCAGATGGTGGATCTTGCGCAGATGCTGTTTGAGGTTATCATTTCTATTGAAACGCTTGCCGCACTTCTCCTGCGGACACACAAACGGCTTTTCGGACGAGTGCGACCGCATGTGCCGCTTGACGTGCTCGGGCCGCTGGAACCGCGAGTGACACAACGGACACTCGTGCGTTTTTTTCTTCTCCTGCTCGGAGTTCTTGGAGCGGGACTTGGACCGCGACGACTGCAGCGGCCGGTCCAGCCGCTCGGGCTCCTTGAGACCGGACCCAAGCGCAAGCTTCTTTTTGTACTCTTCGGCTTTGTTGTCGCCTCCCAGGAACGAGTTGACGCCAGAAGTAGATGACGATGACGAGTTTGGCGGAGTTAGGTATTGGAACCGTGAATACTGTCTGGCCTGGGTTTGTGAGTAGGGAATGTCGTAGTGGTAGGGCGCCGACGCTGGGGCCGACGCCGGCGCCTGTTCAGGCTCGGGCACCTCAGAAATAGAGAAATTCAGATCGTCCATGAACGAGCTAGCAGAGCGCAACGCTGCCGTCTTGGCCTCCTTGTACGACGCGATCTCGCTCAAGTTCATGGTCGAGCGCGAGCGCGTCAGCCTGCCCGGCTTGGGCTGTGGTAGAGGCTGCGTCGTGGCGCGCAGCAGCGGCGGATGCATGAGTTTCTGCTGGTCGAGCGCCTCGACGTTGTCGTCGTCGATCAGCAGCGGAATGTCCTGCACTTTTTGCAAAAACTCCGGGTTGATGAAGTCGTTCGACGCGGCCAGATGGTCCATGTGGTACACCTCGTGCGTCTCGTGTCTGAGCGTGTGCAGGTCCGACAACTTGCCGCCAAACTTCTTTTTCATCAGCACGGACGGCGACACAAAGTACGACTCCCCGGACTCGCCGGTGCTGTCGCGTGGCTCCTCGCCGTCGTCCTCCTCGTTCTCGTCCACCGCTGGCCGCCCGGGAGTGCGCAATGGCGTGTGCAACGGCGAACCGTGCTGGTTGTGCTGCATCTGCAACTGTAGGTCTGTGTCCAGATGCGACAGCGAAACAGACGTCGTGAGTGACCGCTGTTTCCTGTGTTTGGTGATCTTGGGCGACAAGAACGCCGGCGGCGTGTAGAACGGGTTGCCCGTGCCGGGCGACTTGTCCGTGGCCCTGCCCGCGTTCGCCGGGCGTCGTGGCGTGATCAGCGAGTTCGATCGTCTGACGGGCGTGCGGTGCACGTTCGACAGCGACCCGTTGCTCACGCTCGACGGAATTGCGTTCTCTGTGTGCACGCTGGAAACCGTCGAGCTAGAGTACGACTCCGTCAACGGGTGCATGTACGATGGGTACTGCAGCGTCGGGTCCTCCTGGCTGGAGATCGGCACAAAGTCCAGCAGGTCCTCGTGCACGGCGGGCGGCGCAGACGCAGACGCAGGTTGCTCGTGGCCAAACTCTTCGTCTGTGCCCATGTGTGGCCGATGCAAAAAACTGTACTCGTGGACGCTGTGTAAGGTCAGCGTATCACCAAGCAGCGGTGACGAAGAAACCGTCACGTTGTGATCTTTGAAAGGAGTCTGGTTGGCTGGCGGCGGAGATGAGGACATCATTCTATCTCACAGCAATCTCGCTGGCCAAGCACGAAAAAGTTGGACAAAGACTAACCTGGGAAGACTTCTCGCAAAACGGTCGGAAAATAGACTGTGTTTGTGAGAAAAGGGTGGGCAGCTTGCTGGTGTAGTTCTTGTTGCCTCTGGATGGCCGTGACAAGAAGTAAAAAGGGAAACAGGTTTTTCTTGGATAATTAACCCGATTTAGTTAAGTGCTGTACCTCTGTTTTTTGCAAAATTCTCAAATCTCAGTTGCAGAGGGTGGAGTTTTACAAAAGTGGCGCCTTTACATAAAATGCAAGAACCGGGGACGCGCCAAGCGGGTTCTGTTGTCTGGCAACGCCGCCAGACACATCTGCAGGCGGCCGGGGCTCGCAATGTGTGTCCATGTCGTGCTTCTTAAAATACCACGCATCCGTACACCAGAAATGCGCCCCGAGTCAGGACATCTTACTGGCGCGGACTGTCAGTGGCTGCCGCTATGTGCCATGTCTGGTGTACATGCTACTGGCCAGATGGACCGTTTGACCACTCGTGCGTGCGATGCTACGCCTTGGGCTGTTCGTAGTCCTTATTTATCGGCTTGGACGTTTTACCCGATTAGGGAAAATGTCAGTTTCGCGTCGTTGGCTCGATTTGTTTACGTCTTGCATGGCTCACGCGTCACTAGCCATGCTCCGCCACGGGCCTGGCCCAAGCACCCCTGCACCAGAAACTTTGAAATCACGCCGTGAAAAAAAGTGGTCTTTTGCGGCTGTTACCCGGCTTCTGGTGGCCCGGCTAACTTTCTGCATTTGTACCCCGTGTAATCACGGAGGTAGCCAAGGGTGGGGGTAAGCGTGGCACACGACTCACGGTGCCAGCTGGTCCCTTATGGACCAGCTGGATGCTCAATTGTACGTGCTCTGGGTGTCTCCCACGCTGGCGCCGTGTTGCATCCGCACAACCCGACAGCCCTCGTCCGACCTCGACTCCGGACGTCCTTCTGGAGTCATTATTTTTTCCACCACGGCCAATAATAACCGGCCTCAGTCGCACCCCACACCCGTTAATTCTACTTGTCCACGAATATTTTACTCTTGTCTTTTCTTCCTCTTCTTCTCGGTGAATCATGTTTGCTAAATTCGCTACTAGACAGTTCTCCTCCACTGCCTCCTCCGCTTACAAAGTGTCCATCCTGGGCGCTGCCGGTGGTATTGGCCAGCCATTGTCCCTGCTGATGAAACTTAACCACAAGGTCACCAAGCTCTCCTTGTACGACCTGAGATTGGGTGCCGGTGTCGCCACTGACATTTCGCACATCCCAACCAACTCTGTGGTTAATGGATACGGTCCAGAAGACAACGGGCTATCGAAGGCATTAGAAGGCGCCGATGTCGTTCTGATCCCAGCCGGTGTTCCTAGAAAACCGGGCATGACCAGAGACGACCTGTTCAACACCAACGCCTCGATTGTCAGAGACCTTGCTAAGGCATGTGCCGACCACTGTCCAAACGCTGCCATCTGTGTGATCTCGAACCCTGTCAACTCGACCGTTCCTATTGTCGCCGAGGTGCTCAAGTCCAAGAACGTCTACAACCCAAAGAAGCTGTTTGGTGTCACCACCTTGGACGTGCTGAGAGCCTCTAGATTCTTGTCGGAAGTCGCTGGAACCAACCCTGTCCACGAGCACGTCACCGTTGTTGGCGGCCACTCCGGAATCACCATTGTTCCGCTGATCTCCCAGACCAACCACAAGAACCTGCCAAAGGAGACCTACGACGCTCTGGTCCACAGAATCCAGTTCGGTGGTGACGAAGTCGTCCAGGCCAAGGGTGGTGCTGGTTCTGCTACCTTGTCTATGGCCCAGGCCGGTGCTAGATTTGCCTCTGCCGTGTTGGACGGTCTTGCCGGCGAGAAAGACGTTGTTGAGCCTGCCTTTGTCGACTCTCCGCTGTTCAAGAACGAGGGGGTCGAGTTCTTCTCGTCCAAGGTCACTCTGGGTGTTGACGGTATTAAGCACATCCACGGTCTTGGCGAGCTCACTAACGCCGAGCAGGAGATGATCAACACCGCCAAGGAGACTCTTGTCAAGAACATCGAGAAGGGTGTTAACTTCGTCAAGCAAAACCCATAACTTATTTATACGGAACCATATTCCTGATAACTGAAAAAAAAAAAATATATCTTCTATATTACAGCTTTAAACGTTGTTGGTGAACGCGTTCAGCACCAACTCCTTCCCACGTGTTCGCTGCGACCTTGCAGGCAGCGCCCTGAGATACTCCTCGTTGATATGCGGCAAAACTTCGGTTATGTAGTAAAATCCTCCTTTCGAAGTCCAGCTCACGTCGTTCTCTCCGTACGTGTATCTCGTGCACTTCATCCGGCTTAAAATCGACTCCGGATGGCCCCACGAGATAGTGTACCCTGGAGGCACAATCGGCTTGAGACTGATGATCTGCGTGCCTGTTTTGAGATTCGAAAACAGATCAACCACCTTCTTTGAGAGCTCCGCGTCGAAAAGATAGTTATTCACCAAAATCACGTCGCTGCGGTCGATAACTTCCTGGACGGGCGCGTTGTCCACAAACGACTCGCCAAGGAAAAACTTCATTGCCCCGTGCCTCACTCCCCAGATGGCGCATCTCTTTTCAAATTCCTCAGTCTGAAGCATGCACAGCCTTGACGCATGGTCCATAATCTCGACGCCGTAGCTCTCGCATCCATACTCCAACGCCGCCTGAATCGTGCAATTGCCGACTCCGGAGCCCAGATCAATAAAAACCTTGGTATGCGACAGCTTGCACTGGTTGAACGCTCTGCTCAGAAACGACGGCATTAGTTCGCCATAAACGTAGTTTGAGAAAGCTTTGTAGCTCCTCAGCTTCCTATAGTCAGGAAGAACTCCCCGCAAGTAGCACTGGTTCATGATCTCGTGGACAAGCAGTTGTGGGAACGTTTTGCGCTGTCGTATGTGTTGGATGATCTCTCCGTTTTTCCTCAGCTTCGCTACCAGTGAGTTGTATTCTTCAACAAGCTGGACTAGCTGGTTGCCGTCGTGGCGGTTCACGGCATCGTCCCATCGCTTGATCAGACAGTTTGACGGATTATCGAAATTAATCACCTTTTTTCTAGCCTTTTCCGGCATATACACCGTGGCAGTCAACTCCATCACTCGAGCAATATCTGCGATGGGGTTGAACCAGGCATTGAGCTTGCATTCTGCCAGCAAGTACTTTTCTTGGTAGTCAAAAAGCGGGTACATAAGATACACCTCCCGGGGTGTGATCTGGGGATTTTTCATCACATATCGGTCCAGCCGATCATTCACCAATGTGTATGCGCTGATCAGTTCGAGCTCTTTGGGTTTGTTGCCTGCCTCGGGGTCAAAAAAGTTCCAGGTGATTTTCACGTTTTCGGACATCTCGTGGCTTAGAAACCAAGGACTACATCCATCGTGCTCGCCACTCTGCTCCTGTTCGCTCTTTATAGGCGCTTTGGGCTCACTGTGCTTCTCGATCTGCTTTCTTCGGTCGGTGGACTTTTTATCAGATTTCTTTCCCGCACTCGTTTCTGACTGGATGGTCTGCTTGCGTTTGCGGGGAGACATCTCTTTTTGAGTTTCCCTCGTTTCCAGTTTTCTCCTTTGTCTGCGATCGCCAACATTTCCAACAAAATATTCCGTAGCATTCAGCAATTGCTGAAGAGCGTTCCCCTTATAATAGTCCCCATAACTTTTTGTGCGCTTTGCCCCCATGCAAGATACAGTTGTATTGCCCCTAGCTGCATCTTTCCACGAGGCTACCTGCCTGCTGTCACTGCCAATGGCCGTCGACTTAACAGTATCCCCCACCGTCTCTGGGGGGCTTGCTGCCGACGAGGTCGGCGGAGTGTCCTCTCTCCGTACTGGTGAGCGGTCAAGATCAAGTCCTAGCAGTGCCATCAGGACTTTTTTGACGACAACTAGATACAGCTATTAAAGCCAGTCAAAAATTGAAAACAAATTCTTTGATTTGGCCTGTGTTTTAGATTTGATAATTTATTTAGTAGTGTATGATGCAATTGTACTATAGATTTTTGCGCGACACCAGTTCGTTGACCTGGTACTGCTTGAGCCAGTTGAAGGGCAGCGAATAGGCGTCAGTTATGTTGTGGCACTTGAGGACGGAGATAATCTCCTGAGTTTTGCCAAAATGCGCGTTGTCGCGCAGCAAACCAAGCGATTGGTAAAACTCGTTGTAATCTGCTTCCAACTGCAACGCACCACCCACACTGAACTTGTTGCAATAGATGACATTTTTCTCAAAGTAGCTTGTTATTGCATCCGACAGAATAAGCTGGATCTTGAGAAAATCGCTGTACGAAACAACTGTGCGCAGATACGTCAAGTCCTTTTTCAGGGCAGCAAGAGGCACGTCGAGCTCTCGAGAAGGAACAGGCTGGTCTTCGGACTGTGTGGCCCACGAACTTTGACTTATGAAGTACGTCTTCATCGTCTTGTTCAACTGTCGCTCGAAGTAGGCGTGCATTTTGCGCGGAAGCTGCATCATTAGCTCCTTGTTGTATCCCTTGATAACAGAGTCAAAAAAGGTTGTTTCGAGTCGGGAGTTGCCATTTATTGAGCTCCACAGCTCAAGAAAGACAATCGATTCTCCCCAGGTTGCCATTGCTTCGATGATATAACTGGAGGAGCACCAGATTCGGCAGATGCGCTCCAGAGCAGACACTTCATCGTTGATCCTGCCGTGAATGATGGTGTCCAGGGCGTTGAATCCTTGTTTCAAATTGGCAAAGTACAGATTGAGCAGTCTCAGTTGCACCTCGCTCAAAAACTTCACCTGGAACTTCGTTGGTAGCATCGCATAATTGTTGCTTATCCCCTCCAGCAAGCTCTTCAGATTGATTGCCGACCTAGTGGGCTTTGTCTTGCCGTTTTCCACAAAGTCCTTGTCAATTGAGAAAGCGTCTTTTTTACTCATAATCTCCTCATATCTGCGGTTTACGAAATTCTTCTCGTTACTGAGCCACAAGTTGAACACGTCTTCGTTTGATAGAATGAGAGAAGAAGTCAGCAATTGCGTATATTCTGGCTCTGTAGCAGTAAAATTGTAGGTTTTGCTCAGATTTTGATCGAATTTCTGTAGCTCCAAAATCAGGTGACTGAAAAGACCTTCGTGTTTCGAGACCATTCCCATTTCTCGGTCAAACTTCTGCTTCACTGGGGTAAGCAGGGAAATAATAAAATTCTTCTTAAGGCTCCTGTTAGGGAAGTATCGTTTGAAAGTGCTACCAAAAAGTTTCTCCGCCGTGGGCACGGTCTTCTTCATGTAAGCTTCCAAGTAATTCAAGGCGTATTCGGGCTTGTTAAGCTTGTTGGTCTCGCTAGAGCCTTCAAAATGGTACACAAATTTCACTTTGAAATTGGACGCCAAACAATCGAGCGCCCAGAAAGCGTCCGTCTGGTCCTTAAAATTGCTGATGGATTGCAAATGAACGAGTTGTCCGAAAGTTTGTCTCATGGAAGCGATTTCGCTAGTATTTCTCTTCTGTTCGTCATCCCAATCGCGTATGAGAAGTTCAAACTCCGAGGTCAACCTTCTTTTCAACTCGCCTCCTGCTACAGACTGGAACTTTGAACGCAGAAGTTCTATGTACTCGGTGTGACTTGCAGCCGCGCTGGGGCCGTCAGTCTCTGCCTTCTCGTAAGCTTCCACATCCGTGCGTAATTTCTCCAGATGGCTAATTGCGTCGTGAGTTTTCAACTTTGGCAACTCCAAAAGCTCAAAATCGTTTAGCTTGTCAGTGAGATCAAGATACTTGTCGTAGAGCGTCTTTATATTCTTCAGAACTAGCTTTTTGCTCAATTCTTGTTTGGCACTCGTCAATAGCTCAATTTTGCCGTATTTATGTATAAGGTCTTCAATAGCCGCAACGTCGTCTTGGTCAACCATGCTTTCAAGCTGTTGAATCAGAGACCCGGCTAGGGCCCATCGGTTTTGCCCGTCTTCCGGGTTTGCCTGCTCTTTCAACCGTTGCCTTTCATCCTCTATGCGTTTTATCACCTGATCAACGGATGCCAGATCGTCAATCGTCGTGAAGTTCTGGTTGAGAAATGATTTCAACATAATGAATAACGAACAAGACACAAAATATTAATTTAGATTACACCGGTGCAAAGATGTAAGCAGCGTGCAGAAAACAAATTTTCATGCAGCTCACGGGCCCCCCATATAAGCTGGAAGCAAGAAAACAGGAAGCCGAGAGCAAGGTTCCCAGCAAGCTAAATTAGGCTATCAATTGGCATATATAAGATCTGAGAAGTGGCAAGCAAGCTATTCTAGCGCTATTGAGAAGTTCAAAAGCCAATTAATTCATTATTAAGACTTGGTCTTCCTCGATCCCTAAAAAAAAAAAAAAGACTGATTATTACTTCCTAACAGAATATTCGAGTGCCAAACTGGTTTGCTATTTTGTCCTCGCAAGCATCATCACATAAATGACACCAGCAGTAAGTACAACGAGCTCGTTCAGTGAGCTTGCCTCTTGTCAGTCTCGTCACTAACCATTCAGTCCAAAGAATACAGGCTTGTTGTTGTCGGCCCACCAGTGGTGGGAAAGTCTGCATTGACGATAAGACTGACCCAATCGGAGTTTGCGAACGAATACGACCCTACAATTGAGGATTCCTACAGACATTACTGTGAAATCAACGGCGTTCCTTCCTCTCTAGACATCCTGGATACTGCAGGGCAGGAGGAGTACTCTTCCATGAGAGACCTGTACATGAAAACGGGGGAAGGGTTTCTTCTGGTGTTTAGTTTGACGGACCGCAAGACTTTTGAGGAAATCAGCTCGTTTTACAACCAGATAATGAGAGTCAAGGGCGAACAGGTTGCATTTCCTCCCTTGATTCTGGTAGGAAACAAATCTGATCTCGTGGACGAAAGACAGGTGTCTAAGGACGAAGCAGTCACGCTTGCATCGAGAATGGGCTGTGCTTACATTGAGACTTCGGCCAAGACAGGCTTAAATGTGACAGAAGCATTCCATAATTTGGTCAAAATTATCATAAATAATGGCTACAAACACGCGGGCCTAGTGGGCACCACATTTCCCGACCCTTCGGAGGAAGCCAAAGAAAGACAAAAACAGGCCACAGGTAACAAAAAAGGCAAGAAAGAGGCTCGCTCGGCGACTTCTGAAAACCCTGCCACAGGTACGGGAACTGGAGTCAATGGGTCCACCGTCAAGGCTGCCGGAGCCAATGACTCTTCTCATGTCTCCGGTGCTGGCACTGGTAGTGAATCGAAGCACAAAAAGGACGGTTCTGGGGGGTGCTGTATCATCATGTGAGGTGTACTAAGTTAAAGTATGATATTTAAAAAATTGACATTTTAAATGAAAGGTGTGATTCAATTACAAAGCAAATCCTCAAACGAGAGCATAGACAATTGCGGATAACTTACAGACAGCTTGCTCATATCATTTCTCTTACAAAGCAGCCTCTGCCTGTTTCTTCACGTCAGCCAATGGATTGGTGATGGCGTCGTTACCAGTCTCGGTGGAGGCGGAAGGAGCAGCAGAAGGAACGGATGGAGCCGATTGGGCTTTGGATGCCGTGCCGTCTGCAGCCGGAATGTCACCAACAGTAGATCCTGCAGTTCTGACCGGAACCTTGGCTCTAATGAAGCTGCCGACTGGACCCAGCTTCTTCTCGGCGTTCTCCAATGCTGGGCCGGTCTTCTCCTTAACCAATTGAAGCAGCTCGGCCAGCTTATCCTTGGCAACCTTTGTGTAGGTGACGATAGCATCATCGATCTGTTTTTGGTTCTTCAAGTAAAGAGGAGGAACGGAAAATGCGGTCAGAGTGGCCGTGAAGAGCAGAGTCCAGAGGGTGAACCAGGAGGTCAGCTTGTAAAGGACGTAGGCGACACCTGCGACCTTCAGAGTGGACTCAATGTTCTTCGAGTAGACGATCTCCTGCAATTTGAGCTCGGCATTTTTGATGAGGTTGGCCGCGTGGCTGGCGTATTCCTCAGCGTACCGGCCAATCACGTTCCTGTATTCTGGCCTGAATCTCGTGACAAAACCTTGTCCAGTGGCCAGCTTACCGGCGTACTCGCCCAGTGCGGAAACTAAAAGATGTGTTAGTATTTTTGATCGTGTGACTTTGTTTGAAGACTTCCAAACTAGCCAGCGTCCCACTTACCTGCCAAAACAAAAGCGGAAATATAGAAGACGATGCTGAGCAAATTGACCGACTTCAGCAAAAGAAGGGATCCCACCAAAGATCCGAACACTTTGCCGGACACCGATGGGTCTTTCCAAGTCAGCAAATCATAGCCTGACTTGCTCACACAGGCACCGCCACAACAGGTTTTACCTTCAGACATTTCCAATAGATGATAAGTATGGAGTTATTTGTTTGTTATGTGCAATTGTATCGAATAGTATAACTCAGCACCAAACTATTTATTTTAATTGGAAGCTTTCTTTTGAAACGGTTTCCCTTTAGATCAATCTTTGATGATAAAGCAAACTGAACAAATAAATCACCGCAGAGAAAAAATTGTAGCTATGTGACCCGCACAGAAATTGGCAGCCACACTATTTCTGGTTGCAAAAAGCAGGAATAGTCAATAAGGTCATACAGTAGAGAAGTTTATTGATTAGGTCATAAAATGTATTTAATCGTGATCGTGTCAGTACTGTCCCTCCATACCTTGCTCTTTAAATTGTTTCAGCTTGCTGAGCGCCCGCTTGTAGCCCTTGGCCCCGCTTCGCTTGTAATACGAAATGGCAGACTGGATATTCTTTTGCACACCAAAACCTTGCTCAAAGCACAAACCGATCATAAATTCAGCTTCTGCCAGCTGGCCTTCGTCAGCAGCTTTGCGGCCCCACAAAAACGCTTGTTGATCGTCTTTTTTTAGCACTCCTGGGGCGCCGGATCCATACCATTTCGCCAGTCCCAGAGCAGAGTATGGATGATTATCGGCTGCAGCTTTTGAGAACCAGTAGATGGACCGTCTGGCGTCTTTTGCAGCAGGAATTCCCCCCATAGACTCCTTGTCAGACTTAAAATGAGCGGTGGGGAAAAATCCTTGAGCATAGTAGAACCCAAGAGACGCTTGCGACTCGCGATGCTCCAATTTGGCTGCTTCCAAATAATAGTCGAGAGTCTTGGAAGAGTTTCTGAAGATCCCTGCTTTCATCATCTGGCTCACTGACGCTTTCGTCTTCGGCGTGTCCTTGTCAAGACAGAGAATGTTGAGGTCTGTCTGGTGCAGTTTGGCGAGCGTATAAAGAGCGCCACGCGAGTCGCTAAACGATCTCGCTGAGACCAAAGGATCCGAGCCCATGATGTCTGGATCCTTGAGTGCCTGGCAAGCCCTTTCGTGCCAGTAAATCGATTTGTTGATGTCCAGCGGGAAGCCGTTTACTCCAGCAAAATACAGCATTCCAAGTTGGCACATTGACGAAGGATCTCCCAGTCGGGCTCCCTTTTCAAAAAACCGACAACTCTGCTCCACGTTCTTGGTGCAGCCAACTCCCGATTCCAAACAGCAAGCCACTCTGTAGCAAGCCACTGGGTCGTCCTGTTTCGTAGCAGCGTCATAGAAAAGCTTGTATCCTTTGGACTCGTTTCGGGGCAGCACGCCAGGGTGGATACCTCCAGAATAAATGTCACCAAGGTAGAGGCGGGCTCTCGTTGAGTTCGGCGATATCTGGATGATTTTTTCCAGCACCTTCACTGCTGTATTCAGGAACTGTTCTCTTTGAGGAGCCAGCGATTTGAAGGGAATAGGAGATTTTCTCACTCTGCCGTCAATGGCCATTTTTGAAATCAAGTCTGAGCGAGCAATGGCCTCAAGAAGAGTAATTGCCCATTCAAACTGGATAGACGGCGTAAAGCTCTTGTAGTCCTTTAATGCCTTTTCTCTGATTATTCCGAAACCGTTGATGAGACTGTCAAGAGAGTCGGTGGATTTTGATGGCAATATTGGCTCGATGACTCCGTTTGGGTGTCTTTTAAACGAGGTCGGCTTGATATATCTGATGGTTTTCTCCAGGAATTCAGACTCTTCAGTGTCTGGATCTGGTAGAGGAGGAGCTTTTTCGGTGGTGTCTGACAAGTCGCCGGCTCCCGGTGTCTTTTCACTGTAAACGCTCGAGCTCACGCTCGACTCACTAATTAATCGTCTTGGCGGTTCTGACAGGGTCGGCTTGCTAAGAGAATTATCTTTCTGCCCTTCCACCATTTTCTCCACCGATTCCGACGCAGGGGGAGGCAGTTTCCGCTTGTACTTCAGGGTTGGCGACGAATGTCCCGTTTGAGCTTGTCTGGGAAAGGAATGCTTGACGGCAGGAGTTTCCATGTGATCCATGTGGAATCCTGCTTTTTCAAACCCAGTACGGTATATGGACTGCGAGTACGTTAGAGTTCCAGACTTCTCGAGTTCCTCGTACGACGGCGGAAGATCATCTTCGGCCTCGATGGACGATTTCTCCGGTGAGTCCAGGAACTCTTTGACGAGCTCTTTCTCGCCAGAGGTCAAAGACGCAGCACTATCCCTGGTTCCACTTCTCTCCTCCGGTCCAGACGAGAGAAAAACGTTTGCGACCGGACTGTTTGCAATTGATCTTTGTTCCGCGGGCGGCGGAGGCGGTAAAGGAGGAGCGCCCGCAAGGTCCATCCTTTGCGAGTTCTGAGATGCGTATTTGACAGACTTCTCCGATGTCGGCAGACTTAATCTACTGGCCCCCATACTCGGTATTGTGAAATTAAAGTCATCCTTGGTGTTGATACTGCTGGTGTCGCTCGAAACAGACGTGAGCGAGTCGTTTTTCGAGGCGAGGTCTTGGAGAGCCAGCATTTTTTCCAGCTGCATTATTTTGTCCTCAAGGAGATTTATTCTATCGTTGTCCACCGTCTGTGCCACAGACTTGGAAGGTACTGACACTTGAGGTACAGGAGAATGTGAGGCGGCTGCACGCGACGCCAGTCTTAGAGGCTCGGTCGGCGCAGATCTCGGGTATTCGTTTGCTCGAATGTGCGGCTCTGCAGAGCCATACTGCTCGTTAGCGTAGCCGTCATTGTACGAAGTGGATCTCATTTGCGGCTGTGGTCGTTGAAGCTGGTGCTCTGGTGGGTATGGAAGAGACTGGTGATGGCTGTGGTTGTAAGGACGCGCAGGATTCTGGGTATATCCGTATCGTTCACCATAATTAGCTGGTTGTGGTCTGGGTCCTTGAATATAAGGTTTCGAGGCAGTTTGCTGCTGCGGGTGTGGATATTGAATTGGCTGAACAGGATGAACAGGGTGCTGTGGTGCATTGTACGGGTTCTGCTGCAGGGGATGCGCCACAAACGTCGCCGGCTGTTGTACATATGGCTGCGGCTGAAGATACTGTCTTGAAGGCTGTTGGACAGGTCTTGGCTGCTGATATCGCGGCTGCTGTTCGAACGAGTACGGATTCTCGTTCAAAAGATTGGCACGTATCTGTGCTCGGCTGCTGTAGGGATGGCTCATGACAAAATTAAATTGGGCTCAGGGTATTGTGTGGTTTCAGATAGCTTGGAAAGCGGATATATTTATCAGTCATACACAGCCTTCAACAATAGCTCCAGTTTCAAACTACACTAAAACGCGTGTGATGAAATTATGCTTTATTTCGAGCTCCGACGCAAAACAGGGCGCAGTCGCAGAGTCGATCGACGCGGCTCAGCCCCAAGCATGCAGTAGGCTGGACCATGGTCATTGCCGGATAGGGTCCTGTTCCCTAAAAGCCACGAGCGTGCATGACTAGCACATGACCACTCACAGACTAGGTCTTTGTGTCTGTGGCACAGAGCATCATGAGATGTCTTAAAATAGAATTACTCGAAATCTATTGTCACTCCTACACTTTCTGACAATAAGCCTTGGTAGGCGCAAGTACATGGAGTATCTGAGTGGTCTATATCCCTGTTCCGTAATCTAGCGCTATCAGGAACAGTAAGCCAGCCAGCCTTTTAGGTTTATTCACTTCAGATTGATATGCAAGGGATCGCTATCTTCTAGCTGTCGTCCCAGTGTCCGAGTGGTTAAGGAGCCGCCCTGCTAAGGCGGTGTGCTTTGCACGCGCAGGTTCGAATCCTGTCTGTGACGTTTATTTTTTAACATTGTAAAAAATACTCCAATAAGTAACTATCTGATCTGACAGTGCCACATTTTTTTCCAACTTATTACTCGCCATGCCGTGCTGCACTTGTCGCGAGATCGACTTCGGAATCGACGTGAGTGTCGATAATAACCATCTTATTGCCTCTAAAGACCCCACACATCCTGCAAACCTGATCTGTGAGCTTTGTCGTCTATTTTACACCAATGGATGGTGCACTGGCACTGGAGGAGGAGTTTCTATTCGAGATGCTAACAAAGCATATATTGCACCAAGTGGTGTTCATAAAGAAAGAATGGTTCCCTCGGACATGTTCGTGATGGATCTAGAATCCAAGGAATATCTTAGAAAGCCTGCAAAATATAGGGCATCTGCTTGCACACCACTATTTTTGGATGTTTATAATATCAGAGACTCGGGAGCATGTATCCACACCCACTCTCAAAATGCTGTCATGGTGACATTACTATTCGACAAGTATTTTGAAATATCGTCCATTGAGCAGATCAAAGCGCTTCCCAAGGTTACAGAGGCTGGTAACCTTTGGTATTCAGATAGACTGACTATCCCAATTTTGGAAAATACAGAAAGAGAGGAAGATCTATCTGAGAGTTTGCAGCAATGCATCAAAAACCATCCCAACACGACTGCTGTCCTAGTCAGAAGGCATGGAATATTTGTTTGGGGAGAGAATATATGGAAGGCCAAGGTTTACAATGAGGCTCTGGACTATTTGATGGAACTTGCTATCAAAATGAAACAGTTTGGAATTCCAACGGTGAAGCAAGAGTAGCTTGTTTCTTTGTTCGTGTCATTTAATCTGTTCTACTATTGTACAAATATACTATCTAAGCGCATTCTTCGTGTCTTTGAGTTGAAAGCCATGTATTTTGTCGTAATCCGTCTGTGATTCTTCTTCGTCGTCCAGCATCCCAACAAAAACAATCTGCTCTCCTCGTATGAGATATGATCCGAGATCTAGGTCTTTGGTTGGTTCAGTGGGAGAGAATATGCGCTCGAAACTTTTTGAAAGAACAATATTTGAGGACTGATCAAATCCTTCAAGAACGCCAATAAACAGTCTGCCATCTGAGGTTACCACTTTGACTTTTTCTGTTTTTGTTAGTTTTGAATACTTGCTGCTAACTCACCATTTAGAAAAGACTTCAAAGCAGACATCTCGATTGCTAAAGAAATTGGCTTGCAAGATCAACCTGCTTGGTAAAACACACTACAGTTTAGTTTTTTAGGACGTCTTCTACTGATTATGTAATACTATTGAAACTTGACTGGAAAAAGGGCTCAATTAGTTTGAAGGATTTTATAACAAATCGTGACAGCAACCAATGAATACCAGCTCCTTCTCAGAGAGTACTTCAACACTTGGAAGTAAGGTATCATATTCACTGGAAAACCAGACCCAGGTGACTGACATTGCAAACACACAATTGAGATCACAGGGCTCTAAAGTGGGATCAGCAAAAGCCTTGCAACTTTTCAAAAATCAAATTACTTTTGGCGATCAATCGGCAACTGAAGAGTCAGAAGAGGATGAAGACCATACTCCTGAAGATGAGTTTAGACTTATATCAGAATCCAGCGACTGCGTAAAGGACCAGAAGGACTTAGTGTTATGGGCCAATAAACTAGAGCTTGAAAGTGCCGACCTCAGGGAAACTTCCAAAAAATTGATTAAGGATTTACGTTCAATGTCAGAGGACATTAAGAGAGGCATAAGACAATTTCAAGCTCTTGCAACGCAGTCTAAAAACATCATGAAAGAAATGGACACGCGATTGAAGCTCTTTGGCTACAGGGAAGAGTCTTTTGATGAGAGTACCAACGATGATATCAAATCCGACACAGGGATAATACTTGATAATCAAGTAAAACTTTTCAAGATGATGGAAAGGCAAGATAAGTTCAACAAAAAGCTCACGGAGATGCTGAATAAAAATTTCCGGAGTGCAAATCAACCCCCAGACGACAGATCACTACCCCCAGTCCAAAAGAGTGCAGGCAGATGCTCTGCAAAATCCATCGGTACAGACCAGGATGGTCCTGCTAACAAGAGGCGAACCTCTATTGCACCATATCCACGAACACGGTCTGCCAAAAGCTCCACCCGTTTTGACAAGCTCGAGTGATCAGTTTGTCATGTTTCGATGGATATCAATATCAAAGCGGGCACTGAATTTTACCAATCTTTCCATTTCGGGAAGCCTTTCATAATACAGATAGTATGCCGGCATGTATCTGTCCACGAATTGTTCCACCTCTTCGTCCGTCATACCTGTTCCCTTGGCCTTTATCAATGATTGCTCCTGTTCGAGTCTCCAAACGTACACATTGGCCAGATTAGAAGTTGTAATGTATAAAAAGCAGTCGAATTTTGCCCAGATTTGTTCGTAAAGACTCAAATCTAGGTCAAGCTTCGCGATGTGTTCATATTTAACAGAATCGAATTTTGGCTCGTGTTGCTTTCTGATTTCCTCCCATTTGTGTTTCAATATCATCTCATTTTTGTACGCGCGATATCCAACAAACCAGCCCTCAAAAAGGACCACATCAACTTTGCGGCCCTGTAAATGGGTCCATTCGTTTTCAGGGGCACGATCCCCCTTACCATTGTGTAATGATTTGTCATAAAATGGAATTGTAACATTACCGCTGCCTTTCTCGATCTGTGCAAGACAATCAGATAACAATCGGAGATCATGAGTTCCTGGTAGCCCACGCCCTTGTAGTAATACATTTCCTCTGCTCAACTCGCTAACATTCTCCTGTTCCTCAAAAGTGAGGTAGAAGTCGTCCAATGAACATCGTATTATATTAAGTTTTTGGAACTTTATTGAGAGCTCTTTCACCAATTTAGTAGAAACATACGTTTTGCCCGAACCTTGAGGGCCCTCTAGGCCAATGAATAAGGGCTTACTATAATCCCAACCTCTTATAATTGGTTCCAAAAATTCCAATGAACGGACCAAAACAGACATATCAAAAGTTTTTGAAAACAACTTACGTGGGGAACTCCAATCGGAATTTCTAGTATCTATATAATGTTTTTCGTCAAGGTCTGGCCTCAGTTCGAAAAATCTGGCTCAGACAGCATTCAACTCCTTTAGTTTGGAGACCAGTTCATCAACAGAGCTAACTTTAGCGCCACCTTGCCTCACTGGAGGGTCTTCAAGCTTACACGTCTGCAATCTGTGCTCAATAGTAATACCCAAGTCTTCAACCGTCAAGATTTCCAGCGGCTTCTTCTTAGCTTTCATCATTTTTGGAAGAGTAACAAATTTGGGCTCGTTAAGTCTCAAATCTGTAGTGATGATCATTGGCAAGGAAGCCTTCACGACTTCCACACCTCCATCGATTTCTCGCTCAACTTCAACAGTGTTGTCTTCATTTATTTTAACCTTGGACGCATTAGTTGCCTGAGGCCAGTTCAAAATACCGGCCAACATTTGGCCAGTTTGGTTGGAATCGTCGTCGATGGCCTGTTTACCAAGAATGATCAGGTTTGAATTGTGCTTTTCTTGCAACTTTTTGAGAATCTTGGAAACCTGAAGAGGTTCAACTTCTTGGTCTTTCACGTCCACTAATGTCGAGGTGTCGGCTCCTTTAGCCAAAGCAACTCTTAATATATCTTGTGCTTTACTTGGACCAATGGAGACAGCATGAATGGATTCGACTTTGTCCTTGTGAGCATTCCTGATTTTTATGGCCTCCTCAACAGCTATATCATCAAAAGGGTTGATACTGAACTTCACTCCAGTGGACTCAACTCCTGTTTGTGCCTTATTGATTCTAGGTTTGAGTGCGGCATCAATCACCCTTTTGACAGGAAGTAAAATTCTGATTTTGGACGACATGAGCAAAAGAGATTTGCGGATACTGATTACTAGCTGGTCAATAAACTCAATAAACTAAATTATATTTTCAAGTCTTGAGAAAATGATTTATATTCCTTGAGTTTTCGGCGAACTCGCTTTGAAATTTAGCGACATCAAAAATAGGGGTATATAAAAAATTATTTCATGACATAAGACATACTTCACAAAGCGTACCTCTATAATTGATTGAATGTTCTGGATTTAGATTTCATCATCTCAATTCTTGCCTTTAGCTGGTTGGTGACTTCAGCAGCTTTCCTCCAGCTGTCATCGTTCGAGTCGACATCGTATAAACCTGAACTGAATTTGCTTCTTGTACTAGTGGTTCCTGCAGTATTAAATCCAACATAGTTTTCTTTTTCAATGCCATTATGAATGCTCAAGTCGGAGATCCTTCTGTTCAAATCCGATTTGGAATCCAATGTCTCGAGTTTCTGGAAAGAACTTCTCAGGTTGTCATTTGGTTCCTCTTTCACCGTAACCTTTTCCGATAATGCCTGCTGCAACTGATATTGCAGTTCCCTTATCTTTGATTCACTTTGTTCCAGATCGCTATGAAGCCGAGAAATTTGAATGTCTTTCGATTTGACGGTCATTTTTGCTTCTGTCAGCCTCACCTGTTGGTCGTCTAATTTTTTATTTAAGCGAGCGATTTCCTCTGTGTTTGTGTCCAACTGACATTGGAGTTCCTTTCTTTTTTGGTTCCACTCTACTTTTTCTGCCTTCAACGACTCAAGGAGCTCTCTGTCCGAAGAGTTAAGTGTGTACTGAGCTCGGCTTAGGGACTGGGAACCGGTGGGCTTGAGTGTTCTTGAAGTCAGATTCACTTTGCCGGTACCTGTTGATGATTTTAGAGGAGACGAAGGCCCGCGCTTGGATGGTATTGTGGTTGAAGTACTTGCCAGCTTCCTGGATGTTAAAGTAGGCTCGGAAATTTGGCTCAAGTTCGGAGTTGTTGAACGGCCCTGCCCTGTAGTCATAGTGGAATCAAGCAATCCATTTTTGTGAATGGTTGCTGGTACAGGTACTTTTTGGAGAGAAGCAGCTGTGGATTTTTGTTTCGTTCCGATCGCTTTCACTTCACAGGAACTTAGGTACTCGTCGATCTTTTTGGTTTTTTTTGAATCTATTCCCTCCAAATATGACCTGAGTTGTCGTTCACCAACAATCTTCATAAGCGTCGCCGTAATCTCGCACGCAAGATCCCTTATAGGGGCCAGCGAATCTGACATCAGTCGTAGAGAAATCTGCATAATTGAGTCAACTTCTTGTTTTTTCGGTGTTGTTTCTGTTTGCTTGAGGCATCTGATCAAGAATCTGGAGCTTTCGATCCTGATTTGAGGTGTTTTATGAGACATGTACTGAAGCGTAGGCTCAAGAAGTTCACTCAAAGACGAGAATTTAAAGCACACATCGAGTGCTGCCGAAATGGCATCCAACACTGACTGCTTTTTCTCTTTGGTTCTTTCAAGCAGTGGTGAAATTAGAATTAAAACATAACGATGGAAGTCTTGTTGTAGTCCATTTCCCAATCTTTCGATTATTTTAGAAGCCAAGGTTACCACCTGTATGTTGGCATCCTTGAGACATTTGCTCAAGATCCTTATCAAATCCATGTAATCATCGTTTTTAAGTTTGGGATGTTTGAGTTCATTCAAAGTCTCTTCCAAAACCTCAACTCTGTCTTTCCACTTAGGAGATTCGATTCTTGATTTGAAATCACTGGGTATTTTGGAAAGGACATCGACAGGGTCAACCAGATTAAAGGCGTCCAATTGGTCACTTGATTCCTCCTGTACATCAACCATTGAGACATCATCTGAGCCTGTTCTACTTTCAGCTATTTGAACTTGGTGCGATCTCAGTAAACGCTTTGGCGTCGGGGAACCCTCAATTTTTTCAAATGCTTTCGCCAAATCCTTTTGCTGAATTGGCTTCAATTTCTCAAATATGACTGTTTCAAACACGTTTCCCATATAAGATCTCAAGGTTATTGCTAAATTTGTGGTCTCAGCCCGAACATTTTTATCAGCGTGAGCAAACAATTGGGGAATTACATCTAGGGCAAATTTTGGAGGACAAACTTTGCAACCAAAGTTACTGTAGATTTCGTTCAAAGCCGCAACCACACCAGCCACAAGCTTTGGTAATTTTGCTGACAGCACAGGCAGTAGAGACTCAATAACGGCGTGGGGATTATCCAGTTCGACGTACCATAAAAGCGCATTGATCGATTTCTGTTTGGTACCTGCTCTCGTGGATGCCAAACCCTTTTCTGCAATCGCACCGATAACGTGGCTTCGAGTTTTTATACAGGCGTTAGGCCCTCCGAATTCCAGAAAAGAACAAATTGCATTGATACCAGCTTCCTGCGCGACCACATTGCTATCCATAGCCATTTTTTTAAGCAAATCAGGGCTTTTTAGAAATCTGCCAAAGCACTCATCGTCCTCGCTGCTTGAGTTTTGAAACTTATTGTTCACCTCTTCATAGGCTTCTAAACGAACTTTCCAAACCTTAATATTAGAGACGCGTGGTAAATAATCAGGAACTTACCTTGTGTTGCAAACGTTCCTCAAGTGGCAACGACCTATAATCGGTATCATCTCCTCCATCCATATTGTCGTATGAAATATCAATGAGTGTTCTACAGATAGTTAGGTAAAGCTAAACTGTTTCCCATTCAGTTGATAATAGAAAAAAAATGTAAACAAACATTTAAACTAAAATCGTTTACATGAAAGGTCTATCTGCGTCGATCGACTACTATAATTATAATGTACACAAAAAGCGGTATCTTCCCACACCTCTACACCGCGATATTGTTATTATTGGTGAAATAGTTTAGTAATATGCAAATGATTTTTTTTGCTGTCAATAAAAGCTAGTATATTTATATCTTCCAGCTCAAAGCAAAAACCCAATCTTAAAATACGTAACTTGGGAAGTGTCTCATCATGACCCAAATTCTGGGTAGCTATCCAATTCTTCTTGCATTGATGACCGGTAATGGAGGAGCCTCAGGAATTATGATGGGATAAATATTTGTGGCTGTAGATCTAGAATAAATGATCTATTTAGTAAAATATGGCGGTGCTACGATGATCTTGAAGATTAATAATTATTGAGCTAATGTCTCGATCGTTGAAATGCAATATATATAACAGCAAGTCAAACTCGCCAAAGTTGTCAAACTAGACTAATTTCAAAATGTCCGTTCAAAGCAACTCAATTCAAAAAATAGAATACTTGCCTTTAGACCAAATAATAAGACCGATTCCTCCGGTACTCGACTACTCGAAGATCGATACAATGGTTTCAACATTAAATGGACAGCCAATGGCGTCTCCCACCTGCAATATTGAAGATATAACTCCAGGTGAACTGCCTCCCATCGATGTCCTTACCGTTTCTGAAAACGGGAAAAGAAAATATTTTGCATTTGGAGGATGTCATAGGTTTCAGGCTTACGAGAAGAGCGGTAAACAAATGGTGAAATGCAAGATTCTCCCTTGCACGAAAAACCAACTTAGACTTTATTTGGGTTCCTCCGTCGACAGCTATTTCGAAGAATGATGGCGATAGTTATAGATTAGATGATATGTCAATTTATGTATTTAATGAATGTCATGTTGCAAGTTAGCTTTCGCTTGTGCTTTTAGGCTCTTTCTTGCGTTCTTCTCCTTTATCTTCTCTATAGTCTCGTTGATGGTCTTTCTCCTTCTGCGAGGCTTTAGGGTCTGGAGGTCACTATAGCCACACGATTGCAAAATCCCATACCTAATCTCATTTATTCCTGTGCGTTGCTTTAAATCATTTTCAATCGAGTTTGCAAAGTACATGCGCGGTTTGATTTTAAGGTCATTGAGTATACTTCTGGAAATTAGTTCTTCGTAGTGTTGAATTCGGGACTCATTCTTGATCTTATCGATTTTGTTGAATATAATGTCAAATTGGACTCCCATTTCAACCAATGCTTCTAATATCAACTCGTCATATTTGTTCAGCCCCAGGTCACCGTTTAAAATCAAGAAGCAGTTTTTTAGTTCTCTTCTTTCAGCAAGATATCGCATTGTGAGCTCTCCTTGCCATGGTTTGCCCTTCACCCCATAGCCTGGGGAATCCACAAGTCTAAATAAACCTCCCACGTTGTAAAAATTCAAGCATGGCGTGTAACCTGCACTTTGTTTGACTTTGGCGTATGTAGTTGCAGATTGTTTATTGTTGCTCATAAGAGCATTCACCAAAGATGATTTTCCAACATTACATCTTCCCAAAAGTATGACCTCAGGGAGGAGCTGGCCCTTGTTTTCGTGAGATGTTCCCGGCTGGTCGAGACCTGCTTCAGCAGCTGCCCTTCTATCTTCGCCTGGCAACTTATTTAGGTCATAGATGCTCCAATCAAGCCTGATTTCTGACTCGTTTATGATTCTGGACACATTACCTCGATCCATGCTTGTTAACACCGAGACTGGAAGGTCACTTTTATTCGCAAAATAGTTATTCAAATATGGTCCGTCTATAGGTGACGTCGGTTTGCTGGTTTTTGATTTCCGGTGTATTTCTGAAATTGCTGAACTTGTTTCCCGTAAATGATCGCTAGAGTTGTCAAGCCATGATCGAATTTTATTTGGATCCAGGCCTCTGCTAACATTTGAGCTTGTCACAGATCTCGCTGCATGTCGAAAGAGATATAACTCTTTCATGTATCAGGATCAGATACTGTATATCTTTTTAATAGACTTTGACTATTTTGAAAAATAGCTGAATCACTTAGAAAAATCGAATTCCCCAAGATATTTTTGACTGGTTACGTAATGATCAATTGTGTACTTATAGCGAGTAGCCATACTTAGATCGGCATAAAACAGAGTTTGAGATGCTTCACCTGTGCTGCATGCTCTCTTTCTCAACCACCAGGATCAAGGAAGTATGGAGAATTTTACAATCTCCCATAAATGGGTTTGAGCGTAGTGCAGTGCGACCGTGAATTGTAAAAACAGGAGACAATTGTTTTGTCTCTCATTCAAGTTTGACCCCTGTTACAGACTACTACACTTTTGCCACATATGAATCCAACACCAGGGGTCGTGAATAGCTGAGCTATTGCCTGATTGGGTGCAGTAGATTGAGATTACCCTGATTGTCTGACAATTGAATTTTTCCGATAAGTGATCTTATCCGTCTCCAGTCGGATTTTTTTTCTCGGTCTTTTTATTCAAAAGTACGTGCGCGTCTCAGACGTTGGTTGATATGCCGAAGCTAAGCACATCTTAAAACCCGAGTTTGCAACGACTTGTTTGAAACTAGCTTTGCTCTCGGTACTTTGGTGCTTATTGATAAAGTATGGATATAGAAGAGCCTGACATTGAAAGTGTTGCCTCAAATGCAATAGAAAACGAGAGTCATCCCCAAAATCGAGAAAGCTTAAGAGAAGAAAAATCACCGGTTCAACGGACAGGTTCGAAGGCCCCTGCCGATTATAGCGATCCTGAACAGCGCCCTCCTATTTTTAAGTCTGCTATTCATGAAATTGTAAGTTGCATGTGTTTGACGTTTGCCCCTTGCGCAGCGTCTATGTCTTCAGCCGCTTACCAGACCAGCTTAACCGCGACCTCCGAACACTTTAAGATTTCGGGAGGACAGTTGACCTGGTGTGTCTCAGGGGTCATGCTGGCGAATGGCAGCTGCTTACTTTTGATGGGAAACATTGCAGACGCATTTGGTCGCAAAAATGCATTATTATTTGGATATACCTCGTTTGCGATTTTTGCTTTGATAGGAGGCTTCATGAATGATTTCATTTTGCTTTGTGTCTTCAGAGCATTACAAGGAGCAGCAGTTGCTTGTGGAACACCAGCAGCTGCAGGGTTTCTTGGTGCGACCTACAGAGATTCACGGCGAAAAAATTTAGTAATGAGTTGTTTCAGTATAGGAGCACCCATAGGAGGTGCATCAGGATACTTCATCGCAGGAGTTTGTGTTTCCATTCTCAACTGGCGCTCAGTTCATTATTTTCTGGCTATCCTATACTGTATAACAAGTATCGGGGTGCTCTTGTTCTTGCCTAATGACAAGAGAATTGATTGGAAGCACGCCAAGAAGATTTTCAAAGGCCTAGATTACCTAGGTGCTTTGATGTCTTTGTCAGGTTTCACTCTGATTTGTTTTTCATTGACACAGGTAGATGCGACAGAAAAAAGATGGCGAACTCCCTACATTATCGCCCTCTTGATTGTTGGACTTGCGCTCGTAATCGGATTCGGTTTCTACGAGACGTATGTGCCCAAAACCCCACTAATTCAAATGAAGATGTTCAAAAGCAGGAATTTTGTTTTGTGCATTTGCATTGCAAGTTTGAGTTGGATGTTATTCTTTGGTATTCTCAACTATAACGCTGTTCTGTACTTTGAGCAGATACGAAAATACTCAGTCATTATCACAGCTTGCTGTTTCCTTCCACAGCCAATAGCTGGCTCATTGGTCAGTTTGTTTGCTGGGTTTACCATGCATATCATTCCAGGAAAATATCTGGTTACAATAGGATGCGGTGGTTTTATTGTTTCCAGTATCATTTGGGCTACCAACAGTATTCATAGAAATTATTTTCTGGGGCCTTTTTGGTCATTTTGTGTCACAGTCTTGGGCGTCGACCTTGTGTACAATGTTGCAAACCGTTGCTCCCTTTCGTCAGTTGAGCGCTCACTACAAAGTCAAGCAGCGGGTACTTTTAATACTGTGATCCAATTGAGCTCTTCCGTGGGTTTGGGAATATCCACCACTATTTTGGCTTCCAGAGACCCATACTATGGGCAAGCCAACCAGGCTGACCATCTAGAAGAGCTTTTCGAGGGAATGAAATACTGTTACTACGTGGGAATTGGCTTTTCGGGCTTGGCGTTAATTTTAAGTTTATTCCTCGATATCGGAGTTGTGGGAAGTGTCAAGCGATAAAGTCTGCAAGATTCAAAGTATACATATATATATAACTAATTTTCATTGCCCTACTTTTACACCAACCTCTTGGTCCACACGGCAACTCCATTTTAGATTTGGACGTCCAATCTCTTGACACAATGTCTGATGTTTCTTGAATTTCGCTTCGTCGTCAAAACTCTTCATACAGCAATCGCACTTGAATTTTCTCGTATGTGTCTTCATATGTTTGTTGAGGTTCGATGATTCCCTGAACTTTTTACCGCAGATCTGACACTCTAGCGGTTTTTCACCGGTATGTATTCTCTGATGTATCGTGTAAGATGATGAAGTTTTGAACTCTTTACCGCAAACATTACACTTGAACGGGGTTTCTCCAGTATGGGTCCTTAAATGCTGCTCAAGCATCAATTCCAAAGAAAAGCTTTTCATACAATAATGGCATACAAATGGCTTATGTTTTGTATGAGTATTCAAGTGTCTGATGACCTTCTGGCGTTGTGTAAAAGGTTTCAGTTCTCTAGTGCAATCTTTCCAGCGACATGTGTATTCGGATTTCTTGGATTGAACGTGAACTTCTATAACATGGTTTGTGAGATCTGTAGTCGTCATGAAGTGTTCATTGCAGGTCGAGCCATCCTCCGAAACCCATAAGCATGTATGCTCCGCATTGGAAGCATGATTGTGAGGAGCAGGTTTCGTGCTACTCGAGGTATTTGTCAAAGTGTCCATGGACACTGGGGATTGGTCTAAATGTAATCCAGCATGCATAAGGAGATCATCAAGGTTATCTGTTGAAAAGAAACATTCTTTCCACTCACAGTCATAGGTATCGGACTTGATATTGATATGGGAGTCTAAGATATGTTGGTTGAAAGATGAGCTATCAAGTTCATCATTGCAGCCATTCCATTTGCACGATATGAAGTTTGAGGGCTCTTCATTGGTCAGTTTCACCCTTTTGTGCGGAGGCGCATGATTCTCCTCTTCCTTTATAACAGCATGAGTCTGACTTAGCTGATGATGATGATGGTGATGATGATGATGATGCGAGGAATTTAAAGCACCAGGTTGGTCCTGTTCATGGTCAGGACAGTGGTGGTGGCTGTGGCTACGCAAATGAGTATGAATGTTCGAGGGAATAATAATATCATGTCGAACCACATTCCCATTGTATTGATCCTCAAAATGCATGTGGTGATGATGTGACTGTGACAAGTACTTATTTTCTTGTCGCACATCATTAACACTAACTTGTGGGAATACCTTATGTGGGTTAGCAGCACAGGGGAACATATTGGCGAGTAAATCAATATTCCCCAGCTTATCTTCGTTATTTCCAGGCAAGTTATTGTTTGAGAAGTTAAATCGCCCATCCCGGCTAAAATACTCAGAATCGGAGTGAAAGGTTTCGAGCTTGGTCTGTCTGTCCGGTGATGTAGCAGTAGATATTGTATCTTGAATCGGCTTTTCGTGATCGGGAACATCGACACAATTATCGAAGCAGCAATAATCAAAGCAGCAATCTGATTGATCATCATCTTCGTCTTCGTGACAGTTTTCCTGATTCAAAAGATGAGAAGGGTCATAGCAACATTTCAAAAGCTCGTTCATAGGCTCTGCTTCCGAGTACAGATAGCATTGCAGCTCGTCATATCGTTCCTGAGAATCTCTCACAGCAGAAGGTGACATGGTCAGAGTAGCAAGATTTTGAAAAATTGACCCTTTGATTCATATACTGCGAACAGATTTATGATTTTCAAGTTGTGGTCAGTACAAGAAATCTATATTGATTAGTGAATTATACCTTGATGGTTATACATTAATAAGATTTTTTTTTGTACGCGACGATCGTCCCGACTATATTGTCAAACGGTAAGAGTTCGATTGAGCCACAATCTTGATAAGATCAGAAGCACGGGTTTTATCGTATCCCCCGTCAGGTTTCAACCTCTCGTTTACCCTGGCAACAAGTGCTTTCGGTATTTTGAAGCCTCGTTTGGTCCGAAGATAGTGATAATAAAGTAATAAGGGTTCTGTGATAAGCTGGCCGGGAAACGAAGACCATTCCATTATCATTCCCGAAAGTGTATGCAATAGAAAGTAGTTCATGCTCAGTCCTAGATGCCTTTCAATGAAAAAGAAGACATTGAAGAGTTCCTTGTATCTCTTTCGTGGAACAAAGAAATCCACAAAAACTTCAACGGTCGAACTATTCAATTTGGATCGCTCTGTGCCAAATACATACCGGTTGTTGAAATATTTCACAGCTAAATTCGGGCTAACATCTAACAGAAATGCTAGAATGAAATTAGAGCTTCCCTCGTCAAATCTGTTGGCATTTTTGAGCAAATGCTGATGTCTAATTTTTCCGCCCAGCAGATCCTCTTTGGCTAATATCAGCCCTATTGAGTCTGAATCCAAATTCACTCTTGACCTTTGAATGTGTCCAATCAAGAGTCTACGAGCACTTGATGACCTCATATGATGAAGCGCGATCATAAAAGTTGCATATGTGGACTTAATAGAATACCTGTGGAGTATTTTGGCAAGCAAAATGAGTATATCAATAATGAATAAATGATTAGCACTTGCTAGCCGAGCAAGTTCCGCATACATGAACAAATTGAACGTATGGCTCCTGACGCTCTCATCCATAAGTCCTTGTCCTTGACATGCGTGTTTGAATAATCCATAGGCCTTGTTCCTCTCTTCGGGATTCACGAATACATTCGACAAATTTGTTTGGGGGTCCAAGGGACATTTTGTCGTCTCTATCTCTGATACACTGCTCGCAGAAAATGCTCTATAGGTCTCATCTGTATCTATTTTTGACAAAATGTTCGTTCTCTTACTCCCTGTATGTCGCACCCCGACAGATTTTGTACTTGGAGATATTCCTTTGGTACCGCATTGCAGTTGATCTCGGAAATCCTCCCACTCTTGCAACTCGTCGTTTGTTCTGCATGATTGTGAATTGATAAGTAAATCGACAAGGAGAACCTCTCGCGCATGTACTCTTTCAGGTGATTCAAAAAGTTTTGGGGTTTTGATGGCGCGACGATTGTCTTCAAGCATTGCACGTATGCTGATTTCGGATTCACTTGCGGAAGTTGCAAAGCGGGACGTTATACGTGAATATGCCCCTCGCTTGAGCGCTAGGTGACGATACCCAAAAGGAGCTTGCCTGGCAAAATGGCTGATCATATATAATCAGGTGGAGTATTAAATCGGATTTTTTTTTTATTTATAAATTATTCAATCCTGAGCTATTAGCAGCAAAGACTTCATACAGCTCAAAAATCAGCTTCGGTTCATAATTGATCTGAACAAGTTAGTGCGCTGCTGTTTATTCTGATTACAGTCAGCAACCGTGAACACCATTTACTATTATACAATTCTCGCTCTCTTGAATGGTCTTGAAACAACTCCGAGAAGGTAACTATCTAGCCTCGAATTGAACCATCCGTTTTGTTCTGGCTTTGTAAAGAACCCTGTGACCACATTCCTTGCATCTAACAGGTTCTTTTGGGGAGAGAGAAAAGTTGACTGCACATTGTGCACAGATGTATTTCACTCCGTAATCTTTGAGACTTTGGATTCCAGAAGCCGCGTTTCCCAAATTTGCTGCCGTAGGGGGGACAAATCCTTCTCTGCTCATTATTGTTGAATATATAGATCAGCGTTGACGAGGTGGAAACGGATAAGCTCAAGCTAACTTTTTTTAAACTTGAAAAAAATTTTAGAAATCTGCCTGGACAAATTTCTCTGCGCCCTTGAACTATATTACTTACTATACACGTCCAGATCCTTAAAAAGTACAAAAAAAATATTTCAATATTAGGTTGGGATCCTTAACATAAAGATTTCACTCTCACGGCCGCAGCATCACAATAAGAAAAATGGCCATAATATGATACAGTTCTTAGTTACGAGAAATATAAGCCAGGCATACTGGCTTGTGCGACCGTCATATGGATCTCGAGGAAGAGTCGGCATGCTATCGTCTATCAGCATTGCCTATTCTCCAAAGAACAAACTGTACTCCACTCCATCGGACAACAATAGAGCGATACCAGATAGCCCGCATGAACTGAATAGTGGCCTTCGACAGCACGGAAAAGACTTTGAAGCCATTTGCTACACGTCCCAGCGAATATTTGGTTTGCTTATGGATCTCACCGACGATTTTTCAAAACTTTCGTACAGGAAGAGTTCATTCCATAGAGTGTTTAGACTTTTATGGATTGAAAGCGAATTTCCCAAATTGCCTCCAAAACCGAGGACAGAGAAACAACTTCGTGAGTTCGTTCATAAACTTACAACGTTCAAATTTCTCAACAATTCTCACAAAGCTGCAACTATTTTGCGAAAACTCTTTGCAAACGACCAACTTGGTTTCATGCATTCAGTGAAGTATTGCAACAAACTAATTGACTTTTTCCTGGACAAAAATGATGAAATCATGATTAAAAGAATATTTCGCCGTATGGAAAAAGATAATAAGAAGCCCAATGCAATGACGTTCAATCTTTTGGGAAAGCATTACTTGAAAGACACAAACGTTGTACGTGAGCGGTTGGCAATTTGGGAAGCTATCTTACTGCGAATGAAAGCACTGAATGTCAAGACGGATCTTTGCACATATTACATATCCTTGAGTCTCATGCCTACGGAAGTGCCAGCTAAGCAAGAATTGAAACAACTAATGCTTTCTCATGGTCTGCACCGAGCTGCAAGTCAATTTCAAGACATACACATTGTTGACATGCTGAACAGGGGTTGCTCTCTATTCGAGATATTAGACTACTATCATAGAACCGATGGGAAGCTGGATGTCAATTGCATGAATAGCATAATTTTCAAGTTCCTTCAGACTGGAAATGATTTTGAAGGTGCGTGGAAATTTATGATTCAAGAACACAAGCTTCGAGGCATCAATCCGAAAAGTTCCACCATGACTATATTCATGAAACATGCTCGCAAGTGCAAAAGAGTGAAAACTATGATTCAAATTTTGAATTCATTTGCAGAATTCTACAGGCTCAAGAGTTCACCTGCTTTGAGAGTAATAATGCAGTCCCTTTTAACGGACAACAATACGTTACAAGATCATTGGGTCCCCCACATTTTGACCTTTGTCTACATTCGCCACTTCCGAACTTCCATCAATTACTTTCAGCGAAAAGACGTTCTACTGAAGCAACTAGCTCATAAATTCAACGTTAAACTTGAAGACGATCTCACTTATGAGAAGTTGAACAGCATGGACAGGCAAATATTTGATGCCTTGGACAGCATGGTGATACGTGATCCAAAAACTGACTTTAATGAGTATGATGAAAACGAATGGATGGAGAAGATTACAGAGGATTGCAGACTTGCTATGTAACAAATTAACATTTGAGAAATAGATGTCGGAACGTTTATCTGCAGACGCAAAATAAAAATAAATAGCTAGCTGGCTGTGCTAAACAGGTATATATTTTTTCGAAACGCGTTCCTGAACAACTCAGGATAGATCAAGTTGATAATCGGAGCAGCAGGAACAGACTTACACACTATTCGCTGAGATTAGATATCATTGATCCATGAGCTACTATGACATAGATGATATACTGGCAGACAGTCAGGTAGGTTGTTTTTTTTTTCTGCAATGGACTAACATCAAAGAAATTGCCATGCAAGTTCTCAATTACAATCCCAGGACTGGGTTATTTGAATGGAGAGCCTGGTCGTCCAATAAAAGAGAACGTCAGACTTGAATTGCCTATATGGCTGGCTGAAATCCTAGCCATTTGCTCTATTTCCAACTCCTCTGAATACGAAGAAAATGACGAGTATAGAGAAACCACGTTCTTGAAACTTCTAGAGCCTGAATTCTTTTCTCCTGTTTTCCTCAACTTTATAAAGTCAGATGCTTTGCGACTCAACCTAAATCCATACATGTTCTACTATCGCATTGTTACGAAATGGTCAAACATGTTTGGAGACGCGGAATTGGTGGAGCTTATAAGTAAGGCATTGGTTGACAGAGCAAGTGAATTAAACGATTTAAGCTTCAAATTGAATGATCACTTTACTGGCGGTAATTTGGAATTCATGAATAATCTCGATAGCTACGAAAAACAGTTGTTCAAAAACAGTCATAAATCATACAAAGATTTGAAGATGTGGTGGCTCAAGAAGCCAAATTGACGACCATTTTCCTGCCCGTTTGAATCTCATGTGCTTTCTATTCACTTTTGCACCACCAATATGAACTCTAATTCATCATGTCAACAATTGCTAGGAAATGAAGTTTTTTGGAGAAATAGAGGATATTGTATAAATGATATTAGTCGATCAGCTAAACGTCAAATACTTGAGACGAACCTGGTGTGCAAAATACTTGCTCAACTAAACCGAAGCAATACTTATTCACTGCTATCAAAATGTGTTTCTTTACTGAATAATACTATACAAGATCAACTTCAGTTTGGTGTTGATTAGAAGTCTCCCTGAAATTTTGGAATCCGTATCGTTCACCACATTGTTAACATGTAACGACATTATGAAGGCAATCTTTCGCAGCTTAGTAGGCAGACATTCAGAATATTACGCCGTAAGAAGATTGTTTTACGACAACCAAGAAATAAGGGATTACCAATATCCCATTAATTATCGCTGACGTTTGAACCTTTAATATTTTGCGATTATAATTGGCGTTGTCAGCTAGTTCACGTGAACAACTAATCTGATATCTAGATGATCCATGTGGCAGCACAAAGTTATATTACTCGCATAAGTGATCCCAATTATGAGAAGCAAGCCTGATTTACTTTCCTCTCCTATTCTTAAGAGATTCATGAGACTACACACTTTTCTACAACGTTCCTAAAGTTGGCAAGAAGAGGACGCAAAGTAAAAAAGAGAGTAGATGAATGACATTTCCATTAGTTTTTGTCCTCTTTGGTTAACATCTTTGTCATGAATCTCATTGACGTTGATCAAACCTACATAACATCAGCCGCAACTGTCTGGCTTACTTCTGACTCTAGACGATATAATAGATAAGAAACACCTCTATGAATTACTTAACAATTGTATTTAGAATATTTTTTCGTCTGATCAAAATGACAGGAACTAAATTAAAAATTGAAATAATTTCAAGAATGGCTCTTCCATCCATCTTGGTTCTGATTTCTGGGAATGGGTCAAACCTGCAGGCGCTTATCGACAATTGCAATAGTGGTAAAATACCTGGGAAAATCATACATGTTATCTCATCGTCCTCCAAAGCATATGGTCTCGAAAGAGCATCTCAAGCTGGTATACCAACTATGACCCATGAACTCAAGACGTACTATAGAGGGATTCCTAAGGAAAACAAAGATGCAAGAGATGAAGCGAGAGCGAAATTTAACAAAGATTTAGTAAATATCATAATCGGAAAGCTCAAACCAGATGTTATCGTGTGCGCTGGCTGGATGCTCATATTATCCTCCGATTTCCTCAAGCCTCTCCATCAAGCCAAGATTCCAATTATCAATCTTCATCCTGCTCTTCCTGGTCAGTTCGAAGGCACGAATGCGATTGAACGCTCCTGGAAAGCTGGTCAAGATGGATTAGTTGATAAAGGTGGTTGTATGGTTCACTACGTTATCGAGGAGGTCGACAAAGGCACTCCTCTTATCGTGAAAGAAATCGATGTTAAGAAAGAATCGCTCGAAGAGTGGGAAGCTAGAATACATGCTCTTGAACATGAAGCAATTGTTGAGGGAACTATTGAGGTGCTAAAGCAACTCAATGCCAAATAATCTATGTACTTTACCTTGATGTCTCCTAAGCGTCAACCTCCATTGCATCCCCTGTCATCACCCGAACTTCCTCGACCTCACATAGATTGTAGATGCTTTCCTTTAATATAGCCGTTGTTCCTCTCTCGAACTTATAATTTCTTGCTTTTGCTTCTCGGACATTAGGTGTCAAGAAGTTTCTGTATAATTGTGCATCCTTGCCAATTTCCATTACACATAAGTCGACATTGGAGCCCGATCCCAAATCGTTCCAAATACCGGCTTCAATAGCATCCGCACAGAGTTTCATGGCTTCCTCTTTGGTCAAGTCTTCTTTCCAATCACGTTCGAGAACTGCCATAGCAGCAAGCGATCCTGACCCTAAAGATTGATAGAAACCAATGTCTGTAGAACCATGCGCGTGAATTGAAAACAAATGAGCTCCTTTAGGATCCACCCCAGCCACAATCAGATACGCCCCAATATGTCCTTGATATTTGAAGAGATGTTGCTTTAGCATTTGTAGTGCTGAAGAGACTCTTGGCTCTCTGTTCAAAGACATCGAGTGTAACTCTAAATTAGATTGAACTAGCTGGGTGACCATTTCGGTATCTGCTGCTGTTCCTGCACCTGCACACCAAATCCTAGGAGCCAGACGATGCAGTTTCTCACAATTCTTGTCTGCCACTATAGGCCCAGCCGTAGCTCTGGTATCCGCAGCAATCACTACACCATCTTTGAATTTGCATCCCACGATAGTGGTACCAGTGGAAATTGCCTGCGGGGTCTGGACTCCATTCTTTGAAAGGAACTGGTTTCTTTGAAAGTTATCGAAGCTTAAGCCTGCCATTTAGAGTAATCTGCTAGCTATTAAAAAAGGAAGGTCTTAATGTTTCGGCCTATGATGTGTTTCAATTCAGTATTTGCCACTACAGGATTTATATTTTCTAACATCTTAACACCTTTTTTTTCACTAATCAACGCATAATCTAATTCTGTCTTCTAATGGGGATTTGTTTGTCTTGCCTTCATCCGCCAGCCGATGATGATTTTGACGAAACTGCGCCTCTTCTGGGGGAGAACATATCGTCATCAGTTGTGCAACAACAATATGAGGAGCAAATTTTAGAGCAAAGAAATAAAGAACTGAATAGCATACTGAACTCGACAAATGACCATCTCATAGACTTAACAAACTTCTTACATTTCCAGTCGCAATTCATTCTTAAGGAACCAGTTTCGCCATCACTACAAAATCAAGCATCTTTGAAAACAGTAGATGTGCCGACGGCAACCTCATTAGCTTCATTAGATCAAAACTCTACTCCCCAATTGCAGGCAGTTGGGGGATATGATTCTGTTGGCGCACGCGGCTTGACGCAAATTGAGGTCCTGGACTGCAGTGAAGTTTGCCAGGAAATGGAAAAAGAGCTCGCTATTTTGGAAGACAAAATGGATGTTCCTTTTGACAGATGCATTCGATTCGACACCGGCAATATTGGTGCCCTGAAGGTAAAGTTCGGCTAAGTTGTGAAATATGTGTCATATTTAATCTACATAGACGCTTATTGAGAAACATTTATCCAGATCTTGATTCTTTGAACGTCGTAGTTCTTGTCTTCCGCATTAATAGCTGCATTGATAGGACTCAAAGCAGCAGCTCGGCGACGGAATTTTGACTCCTCTTCCACTAAGGTCTCTCCCTTAGTAACATCTTTGAGTTCTGGTACTTTGAGAATGAATTCGACCAGATTAATTCCGTAGCCAGCTTTGATCTCATATCTTGCAGCCAAAAAGTCATTCTCACCTTTACCATCGTAAGATATTGCAATTGGAAATGGCTTTACCGTTTCATTATTCACTCTCAGTTCAGAGTGATAGCGCTCGTTTATGATGGAGTTCGAAAGCGATACGAAGACAACCAAAGGCTGTCCCACAATGTCAGAGGGCAGCGTTATGGCATTCATCGTATCAGGGTTCAAGAAGGTGAGTTCATAGAGTCTGTTAGAATTTGTTTGTGAGTAACTTTTAGTGCTTGACGAGAGAGTGATCTGCTTGACATGAGAATTCGTTTGTCCCTTTTTTTCGTGACCTTGTATGAAAGCAGGTTCTTCTGAAAGACTTCCCTCCTCTACCGGATATTCATCATTGTAGTCATGACTGTCGGTACCCTTAGCATGTCTGATGCTTTCGTCATCTTCAGAATTTTGTTCATCATCTTCAGGGTCTTGTCCACTTTCCTCATTCTCTTCATCCTCCTCTTCCACATCGTGGATTGTTCTCTTTTTCGATTTTGGTAATTTCTTTTTCTTATAGTCCTCTTTCTTGACAGTCGTTTTCGCTTTTTTAGAGTTAGGTCTGTCATAATCGTCAAAAGAAGCATCCTCTAGCTCTGGAGATGATGAAATTGATGACTCCAGCTTTTCCATTTTTTCCTTGGCAAACTTTTGAAGAATCACCGCATCTTGGTAAAGAAGGCTATCCTCATGATTGTAAGTTTGGGCGTTAGCGAAGATAAGGTTAATGTCGTGCTTGAACCTGACAACTCCTTCTTTATCATCGGCATATTCGCCATCGTCAAGCTTTTGTTTGACCAAGTTGAACGACATGCCCTCTTTGATGATCTTGTAGTAGTCTGGATACATATCACCATCAACAAGATCCATGAACGGTGTCGATAACTTGCCTCTAGAAGGGACCTTATAGTTTATGATTGATTTCAGAATGTTTTTAAGGTCAACAGTATAATCACTACCACCATCATTAGCTCCCCCTTCTGCTCTCTTTTCTGCTTTGGCTTTTTTCTTCGTGTGTGACGTTTCAGAGCCCTTCAAATTCGAAATGATATCTGATATTTTAGATTTAACAAATTCATATATCTTGTTCGCATTCTTAGCAATATAGCTTTGAGGGTCATTATAAGTATTGGCATTGTTTGCCATTAATTGAAAGTCATTCAGGAATTCTTGAACTGAATAGCGGTCCGACTTTTTAACCTTGGCTTTTATCTCATTTAAGGATATTGGGGACTCAATTAACTGATAATAATCGGGATACAATTTTTTGGGAGGCAGCTTTATAAAATCTCCAATAATAGCTACTCCATAGTCTTCATCAATAAGGTCATTGATCGAGTCTATGATGCTCATATAGGTATCTTTGCTCAAGGTTTCGGATGTGCCAACTTCATCAATGACTGCTGGTTTTTTGCTGTTCAATGTGAGTACAATTCCAGGTCTCCTCTTTGCAACCATCACCAAATTACCTTTGATCTCACGAAATTTTAGCGTTCACTCAGAGTATGGCTTTACTGAATTAATTCAAGCTGAATCGGAACGCGTCTATATTTGTTTGCCTGGATGCCCTTCGACGAACAAAAAAAACTTCTGCTTTGATTACCTAATTTGTTATCAAACTCTGTATCCCTAAGGTCTCCACATATCGATTCCCCACTTTAGTTCAATCAAATACTGATACTATTTTATGCAATGACTAGGAAAACATTTGAGGTAGGTTGTAGCATCTAGCATACTAGGAGGAGGAAGTTGTGATCTAACCATCTAGCTGATTGACCAAGATCCGGAGTTCACTAAAGTTGTGCGATACTTCAGATTATCTGATTACGCTGCTTGGGTTACAGGCACTCTGTTTCTACCATTAGGCTTGTTTGGGCTAGAGAAATATGAGCCAGCATCAGGAGCTAAATTTGGAAGACCGCCAGCAGTTCATTTGAGAGCTGCTGGTGTCCTAGGCTTTATTGGCGGTTTTCTAATTGCATATAAAAGATCTGTGCAGCGATTCAAAGGGCAAGCTGAAAATGAGAGGGAAGTGAAGAAAGACAGGTATGAAGTCAAAAAGTTATTGAGCCAAAATATGAATCCATATGGTGTCTCGTCTCTTACACCTTATCTACAAGATGTCGCATCCAGAAATTCTAAAGATAGCCACATGATGCTTGGTATTATTCCTTGGTTCAATTTCGTAAATCATCAAAATCATGGTATTGATTTGAAAAAATACTATGAGGTTAGAGAAGGTGAAGAAAAATGGGGCATAAGTCTTTCACCTCCGAGAGTTGGGGAAGTCGATCCAGTCGACCAATGATCAGAAAATTATCTTATTCCCCATTATTTATTTAGTTTATTTATTGAACTGTCAATCACCCTAAACCATGTAAGATGTATGGAATTTGTGATCTATATTGATTAATTCAATAGAGCTCAAATAGAGCTCAACTGGTCATGCAATTCTTTGCCCTACTAATTAGGGTACAAGATTTAAATCTATAAACGTGAATCATTACTATATATCTATAAACATTATGTAATCATAAAAGCATAATTAAGCCGCTAGATGCTAAAGGCCATCGGATCAGTAAATTCGTCAAAGAGCATTGAGTAGATATCATTTAATAGCTCTTTCTTGTCAGAAGGCTGTTCCTTATCCTTGTGCTCTGAACTAGGGTCCAGGTTGAAATTATTCATAGTGTCAACGGAATTGGAAATGGAAGTTGTATTTCCTGTGTTGAAAAGCGATGTACGAGACGAGTTGAAAGGTTTCGCATTTTCTGCATCAGATAGTTTCCTCTTTTTTTCAAAGTCAAACATTGCAGAATCAGGGGTGTTTTCCGTATCAAGATTCAAGTAAGCGTCCAATGACATGAATGATTCCATGTTCTGGGCGCTCATATCTTCAGTCACGTTATCCATGAAGTTTGACGGTTCTGTTGATTTCGCAAGCTTTGGTCCATCAAAAGACACCGTTGCCGGATATCTCTGATTGGCAAAACAACTTGATGGGTGGCTATAAAGAGAATCGTTCGAAGATGCACTGTTGACTTTCGTAACTGAATAGCTAGAAAATTGTTTTTCGTTAGGTGCTGTTTGCCTTGATTTCGAAGAAGCTGACTTTTGGCCCAGAAGCTTATTTATAACCTTAGTCAACTTAGACCCCATTGAGTTATATCTTGACATAACTAGCAAGGCATTTTTGGCGCGATTGATATCATCCATCCATGAAGTGGAATGTGAAGATGAAGAGTCAGAACACAGGCAAGCTATTGGGATCAAAACCGCCTGGAACAAGAAATATGTTGCGTACCACACGGCAATGATGGATAGATGAGATTCATTATCCTTCACAAATTTATCAATTGACTTGATTGTTTCAGAAGCTGCCTTGAGACAAACTCTTCTTCCTTCTTTGGCTTCCTCAGTGTTGCAGCTTTCCATCACTTCAGGATTGGAAACTCCCACAATTCTTTGCCAAATAAAAGGCCTGAACAAAATTATTTGCATGTTTCTATATCTCCAAATGAGCCTATTTCTGGAAAGCAAAAACCATTCAGGTAGCTGTGATTCATTCGTCGATTGACGAAGATTTGATGGTAAAGACTTGAAAAATTCTCGTTTAGCAACAGACTCATCCTCATGAAAATAGCCTGGCAATTCATCAATGAATTTGTTCAAAGTCGCGTTCATGTTGAAACACTCCTGTAACGTGGGAGCAGGCTTGGAGATAAGTTTTGAGTAAAATGGTGTAGTAAGGAAAGTCAGTTTCGTTTGCGCAATCAAGGCGGAGTATAATGTGGGATATGGTTTGTTGATCATTTCCTCTGTAACAGTACTGCAACCATCCGTGTTCTCAATGATCTGAGAAAGCTCATCATCATTTATGTTGCTTACCATCTTAACATCAACAACTTCTGGAGGAGGCAGATTAATTGGTCTTCCAAATGTAATAGATGCTCCAGCGTCGAATATGTACAAACCCCACCATAGACGTCGTTTGATTTCAAGATTCAACAGATCTTCTTTACGAGTTTCCCGACTATTCGATTTCTCATTGAACTCTTTGTGCATTCCCAGAGAAATTGCCATCCTTACTGCTAAGCCCAAAAAATTCCATCCGGTATTTGGTTTATTCCGCTTTTGCGAGTAATTGCTCAGTAGGATCAAGGCACTCAATAACATGATATTACCACATTCAAACACGTTGGCACCTGTATTCAGTGCTTTCTTAGCACGATGGTAATATGCAAGATCAATGGTAGTACGATCCCCATGTAAACACCAGCAGCCTAAGGCAAGAACTGTGTTGAACAAAACAAGCCAGTGAGCCTCGTTTTTTACAGGTAACTGTCTTCTGTAATGTTTCATGAATGTTTCCTTATGAATAAAGGGATAGGAGGTATGATAATATCTGAAATAGCTTTGCAAGAACTCTTCTTGTGTTGACCTCATATTCAGATATTGCTCGAGCTCCTCGCCTATTTTATTCTGTTCCATGTTGTCTAGGCCCCTTTTCAACCCCTCTACTATCTGCCTCTTGATCTGAGGATTCATGGTCACGTTCGGTGGGGATTTCATAGGCTTTCCTGTTTCAGAATTGTTGTTGCATGATGTCAGATCGAAATCATCCATGACAAAGTCCGTATCTGTGGCGCCAGGATTCACACAATCTGGTACATCTTCCTCATCGATCTTGTCAATCTTCATGACCCTCAAAAATGAAGAAGAAGATCCTACGCCCAGAAATCCTGATTTGGTAGTGGGATTGACTCCCATTCCATCTGTAGAAAAGGAAGGAGCAACGGCCCTAAGATATGGTGAAGTACAAAGAGACGAATTGTTAGTCTTTGTGCTGATAGTCGACGACTGAGCTTGGCTTGTATGAAGGTGGTCAAGCGAGTTGAAAGAGATCACCGAATTCTTTGGTTCGTGGAAAGATGTTATTGACGACGGAGATGACGGTGATCCGTTCAGCATCAAACCTTTCTCTCTCTCTTCATCATCTTCTGACCAATCAAAATTGGTGTTATTAGATAGATCGGTGACCATGAATTCATCTGGAAGTCGGGATGAGATCTGTTGGGGAGTCTCTTTTTTGAAGATCGAAGCTGACGAAGCATCTAGTGAGAAATCCTGCAATGTTTGCGTGCTGCTTGTATTATCACAGTTCTGTTTATTTTGTGAGAGAAATGAATATGTGCTGATGTTCGGGGAATTGCTCAGAGACTGCATGCTCGAGCCAGTTCTTGAAAACCCACCTAGCATCTGCTCTAAATCCTCACCAGGAAATGCCTTTAAAAGAAAAGTTTCCAGCTGTTTCACCCTATTCTCAACCTTAGTCAAGTAAGCTCTAGTAAGCGGAGATCGAACAGCTCGGGGTGAATAAACACACTCCCAGCCGTGATCCATACACTTTGAACATTTGGGCAATTCCTTTGTACAGCGTAATTTCCTTCTTCGGCAGGAGTCGCAAGCTTGTTCTATCAGCGGTTTATTACGTGATTGACTTTTGTTTTCAAAACTCTCTGCTTCCTCGATGGCATCATCTTCAAGTGAGTCAGATGGTTCACCCTTTATCGTCCTTTGAGGAAACACACTGTTGTTATGGTGATGATGAGCTAAATGGCGGGAACCATGTCCATGTGAAGGTGTATGTTGGCGATGGACATAAGAAGATCCAGACGATGTAGTCCTTGTTATGGTAGGTTTGATAGAGTGTCCATTGGATAGATTAGAATTATGAGGAGGTGATGGAGAGTTGGTCAAGTTAGCTGAACTAGAAGACTCACTGAGCCGAGATTCTAAAACAAAAAGATCTTCATCAGATAACTCCCTTTTCACCATACTCTCTTTATTCTCTCCGAAGCCAACTGGTTTGCTGATGCCTTCCATTATTAGCAAACTATATCAGTGGTGTTCGTGGTTTAACTGGATCTAGGAAATCAAAAGCGTAAACCTTTACTGCAATTTGGTGAAAAAGCAGCTTTGACTTTAAAGTTAAGAATTAAACAGCGCAGCTCCTCGAGCTATTAGGTGATCCAAATAACCGTGTAACGGAGATTGATGGTTAGTGCATCGTTTTCTTTTTCTGCATCTATTTCCGTTTTGAATTTCGCCTATTATTGTTAACAATACGATTTTATCCCGTGCAGGTATCTGGTGATCACCTAAGGTGTGATTTCTCGAAGTCCGAATTTTGCCCACTTGCGCTCCTAAGGTTAGGGAAAAAGCACACCACCATTTTAGCTTTCTACCACGTTCGTTATTCATACAAATTACTCTATTAGCTATATCTAGAAGACATTTTCTTGGAAATGCCTGGCTGCATACAAACGTACGTAAGTCTGAGAGAGGTTTTGGCAAATCGGATCATCTCCTGAGACAACTTCTTGAACCGAAATCGATTCTCCTCACTTGTATTTCTTTTTGTTGAGATCAAGAACCTGCGTCAGTCTGTTATTTAAAACTTATTCTTTACGTAATTATCGAGGAATTAATAATTTATGTTGAGCTCAATTCGGGCGGGGGAAGCTTCCAAGTATTCACCAGAGCGGGGCACCCCAACCTGCATCTTTTTTTACCGCCAAATAGGTTTGACCCAGCTTCAATAAATGATCCTATACACGTAGCTGTAGTTATACAAAACATAAGAAAAATATACCGGAAAACCTAACCTAAGCCCACGCCGTGTGCTCGGATTTTTTATTGTGTTGCTTAATTCCGGTATCTAGAGCGCAAGAAATTTATTTAGTTGACCGCCTTTTTTGAGGCAGCCCCACCTGAGCTGCAATCCCGCTCGTTGGCCTCTGAAAATGACCCCACTTGCCAAATACAGAGCGGGGTCTATCTTGGATCTTACGGACATCTGAATACTGCTGCTATCTCCCTCTTACAATTTTTCCAATGAAATTAATCACATAATATCAATAAATGTGCTTCGTAGCACAGCAACATCTGGCCGAAGATACGTTGCACAAGCGTGTTCAAAAAAAAAAAAAAAAAAAAACAAATGTACTTTTAGATATCCCACCGTTTGTTTGACTAGATATCGATCATCGTCAAACCCTATTTTACGACTTAGGCGTGGTAGATTGAATCAGACCAATATTCGTTACTGGCATTGAATCCTTGTTAACCTCTCAGGCTATGAACGCGGAAATATATTCAGAACTGTTTTCATAAGTTTTTTTCATTAATAGGGAGGTGTAAGAACAAGATTAATAAAATTTTTTGGAAAAAAATTTTGGTGGCAAGAGTAGATTAAAACATTTCCGGATCAAATATTTCTGCTGAATCATGTCTTCCGGACTTCAATATACTTGCAACTCATGCTCGCTTGCCTTTTCAAGGCCTGAGGATCAGCGTTCTCACATGAAGACTGATTGGCATAGATATAATCTCAAAAGACGAGTCTCACAATTGCCTCCCATAAGTGAAGAGCTATTCAATGAGAAAGTAGGAAATATAGCCAATACCAGTGAGGGACATGAAATTAGAGATTCAGCAGGGGCTAATGGCAAACAAATGACTAAAAAACAGCAAAGGAGATTGGAAAAAGAGGCTTTGTTAGAAAAGAAAAAGCAGCTTTTGGAGATTGCGAGACGACGAATGATATTGTCCAATGACGGAATGCCTATATATGATAAAATGAGGACTGAAAGTGATGAAGCAAAAAGTGTGATCAATGACCAAAAAGAAACCCCAGTGCAATACGATAATGCCTCTCATGTTGAAACTAGGGACTGTGATGATGACGATTGGGAGACCGAACAGCTCATGGACCAGAAAATCAAAAACAAAGTTGAGATACCGTTGGACACGTGTATGTTTTGTAGCCACGTGTCTTCCGATCTAGACGAAAACATAGATCACATGTTCAAAAATCATGGATTGTTTATTCCAGAACCAAAGTACTTGGTCGACAAAGCTGGATTAATACACTATCTATCTGAGAAAGTTGGACTGGGTAATATGTGTTTATCTTGCAATTTCCAGGGTCGAAACATTGAGAGCGTGAGGCAACATATGCGTGCAAAAGGGCATTGCAAAATTCCTTATGAAACTTTAAATGAAAAGCTCGAAATTTCAGAGTTTTATAATTTCGAGTCCAGTTATTCAAGGAACACGGAGGCTGATATTACGGATAATGATGAAGAATGGGAAGATTTATCAGATAATGCAGCTGATGAAGGTTCAGAGGATGAAATGTCCACGGATGATCTATACACTAACGGATACGAGCTTTACCTTCCGAACGGTCATGTGGCTGGCCATAGATCTTTAATGAGATACTACAAGCAAAATCTGAAGCCCGAGAGGGAACTTACAGAAGGCCAGGGAACGTTAGTCGCGGCAGAAACCAGACATTTTGTCCAATCTATAGATCGCAAGGAGCTCCAGGCCAAGAAGAGAGTTTGGGCTAGACAGGAAAAACTTAAGGATGTTAATGATAGGAGATCAGCAAAGTTTATCAATCATCAAGCACATTACAGGGATCAATTATTACAATGAAGCTTCGTATTCTTTTGATATGTTTTCAATGATAACAGTAAAATAAATGTATTCAAGAAGTCGTTAATTTGCGTTTTGAAATAGCAACGTCATTTTTGCTGCAGTGAGGGATGTTTTGGATTCAGCCTTCCCGCACACTTATCTTATCTTCGGGTATGAGATAAAAGCCTAACATTCTAGTCAAATTATCTGTTCTACCCACCCTATTTATTAGTAACAAAAAGGTGCCTGCACAGCCACGCCGTTTAAAGAAGAAAGCAGACACTATAAATGAAATTTCAAAACATCTCGTTTCAGGAATAGTTTTCTTCTTTCAAGCCACAAATTTCCACGTTAACAACTTGGTACCTATTAGCAGAACGATGAACAACCAGGTAAGTACTTTTCGCTATGTGCCTCAGACAGTGCATGTCGGTCTTGATTTCAACAATCAAGATTCTACAGGCTAACACGTAACACTCATGAAAGTTGGCATGCTCTTACTTTTGGCTCGAGGAATCTTTAATTACTAATAATAACTCAGGGATATTATCAACAGGGTGGATACCCTCCGCAACAGGGTGGATACCAACAACCTCCACAAGGCTATTACCAACCTCAACAACAACCTATGTACGTGCAGCAACAGCCTCCAAAGCAGAGGGATAGCGGATGTGGTTGTTATGGAGGTTGCTTGGCTGCTTTACTGGCTTGCTTCTGCCTCGAAGAATGTTGCGGAGGTCCATGATAATGGTTCAAACAGGACACTGGATGAGTAGAGTTAGTTTATTAGCTTCTGTACAATACAAATGGTATTTCCATATCAAATTTGTTTGTTTTCATGAAAGTTTGTCGTCGTTGTGATCTTCAATATTCACATAATTTAGGCCGTTTTCGTCTCCTCCGCTGCCCAGTAGCTCGGCTAATTTGCCTTTCGATGACGAGGCAGAAGTACCAGCTGCTACAGAGCCAGGTCGCGTGTTTGATGAACGTTGGGATGAGGATGAGATATAGCAAGAATTTGAAAGGAATTTGCTGCTCACTCCATTCAAGTCAAAGTTGGAATCCGAAGATGATATATTGAGCGATGGTTCAAAAGGTGATGTTGATCTCGACAGTAGGGAACGTATTTCAGGCGAGTGGTATACTGTATCCGTATCCGATTCGGAGTCCAGTGTGGGTGAGTGGGATGAAATCCTATTTGTAGCAGACGAGATTACGTTGGCATGATCTGTAGGAATTCTAGGTAACTGGTCGTCACCATATCCAAGAAAAGATAATATTTTTTTTTTGAACCATTGATAGGAAGAAGTTGACCCTTGATGATCGGTGTCAGTATGACTCTCGAATGGATCAATTGGTTTTAGTATCAAGGTGCACCTATCTAATTGGAGCTGGTCGAGCATCAAGTTTTCATGGTCTTGAGAATAAGTAAGCCGTTCAGTGGTTTTGAAAAACTGAAACGGTATTTGTTGGTATTCTTTGTAGTTTTTCAATATGAATTCACGTACAGTAGACAGCTTATCAAATCTTGAAAACTTCATACGCTTCGTTATCCCATCCACTAATTTCACTTGGATATAACATTCATCTGTGGGAGGATTTGATTCTTGAGATACTTCGGACTGTGTACGTTTCGCAAATCTCCTACTCTCTAACTCCGGTTTCAATTGCTTCTCCATCCTCTCTAATTTTCTCAGTAATCTTTTCTTGTCCTCCTGTGTGTGACTGTACTGGTTTCTTGCTGAACGTATGTTGCAACTTCTGGAATTTGAGCACGGAATATTTTGAGGCAAGCCAATATCTTCTTGCGAATCGGCATTCGAATCGCCCCCATTATTTTTGGAGGAATCTTCACTATGCCTTGTCTTGGGAGAATTATCGTGACTTTGTCGCATGCGCTCCTGCTTTGTTTTTTGGTGTACTTCAGTAAGAAAGTCTCCTGTTTTAAATGAACAGGCGCTGCCTTTCATAGAGTGAATGATACGTCCCCGGTATATGGCGATAAGAGATGGAGGGGCTAAAAGCTGAACTTGAGGAAATATTTGCAGTAGCAATTCAAAGTCAGAAGATGGCTTTTGAATGGTTAATCCTAGAAACTCCTGCTGGAAGAGCTGGTAGTGGGAACGGGATATTGTTAAGTTTGTCTCAGTGTTCCTGTCCTTTTGTGTAGCTTGACACAATTCCTCCACCAAAATCACAAGAGGCTTATCATCAACGATGGACCGCTGGGTTGCAAAATACACATCAGAAATAAACGCCTCTTTTAAGCTTCGGTTTTCGATATCATTTCCATACATCTTATAGGAGCACAAAAATAATCGTAGAGTAGTTTAGTTTGCGGACAGCGGAATTTATGGTAAGTAATTTTTTCTATAGATGATCAATTATAGACGTTATCAAACTTCTTCACAAAACCACTAATTAAATGATGTGGAGTGCTTGCTATTCACCGTTACGTCAGGTAAACTCTATGTACCTCTCAACGGAATGATATAGGGATTAGCACACGTCCGTTGGCGGGGGTTGATATAACTAGTCGGAATTATACGCATGTATGTGTATCACCCAAAAAAATTGATACAAAATATATAAACAAGAACTAGCAAAAACATTACGCGTGATCATCCTTGATTTCATCAACAACACAGTCCTTGAGCTTTTTACCCTATTACTTTGACATCCTCAGATGAAGGTAGAGGAACTTGTACTGGATGGCTTCAAATCTTATGCTGTAAGAACTGTCATCTCATCTTGGGATCCACAATTCAATGCCATAACAGGATTGAATGGATCTGGGAAATCTAATATCTTGGATGCGATTTGTTTTGTTTTAGGAATATCGAGCATGTCTACAGTCAGGGCAGCAAATTTACAGGATTTAATTTACAAAAGAGGTCAGGCAGGAGTTACAAAGGCTTCAGTGACCATCACCTTCGATAACAGCGACAAATCTAAGTCTCCCATTGGTTTCGAACAATATTCGAAAATAAGTATTTCTCGTCAGGTTTTGCTTGGCGGGACTTCAAAGTATCTTATCAATGGTCATAAGGTTCAGCAATCACAGATACTCAATCTCTTGCAATCAGTTCAGCTTAACATCAACAATCCTAACTTTTTGATAATGCAAGGGAAGATCACGAAGATGTTAAACATGAAACCAACTGAGATTCTTGGACTAGTTGAGGAAGCTGCGGGGACGAAGATGTATGAGGGACAGCGAGAAAAAGCTGAGCGAATAATGGCTAAAAAGAATATTAAGCTGGAAACTACCGAGAATCTTCTCAAGGAAGAAGTGGAACCCAAACTTAGACATCTCCGGGAACAGAAACGTACAGTGATGGAATTTCAAGATATTATCATTGAGCTTGAAACCCTTTCCAAAGCAGTTGCAGCTCATGACTATCAAATATTTCTTAAGAAATTGGTGACTCAAGAAGAAGTAGTAGAAAAAGGCAAAATGCAAGTGCAACAACTTGAATCTAAAGCTCAAACTTTGGAAAGCGAAATCGCAACGCTGGAGGAAGACCTAAAAGATATGCGTGCACGAAAACAAAATGAAATAGGTAAGGGAATCACTTTAAAGGAGCTCGAAGCGACTGAAACTGAGTTGACGAATTTAATGACTAGAACGGTTACAGCGAGGGACTTGAAATCACAGATTCTAGAGGAGGAGAACACCAAGTTGAAGAATTTGTGCTTGAAGTTAGACAAGCAAAAGAAACTCCAAAACAGCTCTGATGAAGCATACAATAACGCTGAAATGGAATTTAATCGTCGAAAAACATATGTGGAGAATCTCACTGAGCAATTGAGACAAAGAGAGGATCTCTTATCCGCGCTTTCTACGGGCCTGTCTTCTAAAGGGTCGACCGATGGAGGATTTCTAGCTCAGTTGCACAACAGTAAACAGAAGCTGTCCCGGATCACTGTAGAGAAAGAGAAATCACGTTACAGAATTGACCATTTGAGGAACGACATTTCCTCGAAGGAAGATAAAATTAAGTCTGCTAAGGATGAAGTTGATTCCCTTAATCAAAAAATAAAAATAAAGGAAGACCTTTGTACAAAAATGTCCGTCGATCTTGAGAGATTAGGTTTCTTCCCAGAGAAGGTCAAGTCTTTGAAAGATCAAGAGAAGAATTTAAATCATGAGTTATACAGACTTCGGCACAGAATATCTGAGTTTCATCGCGCTCATCCTAACTTGCTCTTTGAATTTGATGCTATCAATGCGGGACTAGATTCTACCTCCGTCAAGGGGTTAGTCGGAGAACTTTTTACGATTAGTGAACTGAACAATAAATCTACAACGGCCATCGAAGTCTGTGCTGGTGGGAGATTGTATAATGTTATTGTTGACACAGAGAAGTCAGGATCTAAATTATTGGACAAGGGGAACTTGAGAAGGCGAGTCACAATAATTCCACTCAATAAAATAACCTCGAAGACGATTACTGACACCCAACTGACTGCTGCAAAATCCCTGGCTCCAGGAAAGGTAGAGCTCGCACTGAATTTGATTGAACACGATCCTGAATACAGCAAAGCAATGCAGTTCATTTTTGGAAATCGCTTGATTTGCCAGGATCCTGAAACAGCGAAAAGGGTTACTTTCGATCCAAAGATAAGAACTGCGTCCATTACACTGGATGGGGATATATATGACCCAGAAGGCCGACTTTCTGGTGGATCTAGACAAAGTACATCTTCCATTCTTGCTGCATTTGCAAAGCTCAGAAATTTTAGAGAACAAGAACGTCATCTCCTTTCTGCCTTGCACACGATCCAAAAGGAGATCCAGCAACAGGAAATCCTGAGCAAACAAACAGGGGCACTTCAACGTGACCTCGAGATGGAAATTTATCAAAAAAGCATTTTGCTGAAGCAGCTTGAGCATTCTGAAGCGGCTAGACTACTTCAAAGGGTGGAACGCGATGAGGCCGAAATAAAAGAGCTTGAAAAGCAGATTCAAGATTTAGAAAATGAGGGCATCAGGGTTCAAGCGGAAATTGAGTCTCTTCAAAATGATATGAGAGATTTTGATAATGACGGAGAAGGAAAGCTCCGCGCCCTTCGACAGGAAATCAATGAGCTTTCTGTTCTCATTGATAAAGAGAAAATGCAACTGAAATTGTCACAAAAGGGATTCCAGCAGCATCAGATTGGCCAAGATGAACTCCAATCGGATTTGCATGTCCTTGAGAAGCAAATTGAAGATTCAGAGAAAACTATCATGCTGTTGAAGAGTGAGATTAAGAAGGGTGACGAAGAATGTGACCATCTTTCTGCGGAGATTGCCAAGGTTAGGAATTCAATCACTCAAGAGAAGTCAAAGATGGTGGAAATCAATGATGAGCTGCAGGAAATGACACAAACGCTGAATCAAAAACGTGAGGAGTACAATGAGGTAGATCTAAATTTGAGGAAGCAAAGAGATGTACTGACTTCTCATGAGAATCTCTACAATTCACTCAAAGAGAAAGTAAATCGAATAACTGCAGAACAAGAATGGGTCTCTGATCGCAAGCTACTCAATCAAGTTCTGGAGCAGTACCCTAACATCAATCTAGAGCACTGTCACAAGCGCATCGAACAGTTGAAAAGCCGCTCATCATCAATGAAGAAGAAGGGAGTAAATAGCAATATTATGGCGCAGATAGAACAGCATGAAAAACACGAAAGTTCACTGAGGACTAAAATAAGGCAGATAAACAAGGATAAGGCCAAAATTGAAGAAACTGTCCGAAAACTTGATGACTATAAAAGAACAGAGCTTCTTAAAACGTATAAGAAAGTATCGGACGATTTTGGGCAGATATTTGGAGATCTTCTGCCTCAAGCCTACGCTAAACTCGTTCCAACTGATCCGAATGACGTAACTAAGGGGTTGGAGGTACGGGTTAAGCTGGGCAACGTTTGGAAAGAGTCGTTGGTTGAACTGTCGGGTGGCCAACGTTCTCTAGTTGCTCTATCTTTGATCATGTCTTTTCTTCAGTTCAAACCTGCTCCCATGTATATTCTAGATGAGGTTGATGCTGCTCTCGACTTGAGTCACACTCAGAACATTGGCCATCTAATAAAAACCAGGTTCAAGGGGTCTCAGTTCATTGTTGTCTCATTGAAGGAGGGCATGTTTACCAACGCGAATAGGCTATTCAAGGTGAGATTTCAAGAAGGAACTTCTGTCGTTACCGCAAGTTAAATCTATCACCATTGACCAGTATATTTGATCATCCCTAATACGATAGGTCATGCTCTCAAATCCTGTATAAGATACTATACGTGCCACATCCCAGCTTCATGGACATCCATCCCCTTCTAAACCTGACAGATTACATCTAGTATCCTGTAATTTTTCTTTGCCGTCAAAGCTACATATGTTCCTCAACAGGCCCGGTCACTAGCCCCAATCCTTTATTCTTTCAAGTACCTATATATTGGAGCTAACAATTGTGATGTAAAGAGCGATAAGATGAAGCTTAAAATTCGATATGGCTTAGCACTCCAAAAGTGGAGCTCATGTTCGTGTTGAAGCGTAATCTAACAGACTAGATGCATCTTGTTCCTCGATTCTTTCGGAAGGCTTTGAAAAACCAAACAAGCTTCTCAAAGAGTGACCGTTGAGAAGCAAAACAACCAAGAGGCTCACTAAGCTTGTAATAACCACAAGCAAGAATGGAAGCTTGGGATTGAAATCAGCTAACCTTCCCCCAACAAAAGATGTGAAAATGATCCCGACACCGCCCACGAAAGCGAAGACCCCCGATATAGAACCTTCTCGCTGCCGATATTTGTCCTCCGAGGTTATGTTTGAAATCATTGTCATTGATATTATAATGAACATGATTTGGGCAGAACCCATCATTGACGCTGCCAGATAAATTATCGCACTTTTATCCGGTGCTGTTATCAAGCAGAATGTAAGAAACCCAGTTGTCGAGATGATTGCGGCGATTGAAATGAGAATGGTATAATTGTTCAATCGATCGACAAGAATTCCCGAAATTGGAGCAAGCAAAAGACCAAATAAATTGGCTACACCCGTGAGAATCGATGACAAAATATAAGATTCTGGACAGTCAACTTTGTCGTTTGAACTCTTGGTACAATCTCCTATCTCTCTATAATAGGCGTTCACATAGAATGGAATGTATAATGTAATCACAATTGTTATGCATCGTGAAATGAAGCCACTCAGATAAGCAATGAGAATCCCGGGATCTTCCATCGACAACTGAAATCCTATTTTGAGAGAGGTCCAATAAGTTTCTCTTACCGTAGAGGACGTAAAGTACTCCTCATCAGAATCGCTAACCAGATCCTCCCGTGTCCCATTGTCATGTGCATACGATTCAAAAAGATCGTCCTTAAAAGAGATATCGCTTCCACTTTTGAAAGAGCAAAACCACATAATCACAGACACAACTATGGCACCAGCTCCCACAGTGTAGTATGACAATCTCATGGCTGATCCTGCCGGCCTTGTTTTACCAAAAAAAACTGGAAGTCTCAGTAGCAGAGTGACAGCAAACACCGCACCAAGACCGCTCATTATTCCCATATAAGACACCTTGGTCCCGTCTTTCCTGGATTTGTTCAGATTGTCTACTCTTTCCAGATAGTTTTCGTGGACATCTGCTCCATCGCGACCACCAATGGCATCAGACTCTTCTTGTTCTCTATCAAACGGAATTAAGGAGTTGCTAAAGCCAGATATGTGTGCTTTAAGATCGAATCCCGAGTGGTTCATTTCGATTACCATAACTGTGAGAATACCCAAGGAAGCTGTCAGCCCGGCAGCAAACACCAACCTCCAAAAAAGCATTTGAGGGACCACATTAGTTCGTACAAAATATCCAAAACCAAAAAGACTTAGCCCAGAAACTAGGAAACCTGATGAGACAACAACCCTGGACCCAAATCTGTCTGCTAAAACTCCCATCAATGGCACTAAACACATCGACAGGATTTCATCGAACAAGCCCAAAGTACCAACGTAACTGCCGACGTTCTCACCTATTTGTAACACATCCGTGATGAAATATGTTTGAGTCGTAGAGACGAAAACCGCCAGCGCAACCGAAGAAAAGCTTGCTAGCAAGAAGCAGATAAAATTTATCAATGTGTATTCATGACTCCTACAAGTCGATAAAGGGAGGTCTGCCATTCGAATACGCTTTGCTCGTAGTTTTTGTTTGCAATGTAAATGGCTTTTAAAAATAAAACAAATCGAGAGGAGATTTATCGGGGTTTAATATTACTGACGCTTGACCGTTTTCCTATATGTATTTGGAAAGCATATACTTTCAACGTGTAGCATGTCACCTACTATGTAGACCATTTAACTTGAACTTTCTTGCTTTGAAGCAAATCACGGGGCATTTAAGTTCGAATCCCGTATACAAAAACCTACGAATATTAATTATATCGAATGCCATAAAACCAACTCAGCAACCCAAAACCAATTGGGTCCGAAAACTATAGTATCATGGCCAAACCACTAAAATCTATACTTTTCCTCCCCTACCAGAAAAGCAAGACTAGACACGTGCTTCCATTTAACGAAACAAAAGTTTATGAACAGAGCGATTTTATTGTCAACGTCTCTTCGTTGTTGTTATCTTTAGTTACTTTTGCTTAATTGTCACGGGATCAGGAAGCATGATAAAATTATAATTTTGTGTTAGCCTCACCTATCGCCGCCACACGACTACTAACATAATCTCCGAGCTCTATATTTCTGCACATAATGTTCTGCTCGACAATAATGTGTACCAAAACACCAATCCTTTGTGAAAATCTTCGAGGCACAATATCATGGGTAACCCTGTATGTGTGCTCAACTACCGCAAACGTCAAGTATTTCCGAGATAGTTTAGTGGTTAGAATTCTCGCTTGTCACGCGGGAGACCCGGGTTCAATTCCCGGTCTCGGAGTTTAAATAAGGTGACTACCATTTTTTTGAAGATATCTTTACACCACGCAGGGTTGCACGTGACCCGTTTTTTTGGAATGCGTACTACGCAAAGCAGGGCTTGCATGGTCATCATGAGCAGAGATTCAAACCAAAGCGAGCTTCCCGAGCATGAAAACGTGAGTATTATGCAATGGTCTGTTACTTGATTTCGCGTCAGCTAGATTTTGCGGAAGCTTGTGTAACATGCAATTGAGTTAATACCTCATCTATGTATGAGGTGATAATAAGCGTTACAGGTTATTGACCAGGCTTACTGAAATCTGCCTCTTGCAATTGATTAGGAAAATTGATGGGACCAGTAAATGGTGTGTGTTTATTTGTGAAATTGACTTCATGGCCTTAGGTGAAGACATTTTTTTATTCTAATTCAAAAGCTATCATTTTCAGATACATCTTTCCGCCTAACAAGTGTATGGATCGAAAGCAGACATTGAGACAGTTCATGAATCTGTTGAGATGGTAGTCGAGACTATGTCATGTGATTATATGCATGATAATGCAGATGATACATGTATATATGCACACTTGAAAATCTTGTATGAAGGTTGTGTGAGAAGCGCTTCATCCACTATAAGTACTGGGGCATTTCTCAACTTGATACTTGAACAATGATCTGATCTGAAGTCTACCATATATACCAGCTAACATAAATCTACTCACTATCATCATTAAGAAACACGTCCACTGAAGAGCAAGTCATGTTACAATTACAACACTTATCAATCATATAGCATGATTCTGAGGAGCTAACGAGTGAGTGCCTAGAGTACAAAAAGTTTTCCACGTAAAACTCATTCAGTGTTATTCCCTAGTTTCTCGTATTCCAAAATAATTGCGAATGTCTAAAGCTATCACGTTATGCTAGAAAGGCTCATGGGAAATTTGGTTTTAGAGAGGTTTAATATCGAAGTTCCAGTAAGACCATACCAGACTAGACCTAATCGCATAATCGCAGGAGAGCTTGATATAGGTAGGATAAGGCATAGTGCCTGGCTTACCAAATGGATAATGAGTAACCCATGGCAAGGTTCAGATGGGACGTTTTAGTTCTTTTTCTTGGTAATCAATTTCTTGAGAAACCAGTTCTTAGCTCCTCTCCGCTGATCCCTCCATATCTTCAATTCTATTAGAGAGTGCCAACAGCTTTGTCTGATATTGAACATACTCCTCGAACACTTGTTAATCAGTCGAGAACCAACAAGAAAAGTAATCAGCATGTCAAGAGAAATATTTAGAAGTGATGTTTGAGATGCCGACCGAGAGGACGTAAGTTGTCACAATGATTTTGTACGGTTGTGAAATTTTCAAATACAGTGCTTGCATTGGTGATAAACGGTTCTTTTCCCTCGATAATCATACTCAGAGTTGAATTCTACATCAATCAATTCAAATCAATGCTGGTTGCTGATAGGCTTTTGGATAAGAACGATTACTACTTTAGCCGCGAAAATATATATGTACTCTTTTGAAAGGTGAACAAGCTCAAACTAAAAGTTCTGCATCTTCTTCCCAAGTGTATCCTATGAGTTAGCTAACACTTAGACACACGATATCATTAACTCTTCCAACTGCACTCGGGAGAAAACTAGGTACTGACTATCATCATGGCCAAGGAAAAAAAGAATAGGACAGTCGTGCTAATACCAATATAAGAATTGCCGCAGAAAAAATGCCCCCCTTTCATATCCGATACCCCTTTATGTCCCGGATTTAGAAATTAAGTGGCACCTCGCATTTTACTATGTAAGTGGAGAAAAGATATAAAAGATCTCGAGGTTTCTTTCGAGGGTCTAAGTCAATAAGAAATGTACGGACATTATATTTGGTTGCCTTGGCGAGTACGTAACCCCAATCCATATATCACTGATTTAACATATATAACGTTGCATCACGTGCTCAAGATCTTGCACTAAAACCTGATCATCCAAAGCCACATCGTTTCAAATCCGTATAGATTACATAAATATTTAATAAAAATCTTGCTTGGTTTTCATTGACAACGAACTTGAAGAGTTGTTGAGATGTTAGTCGAGACTATGTCATGTGATCAATATGCATGATAATGCAGATGATACATGTTTATATGCAGACTTGAGTATCCGTATCAAGGTTGTCTGAGAAGTGTTACAGACTCTACTATAAGTACTGGAGCATTTCTCACCTTGTTATTCGAACAATGATCTGATCTAAAGTCTACCATATATACCAGCTAACATAAATGCACTTAGTATCATTAAAAACATGTCCACTGAAGAGCAAGTCATGGTACAATTACAACAAGAGTCTCTTTTGGTTCTGAAAGCAATCAATCAATGTAAGTAGCTAGAGACTAGACATCAAACTCAATGTATTTTTTCTGTTGTCATCAATTAAGTTCAAACTCCAAATTTGCGTGAACATACAGAACAAACGTAGCTTTTTGAAAGTATCTCATTGCGTTTCACTTGATACACACGTTAGTCATGTTATTTCATTCGTACGATCTCTCTAATATGTTGACAAATTGAGAAGTCCTCTTCACATGTATGTTACTATGCCACAGTTTGGCAAAAATTAAACAGATTATATACTCCCAGATCCCCCCGTCCCAACAACGAGGGGCAAAGGAGAAACAGAGATTTATTTTCTTAACTATATGATGCACTGCTTGAACTGAGATCTGTTGGAATGCTAACTTTAACTGATCTGAAGTTGTCATCTTTTGGATAATTTAATATACCTTTCACTACCTTATATCAGTAGTTGTATAAGCTTATATTTATAAGATTTATATGTAAATCTTACCAATTGAATGTTCACTTAAGATGAGGGAGAATCTAACTGTATTTATAGTAGATTCTAATACCACTCTAAATCTTTAGTGTGCTTTCTGAAACTTATCTCTAATCCTAACTGATTAGGATTTGTTTCACATAATATTTATGCAGGAGATGCATATCTCTGCATAGTCACGTGACATATTATAGACTAATATCTCAACAATAGCTATAATTGTCGTGCTATAGTGAGATACGATGAGGCTGATCTTACAAAGATTTGACGAACCTCAAATATAGGTGCTGCATGAGCCGCATACCTTTGAACTTGGAATGAAATATATCACTATACTATCACTACTTGATGTTAAACATGTATAGGCTTTCGTTTGCTAACAAACCGTCACAATAATCAAGTGCATACAAAGGCAAAGATCAATTGAAAAGCTCAATGTAGCAAGCTGAAGTGCTTGTCAATACAAGTCACAGTTTGAGCTTTACCAAAGAATATCAAATTAAAGTGTACAAGTTGAGTATTTTGCCAACAAGTTAATAGCGAAACCTGACAGATCGAGGCATCATTAGTTGATAACTATGTAAAAAGACTGAGATATAACTCCAGGGTCTTGGGCAAAAACACAAACTCGCACTTTTTAGTTCTATCATGAAACTAATCTGCTACTTATTTATTATTGACTGGAAAAAATTGGTAAGTTAGCTAAAATAAATGTTTGAAACCCTCTATACTTGCACCCATCTTACTTCATGTCAGAAATTGAATTTTCTATAGATAGTTGTTCCTGGTTAATATCAGTGTAGCGGTAGGTCAAAGAAAAACCTAACTTATTGCTGTTGAGAGGGAAAAATCTACTCTTCCTTCGTATTGTGTTTAGGGGTTTTGAAGGGACTCGAGCCCAAGATATGAAATGTACAATAAAAAGTAACCGTGACACAATAAAGCTACTCTCAGAAATAATCTCAGTTCTTTGATCTTATGCATTTACTGCACTTTTTTGCTTTCGACGTTCTTAGATACTCGGAGCCGATAAGATATCTCAAAGTCGGTTAATGATGAAGAGCCCAGCCGTTGATTCTAAATTTTTGATGAATGGAATAGGGGTCAAGGGCGCCCAAGCGGAATGTGGCTTGCAATAAAAAAGGATCAGAGATTCTTGGTTCTACTTTATCCCAAAAAGATGCCGCTCAAATATGTCATCCAAGCAGCTCATATACCTAACCCAAATAGCTATAAATTCCCGATCACGTTGTAGTCTGTTGAGATATTAGTCTATAATATGTCACGTGACTATGCAGAGATATGCATCTCCTGCATAAATATTATGTGAAACAAATCCTAATCAGTTAGGATTAGAGATAAGTTTCAGAAAGCACACTAAAGATTTAGAGTGGTATTAGAATCTACTATAAATACAGTTAGATTCTCCCTCAT